GTCATAAACCGTGAAGAACAACATGTAAGTTTTGCATCTGAATCCAGTTTCGGGAAAGTCTGTCGAGTTCTTCTAATTATGAGTTTTGTGTTTGACAGAAACAATGTGGAATTCACTTCTGTGGACAACATTACTCGTGCTGATTACCCAGTGCTGTTCGCAGTCGTTTCAGGTAAGAATGAATCGATTTTTAAGCTGTTTAGTCCCTTTTTCTCCTAACAGAAAGAGGTAAAGTTACAGTTTGTCATTTAGTCCACGCGGCTGCCAAAGACCGTTAACCAGAGCGACTTATCTTATGTGTAATGATCGTGTGAGATGCACATGTTTCCTGTACAAATTGTTCAACAGTAGAATGGCTTCTTTCCCTTAAGTGTCTAAAATATATTTCTGGAGGAATATGTCACGAGAGTGGAAGACGCAGTCATGTATGAAAAGAAATAAATAACTATTGAGTTAATGCAATACTTTGCCCAAAGGTTTATTTTTTTTTTGAGGTGTCTCTGATAGTAGTCAAGAGCCTTATAAATTTATCTCCCCAAACAGATAAGATCTCTAGCATTCTCACAGTGAGCAATTTACAGCTCATTAAGTGTTAATGCGTGAGAACATGGAACGTTCTCTAGATGTAAATAAGATATGATAACTTGCCTTTTAAATCGGATATTATTTTCAGTTAGTGTTTAATATTGGTCTACGACGACGGAACAATTGTAAGGACCTAACAAGGACGGAATTGAGGCGATCGAATAAATAGTTTAAACGGCATTAGAACTGTCGTGAATTTAGCCTGCTTAATGAGATAGATATACAATTCTGCCTTAATCGAATTCTTTGGCCTAACCACAAATAACTACAATTGACAGAATCGGTGGGAAGTAGATAAATGTGATGCTAATTTCAACCCAATATGGCCCAATGAGAAGGAAACAGAAATGTCAAAGCTGATCATTTCGATGATGAATAAGTCTAAATCTTCAAAGAGTAATTTCAAAGCAGCCCTTGAGAGCTTCTTAAAGTTTTTTCCTATTTAATCTGCGCTTTACTTTGTAATAATGAATAACAGAAATTTCCAGAGTCAAACCGCAAGTTCAAGATCTAGACTCATAAATTAGCCTCAAAAGTTGAAGGTGTAAAAGAAAAAAACATTCAAAGACTTCACCAATAGGTATCAGTTTAATAATATATATATATATATATATATATATATATAGATATGTATATTGATTTGGCCACGTCGATACTCATATACTCATAGTATAAAACAAAACTTCTGACCAGGGTTGCAAGTGACACTTCAACTGGAATCAAACTATCATTTACGCAAAACGTCTTGCTGCATCACGTTATCTCCTAAGCAGTTCTTCCCTTCTATAACTTCAAGTAGTCAATGAACTTATCAGGGTCTAAAGTGCAGGTCTCTGTCACCTGGGATGTCGTTTCAACGACTACTAGAATTTTTAAGTAATCCACATGGGAATGAGCTATGATGTGGCTAACAACGAAGGTTATGATTGACAAGTTCCAAATTCTCACCAAACCACCATAAGCCACAGTATTCGGTTTTAGATCGATAAAGAGTTGTGTGTATAAAATTGTGGACTGAAGCATTAGAAGATGTCCAATGACAACAAAACGCCGGACCATTACTCTGCAAATGTTCGTTTTTTGAAGGGACAATCATTTTAGAAAACATAGCTTGCACATCACTCGAACCCATGCGTCGATTGTATGATAGGAATTCATCGCTTCAAGGATTGCTGCCCAAACACCCCATTAGTAGAGAAAAAGGCGACGACACGTTTTGACTTGTGGTGGTCTCAAGCATTTTAAACAGCATCATTGAACCGAAACATCAGTGTCTATTAAGTTCTATTTTTCTGCCTTTAAATATATATTATAGAAAAGGGTACGAGAGATAAGGATTTATGGAAGCATTATGTAACGTCTTGAAGTCTTAAACCCAGTTACCAACTGGATTCAAATTTGGGCATAGAATTGTGGTAAATTATTTCTTTGTTGTTTTCTAAAATCGGAAGCGTAAGCCACCCATTGTTTGAGGTATTTTTAGCCGGATAATTATCGTCATTAAAACTATCTCAGTAAAACACTTTGTTATGCAAGGCTTTTGTGTACCTTCTATGGAATTCATTGGTGACTTCGGCTTGAAAGAAATTTTATTACGTTCACAAGATGAATGAAGCCCAAACATCCTTACATAAAATCACGGTTGTCAGCATTGCGACTCCTCTTTATCAACAACTCAACATAACTTTGTTTTCTAGACAAATACCTAAGATGTTCACCGCTTCATCCCCGTCCTCCGACTGATAATATATTTTCGTGTTAACTTACAATATATTAAGGTCTTTTCGTTAAGTTATTCGAAGTATTTCGGGTTATTATTGTTTGATATTCGGTAGGTTTTGACACGTGCATATACCTTTCTGTTCAATTTTTCTCTGATGTAGTTAGAAAGTATTCCGTGTTATATTGTTGACCATTAATTAATTCCTAGTGGTCTGCTTACCGGAGAGATAAGTGGGGTCCCTGGAGTGACTGGTCTCCTTGTACTCGTTCATGTGGCGGAGGCACCACATTCAGGACAAGGAAATGTTTAGCCACCTCCAGGTTTGTACTGTTTTTTTTCTTTTTCTTTTCTGGAAAAGGAGCTATTTTCAGCACCTCTGCCCTTGACACTCGACTACAACAAAATCTAAATAAGGATGTAGTCGCCCATATTTTCATGGAAAAAAAACTCCAAATGGGTAATTTTATCGAAAAGTACAAGCAGCTTATAGATTAGTTCATCCTCCCTATATTAATAAAATTGATTATTTATGTAAGACTGGAAGGGTTTTCCGAAACAAAACGGAAAGGTTATGGAACAGAAATAAGCTACGTGAACATGTATTTGCCATTTCTGTGCTCTTAAACTGTGGGATTTTTTTCTCTCAACTGCTCCGTGAGCGCAGAAGAAAACTAAATGTCCAATTGGCATTTGAACAAGAGAGGGTTGGGTGAAGACCATGACAAATTTCGTCTCGTCCCCATTGCTTATCGTCTCAATCTATAGCCACCTAAAGGACTTGTTCCTAATCGATAAAAATCAGACTGCCAGCGATTTGATGGGGACAAAGCTCTACTGAAAGCCTCAAGCGTCAAATAGTAATGTTATGAAGGAGAAATGCTCCGATGAGTCATATAAATTAAATGAACCATAATTGATAGAGATCACGGGTGGCTTATAGCAAAAGCACACGTGAAGCACGATTATCTCGACACCAGCCTGTATGAAATATACAGATTACGTGAAACCTATGTGTGAGGTCAGCTTTATTTTTTTTCCCTAAACTCTGAAATACTGAAGTTGAGCAGCGTGCATCTTACAGGATGAGCAGCTTTTTAAGTTCTCCAAGTTGTGAGCTCTTCTGTTTCTCAAGTTCATTCGGATTATAGCTCAAAGCATTGCTCAAAAAAATGTGTAAATTCTCTTGAATTCTTGGTTGAAAAGCTTCTTCGATAAATGTAAAGACGAAAAAAAAATTTCATATTATTAGCTGTTTCTCTCGGCTTTTAGAAGTGGCAGTCTTCCTAAATATATACTGAGAGTGTACAAGCAGTATGGCGAAAACAGAGGAAGATGTCTGGGAAAAGATATTCAGTACAACACTTGTAATATGCAGGTATGTTTCCCTTGCTTGCTATGATGATAACTTATCTTTGAATAGGGATTACTTTATCTCTGGGATCAGCTGGCGGTCAGGTAACAAAGTTGCGTCAGCAGACATTTGAATCGATTATTAATCAATTACTAGTCAGCAGTTAGATATGCTTTGGAAATTAACTCTTTCAATTGCAAATTTTGTAAAATAAGAAGAAATGTGTGGCTCCCATGAGAACGGTTTTAGACTGCGCCCTTTCTATTTCTTTGTTACTGGATACAACCAGGCTGTGATCTCAACGCAGTTATATGGCCCCCATGTAAATTCTCTGGAACCACAACCTGCTCCACGACTCAAAACCTTGTTTACCATGCTCGAGAAACGTAGATTAAAGGAATGGGCTCGAGAGCAAGTCAGTTTTGGTAGCTACAACTGGTAAGAATATAGTGGAGACTTCAGTGATGTGGCTTCTTATTCTTCATTTTTGTCCGTCGATGAAGTTCTCAAGCAATAAATTATTATAAAAAGTTAAAAGAAAGTAAATCCAGGAACATAGTTGGGCGGTCAACAACACTGTGGAGGGCCAAAAGCTTACAAAGAAGCTTTTGTGATCATTCATTTTTTATTCACTACGTATAAATACCCTCAGAAAAAGGATACAAATCACAAACAACCTTACACTGAATGTTGTATTTTAGACCAATGATGAAGTATGATTAGTCTCCACACGATCTAATTTGCCATCAGTTTAACTTTGCAGCCACAGGCAATAAGGTGGATCCTTAAATGGAATTCGATGCATACAGGCAGGACTAAGCTACAGCCATTTAACAGCCAATTATCTTAATATGAAACTACCATAATGCTTTCATGGTTTTTATCATCAACAAGACCCTTCTTGAACAGATAATAAAAGCTTGACTTTCAGCTCTGAGTGACATGACCAACATACAAGCGTCAAAAGTCAATTTTACGATGAAAATAAACCTATCGGAGACCGATTAAAAGTTGAAATAAACAAAATTTTGTCGAAGTCTAGTATCCATGTACATTGGAAAACTGATTTCTTCCCTTATTTATCGAGTTCACCTTTGTAATCTCTGGGAATCATCTTTGATACACACACACACAAATGGAATTTGTAATCCTGTTTATTTGGATGGGTTAGACCAATTATCGGTCGCATCTTTTATGTGCGGTTCGCGAATGTTCTAACTAGTTGACAGCTCTCTTGATAAACACCCTTGTACTGCGAACATGACCCTGGAGAGCACTGTGAGCCATTCAATGAATATAATCATTATTCACCAGTGTTAAAGGTTTATTCAGTCAAGCGTGCGGCGCTCAGTAAAAGCAATGCGGCGGCAATCATAGCAATGGATTCTTTAGACGCGAGGATATTGATGATCATTTTGTTTAGTATAGCTGGGTACAGTGCACAGGACAATCGCGAAACATCGCAGTTACGACGGAATTTAAGAAATCTAATAGAAGCAAAGCTGGATCAAAATGGTGACAGCGATGTACATTCTAGCCTGGTTAGGTACTACGTCAAGACATTGCGAGAGTTGAATTTTGTTAAGTTCAGGAAGAACATTTACACCAAGAATACAACTAATCACCGCCTCACCCCTCCTCAGTGTTCTAACGTAGGTATTTGTTGGAGGTAGTGTCTTTCAACTTATAAAAATTTCACACATGCAGAGCCTAACGACAAAGCATTTGTCGACTTTAACAAAACAGCTAAAGGTTAAGTGGTAAACGACTTAGCAAATGTAAACATATATATTCGGAGTGGTCTTAATTCGTTTTTGCGGCACTTAAAAGACCACTAAATTGCTTTATCTCTAAAGTCTCATCCATACCAATTCTGAAAATATGAACAGAGTTTTCACTAAAACGTTTTTTTTTTCAATAATAAGCATGGTTAACTTATGAACTGTAGACAGTTTTCTAGGTCTCTTCTAGTTTTAACTGTCGGGGACGAAAATCTTGATCAGCATCAGTGACTTGTTTTCATCTTAAAAACTACCAACCTACGCACAGAGAATTTTTCTTCTCCTAGTCTCAGCGAAATCGACACATGATTTATCTTCTTCAAGGCTACTATGTATCTAGTTTCGTCTGTTCAAAGTGTTTATTGATTAAAAGTTCTCTAAACATAATCACATCAGTATTATCTCTAGGAGGAATGATCACAGATATGTTTGATGTCTGAATTTAGTTTCTGATGAATCAAAATCAAATAATCTACAACAAGATAACTTAAAGAGCATACATGAAATCACTCAGTATAAGTTATATCGATAAAGAGTTATGCAGAGGTTAAACCGCGGTCAATGACCTACTCATGTACGTAAAGCACTCTTTGTTTCAGCTTATTACGATGTGGAGCAAATATGACTGAACTGATATACTTGTAGCCTATCTTTTTAAGCGGAAAGCTTCGCTTACGTTTTGACCATCCTTTTTTTTGTGCTTCATCCATCTAACTTACGAGATGCAAATTGTGTTCAACTTTCTTCGTTCCCAGACTCCATAAAAACACCTCTATATAAACAATACAACTTTAGCGAATCATTTGCGTCTGGAACTGCTTTTTCAATCATGTGTGTAATTTTTGGAGGCCTTTGAGTAGTTGAGAGCGGCCACCGCCGGGGAAAGCTAATCAGCACAAGTTGTAGCAGATCCTGGCCTTAGTTGTCCATTTGGAGTTATTCTTTGGAAGTGAACATTAAAAACCGAAATTTAAGGGCAGCTTTGCTCAGTGTCATGTCTGAAATTCATTCGATATATTTTTTGAATGCTTGCAGGTGTGTTTCCAGGCTCCTGTGGTGACGCGGCAAGGAGCTATCGATGCTCGAGCCGCACAATGCAGAAAGTTTGATAATAATTCCTTCAACGGTTACTTCTTTACTTGGGTCCCATACCTCAAAGGTGAGAGGGCTAAAGTTAAAGTTAACGGTTGCCGGAGGGATGCAGCTAAGAACTTTTCACCATGAAAACTACGCAGTTTTGCTCAAAGAAGTCAATGCTGTTATCGAAGAGATGAGCTTCAATGTTTTTCCCCTCTTAGAAATTAACCATACTTGAATTTTTCGTTAGGTACAACATTCTAACACACATTTGTATTAATTATAGTGAAGGATCGTGATGAGTGTGAGCTTAACTGTTTGGCTAAAGGACACAAGTTTTTCCTTCGTCTTTCGCCTAAAGTCGAAGACGGAACCTCTTGCCTCAGCGATCTGGAGAAAGTCTGCATTGATGGAAAATGCAAGGTGCGTTGAACACACGTTCATCATTTTACTAGTGCCTATAACTTCCTAGCGACGCGTATCGGTTGGGGCCCTTCACCAAACGCAGATCCGTAAAGGAAAGAGATAGTCAAACGTTCATTTTTGTGGTGTTATTTTATATTCCAGGATCTACCTTCAGAATGCAAAGAAGGTGGATGCTTTGGCACGAAGCCATCTGAAGCACGAAAGGAAAGACGGTCCGGAATTTTCACATCCGGAGATGTATCTCGAGGGCAACTCAGTAAGTTTATTCATGAAGTATTTCTTCTCCTCCTTTACTGTTCTGAAATTTCACGAACAGATATTTGTAGTACCATTGAATATTAAAGCCAATCGCCAAAGGAGTAAAAGTTCAGTGCGGGTTCAGCATATGGGTCCATAGGGTATATAATTCATGGCTGAATGCCATATTCGAACGGTTTGGTTACTTTTCTGAAATCTAAAACTGCAGCACAATGCAGAATTTTTAAGAATTATTTTGTAATGGTGAAGCTTCAAAATCTCATGGTTTCGGAAGAACACCTCTCCTTTAAAAGCTTGGCGTTATTAATACTCTTGGTTCCAATATTTTTTTCGTTGCTGGTCACTTTCATAGATTTCATTTCACTTTATAAAATAATTCAAATGGTATGCGCGCTCTGATTGGCCGTAAAACCATTTTACATGAGCGTATGTAAACACGATTTTCGTACCTTTTTCATTAGTTATTTTATAAAAGAAATGTAAAATGGTTTCCGTGTTTACATAGCCTGATGCAAACACGCGGGAGGTTGAGAGAACACTCGATAAGCTGGAAACCACTCCGCTTCGCGTCGTGGTTTCCTACGCTTATCTCGTGTTCTACCAACCTCTCGCGTGTTTGCATCAGGCTATGTAAACACGGAAACCATTTTACATTTCTTCAATATCTGGGGCAAGAAAAAGTCTGTGTGTTCCTATTCAGTTCTAGGTTACAATCCGGTCATTACAATCCCAGCTGGTGCTACTAATGTAAATATCACCGAAATCCGCAGAAGCAAAAATTATCTGGGTGAGTTGCTGGCATACTAATCCATTGTTGAACTTAATTATCCAATCAATCATGAAACTACAAGGTCTCCAAACGAGTCCAGACTGAGTGATGCTTTAAAGTTTGTATATCTTTACCAAGCTGATGAAGAGAAAATTTCGAAAGCAGGCTATTTAGAAGGTAGACATATCGATTTTATCCATCTGAACGCTGAAGATTAATTTTCGGAATAGTAGGTTTTCATGAGAGGTACAGATTTTGCGAATATCTGAATTAAACAATTTTTGGTTGAATCTTAAAACCTCTTGCGCTAGCATTGTTTTTCCCTCCAAAAATTAGCAACACCTATTGGAAATAAGTTGGAATTACATGTTTTGCCTGTTTTCTGTAAGCAGACCTCTCTACATGGTAAAACTGAAGAAGTAGATTAAGACATACATATTTTTTCGATTGTTTTCAGCTCTCAAGTCGCACGATTCGAACAAGTATTACATCAATGGAAACTGGGTCATTGATTTGCCGAAAGGTTATGACGTGGCGGGTACAACCTTTTATTACACCAGGCCTCGCCGAAACAAAGCAGGCCACGAGGCTTTCATTGCTACTGGTCCAACTGATGAAGATCTTGACGTTATGGTAAGAAGATAAAAATTACCAAAAGTTAATTGACAACGCTGCATCTTTTCATACCTGGAGACAAACTCAAAACAAACTGCTGAACACTTTTGTATAATTACACGGGAATGGTCACTTTCTCCAAAAACGGTTCAGCATAACCTTAGCCCAAGAAAAGTCCCTATTAAAGTGTGCCGTTTACATAGCAAATTGTATTTGTATGCTTAAGCAACTGGTCTCTAGATACTGGCAAACATTATTAATGCATGGAATACCTCTTGTTGGTCGTCTACACCTTGCAAAAGTTTGCAGCAACCTGTACCAGAGGGTTACACTTCTCCCGGCTGCGATTACATGAAGAACTGAAGACCAGATATTACTTTGTGATAATCGTAAGAGGTTTTTGATACCAGGAGCAGAGTTCGTCTGCTGACTTTAAGTTAGTTCACCTGAACTTGTCTTTTTTCAAATGTCATCGAGTGAGTGTAAAAAAAATAATGTTTACGGCAATGGTAACGTTAGTCAAAATAAAGCTGTCGTGTTCACTGCAGAAACCATTACTTTCACAGTTTTATAAAATAGAGAAAACTAATCTTTGCCGTTTCTGTAAGCTTCAACTGCACTGGTAATTTGTCCGGTGTTGGAATTCCGTTTCAAGTTCACCGTAGAAAAAAACAAATGCGAATTGTCAATATTTTATTTTTATGCTTTTTTCGCCAGCTGCTTTATCAAGACGACGAGCCAAGGATCATGTACTCGTACTTTCTTCCCAAAGATTATCTTAATAAAAATCAGGCACAGCAACCTGCTGAACCAGCCGGCTTCGGACAGAGAGGTGTTCAAGTACAGCCTACCCAATCAGTAACTAATGGAAACTTGTACGTTTGGAAACTAACAGGGTTTACACAGTGTACCCACTCGTGTGCTGGAGGTACATAAATGTGCTTTAGAAGCCCCAAATAGAGACAATAATCTGAGACCAGTAAACAAAGTTTCAAAAGCGATGTGTTTGAGAACTACTCAGTTTTGCATCAGAAGCGCTGTGAAATTTGGATTGGTATATCAAATATTCTCAATAATAGAGTAGACTTTCAAATTCTTTAGTCCTCATTGCAGTCAGGTGACAATCCCGTTTTCCATCAACTTGACAACTTAACAAATATTGAAGGTATCGGCATTTACACTGACACTTTTTGCAGGCCTCCAAGAGGCGGTGTATCAATGTTCCTCATTAACTGATAACTCAGCTGTTGAACAGTCAGCATGTCAGTGGAACCAAAAACCACAGCAAAGACAAAGAATTTGTAACCTGCAACCTTGCCCTCCAAGGTAACCCAGTTAAACTATGCATTTACTCCTCACAGAAATTCCGTTTGTCAGTTAGTTGTCTGAAAGTAATGGCGTAGAAGCGACAAGTCGCACCATTTGTTATTTCCCTTGGGAAGTTCAAGTTATCAGGTGTCAACTTATTTACACAGATGTAAGCCGTTTCTGTAAGACGGAATTATTTGAATAAAACTTTGCATCTACGTTTGGGCAAACAAGATATAGCTGGTGGAGAATCAAGTCAATCGTGATAGAGTCATGAGGCAGAGTGTATACATTTTTGGAAGATTTCATTTACACACAGTACGCCAAGTTAGTTTTATTTCACTTTGAAATAGGGGTTTCTTTCTAGTAGAGGGATGTCTAACGTTTTACTTTAGCAAAGTAATGTTCAAGTCACCTCCCAGTCATTCAAATCTCAGATTTTCCGTAATGCAGAGAGGACATATAGTATCATCAATTCAAATGTTATTTTGTCCACGTGCTGTTCGATTTAGCTAAGTGTTCTTTAATGCAGATGGGAGCCGAGTCAATGGGGTTTGTGCTCCAAGACATGTGGGCCTGGCTTGCAGATCAGAAGTCTATTGTGTAAACAGTTGGTAGATAGTAACGGTGCGCGGAAGGACCAGATGTTACCCATAAGTTACTGTCCCCAGTGGCAGAGGCCCAACCCGAGCCAGAAATGTAATTTGAGGCCTTGCCCTCTTCCAGCAAACTGGACTGTTGGAGAGTGGAGCAAGGTAATAGATTAACCGAAGACATTAATGCAAATAGAAACCATATGTAACGAGTCTGCCACAAGCGCAGTTCGCATGCAAACTCGCGTCGACATACACAATGCAAGTATAGCCTGTTCTAGGCGTTCAGATAGCAAAACGGAGCGCGATAATAAACGGCTGAGGGAAGTAATTAAAAATGTCGTTTGTTTCCACACTTCAGTGTTCTGTTACATGTGAAAGAGGACTCAAACAGAGGATTGTTACATGCACAGACATCAAGAATACGTCTGTCAATGAGAGCTTTTGTGGACATCGCTCAAAGCCAGCCATAACGAAGTCGTGCTTCGCGGGTTCTTGCAAAACTGAATGGTTTACAAGCCACAAGTGGTCACAGGTGGGTTCCTTTACCTATACGCTCTCACTTGGTTAGTGTTCCATAGCCTGATAATCTTCTCCACACTTTCAAACTGTCGTTCAACTGCAATACATTTCGTATCATTCTGACTTTGTAAAGCTTTCAATTTCTCTAAAAATTGTCCGAGAAGGTAGTCATAAATGTATATCCTCCGAGTATTGTACTTGGGGATTTGCTCATTTTGTTCGCTCTGGGCTCCCATTCCATCGTATGTCCATACTTCGTACTGTCAGTTTCCTCTCTTCCTACTTTTATATTTTTTTATAAAGTTCCTTAAGACAACTTTTCCCATCACTGTCATTTGTTGACCTCTAACTTACTTTCATCGGACCTTTGTTTCCATTTGTTCTTCTTTTTCTACCCTACTCAATCCGCTTTTTCCCTTTTAAAGTGCTCAGTGCCTTGTGGTAGAGGAGAGAAAAGTCGACTTGTATTCTGTGGGAGAAAAGGAGGTGACGCCCTCCTGTCCGGTCAGTGCCCTCAGGCTCAAAAACCAAGCTCGAGCAGAGCTTGTAACAATGGGAGATGTCAGGCAACCTGGGTTACATCTGAGTGGAGCAAGGTAAAATGGCCGTTGGGTGGCTTCGGCTCTCCACACAAAGGAATCCATCGTACATAACCGGGAGAACCTGATGAAAACTAGGCGCTGGGAATTTGTTATTGGTGTATTTATAAAACGTAAAACATAATCACCGTAGGCCATTCGTTTTCCTTGAAACACGAGTAGTTGGTTGTTACTTCTGTGACACACACAAGCTTGAGCCTCTTTATGGGTATTTCCGAAGAAATCGAAGACGTAAAGATCACCGCGGAAAAAACGAAGATCTCAAGATTGAAGCGAAGATCTGAAAATTAACCAAAATTTACGTGATCAAATTGAACACTCAGAAATAAAACTGTCAAAACTCGCAAACAGTACAGAAAATATCTGTTAGTTCTGAATTTTGGCATTTGACCACATTTCACTGCGATTTTGACAAAGGTGTCAACAGTGGTTTACAGTCGCTGCCGCGAAACCACATGATGCCATTACAAGGTTGAAAACGACAAAAATAGTCCACTGATAATATAATCAATAATGACATTAACGACGTCAATGAGAACCCACTAACCAATGTACTCGATTTCATTCGTATCATGAAAATAATAAAAAATAAAAATAAAAACAAAACAAAAAAAACCAAAACAAAACAAAAAAAAAAAAGGAAGATCTTCCTAAAAAAAAGAAGATTTGCAAAAAAATCACGAAGAAAACGAAGACCGTAGGTACCCATAGAGGGGCTAAAGCTTCGGTGATGAGATCTCTCAAGCTTGAAAAAGGAAAGTGAATGGGCATGCAAGTAAGTTAGCTGATCTGTGCCAGTGGTCAAATTGGTCAGTAGTACATTTACAAACTGATAAAAGTTCTGGTCCTGGTCACCTTTATCCATAGAGAACTTTGAAAAAGAGAAACATTTCTATTTAATTACCCATATTTTAATTCAGTTGTCCTTTAAGAAAAGATAACAAATCCAAAAAAAAAAAAACCTTTGATACTGTATTACATTACGTCTTATAGTGCTCAGTTGAATGTGGAACCGGGACCCAATCACGCGTTGTCTTCTGTGCTGGTATGGTTGGAGATATGCATAGACAGTTTCCAGACCACGCTTGTCTTCTAAACCCCAAACCAGCAACACTTCAATCATGTGGAAACGACTCATGTGCTCCAGAATGGTTCACTTCAAAATGGGGCAAGGTACACCGGAATTACTCTTTTTTTACCCGACTTTGACAGTCTTTCAATTTGCAATAGTTTTGTCTGCGTTTGAATTTAGGATAAAGATACAGGAATTACAGAGGCGGAAGACATAATTTTCTGCAAAATCTCAGAAACTATCATATCATTCACCCAAACAAGAGAAACAAGTGCCTTTGTTGTTCCTTTAAAAAAGTTTGGAAAACGGAGACTGACTCGGACACTACACGCCTGCTCCTGCAGAAGTTTAATTATTTTCCCTCACTATGATGCCAACTGTTTCATTTCCCTGTTCATTTTTGCAGTGCTCCAGGTCATGTGGTGGAGGTAACCAAGTCAGAGATGTTATGTGTCTTGATCACAAAGGTCAAACATCTAAAGAATGCCAATCACGGCACAAGCCTTATCATTATCAGCGCTGTAATAACTTCGCATGTCCTACGTCAGCTTCACAAGCGAGACGAAAACCACACTGTAAAGACTCTTACAGCGGAACTGTGTGCATGTATGTTACACAAGCCAACTTCTGCCAGTTTTCACATTACCGCAGGATGTGTTGTAACAGTTGTGCAAAAAGGCACTAACTTCGCGCAAACATTTCCCTATTTCACGTGATTGGTGAATGAGACGTCAGCCAAATGACTCTGAGAGAAGATCAATGAAATTACATAGGATATAAATGAGAAAAAGAAGGAAATAATCACTGAAATCATAGTAACTTTGTTCATTATATACCCAATAACATAGTCTACAATACTGCTGCGCGTTTAGACCAATCACTGGATACAGTCCAACGCATCAGGTAGTCACAAAGCTACGTGGAAAAGACAGATTTGCTCCTGGGCGCATATCACCACAGGAAAAAGAAGTTCAGGAAAATATTTATCATAAGTACAAAAGGGTCTAGTCTGAGATAGTTTTATTACACAGCTCTAAAGCTCTATGGAGATACTTTACACAAAACTCCCTAAAAGGTTTGTGTATCCTCAGCCAAAAAACTTGGCAGTGAAGAGATCCATGCCATAGAGCAAAAGCACAGTAATTGTATCTGCTTCACAATAAAAGTCAATGTCCTGCCTACGTAATTCAGAGACTGGTTCTGTTTTATGGTACAATTGACAGTGTGAAGGCACAAATTTTTTTATGGTATCTTCTCTCTACCACTGGTAACCAGAGCTGATTAAAGCCTTTAAACTGAAGCAGATTTTTTTAATTACACTAAACCCAACTCCTCAACAGAACTGTCTTCAATCGTTTCCTTACTACAAACAGGACAGAGCTGAAAACTGGTTACCAATATATGAATATATCTGCACATCACTAAGTACAGTATCCTTTGTGATTAACTCCGAAAAGTAAACAGAAAATGCCAATGAGACAAAAAGTTAGTTTTTTTTTTTTTCATTTTGCAGACTGGATTTCCACTATAACATTGCTTATCATACCTAGTAAATACTTTTCTTAATAACAACTCACTTTGTGCTCAGGCTATTTAAGTGGTGCAGAGTACATAAAAAGAGAGTACAAAGCAAAGTAATGTACAACGCAAAAATTTTTATTAAATTGAAGCTACACATAAATGATGACTAGTTGTGTGCAGGTCATATTTTCTCTTGATTTACAGTTTACAATTGTCATACTTTGAAAAATAAAAGATTTTAACCAAATAAAGAGGATGGTGTACACTGCATTGGTGTGTAAGGAAAAAATTTTCATGTAAATTTTTTTCTTTGTAAAACAAGGTTTTTTTACTCCAACAAATGACTGTCCCACAACACAGGGTTTTATCAAAAGTCTTCATGATCCTTGCTTCACATAGTTGTCCCATGTGGTCAGGCAACAAGTTTGTGTACAATTTAGGTGCAACTGGATAGTGTAAGACTCTAGTCAGACTTTACATGGCCATCAGCAGTCACTTCCTTAGCAGGTAAATCATCAACTTTTAGATCACCATCGGGAAGCAAGCCCTGCATAAAATGAAATGTCTTTCAAATCAAAAGAAAGGTGACAGTGTATTTAACATTTGAAAACTACGCAACCACCTACAGTATATCCTACTGACATTTAGGTGGCTTTTGGTAAATGTTTTTTCTACAACAAATTTAGTGAATCCCATTCTTGTATTTTGACAAAAGAAAACTGGGAGAGACAGAGCAGATTGAAATTATTGTTGGATGCTTGGTGAACCTCCTTGAGAAAGGCACATTTAATGTTGTCTTGCTTCTTTAAAGCCATCATGCAAAAGACAACTCACCTATGGAATATCATTTCCCAATACTTAAAAAGAACTTTTTTTCCAAGACAAATATTCAAAACAAGGTTCCTATCAGTGCATGGGACCTGGATACTAATACCATGACACAGGAGAGTCATTGCACTCTTTCAAACAAGAAATGTAACATTTTACTTTACTACCTTCCCTTTTCTCTACTAGTGCTTTTTTGAAACCCCCAATTCAAATTGGTCTTATACATGTGTCAGTGTCATGTTCCATAAAATATCATTGTTGCTATTTATAGTAGAAAAACACCACACAGTCTTTTTCATATAATGCCACTCATAGAAGAAATTCTCCAGCTTCTTGTGGGGTTCATTGCTGGATAAACCAGGGGGTAATGTTGGGGAGAACATGGGATTTATACTGATTCCTGTACTCTGGGATGAGAAATTTAAAGAAATTAATTGAAGAATAGTCCATCAAATTTCAAGAGAATATGAATAAGTGGGACTTTTCCTCAGGGAATTAAAACTATGTGAGGTATAACAAAAAATACTACAGGGAGCAATACCTGTGTTACATCGGATAGCATTGATTATTTTCCCTTGACCTTAAGGCGTTTTTGAGTTAGGCCTTACGGAATCAGAGAGGAAAAATGACATCCTCCGTGCAAAATCAGGATAATTTGCAATTAGCCTTGTCTAATACCAAATGATTCACGTAATTTGACGAAAACAATTGAACATAAAGCATCCATAGTAATTAAGAAGTCCAGTATAAATGATAGAGATCAACCGCGTGAACGATCATATGTGACATGTCTCGTGAGAAAAGCTATTCGCGTAGGTTTACTTGATAAGTTAAGATGAGTACAGGTAATCTTAATAAAAGCTATCAATAAAATGGGAGGTAGATCATAGTTCACGGGTTGAGTAAGACAATTTAAAAGCCTCCACCTTGACAATAACAAAGCCTGTCGTTTTTTTTAAGACCAATACAGGCTTAATTGGATCGAAATGTGTTCCTGCTTACCTTTTGGTCTGAAGTCAGTTTCTCTTCAGTTTTACCACTTTCGAGTTTCGGTTTTCCATACCATCTGTCGACCAGCGGCTGGATGAACTTGTGCCAGATATATAGAAATACTGGCACAAGAATACACGATATTCATACCATTTTTATATGGAAAAAAAGCTTCTTTTGCCTCGAACGAAAATCTCTGTGGTTCAGATGCAAAATTTTTAAAGATTCAGGTGACGAAAGCTGATACGCATGCCCTAAACAGGATATCAAAGTCTTTATTTTTATGTACATTATAATGCGGGCTCAGTTATGGAGGCTTCTCTGGTAAGACCTAAAGGAGATTTCGTCAATTGAGAAATAATTTATTGTATTCATGGGAATTGATTGAATGTTTCAGTAATTACCAACCCTTACGTATGTTGAATTTTTTATTTTATCTAATTTGAAGGAGGCCTTGAAATCGGTGTTCGAACCAGATTTGGTGAAAAAGACGCTCTCTTTGATGCAAGTTTATGTGAGAAACATAGTGAAAGACCCAAGCAATCAGAAATACAGGAAAATTCGAATAAGTTAGTAAGCATCGATTATGAACCGAATTCCATTGATATTTGACTTGTTATGCTTAGTTTTACGTCAGTTTCACTTGCATGTTTATTGTAGCACATGTGATGATGTTTTGTTGTCAAATATCAGGTAACCCCAAGTTCAATGCCACCATCTGGCAAGTGGAACAAGCCAGGACGTTTTTACTGTTTGCAGGGTTTGAACAGGTTCAGTTAGTTTTAAATTATAAGCTTTATATACACTAACTTTTTGTAATAAACACACTGTATGTTTACTTTGAGATTTACAATGTATGTACAATGTATGTACAATGTACTGTGTGCATTTAAAAATGCACACAGTGAACCCTACCTAGCTTTGCACCTGGAATAACAAATGCTTACTTGTGTCTTCCCTCTAATTTATCAGGAGAAATTTTCCATGTATAATAATGAAAATGATTACTTCACTTTTCTAACCCTAACCCTAAGACTCTGTTACATATACATGTACCCCAAAGACAAGCAGTCAGGTAGCTTGATAAGTTTAAAGTGGCAGCATATCAAGAATAAGTTTAAAGTGGCAGCATATTAAGAATAATTTTTGTTGCACTAATAGACAATCTTCAAAAGTTTAGGAAACTCTTTGGAATCTCAAAACAGGATCATTTTCATAATCTCATAAACAGTTTTCATTTGGGCAGATAAAGACTTCATTGTTTGAAAAGCCTACTTCTCCTATAAAGCAAAGGTTACAAAACTATGAAACATGGCCTAATTTGAATTTAATTTGATGAGACTACTTTAATTTCATTAGCTTTTGGTGTAGCCATCAGACATGAAATGTATTGTCATATCAAGCAATTGATGGAGGAGTTCCAATAAGAGCCTTACATGGCATAACAAATAGCCCTTATTGCCATCTGTTGAGATTTCATTTTATATAGATTTGCCTTGCCCCTTTGGTTGTTGTAGTGGCATATTCCACCACAGGTAATCATTTGAAGTGTGAAAAAAAAAAAGCCCCTCTGTTTTGCAACTAGCTTCCAAAATAAGATTTTTTTAGTGGTTAATGAATTTCTTTTTGTATCTATGCCATAATGTCTCTTTAGGAAGGGGATTTTCTGTTTCTACCCTCTTCTATAAAACTTGATGGAGCCAAACTGTTGATTGATGAAGCTCTTGGTATTTTACCATCAAGTCAAACACTCTCAGTTACTGGTAACTCCCCTGCTGCCACTCAACCCAGCGGTGTGCTCAAGCTTAATAAACAGAAAGGTGAGTAAAAGTCACTGAATATGAGTTACACCAGGAATAATCTGTTTGGTTCCTATACTTATGAGGTCATGAAATTACATAGAATAATGACATGCATCAATACAAAAAAGCTCTGTGGTTCCAACTGTCAACATGTGTGTGATAATAAATATATTTTGATTTCTAATGCCTTTCAATTTATCAGACTCAAGCTTGTTTGATCAAGATGTCAAGGCAGATCTCACCTTGCTGTCCTACATGAAGGAAATGGGTAATTATACAATAGCTTTTCAAAGTGCTCTTACAGTGTACTTTTTTGAATTAATACAGTAGAATCCTGCTGACTTAAACTCCCAAGGGAAATGGAAATTGGTTCAAGCTGGGTTTCTGCTTACTGGGTTGGTGTTGAAATTCAAGTATTTTGGTAATATTTAATAAGGAATCATGTGTTTACTATTTTTGTACAATCAACAGTCATTTTTATCCAATTATTTTGTTTTTACAAGAATGTTTAGTTTGGGAGGTTCATTGAACTTTTTCTGAAATGTTATCATGTTTATGTCACTTGTGATCAATCAGCTATGCTCTGACACTTTGATGTTTGTAAACTGACCTTTTTAGGTAAAGTTTTAGCTACAAGCTAAATTTGAGCCAAGGCAAAGTTAAGTTTGAGTCAATAGGTAGTTCAAGTTAACTGAACTGCAGTTAACTGCAGTTACCCATTCTGTATTTACCAATGAGAAACAACAATAATGTCCACGAATAATATTTTCATTAAGTCTCATGGCTTGTACTTACAGGTTATGATGTCGGTGTAGCAGAAAGAGCTCTTATTGTTACAAAAAACAGTGGAATTCAGCCTGCTATAGATTGGTAGGTGCTAATAATTTGGCACGAAAGTTTTCACTTAAACAAGAGCTAAAATTAAGGAACAGTATAACAGACATTCTGAAAACAAAAACACAATATCTTTTTTACTAGCTTGTTGTTAACACTATAGGATAAACCAGAACCCTGATAAAGCAAGGGCGCCTCTCAGGAATTCAGGGGCTAATGTTCCACAGGATAACTCAGAGATTAACAGACAGGAACCACTTGCTTGCAACTTATCATTTGTAGTAAGTCACTTGCGCATACTTTTATACTTTTTTCTACATTGTATGCTAATGTCAAGTCTACCCAGAATTTTCTGCCAATCATTTACAGAGGACTTTCATCACTGATGACCACTTATGCAATATTATATTTTTACAGTCAGCACCAGTTCTATCTAGATTCCAAAAGACAATAGATGAAAGGCATAAATTCCAGGAAAAACTCAGACTGGAAGCAATTGAGGAGGCAAAGTATGGAAACTAAGTGTCCAATTCAACTGTGTTGAAGTTGTTTTTCTTCCTAGAATAAACAGATGTACCCTCACACATTATTATGCATAGAGGGCCACAACTGGGTCATACTTAATATATGCATATCAAGTTTCTGTTACAGACAATGGAACAAAAGCAAAGCAGAAGGCTTTTCTCCCATTGTCAATAGGGAAGAAAACAGTAAAAATAAAGACAATAAACTTTTCAAGTGGAATGCCATCTACTGTGAAATATTTGCCACTGCTTTCTTAAGAGTGGAACAAAGGCAAAGTAGTAAGCTTTTCTCCTATTGTTAATAGAGATGGAAATGATGAAAATGAAAGATGGTGTTTGTTTTTTTGTTTCATGTGGAATGCCATCTCCTGTACTGAAATATTTGCTTCTCACCAAACACCAAAAAGATATCAGGGATGTGGAATAACTTTTTTTTATATCAATAAAGTAAAAGAGGCATGCACTGTATACCATTTGCACTAAGATGGAATATAGTAAATGAATTTATCTATTTCTTCTAGATTAGAAAAGCAGAGAAAGAAACTTCATAAGGAATATTTATTGAAAGATTTGAAGGATGATAAAGAAGAAAAATTGGAAAAGGTGTGATGTTTTTCCATGACAATGCACATAATAATAGTTGAAATAGTAACTTCAGAGATGCAGCACCAAAAGGTGCTTTGATTTATCTTCATCAAATGGGTGAAAATTTGCATATGGTTGAATAAAATTTTTAACACATGATGCACTCTTCTATCATGCTTATGTATACTAAGCTATGTGCAACTGATCTGATTTTTAAAACAGTGGACATTTCCACAGCATAACTTTCTTCTGCACTCAAAGTTCGAGGTGTTTTTTATTCTCTATTTCAATTACTTTCAATTTGTTTTAGTTTTAATCTTAAGCAATGCAATCCCTGCCTTAGAAATTCTCCCACATGTACATGTACTTGATCTAATACATTCTAAATTAAGTTGTTCAAAAGTGCATGGGAAGTACGTAAGGTGTCTTGATGGATGGATGCTCATGTACTCAAATTATCACGATATATCACCTAGACAAAACAGGCAAAGCTTGCAGATAACAACCCAGGCCCATCAAATGAGCCAACTGCTGATCAGCATTGTGATTTAAGTGATTGTGTATCATCATCAATGGTGGAACTGAGAATAAGAATGCCAAACAGTCAGGTACTTTGTTAAATGAAAATCAATCGTAACTAATTATAAGTAGAGCTGAAGAAATTTAACAATAAAAGAAATAGGAATAAAAGAAAACTTGTTTTTTATTGCCATTATAACTTTTTAAATCTTCACTACAGCAGGATCAGTCCAGTTTAATAATTTTGTAATAAGTACCCCCTTCAATTAAGTGCCCTCCTTCCAATAAGCACCCCTACTTCTAGCTGAAACAAGTGCCCAGGTGCTTAATCAAGGTAATGCGGTGTTAGAAGTTTGGGTTACTGATTCAAACTGAGCTATGAAACTACAATACACACAGGAGAGAAGGTCAAGATTATGTCAAATGTGGGTAGATGTTTGGTTAAGTTTTCAGTATTGTAGAATTATTCATCTCTCCATGTTATGCCCAACACACGTCATTGCATGTATGGTTGTTTTGTCAACACCCAAGAATATTAGGTGATAATGAAGAAACATTAACAGGCTTGGTCAATGCCACCAACATTCTCATTTTACTTTTGCCTTTTTCAGGTTTTAACTGTTTGTCTCTCTGAGGATTCAACAGTTCAAGCGTTATATCAGTGAGTAACTTTCAACATCACCGAGGAACTTGTAGCAGTGACTCTGGACTTACTTTCTAAAAATTATTTTACACCCTGGTTAAATCAGTTCAGAAAATTACTTATGATTTTTATCCAGAGGAAGATAAATTATTTTCAATTTTGTTGTTTACAGAGAGGTTATAAAGCAATGGCCCACAAATGACACTGTAAACTTGGATGATATTTTCCTTATGACATCATTTCCTCAGAGAAGAATTTACGACCTGGAAAGAACTTTACAAGAAGCAGGTACATGATCAGCTTTAGATCTACATGCTATTTTCAGATAAGCAATGCGGCCTAGTAAATTGAATAGAGAATGTCTCTTCGGGTAAATGTTGTCCTTTGAATTGAGAAGGATGTAAATTTCTTAAGAGACAAGACAACATCGAGGAAAAGAAAACTGAGATAAAAAAAAGGTAACTTAGGTACACAACACATACTGCGAGGGTTTACACTGATCACAAATGTGATGTTAATCGCAATGAAACGAAAACAAATTGTGTGCAATGAAACTGTCAAACAACAGTCAATGCTGAGAAGAAGATTAGTCAAGTTGATAACATAATGGAGTAACCGCCTACCAAAATATGATTAAAGTAACGTTTTCAACATAACCTGATCACGGGTTCCATATTGGAGGTACAAATTAATCGTGAGGGAGTCGAGTGCTTGCCTTGGGTAGTAACCTCGTGGCACACCCAGTTGTATACGGAATTTTCTGCGGATGAATTTTTCATTATTTTCTCACAGAGTTTTATTTGACATTTCTTTTTATTTCTAAACGCAGTAGTTAGGGAATCTCATTCTTGTGCTGTTCATAGGCCAGGTCACTTAAAAAAATTGTTTTGGTATGGATTCTCTTAAATTTAGGACTTGTAGAAAACTTATATCCTTTGGCATTACCAGAAGCATATGACGTAGGTTATACGCTCCTTGAAGTACTTATCGGAAATGAATTGTTCGTCAGAGTTTTGGGAATGAAATGTATGATTGGACCTGATTTGTAGGTTTGGTGCCTCGTGCAACTGTTGTGGTACAGAGAACAGATCAACAAGGCGTTGTTGTTCAGGGAGAGGGAGCAGGTAAAACCAGCGTCCTTTTTCATAAACTGTTGTCCATACTTGTATACTTCACCCACGAATTCAAACGTAAGATGAAAGGCTAAAGTTCTTTATTCTTGTTTGTTGTTTTTTTTAAAGAAGCATAACCAGTTCATCCAGTTCGGAATACTGTCACCACCTGACAGAATGAGGATGTTTTCTATGCAGCTTAAGTTATAAACTGAAATAATCCTTTACCACCCGATGTAAAAAACTTGTTACCCATACATCCTTAGGTCGACTTCTTCTCACTGCTCCATAGTCTCTGCATTATTTAGTTTTAAACCATAAGCTCATGACCTAGGTTATAAGCTACTGATTAAACTAGTTGCGCCCTTCGCGGATACGAGAGCGATCCCAGTATGTAGTATCAAACATCCACCTGTGTGTATGGGCCATGAGGGCCTGTTTTCATGGACTGTGAATGACGTTTCGATATGAGAGAAAGTTTTTCTCAGAATATCTATTGTACCTTGTCATTTGTTTCTATCGTAGTGTGCGGTATACGAAATATCACGAAACTCGACGACTGGCAATCAGTACTGAGTGAGCGGGACAAACTAATTGTTGTTCAGTTTTATGCCAGTTGGTAAGCTGACCGACCCATTTAGTCACTTTTCATTAGGGTAACACAAGAAAAGAGCATCCACTTAAAATCCATTTTTTCCATGTAAAGCTACTGAACCGAGATCTTTTTAGTCATTGTACTTTGTTGCAGCAAATTGCTTACTTCTGTCGTTGCTAAGGCCTCTTTAAACTTTTCCTTTGTGACAAAAGTCCGCTTAGTTCACCTTTCGTTTTACTTTGAGAATTGCGCTTTTTAAGGTAGAAAGTTAAAACAACATTGTATTTTATTGCAGGTGTTCATTATGTAGGTCCGTTTCAGACTCATTCGATTCATTAAACGCAAAATATGGAATGAACAGACAAGTTGTATTTGTGCGGGTTAACGTCGAACAGTTGAAGGTTGGTGACATCACCAAATGTAATATTACTCTAATTGGCTGGTAGAAATGTCAACTGTTGGTTTAGCGCCTGGTATATCATTCTGACTATCTCACCTTGGAAGTCAAGTCTCTCTAGAGTCCTAGTCGGTGATATTTCAAACTTTTCGTAGAGAGTAAATACTTTTTGGAAAATACGTGTGGCAAATCTAGGTTTCTGTTTATCTCATTTGTTGTATTTCTGTGACTGACGCTTACTAAACGTCTAGTAAAGACTAATTAAACGTGAATGTATCTCCCTTTTACTCTGATGTGGTTATTGACAGGTGCTAAAATACCAACAGAGAGTCACGTCACTGCCGACTTTTAAACTCGTTTGGAACGCACAGGTATTTGATATATTAGCTGATGATTAGATAATATTTTTAAGTCCTTTTACCAGACTTCTTTCCGTGCCATGGACTTGTCGTGGGATAATTTCCTTGAAACTAAAAGAATTACTTCTTTTTTATGTGTTACTTAGACTTTAGCTCATGTAGAAGGAACAAATATGGATGATTTGAGGCAAGAAATCGAGAAAAACATGAGGGGGCCAAGTGACACGATCCCACAAGAAGAGCCATCGCTGGATGATTTGAACCATGACCCGAGATGATAGATGGGTGAGGTCTGGCCTTAATAGTATGATTATTTCCTTTATAAGAAGGTTTTTTGCTCGCGGTTGAAAGTATACTTGGCCACCAGTTGATGGAGAAAGTAGAAATAAGTTTAAACGCGGACTCAAGAAAGAGAAATGGATATCCATAAGATATTGAGCAAATGTTCTAATATTGTTTTATTACCTAATTAACATGGATATGATTTAAAAGTATATTTTAGTTTTTTATTAAGATGGTGAAAGACAATAGCATATTATTGGTAACAAGTCAGTGTTATGACAGACTTAAGAAGTCCATTTGTTTGTAAGCATTGTTAATGTTTCCGAGCGTTTACCTTAGTTCATCTCGATGTTGTTGAATAAAAAGTCGGAGTTTTAAAAAACTGCATTGTCCCGTGATTGTGTGACCTACACGTATGAGGCAGTGCATCTGCTGAAACCGGAGCCGCCCACCAGACAAAACACCATTTGAGAAGTTCTTTAACATAGGCAAACCTTGTAGGAACTTTGCTGAGATATTTTTTCGAATAACTCTCTTTTACATCTATTTATTTTCAAGTTATTTGTTATATTTATTTTCTAAATCTCCAGTAATTCCGTAGTAACCTACAACACCGTGAAGTATTTCCAGTTGTACTCCAAAAATCTGCAAGCATGCAAAATTACTGAAATACAAATACTTTGAACATGGCTTGTAACCAACGCCGTTCGATGTCCCGTTCGCATCGCCGGTCAATGATTGTGTTGAGATTTTCTCAGTCACTGTTTTGGTCGACTTCTGATTCCGGAAGTGAAATGAAATATATTTTGGTTTCATTGCACGGGTGGCGATAGCCTTTTTAGATGCTCTTTTATACCGTAACTCATCAAATAGATGTTAGGGACGACCATTTAATTTTTAGAGCCAATGCGATTAATAGACGGAAGGCTTTTAAAATAGAAAGGCTCGAGAAACCTCTCATCGGTTTGACGTAAAATCAAGAGTTGATAAAAAGCAGACTATCCAATCCATTCGTCTGTACGTCAAGGCTGTTCCAGGCTGTTCTTTCAAATCTCAATCGTCCTGGGTCATTGTTTTATCCTTAGCCTCTTCGATGTCCGAGTTATTGATTACTTGGAAAGTGTTTGAGAGGTTTGACTCATTTAGCACGGATTGTTGTGTCTCTAGCTGAGATCGAGAAGGCCGAAGACCGCTACCCTTACTTTGACCATGATATTGAGCAAGATGCAAACCCCAAGACATTTTTAATCTAGCAAGAAACCGAATAAATTGACTAATTCCGCTCCATTTCGCTGGTAAGAGTAATGTTAAGGAGGGTGTCTTTAAGCAGAGAGGAGTGTCTAATACAATCAATGCAGCGTGGGGGCCTTTTCTTAGAAAAAAGTTGTGTATTTGACGGAGGTCTATTAGATCATGTACTGTATTTAAAAGTAATTGAACAAGCTGCCGTTACCTTTTTGCACGGGTAGGATATCGATCGATTCCTGACTGGCCTTGAAACTGGGCTGAATAGTTCATGAGAAATGATATCTCGTTAAAGGAGCCGAATGCAAAATCATCGAATTTCTGAGATATATTTATGTATACAAGAGATTATAAACAGTTTATGTTATCTTGTATATATGAAATGAACCAGCGAATTTGACACTTAAGGGCGTTAGTCCTTCAAGCCATGTGAAGGGTCGCGAGTTTTGTGTAATCAAATTGCGCGACGCATGTCACAAACAACTCAGCTATCCTAAATGTTTGATCAGAGCGTTGCTATATGTTACACAAATGCTTATTACAAGTACGTAAGGTAGCTCTTGGAGCTATTGATGCCTTCTAGTTTCTCTTAGTTTCAATCATTGAAGGAGTTAGATTTACTTTTTTCATTAGAAAGTATCTCAAAAGCCTTTATCAACCTCTTCTGAGGATTCCCTCGGTGTAGTTATGAGGTAAATCGAAGAAAAGTGTAGAGGGTAGATCTTGGACCTCTACGTTAAGTTTTTCTACTAAACCAGTGCGTTCTAAAACTCTAACTATGGACAATCCTACAAAGACTTGGTTGCCCTGAGAGGCTCGAAGTGATCATCAAGTCTTGACTCGAAGACGTGCCTTAAGGGATAGCTGTATCATCCACAGTTACTTGTTTCTAATGGAATCTACCAAAGTTGTGCTGTATTTCTGCCCCATCTCTCGCTTTCTATAGTACCATGCTGGAGGATGCTTTCACCACTTAACATCACAGTAGTCTCAACTGATCCTTGGTCAAAATCAAGTAAAAAGGTCTTGAGGGAAGTTTGAAGTTGATATTTGCCAAAGATTTATCACCAAGTGACTTGCCGTTGTGCCAGTGATGATCCTGGATGTTTGTAATATGAGTCGAATTAATCACTTTTTCTGTGAAATGAGCGGAGACTGCGCTGGTATAGGACCAAAAAGAAGGTCCTTGTGGTTTTACTCCGAAATGTCACAAAATAACACAGCTTTTAAAACAGTATCCAAATAAATGACAAATCATCGTCGTCCACCAGCCACTGTGGCTCCTATGGCATTAGTTCCGGTCCGCACCATCGTTAGCAGACGCTAGGGAAGATGAGACGAAAAGAGAGTTAAACCACGTGACAATTTGGTGGCCTTCATCAATATACTGTATTTCAACCTTCAGGTATTCAATGGATTACCGTCCAATTTGGGAATTTTTGACCAAATATTCGCTGGAGTCGTTCTAGTATTTGTTAAATCTACGATAAATTTCTAGAACGACAAGACTTACTTCTTCATTGAAAATTACAGACATAGCAACCCACTTCACCTTACTTGGAGATGACCTTCAGAGATTGTGAAAAATCACTGTATAAACCGCATTACGTTGTAAGTCAACCCACTCTTGTTTATTGTCCAAGTGCGGTCAATGCATTGCAGTTTTGATGTGATAAAAAAAATTTTTTTTAGACAATGGCGCAGCTGTATCTTAAGCCGGGCACTCCCCTGGATCGCTGCAATCAAACACTTAGATAACTTGGTGACGATTTACATAAACAAGCACAGTTTATTGCTGTGGACAAACCCTGCATAAATACTCCGGAGCTAGGAAACGTAATGTCGCTCCCTCAAGTAAAATCTGCTGAGAATCGAAATAGATTATCCGCCTTCAAACCCGTTTACTCGAAAAAGCAGATGTCCTTTGCACTCGTAGCCGTTCAGTCAGGGTATAATTTTCACGCAAGAGGATGTAATCGACAGAAGTCCCCTCTCTCAGCGCTGGAGGATTTTGTAGCCAACTACTTCACTGAAGAGTCTGTTTTAGAGGCAGATCGAGTACTATTATCAAAAAGTCGATCGTTTAATCCGAGGCTTACCAAGGGATCAACAAATTCAACCAAAAAGTTTGTGTTCTCTGAAGTGCAGATTATGACTCTTGAAGATAGTTTTAACTTCAAGCAGTATCTGTCTCCACCTTCGCGAAAATGGCTTGCAAACTTACTAGGTGTGTCCAAACGCCAAGTCGTTACGTGGTTCCAAAATCGACGGGCAAAAGAACGCAAAAGGGCTGGAATCAAGCTACCAAAGCATGGGAAGAAGTGTGTACTGCAACAATAGCTTTATTTTCTTTTCTTTTTTTTTATTGAGAGGATAAAAGAGATCGGCGGATACTACAGCGCAAAGCTTTTAGGTAGAATTTGTACGGTACACGAACGTTCTGCGTGTGTCAACTTTTCACCCAAAAGCGTCGATTTATTTTAGCCCATCTAGACGTCGTTTACACAGCACTTTCTTTCCATTATGGTTTGACAGCAATTATGAGAAGTTATAGCTGTCTATTGTCCAATGCTAATGCGCCATCTCTTGAATTGAGTGCTGTATAGGACTTGAAATGAGAGAGAAGAACTTATTGGATGTTTTCTCTGCAAACAGGGTAATTGCTCTCTTAAAGTATGTGTATTTGTTCAGAATTTCGATTAAGTCCTAAATCGATGTTTTTCTTTCATTTACACTTTGAACTGATGATGGACCGTGTTTCAAGAGTGACCTGTAATGAAGTCACATTGGATTTGTACAAACGAGATAAATCTCAGCGACTCAAAGGCCACCCATGATTTAGCCGCATTTAACGCACGATACAAGCCTTACTGTAGACCTTTTTAAAGACAGAGCTATTAACTTTTCATTGTGCAATGGCCGATTTACGTATATATTTTATCATTCCTTTGGTTCAAGATTAAGTCGTCAACAGATGATATATCTTTAATACTACTTGCGACATGTTTATTTAAACATACAAGAGGTATTAGTGTAAGGCAAGACAGCAGGAAAATGCTACCATTCATCTACTAATAACACTTAGGGTAAATATAAGTATCATGTTCTTGACAGCGAGGGAAGCTTTTACATAACATAACTAGTGAGAACCACACAGTATTCATTATACCCTTATCAAGGCAATCTATTTTATCTACAGAAACGGCTTAAAAGTGAAATTCATACTTTTAATTAGTATCAGGGAGTGTTTTTTTTTTCAGAAATTGCGACAAAAACGTAGATGTAAAACTGTTTAGTCACAGAGAGATCAGTTTAAAGCTATAAGGTTTCAATTTTATACTTCTGAGAAGGAGTTGACTTGAAATGTCCAACAATTTCCAGTACGTGCTGTTCTGTTTTTGTTTTTATTAAGATGATTGGAATCAACAAATGTTTTGATAACCCTACAATATATCAACAATACATCACGAAAGAACATTTCCAGCTATGAACACCAAAAATTCAGAATAATAAGGTACTATTATTGCTACTCTGGGAGCCCAACATAATCTTTTTTTCAGAAAATGAACAGACAATAAAACATCTTTTCTGAGCATACCAACAACACAAAACTCAGACAATACAGACCCCTCTTTTTCGCTGCACAAAACTTTCTTGCAATCCAGCACTGTATTCTCAAACACATGCTATGGCTCGAAGCGTCTCACTGTAAATATTGAGACCTGTAAAAATTACAGGTGACATGTAATCATGGGATCAATCCGTCGATCAATCCGTCGATGAACGCCTTACTTCGTCTTGAAAGCTACTTCTGGCTTCATTGGGTCAAATTGTCCTAAATGAATTTGTCACATTAATCCAACTGCTGGTGATACACATCATTGGTTAGTTTTTCTTTCATACTGGTGAAGCCGGAAACTAACATGTACGTCATTAATTCGAATGATCCGCTCCTTCCGTTATGGGAAAGATCTTTAACTACGGTTGTTGATTTCGCCCTCATATTCCTAGCCATTTAACATACTCGATCAGGGCGGTCATGGATCTCAAACAAATACCCTGTAATCTACTCATCAGAGCGCTCACTTCCCACATTCAGTTTTCAGAAACTGTTCTGTACAGGTGATATTTCATTAACCTCACCAACATGTTCTGTTAATTGTGGAGGCCGCCCTGGCCAGCATCTTCATGTCCGTGTTCAGTCTAACAGCCACGGCAGAATAGAATAGGTGACAAAAAGCCCTTACTAACTCTATCAAATCTACTAACAAAATGTGTTGCCCCTTTTATCTAAGGATGTTTTTGAGTTATCTCGGTTTCATACCAGATACAAAATTCTTGGAAGATGCAACGTGCCATGCCTGCAGTAGAATAAATGACGGAAAGAAGGAAGCGGTCTCTTTTTTTGAACATATCCTTCTCTTACAACTAATAATTATAATTATTTAGTTGAGTTACTCTTATTTCAAGGTCTCTTCATGTGAAGGTCCACCTTCGATTGCGACTGCAGTGAGAGAGAAAAAGAAACCTTACACCTCGATTGTCTCTCATCTCTACTTCTTGCGCGGAGTAAACAAAATGAAAATCTCTGGCACTAACGGTGTTGTCAAATTCCCTAGTTAGTACCATCTTTTGATTGGACCGTCTTAGATTTCAGAATTCTCACGTGCAAATAATATGTGATTTCAAATTTTGAATTGAAGTTCAATTCAAAATGAAATTGCCTCTGGGGGCTTTGAGGACTACATACAAAGCGTTACTTATAATAGCCATTACGATTATCCACATGAAGAATTTATTGACTACTCGTGAAGCGAATTTCCATTCTTCACGAAGTATTTGCGCTTTGTCCTCTTCGCGATATCTTTGGCTTAGTAAAAAGTCATTTTCTGTTTCACTTGACCGCTCATCGAGGCTTTGACCTGTAATAAGTTCGGTTGTTTGTGTTTGAGAAGGTAGCGAAATTTCTGGTATCCAGTTCACTACGGCACCTTTAGTGATGATGTCGTTTCCTGAGAATTTCTGCTTTATCTCTATCTGTTTCCTCTTTTCTTGTATTATGATCCATTCTTGTTGCATGCGGACCAATTTTACCCCCCATTCACACAATGAAGTTCGCATCCAGCGAGGTAGCGGAACAGCAGTGTGGTGATACAAAGTTAGGACGACACAAGAGAAAACCAAAGACATAAAAATATTTAACATGGTAAGCCCATAGTAGACGACAATGAGCGGTACTTCCGAGGTGGGTGGAAGGGAATCGGATAAAATCAACTGAATGATACTCAAAGACAACAGCACTGTTATACCAACGCCCATCCGTTCTCCAGTTTCTGACGGTAAGTAGAACGAAAGGATTGTTAAGGCCATCATGATTAGACACGGCATGAAACAGTTTAGCACGTAGTACAAGGACCGTCGCTTGATATGAATATTGTATGTTAAATACACGTACGGATGGGGGCAACAGCGAAATTTAGTCACGTGTCTTTTTGAGGGCATGCCTTGAAGAATCCACTCTCCATTGGCAATGAATGAGCTGGTGTCGCCGTCGCCTATATTGAAAAGATTCATCTCATAAATGTTGTACGACCACGAGCCCAATTTTAGAGTACAAACCTACAAGATAATGATGAAAACACTGTTAGGCAAGGCTAGTTTCTTTTTGATGATTCTGTCTGCAAAAATTTTCCTATCTTGAAAAAGAGATTATTTTTCAAAGTTGTTACCTGGTCGTCAAAGGGAAAATTCTTGACTTCCAGCCTGCAAGAGGATTTGTAGATAGTTGGGAAGTACCTTGATATGTTTCCGTCTGAAGTTATGGTCAGGCTATGATACGATTCTTTATCAATATTATAATCGTCCTTGGCGCTGCAAGAGATCACGTGGTATCAGAGCATACAAAGATATAGCCAAAGGATAACTGCATGAAGAGAAATAAGGTGGTCACTATGAAAGTTTACGGCTGTTTGTTGTCTCATACGTGTTTGTATTATCAGTGATAGCATACATTTATGTCCAGAACTGAACTTCTCAGATTTGCAGCACTTGGCCTCAGTGATGCCTTTGTGTGTATTTATTGAAATTAACGCTAATTCCACCCAGCTCGCGGAACTCAGGCTGTTGAAACCAAAGATTTGGTTTCAAGAGCTGGAACGTTTTCACTAACAGCGCATATACTCTTTGGTAACTTTGGGGTCACATGATATCACACAATGACACTATTAACGTTTCTGAGCTCAGGAAATGAGATGAAGAGAGACCTTTTTTATTGTATAGCGAGCTAAGGATAAAAAGAGAATTTCTGAGTTCCCATGAGGGATCGAACCTCAGATTTGCAACACGTGGCCTCATAAATGCCTTCTTTTGGTCACATTATATCAAACAATGACACTGTTTACGTTTCTGAGTTCCGTAATGAGATAGAGAAAGATTTTTTCTCATCGTGTCACGAGCTTGGGATAAAAAAAAAATGTTAGTCCCTATAAGGAATCGAATCTCAGACGTTCGGATTCCGCGCCGCGCCCCGATTTCCAACCAATGGGTTACAGTTATTCTGAGGGTCTGTGGTTCAAGCGTCCCAAGCTCGTGAAAAGTCGGAAGAACTCTTACCCTATGTCATTACTGAGCCTAAATATTATCGTTCGACATGCTTATCCCACCAGTAGGTTGAACGTAGGTCACATATAAACCTTGTATTGGCCTAGCTCATTGTCGAGTCTCTGACACTCAGTGGTAGAGCTTTACGGTCAGTCTTGGATTTGATTCCTCTCAGGGACTCAGAATTTTTTCCTTGTCCCAAGCTCGTGACAAGACGAAAAAAAAAATCTTTCTCTATAGAACTGTTTCTGTCAAAACTCTGTGAGCGGGCAACACTCCAAAGTCTTTGGCGTCAGAAAGTAATTGTGAACGGTTTTCCTTAAGAACTGACCGACGACCAGCGTTGCGGGTGACAGAGTATGATTGTGGGTGGTGAGAAATTTTGGCTTTACAGTATTTTGACCTCATATGTACTTACATGTAATCTATAAATTTACGATTTGTTTTGCACTTTATGTCGACTTATTTCTTCGCTGTACCAAACAAATCACTAAACGATTGGTCTCCCGAGAAACAATTCATTTTGTTTCCCTCTAATCTCATGAGACCCTCGGGAAACTTAATGAACTATCTTCCTGTGGAACAAGTCATTAAGTTTTTTTTATAGTTAACTCAAAAGTTAAGGTACGTAAGCGTGCTAAGAGCAAAACGTACTTGTTATACAGTGTGATGTCTGGGAGCCACAGATAGCTTGCCTGTGTCACAATTGATTTTACGTCATCATATTCAGAGGAATTCCATCGAAGTCTGTGATCGCTCCAATACTAGAAACATGAAAACCACTTTCATTTATATTCATGTCGAAGTTTTAACAGAGAATGAATTTATGATGTGATTGGTTGACGTATTGACTAGGTATGCCAGCTCTGTCCATTACCTTTGACCTACTTTTAGCAGAGGCGAATTTGTATGTCAAGGGGAGATTACTCCTTATGTATGCCAATCTGTACACCGAGAAGGGAACTGGGTAAGAGGGAAATGAAAGGGCTAGCCGGTGGGATAAAAAGAGGCTAAAAGGGAAATTACTTTCGATTTCATTTTCGCCATGTAACACTTCTCAATACCGGCAAAACACGTGAACGTTGAATAGCACTTAAGTCTTTTCTTCACCTAAAACTCTGTTGTGTAATGGGTATTAAAGACATTTTGATGGTCGCTTCTTTAAATACAGAAGCAACCAAAATCAAGTAATTGCTTACCTGTCGAACCCAAATCACTGACGTCATTGTCTGGGCTCGCTTGTTCTGCAACGAGATTTGAAATAGGAAACGTCAAAGAATTGAAAGAATGAGAGATATGCAGACAGACAAAGCTTATGTAGACACAAGCTAGCAGCCAGTCCTACCAGCTACGAAGTATCACTGATAAAATTAAAAAATCTATAATTCTGCCACTATGGCCTGTAGTGGGACTGTGTGTTTCGACAGATCGAGTTTGTTAGGTTATCGTTCTGGCACGCTCCTAGTTATTCAATTTTTCAATTTCACACTGATAAACTTACCACATCAATGAGTTGATTCAATGCCAAATCCAATGTAACAGTAACCCCGCTCTCCAGTGTTGTTTTAGGAATCACGCTTTTGTCATATTTGCTCAATAACTTATGTTCAAGCTTCTGAACTATCTCTGAACTGGGTGCGCCTACAAAATAGAAATCAGCATTTTTATGAAATTACCAGGACGGGGAGGATGGCGAAGGAAATGTTTTGTTTCACTTATCGTAGCACTGTACTAATGAAACTTTGAATAAACAAAGGATGAAAGCGCGATAACCCGGATGCTGAGTACAACAAGATTGTTTAATAAGAATGGAGCTAAGGATGAATATCAGTAAAGACCCCATGAAAGGTCAACACACACACTTCTTCCTTCATCCCATAGCTAGTTGAAAAGCCGACGCAAAATTTATTCTTACTTATGATCACAACAGAACATTGAATGCGAGTCACATATCAACAGAGTAATAAATAGGTCAGCTTATTTGACCACCCTACGGAAGATATTGGATTTAAATCTTTGTCAGTTTGATGCAACAAGAACGTAAATCGAATATCTTTTTTCTTCAGCCTATTCATGTCAATTTTTAAGGCAGCGAATTGCTTTTGTTTATTCATCCCAGATAACTGTGTTGTTTAGTTTGGTAACTAAGATTTTTTTTGTTTTTGCTAATTGCTTGCAGTTATTACATGGTTTCTCGTCAATATCGCCTTGGTACATAGCGAATATTTACCCGTCTAGCTTTTTATTGGTTATCATATCATCAAGAGAATTCGACGCGGATCTCTCGCAAAATTCCCTCTTTCTGTTGTCGAACCTCGTAATATATACGAAACAATTTCATATGAGTTTTACTATGCCGCATACGTCTATGAAATACATTCACCACGCCGCGCTTAAATGTTCAATCCCTCTCCTTGTAATATGATGAGTGCACACATTTGACCGGCTAAAAGTTCAACAAACAATTTGGTTCTTAATGTTATTCACATCGTGATCCACATTTTTCCCTTCAATTTCCTGTGAAGCGGAGATTACCATAGTGTAACACCTATTTTGTCGTGTGGAAAATTTTAATAAAATAATAATAGTAAAGATGACTCATCCTTTCTAATTCTAATTCTTTCTAATTCCTCACTAATTCTATAATAATTTAATAAGTCAATCAACTAGCGGAATTTTTCGAGTGGAGGAGGATTGATATTCTGAGCCGATTATTTTCTCTTTTTCCCTTTTGGCAAACAGAGCAGAATTGAGGCCTTTAAAATCTGAAAAAAATCTGCATTTGCGATTACAACCGACAAACATCCGTTGCTTCCAGAGAATTTGCATGGAGAATGTACCATATCTTCTCTGTCGTACTGAAAATAAAATGTCGTCGCAAGATTTTTCATTTAAGCGCATAATTAAAACTTACCTTCGCTTGAACGCAAGATGCCAACAACATAAACTGAAACCAAGCTAGTCACAAGTTTGAATTGGCAAGAAATCATTCTTTTTGAGGTACTAACAACTTGCCATCACGTTATTATGGTGTTTTTTAAGACTAGGCGACACAATTCTCTGCATACCTCAACGATTTATATTGGAACATCCGCGTAAAGGAAGCTGTATGTTTACAGCGCGGATAGTTTTAACTAAAGCAATTGGTTGGCTTGATAAACAGGTGGCCTTCAAGTTGTATTTATCTTATCAGTAACGCTATTGGTTGGTTATTAACCTTTCCTCTTTTCTTAGGAAATTGAAAACATACAAATTGCTCTGCCAGTGGTTCATCTAATCATCTTTATTGCAATTATGTTTCCAATGAGAACTCCAGGAAAGAGCTGTGTTGATTGTTGCAGCATCTGGAATTTAATTTATTGCAGAACCTAGAATAATAGACTTTCTCATATCATCTTCTTCGTGAGTGTCATGACAGCTTAACACCGATAAAGAACCGAAGCTCATGCTAGTATCACTTAGTGTTGTAAAAGCGTCCTGAATGATGGAAATACTCTGATTTTTTTTAACTGATGAATGTTGTAAACCACTGTGTTAGTGCTTTCATTACAAATGAGGGCAAACCACGCGCTGACCAACATGCTGAGAAGTACAAAAAATAAAAAAAGAGTTTCAAACGCTTAAAATTAGAGCCAGTTTTGCCGAACCGAGACTGAAATAAGAACTTCATTCCCAAAGAAATCGGTCATGAGATCATAGTACTGTAGCTCTAATACGACCTGCAGTTATCAGACCGCTAAATTCAGATATCAAAATAAGCGTTTTGAATTTAACTATTTCTTGTTTACTATTAGCAGCAGGAGAAATCCTGAACAAGACACTTAAGCGTGGTCCCTAAGGGAATGCAGCGTTGAGCGCGATCCGAAAACCTGTTCATAGTGACTATCAGTGACAACCTCCCGAAGCTTCCAAACCATGAAACTTCGTTTCAGAAAAGAAGAGAGGAAGTGGTGTGAAAGGGATCTGATGTTTGGTAGAAGGTCTTCCCAGTTGGGTTAACCGATTAGAAGGTTTCATGCTAATTTACAGCACTTTTAGACGTTTTCCGAAAAGAGTAAACAGAGAAAGCTTTTTACAGGATTATACAACGTCAAAACAGATTGCTTCCTTCACACTATATTCTGAAATCCTTTTGGTTAACAAACGCTTATTCCCATGAAAAATTGGTTTCTGTGCCTGTGATGTTTGCCAAATTAGACATTTCAGAATGATGGTCTTGATTAGCTATGATGAACAAGAAATGAATAGATGGAGTAGGTTTTTATTCGCTCTGACGAAGGGCAAACGCTTGAAACGGCAGCCTTAGAAACGATTTACAGTGGACAATTTACACTATCAACTCATTTGATAAAGCCTAATTATTTTTTGATGAACAAGGTTCCAACGAAAACATTGGGGAACGTTTTCCCTGGCTATGTAAAGGGAGTTCTTCGCTGTTGCTAGGATCAGGTAGTGTGGACCGCAATTAAGCCTTATAAGTCGAAATTGATTCTTTTAGTCCTACCGCTATGATTACGTGTTGACTCATTTCAAATAGTAATTAATGGTATTTTCTCTTTCCATTTTATAGCGCAGTTCATGATAATTCCGTTGAAAAGATGACGTAACTATTGCTGGGGATAGAAGTCATTAAAACAAAAAAGAGAGAAAAACGTTTTTAGACGACTTTTTACTTGACGATCCGTTAATGGAAATCGTTCATATTGATATTTCTTATATAACTTTAAAGCCCTAAGCAAAGCTGGTTTATTTTTTTATCATGCATTGGAAAATGAATGTTCAAACACTATTTTACAATGTGGGGTTTACATCAAAGTTGAAACAACCACGTCTCCGTATAATTATCTTTACTGGAGTTCAGAATGATCATGAATTGTTATCCGTAAGAACGTTTTATTACCCATATTATTAAAGCCTTACTTGTTTTATTCCATGTTTATTACATTTGGTTTGTCCTGCAATGCAACATTTTGGAAGGACTACTTCATGGAAGAAAGCTCATATTTCCGCAGGGTCCAAGAGAGTGTTGTTGCTCAGTAGCCTGTTGGTCATCAGTGCGTACCGTCAGAACAATAGAAAAACTGGCATTAAGAGTGACTTTATGTATGTTTTATTTTCTTGCAGCTGTCACTTATGAATGACTCATCCCTTTTAATTATGTTGTTATTTTCTGGTGGGGCATATTTTCTCTTTCCGCGTTTCATTCGGTTGTTAAAACTATTCTTCCGTGTCACTGTTGTAGAATTTATCAATAGATTCTCGGTTTCTTCTCATTTAATCTTACTTAGATATTTTATCACCTTATCCAGGAATAGATAATCATTCTATAATATTTCTGGACAATCCGTATCATTTTTTATTGGGGAAGCAAGTTCCATACGTCTACCATACCACACGTCATACCAGCTATTATTCCTAAATTCAATTCTCCTGGCGAGCTGCTGAGCGCGCATGGAATGGAACAATTGAACTACGCGGCGTAGGGATCGAGGTCTCCAGATATCCATTCACTACATCTTCATTCACTCTGTTAGCATTTAAGCCCTTTTAAATGCGAACTTTCCCTTATTAACAAATATTAATCGAGTCTAGCTGAGATTCTCACTAGGAGCCGAAAATAAAACACTAAGACAGTTGAATACAACTAGGAACAGAACAATCCACATGAACAATCTATTAAGTACCTTGGCAGCAAAGTGCCATTCTTCGACATGTCTTTCTTTCTCGTCGTCTTTCTTAGTCCTTTGTACAAGAACGTCCAAAGCTTCAGACTTTTTTGAAACTTGATTTGATCGCCTCCGCAAATTTGGATTTCTATCGTCGAGTTTCTTTAGTTGGATTGATGTAGTCGATGCTGACCCGGGTGGCTGTGAATGGTTTGCGTCACTAAATGGATTTGTCGTAGCATTCTCTGCGTTTTCCTCGCTGTAAAGCCTCTCCCCGAGTGAGTGTCTCCTCATGCTGCGATTTTTAAAGAACCTTCTTGCCGGGAGGCACGATTCGTTTATATTGCTGTTTCTCTTCACCCGTAGTGCGTTTGCGCACCATTGACAAATAAAGAGTCGTACCCAGGCTGGCAGAGGGGTCGGTGCATGGTGGTGGAACGTGAGGACAACGCACGTGAAAACAATCGAGATGAAAACGTTAATCATTGTAATAGTGTAGTAACGTGAAATAAGAGGTACTACCTCGGACGTGGCTGGAAGCTCCTCAGCTAACAAAAGAAGTATTACAGTTAGCGACAGCAGTACCGTCACACCCACATTCATCCTCTCGCCAGACTCCACGGGAAGGAAAAAACCCAAGATTGTTAAGGCTGACATGAGCACGCAAGGTGTTAAGAAATTCAGGATGTAATACATAGTTCGACGACGAATTACAACATTGTAGGTAATGAATGGATAAGGCTCTGGGCAACACCGATATTTGGTGATGAACTTGGTTACAGGCATAGCGACTAGAACCCATTCGCCATTATCTGTGAAAGCCTCTATGTCACCTGGTCCAGTGTGGAATATGTCCAAACTCAGGCCGTGATATGACCAAGAGCCAAACTTGAGGATGCATTTCTAACGAGAAATTTGGAATATATTATTGTTAAAGTTTGTCCGTCCAAAGGTCTGATATTTGCCCATAAGCTCATGAATGCATTAGCTTGCATTTTTTTTTTTTGCTTTCTTGGCATCGTTGTCCTTTTTAGGTTTCATGTGTCTGTTCAATTACAGACTAAAGATGAACATCAAAAGAAAAAACTAATCACAAGGTGCTAAGTACTGAGTTCACATCATGATAAGTCTTGGATGTACCTAGACAACCTAGGAGGTTCACCAAGCATCCAAGAAACTAGAGTCATTCAAACTCATCACCATATGCGGCTTCTCAATGAGAACAAAATTAAAGGCATTGATAACTCAATCGAGTTAGGCATATACCTACTCACCTGATCATCAAAGGGAAAATAAGTGACGTCAATAGTGCAGGAACTTTTAAATATTGTCGGATAGAACCAGCCTATGTTACCATTGGAATTTATTGTGAGACCATAATATTCCTCTTTTTCTTTGTCGTAATTGTCGTTTGCGCTATACACAGAATTGAAAAAAAAAATAGTTCGTTTCTTCAATCAATTGCCTTAATTCTCAACTTCCATAAATATATATAACTTGAGTGAGTGAGTTTGACAAATCTAAACGAAAATTCAAGTTACTCCCCGGTTGTTTTTAGAAATTTCAGAAATACGTCAATATAAAAAATATGAGTGTGATTTCGGTCATCCATTAAGATATTCTAGGTAAAATTATAGCATGCTTGCTTTTTACTTGCATCGCGCTAACTTCGTTTCACGACCTGTAATCCTTGTTCGATACTAGACAACACTGCCATTGAGTAGAACGACCATCCTCTGAAAGGTAATTATCAAATAAAACAAACTGACAACACTCACTTGTTGTATAGGGTGATATCTGGAAGCCAGACTTTCTTTGAAGAAGTGACAAAAGACTTAATTCCTCCATACGTAGAGCTGTTCCACTTTAATCTGAAGTCGCTCCAATACTGAAGAGAAAATGATACAGAAAGGAAACTGGTACATGAGACTTCACACATTTTTAAGCCAGTGGTTCGTCTCCAATTTTCCAAACAATCTCAAGAAGAACACATATCTTACATATTTCACACAATAAATAAAACCATCCTGTTTGTCCAGTGAAAAAACAAAGAAAAATTAGTGATGCGGTTGCCTTGCCTCAAAGTAACGTCATATTGCTAACGGTTTTAATAAGCTAGGTAAAATATTTTCTCAAATATCACTAATTTTCAAGACGAATCGTATTTTCCGTTTCATAAGCGTAGTGACTTTTCTATGTCGTGGACTGTAATTTATTCGTACCAGTCTCACCCACACAATGGTAGTCATGGTTTGCAATCTTTCATCCTGTAAGATATCAGAACACAAAAAAAATCATTAATAGAAGAAGGAAAGAAAAATTATTTCCTCCTCTATGAATAATTCAATGTTTTAACAATCAAGACCTGATATTTTCATCCTGTGAAACGCTTTTAGGCAGTTAGAACATTTGTATTTGAACAGCGTAAAATTCTTCGTCAAAGCAAGGCGTGATATTATCAACCGTGAGGGAATATACAGAATACACAAATTTTAATTTCAACAAAACACTTCTGCTGTTGATTGTACTGAGAGAGTGTCTAAGGTACGAACGCAACGCCAAAGTGTCTTCAGGTCTCCAGAAATCATGAGAACATCGTTACACAGATGTAATCCAAAAATAAGAAATTGCACATGAATCAAACTGATGAAAACTCCTGAGCTTGGTATAAGGCATTAGCTACGTTAGAACTGATGTGAAGTTTTTCTTATCTTGAAGTTCGAACGTACGCGTAATGATTTTAAATAAAATAGCTATAGAGCCCGGGGCTAGAGCACTCAAGTTTTGGGAAAGAGCGCTTTAAACCTGGCTGAAACATTTGACCAACATCTGATTGCTTTTATCTGTGACGTACCTCCTAACATATCTTAGCTTTCATGCAATGAAATTTGATTAACACTAAAAGACAGCCTTTTCAGAAATTATCATGTCAGAGCAATGGACACCAGTCACAGACACTTCACATGCACGCTGTAAGTTGTAACGTTGAGAAGTGTTGTGAAAGCTGCTTCCAGTCACCTGTGTTTGAATTCTTTTTAAGTCAAATGAAAATGAGCAAAAACAGTGATTCTTGATTTTCTCGATTGCAAAGTTACTTAACCTTACATCTCAAAAACTTTTGTGTCAGTTGTTTTGAGCACCATATATGTCTTGTAAGCTAACTTTGATAACCTTTGAAAGTTTTATGAGTACAACTTTGCGACAGCTCAGTTTTTTAGTTCAGTAAAGACAATTTTAACTAAGAAATATGCCAAAAACTGCCCAAACTGTATATTTTTTGCTGAGGCATTGTAGTCACGATATGAAAGAAATTAGCATTCAGATGAACCTTAAAGGAGAATGGTCTCAAAAGGTAGTGTGAGTTCCCAAGAAATATCGACTTCATTCCCCTCCATCCCTAAACAGAAACTTTTCCGTGACGTTATTAGACTTTGTTACCGTAGAACATTTATAAGAACAGAATTTTTTTGGAAAACATTATAAGGTGTTTTACCATTTTCGACTAATTTCCTTGTGTAAATGAATGCCCCATTCTAAGGTGTCCAATTAAGTTCTCACCTAGGTTCCTGTTGCGGAGGTTGGGATGGATAAATTGCCTAAGACAAGTGCAGAGACAACATCTTTTCACACGGGCAAGAAATATGACATATCAGGAAAATTATGTGAACAATCCCTTGAAACATGGGGTTGTTTTTTTTTTTGATTACTTGTAATGTTTTCCTCTCTGAAAAGAATAGCTTGTCGCAACAAATGACAATTCATCTGTGATTTTCTTCAGTATTGGGCTATACACTTCAATTCGATATTGATCACATCAGTTTCGCACAGGGGTATCTAAAAAAGTTTTGTATAAACGACTTGAACCGTTTGCAAAGTCCGAAGATAAAATATGCCGCTATAAATGTTCATTACATCCATAAAACGACAAGACAGTCGCAGCTCTGTGTTACAAAGAAAAGGAGAAAATGTTCTCTTCCTTCGGTTTTTATTCATTACTCTTATCTCTACCAGTGACGGTTATATTAAATGCAGTATCTCATGCGCCATCCGTTCTTGTTTATCAACTGAACATCTGACAGAAATGGATGACCCACTTAGCCTTAAACTCAGTAAATATATAAATTTTCCATGAAAAAATATACAGCCAGCCAAGAATGTTCAACATGCAATGATTACTGAGAAATTTATAAGCGAAACACTTTACTTAAACGCCGCCAAGCTGAGCATCAGGAATACGCCAAAGTTCACCAACATACACTTTGAAATCAAGATTGGAAGTCCCACGGCCCAGCAGGTCTCATATGAGTAATTATCTTCAGGCTACTTTTCCAACAGCCACAGGACGTATGATAACTATGAATTATTAAAGCGTACTTGCACCGCAGTCATAAAACTGGCTGGGAAACAGTAAATGAGGCACAGACTATATTCTCTTTTGTTTTTCCTTTGGGTCTTTGTCATGGTGTATTATTTTGGAACTGTGAAATTATGACCTGCTATCTCCCAAAAGCATTGTTTAAAACTGACGCTTTTTTCATCCCAATTTGCGAAGGAAGAAACTTTGCTCGATGTCCTCCCCGATTCGTGTAATTTAATTAAAATCTATCGGGCCACAAACATAAAATTAATGGTGCATTTCTTCTGAGATAAATGTACGCGTCTAACGTCAGTTCTGTCTTAGAAACCTAATTTTAGCACCCCTGAAACCTCAACTAACATGTTAAAAGACATACACTAAGCCATACGGGTTTTGTAGATTAGGTTTGCGTAATTAAGGGACATTGAAAAACTTACCAAGTCAATGATTTGATTGAGAGCTATATCAAACTTTACTTTTACTGCAGTTGTCTTCTCTTTCTGCGGAATGATATTTGTACTGTAGTTTGCGAATAAGTCGTTTTGGAGTCTTTCCAAGTCATCGTAATGTTGTTTGCTCCCATCTGCCAAGAAAAGGATAAGTATTTTACCAACAATCTGTAAATTCCGGATTATATAGGAATACCAGTCGCAAGTTATAAAAAATTAACACCGTACAATATTTTTGAAATAAAGTTAGATCACCCAACAATCAAGTGCTAACTTAATGTAACAGTGTCTTTCTTTTTTTTTTTTTTTTTTCACCTTGTCAAATTCCCGCTGGACAAATATCTCAATACTTTCATCTACATAGTAAAATGGAACACCAGTAAATTTTGTCACCACATATAAATGGGTATTATTACAGTTCTTTTGGTCTCTGTAAGGCAGATAGGTCAGGGTTTGATTGCCTCTCTTTTTTCAGTTTTTATATGTAAAACAACCATAAACTTCACATTCGAATACCAAGACACAAAAGCTACATTTTACAGAAATTCTTTCACAAAAACATCGATACATTAAGGTTACAGATCTTTCAAACAGCTAAGCTAAACCATATGTTTATGTGCTTATTTCACTGAAATGGAACATCGCAAACGCTTTAAAAAAATTAAAGTTACTGGCTTACCTACAAAATTAAGGCAAAACAGCAGGCATAGAAGGACTTTTTCCAAAGACCTGTGCATTCTTGAGAAACCGAGATCTCGACACAGATGATAAATACACAACAAGCGGTGAAAACGCAATATTTTATCCGCGGCGGTAAATGTCAACAAATGCAAAACTGATATCCGTTATTGGTTGTGTTCCAAGCAATTTCCAAGAACTTTCTTTTTGCCCAAGGGTTAATCAACTAAGAACAGTTTCCAAATTCTACGAGCCAAGAAGAATATATAAAGTGTTTATGTTGATTTTTGATAACATGATTCCCTTGCGAGAATTTACGTGTATTGTGGTCGTGTGACAGACGGTCCAACAATTAATTAATAATTGCATGGAAATTAACGAGCTAAACTAGCTTTCTGATTTAGTGAATTCTGTAAACAACATTTCACAGTCTTTATATGACAAGAAACCTAGATTTAGAGATAATTTCTTTGATACCTTTCTGCCGTTCCAGAAAGCTTCCTGTGTGCGTTTTGACAATAGCATAAAAAAATGAGGAAATTCTTTGCAAAAAACATTCTTATGTTTCCATACACCTAAAATGACTGTCAATTGTTTCTAGTAAATGAATTAATGTCGGTGAAATATAGAGGAAACCCATGAGGCTATTTTGAAGGATTCTGATTTGCATTTATATCGCCAGCCGAATTTTACTTTACAACCAAGAATAAACGTGGAACTGATCGTTTCTGTTTCTCGAAAAGCCGCCAAAAAGGGAAAGTTGGAGTGAAAGACCATACATCTGACTCTTCACTGCTTCCTCTTTCCCTCCAATTATTTTAGCCAAATGATGGAAAATATAATGCCGCTGACGAACTTTGCTTCTTCTCCGGATTAAAAAGCTTAAGCCTATTCTTTAGCTTTTTGTTTTATAAACTCTTTCTCAAACAAGGCACTGTTTTAAAGTTTATGTCAAAAGAGTTGAAATGAACCTTCTAATTGGCCTCTGAGATCCAAGAATCTTTCATACCATGAGACAAAAACATAATTTTATCTTTGGTAGTATTTTCTCCCGTTATGTCTGATCATTTTCCGCGGAAGGGCTTAGCGTTTCACTTAGGTGTTTATTTTGACTGAAAGCCTTTCGTCGTAATGGAATAGATGTTTGTATTCAATAGATTTGATCGTCCAAATTGAACTATTTTGAACGGTTGCTTTGTGTCATTCAGTCATTTCAGTGAGCTTACTATTTTGACTCTTCCGGTAGTGTTATCCTAAAAGAGCTTCCAAAATATTGTTTATCGATCAGGAACATCTATTACTGACAAACGCACATTTTGGGGAAAATCGAAGTTTTGCGAGTCCCTTGTCGTTGTTCGACGAGGTGTTGGCGAAATAGTGACACATTCCCTGATAAGTAATAATTACGATTGATCCTTCTTTTTAGGATTTTCAACCCAAGTTTTGAGGGCTTCACAAGTTGATTAATAAATATTTGGTGGCGATAAACAGTCAGCACAGAGTTGCACGCCATGAGGTTTTAGAGGAGAAACATCATCTATACATCTAATTGTTTGGGATAGACCACTACTCTTCGACCTCCTGGCTTTGATCTCCTATTAAGTTCGGTGCTGAGGTTGGAAACTTTTCATTTCCCCCACATGATCGTCGAAAATTGTTCTTCCTCTACTTAGAGAGATATAAACCTCAGCCGAGGGGTGCCGGAGATTGATACATCCAGAGCCCGACTGAAAGAGTTCAGTCAACTAGGCTTTTATTAGTGAGTGAAACTGAATCCTTTCCGCCTAAACATTGAAACTGACCTAAACTCGTTAAAGTATTCATGATATAGTAATACCAATTTTTAATACTCTTAAAAGATCAATCCCACAAATCGTCAAATTCATTGTAAATTGATATGGTGCTTACAGTGTTTATACGGAAATTTATCAGTTGGGAAAGTACGTTTTACTTGTTATTCAAAGAACAATTTTGTCATAAATGTCTGAACAAATTCTTACAGATAATGTATATACAGAAAAATATATATGTACAAATATGCATTTTTCATTTTCTTTTCAAAACCTTTAACTTGACATTGGAGAAAGGTTAGTGTGTCGTAATCCTCCATCTTCAATTCATTCCTTGCTTTGCAATGCTCTTTACTTCCACAAGAAAACAATACAATTTGACTGACTGACATCTGAATTATATAAAAAAAAGTTTGAGAAGAAGTGTCTAGTGGATACAACACGTTTCAGCCAAGCTAAGCTTTAATTACCTAGATTGTCACACCCTGATGAACAGGCAGAAGACTCACCCTTCGAGTTGTACTCCTCTTTTTTTCAAGGATCGATTGGAATCAACCTAACGAATTCTGTTGAGCCATAATTTTGGAACATACGAGCATTAAGAGGAAGTAATAGTTGCTGACAACATTTTCCAAATCCCCGGCGAAAATTTTCGTCCATAATCAGCAACTCCAATTACCCCCAGGCTCACTCTACTTTGGGAATAAGAGGATCTCGATGTACAGTTAAATTCCCTTCGTCTTTTATTTAGGGTAGTCAATTTTAATCTGAAGTCTTAAAAGATTAGCTTCGATGGAGAATGAAGGGAAAGAAACACTGCACTGCTATTTTTAAGCGCGAACTTTATTTTTACACTCAAAGTACTGCGTTTGTCATACTCCTGTAACCGTTGCATTCACTCGTCGGCCTGAACGGAAGCATCTTAAGACAAATATGGAGGAAGGCTTTCATCAGTAGGATATGAAATTCCTATCTTACAGTAAATTTATTTCATATATTCAGTAAGGACACGATCGAAACCATCTGCCATGATCGCCAAAGCGTAGAGACTTGCGGTAGGCCGCTGTCAACGTCGCCACCAAACGCCGCTAGTTAGGATACGGAAAATAACGCTTCATTACTCTCATCTTTTATTACACTTTGTTCCTTTTTTAATTCCGTAACCATAAATTCTAATTTGAGGAACTTTTTTAAGGAAAAAGGGTGAACACATTGAACTAAACGCCTTCTGAGCAAGTTTTACGACTACACCCTTTGCATTGTTCATTATTTGTAAATAAAAAGTGAATCATCTACACTAGGAAAAAATAAAACCACTGTAATTGTATAATTAGGTTATTAGTTATTATTTACTTATATATTCTTCTCGATCTTTTAACATACAAAACTTAACGTAAGAGAGAGAATTTAAGTAAAAGCTGCAATTAGTGTGAATGGATGGGGAGCAGTCCCCAACCTGCAACGCTCATACTTGCTTTGCTTTCCTGTTCACAATAAGCGTCTTCGTAAGCAATAAATAACACAGGCACTTATAAAAACTGTCACCAGATTATTGGTACTTGTTGTTGTGAGCCATTACAGAAAAAAATTATAAACAATCCTGGTGATGTGTCCCATTGGTTAATATAAAATTTAGTAGCTCAAACCAACCCACAAACATGTCAAAAATTTCCAAACAGCTTTTAGGCTGGAATCAAATTGACATAAGCAACAATACTTCAGGACTGTTTACATGAAACGAAGTCTACCTTAACTCACAGTTCTACAAAATGAGTGGACCTTGATATTTCTACATATGTGCACTGTGTTAAGAAAATTAATATTTTTCTATCGTTAGCTATAGGCCATCTTGACACTGTTCACACAAATCAATGATTAAATAGTTGTCAACTGTTTAATTCGAAGATAGTTAGAATGCAGTTTCATTCCAATCTATGTTTCGACATTGACCAAAAAGGCACGATTCTACGATTAGATCAAAACCAACTTTAATGCCTGACAACATGCCTGACAATCACAACCAACAGCATTTCCATATTTCACCGCTACAACGATCCACTTTTGAAAGATTCGCATAAATTTGATTGATCTGGCATACGTCACTAATTCCAAGAGACAACAGGGTCATTGGTGGTGGTACCTGTGAATGACTTGACAAACTCATTCACTATAATATCTCTCCAATTATCATCATTTGCTAGAAGATCATCAACAAACACAGTGCACATGGTGTTTCCCAGTCAAGAAGGTAAACAGCAAATTAGTATTGCAAGGATGATAAGCAATCATCCTGTACATAGATCATTCCATTTCATGTTCTACATCCACCACTGGAACGTTATCTTAAATTTTCAGTATTAAGAGTTAGTTCTTAAAGAATTTAGCTATTGCAGGGGTGTTCCTCCTCAGCTATAGTCTGTTGACCACTCCTGCAAGGGAACCTTAAAGGAAAAAAACCTCATATGTTACTATTGCCTTCAACTAGGAGAAAATATACAATAATATTGTATTTGAATGTTTATCAATCACCTGACAGATGGACAGGCTAGTGATAATGTGTATTACAGGCTTCCTGAATCAACACATGATTTGCTAATTTGTCATTAATCAGTCAAGCAATAGTCAACCAACTAACAGTTGGGTTTTTGACTTAGCCAAGACCATGGCTGGACACTGCAACAATTCTTCAGTTGAGTGACAGTCAGCCATCAGCCAATTATAAGCTAACCATTGGCCAAATGAGAACCAACAAAGCAATCAGGGCTTGGTTGTTTGAAGGGTGGATAACTCTATCCACTGGGTAAATCCCTATCCAGTGGATAGCACAGAAGCTTTTGTTGACACTTTCCAGCGGGAAAGCAAGTTATCTGTTGGACAGCATTATCTTCCTTTTAAAGAATTGGGCCACAGCTTTTGTCCTTTGCTTTCATAATTATTGCGAAATCAGACATAAAGTGAATAACTATATGTATTGAGATTATACTGTACAAAACTGAACACAACAGTCAACACTGCATTAAACTTTAAATAAAACTAATAATTGACTCATATCTTACATCAAACTTGACTTTCAGTGAAATTGTTTCCTGTTATGTGGACCCAAGACTACAAAGATATTCCAAAGCTTTTTCTTCATCATTATTAGCAGCTTGCAGGCAGTTCAGTATGTTATCTTCCTTAAAGCCAAAGTCTTTATATTTCTTCACCAGTTCAAGAAATTCAGCTGCCTGCAAGCATAAAAGAGTTTGTTGCCAAGTAAGTAGTTATATGAACACATGATTAACAAAATCTAAGAAAGAATGTTTTGTCTATAATTTTTAACCTCAAGGTCTTAATCTCCTGAAAAAATATGTGAATCCAATCTTCTGCCCCATGCACATGAATAAAAGGAGGAGAGGACTTAAAGCCTTTTCAACCCTCAGCAAAGGGTGTATTTTTCATGATTGAACCTCTTTCTCTACATGTGCCCATAACTGGAGACCACATGTACAATGTACATGAGTTAAAACATGTGTTGGTATACCACCAGCCCACAAAACTTTTGCGTGATTCTTACACTTGCAAAACAAAACCTTTGTCTTCTGCAAGTTCATACCTGACAGCTATTTTCACTCCCTTAGTAGAAAAACTCAAGCTACCACAGCCCTAATTCAAAAACTGCTTAAAATGTGTAGTGTAACCAGTGTCTATATATGAATTAGACCAGAGAAGATTAGTCTATGCAAATTACTATTCATATGCTTAAACCTTTGGTAATGAAAGGAAGGTCATTGGAGACTGTTTTTATTAACTCCCAAAGACAACTATGGTATGTAGTCAGAACATGTTTGAAATATTTGGAACATTCTTGGAACATTTTCAGATATGATCAAGTTCTCTTAACTCTTTAAGTCCCACTAGTGACATAGACAAAATTTCTTCTCATACATTAGTACAATATCAACCAGACAAGTAATGAAAATAAAGAAAAATGTTAATTAGGGGATTATTGGTTGATCCAATTTCAAATTCTCCAAACTAACATCACACGAATTAAATGGCAGACAGTAAAGAGAATTATTAATGAAATCTTGGGAGTTAAAGGGTTAAACATTTCTAGCAATCTGAGGAGAATCTCACACATTCAACTCAGACAAAAGCTGGCATGTATTTTTTGATTGAAAATCAACCTGTCATCTTAAACAGGGCTTGACTTGTACATCAGCACAAGGCAAAATTCTGACCAACACTCAAGGTGGTTTATGTATAAGTTGAAAACTAATCCTTCCTCAGCTGGTATAAGCTATTCACACAAAACCTTTGTTCACCTGTAATACCAGTAAAAGACAGAGTGCAAACTGTACACTTTGAGTACCTTGGCTTTCTCATTGTTATTATATATGAGGGCAACTTCAACAGTGTCTGGAGGATATTTCTTTTCAATCAAATCATTTACAGCCAATAGGAATTCCATGACCTGTAAATTCAACAGTGGAATGTTAAAACTGACAATTCATCCCCAGTTTTGGATTAACATACACTCTACTTCACCAGTAATTAGCATTTTTGGCAATTTGTTTGGAACCTGGAACTTTTATTTTTATCCTTTCAATTACAATATAATAAGTGCTAATTGTGCCCATGTGATTCATGGTTAAAAAGGAGAAATATGGAGAGTTTATTACAGAAAGTATATGATTTTTCCCGCCATAAAAGTGCAATTATAAAAGTTTACTTCTTACCACACTTAAAGATTACAAAGAATAACCTAGCCAATAATAATAATAATAATAAAAAAAAAACTCAAATGTATCAAATTTGAATATTGACCCGGCCATTTTGAAAACAACTCAGAACCCTAGCTAGTCCTTTTTGTGTAGCTCCACAAAGTTTGAAGTGATCATCAAGAGATGGATAAAAGAGATGTGGAGCTTATCACCTCCTGGTAAACTGCCTTGCTAAGTAAACTGGTTGCTAAGTGAGACTCTCAATGCCAGCATACATGTGCATAATCAAATTTTTACCATGTTTTTCAATTTCATAAGTTCAAGATACTTCTTAATGACAGAGGTGAAAGTTAAAACTTTATAATTTAAATAACGCCTCTATCCATGTTCTGGTCTTTCTCTTTGTCTGGGCAAATCTCAAAAAGAAGAAGTCATTCCTACAACTTTAAGACAAACATAGAAAACTATGAAAAACTATGTGCACATATTTTAACTTAAAACCCTCCCTGCTGTGCAGGTTCAAATGCTCTTGGTGACACAGGATTAAATTCTCTTGGCATCCTGGCCCCTTCAATTGTTATCAAAGTAACTACTCTCCTAGCCTGGTATACATGGTGAAAAACAGAGGCACACCATGGCCAAGGAAAAGGTGCTTGAACACATTACCTCACCGTCTTTCATCCCCAGTCTCTGCACAGCCCTACTAACACGTGCCTGAGGGAAACCCATGCTTGCAATATTTTTGACAAATGCTTTCTCTGACTCTTCTAAAACAGGCCATGGATCTGGTAAAGAGGACCTATCTTCACAAACTTTACCAATCCTTTGCCCTTGATCTAGCTTTCCAATTGGAGGCAATGGAGAAGGATAACGCCCACACACTCCAGGATTCTATACAAAAAAAATTACACTTCATGTGAGATACTGAAGGTTATTGAATGTATCAAAAAAATCAATGTCTGCTTGTGATGTTTTGGAATTATTACAAATTGAAAGAGCCTTATACAACAGCCACGTGTGCAGATAATGTAAAAGATAACAAATGAATTGTAAAACAACAGTTTGTATTTAAGTTGATGACTGGCAATAACCAAAACAAAATCTACATCTGGTATCCAGAGTAATCAACAATTTTTGCAATTTCTCTGAGTTACAAATTCATGCTAAAATGTTCAAGTACAAAATTGTGTTTCCCATCACTTCTTGGGAAACATTTTCCATTAAAAGAAGTAAAACAACTTTAAGCTAAAGGTCTTAGCCTTAAACATGGAACTGACAATATCTCCTTATATCTAGTGAGTGGGAATAATTTGTTTTATTGTCTTTGAAAAGCCTCTGTGAGGAAAGTCTAAAAAGTACTGCATGTATCTACATTGCACAGGTTGTATATATGCAATGTGCACCTTCCATCCTCAAAGGAAACATGTCTAATAAAATCAACTGTTATTCTTTATGGTAGTACAAGGCTGTTTAAGGTTGCTTTGTGAGCCTACAGCCTCCCTTCCTCTCACAGGCCTTTCTTCTGAGAGCTTTATGAGTTTAGTTAAGATCTATGTCTTTATCCTTAGGTCCTTTCAGTTCAAGAACTTGGATGTATTCATGTTGGACTATTAGAGTAACCATGCAATTCCTTGAGAGTAGCTACAGCTAACAGTATGATGAATAAACTCTCCAATTTGTGTGGCAAGCCTATATTTCAAGGACTCATTTTGATGAGTGTATGGTAAGCCTACAAGGGGCTTGATGATAAACAATGGGGAAGTGACGCTGATTGCTGTTTATTCAATGAACCTGCTAATAAGAGTAACTTTATTAAGAATGTTATTTTTTCAAATGATTAAAGGGGTAAGTCTCTAAAGAAACTCTGGTGATACATTGAAGGGAGGTATGACAAGAAAATTTGTTTTTATCAACTGAGTTGATAAATGTAACTTGGCCAATGTACAGAGTTTCTACAGCTGATTTTTCAAGCTTTATTCCCATGTAGGAGGAAATGGTGAATATTTCACTCTAATGTAGGGCTGATGCTTGAAATTTCTGCTTTAGAAACTCTTAACAGTGGCAACTTTTTATTATCTACTCAGTCGACAAAACCAAATTATTAAGGTTACTCACTTGAAGTTCAGGGGATTCTGGGACTTTCCACTCCGGTTCCCTTAAACTAGAAACAGTTGAGGGAGGGCTGTTCTGTCTGAATTGTGTTCTAGCATCTTGACCTATTGCAATTGCTTGTTGCTCTTGCAATGGAGGAGTTTTTGGAAAACTATAAATTCCACCCTGGAATGAATCTCTACTCTCATTAGCATGTGTTGAAATTTGAGAATGGGTTTGTCCTTGCAGTTGTTGAGAACCTGCTGAGGAAAAACTGTGCCCAATTGGGGGTAACACTGCCCCCCTGGAGATTGGCCTGTTCTCAGGAAAAAGTCTTGTGTTACAAGAAGAAGTAGTGGTGACTGAGTCACTATTTACAGCCGAAACTTGATGAGTACTTGAAGACGTCTTTGAATCTCCGAAGTCAACTAGCAATGCACCTGCTCCGTTGACATTGGTTGAGGTTATTGCATCTGAAAGTTTAGTGACAGGTGAAGGTTTATTAAAGGAATTTGTTCCCGTAATATCAATTAGTGAGTTATGAGAAGGAGAAACACTGACAGTAGTAGCTGAAGTACTTGTAGAGGTATTTAGTTTATTATCAGCATGAGAGCTAGATGGATTTTCCAAAGAGGTAGCTGGCCTTATCATGTCAGGTTGAAGAACATTTTTTAGTTCATCCATATCATTTATTGTTTGCAATTCCACAAGTTCAAATGGTGTTGATGTGTCACCCTCAAAATCTGCCAAGTCAAATGAATTTTTTCCTTTTCCCCCAAAGCTATCACTTTTTTTATGTCCTAATCCAGGAGCAACCACAGGTTGAAGAATTTCACTTCCAAAATTTGAAAACACTACATTTTGACCAGGAGGAGTATCTGAAGAAGAACTTTCCAGATGAGCTTCAGGTGAGGATTGCACCTCTGTTTTTGTAGAGGCCTTTAAGGCATCTGCTTTAGAAATGACATCTTTTTCAAGACTGAAGTCATACTAAAAGAAAAAAAAAAAGCAAAGAAAAATATGTATCAAGCAGAAGCCAAAGAGATACAATACAGAAAACTCTTCTTTTAGTTAATGTTTATGTATGAGTTTAACCTCTCCTCTTTTCCCTGCACAAAAACATAGTTTGTGTACACCTTCAGGTTTCCAACACATGCTCTATGAATACACAGGTCATTCCACTGCAGTTCACCAAAGAATTTGTTTGTAACTGTACGTAGGTTTCAATTGTTGGATATATTCAAACACATAACATCAGCAAAACTTCTTTATGTATCTTAACCACTTACTGTTAAGCTTAGGACAGCTGAGGGATCTCTTTGCTGCCATCCAACAGGTAATGTTACCTGAAGTTAAACCACACATTATAAATCAACTGAGATACTTCACATACTTTCACCAGTTGATTAGAGCATCTGGATGATGTGTGCACATACCATTGTGCCATTTTAGATTTACACAACTTTTTGAGAGATATTTAATAAAGAATTTTTCCATAAAGATGAAGCCCCAGGGGATTGAAAGAATCCTCAAAAGTAATGCAAATCTTCAACTGCATCTCAGGTTCGCATAACTCCTGCGGACCACCTTTGTCTTTAAATGAGGCTAAACATGGAAAAAATTTTCTAATGCTAAATCATAACTCAAACGAAGAAACATATATTAAAATTTCGTCTGCAATTGCTGCGTTTTATTTAGGATAACTAAACCTACCATTCAGGACGATCGAAATGTACTTGAATGATCTGCTGATAATCACGGGTTCAAACCATTTCAAATCATGTAATGTTAATAGTTTGCTTACACGATTACCAGCCTTAAAGGCTGACGTAAGAAAAAGGAAACATATCGAGAGGTAACAGCAACCCTATTTACCTTTTTCGGTGGTCTGAACTTCTCTCCAATTTTGACCTCGACTCCTTGCAAAGAGTGAAATTCTGCATGATCTAAAGATGAGTTTATTGCAAGAGTTAATGTTCAATAGCATCATTCTTTGATGCTCATATGTCTAAAAAATACCATGCAAAATTTAATTTTAGAAGGAACTCTACAAGTATATAGTAGATCTTAGGGTAGAACGGCAGGCATTTTTCTAAAATTGACGCCTATTTCTATACTGTTGCACAAGGTCGAAAACAGAACATCGCAAATTTACTGTTGTCTTTCGAATTCTTTGCGAGGACATTCAAAGGGAGAACAAAAAAAATACATACGACTTCCACTTTTGCGAAATGTCTTTTGAAAAGAAGTCATCGTGGGCACAAGTCCAACAAATCGTGAAAGGAGAGAATTGCTGCCTCAGCCGATGTTGTCCTCCATTATAACCTTTTAGAGATATGATGTCATTGCGCCTGCGTTGTTTTGCGTCCGGAAAGTGTAAATGCTTAGGGAAATTCTATTCAAAGCTGAGTTCTGAAACCACGGAGCAGCATCCTTGTATTCTGTGCCTTTTATACCATCGTATAATAATGATACTCTCCAGCTGTTTCTTCTCTTGTCAGGCGCACCAGTGTCTACTTCAGCAATGCTGTAGGTGACAATACATTAGAACTCCACTCTACCCTCCTCAGGTGAAACTCTCCCTATCAGCCCTACTACTCGTGTTGCCATAGTGAGGTATGATGCGCCATTTTGGAACTTTCTAAAATGGGCAAAAAGTCATAACATCAAAATGTCTAAAAAAGATAGACTCTATCAACTGGAGAGGCCACCATTCAGTTCCGTAAGTTTTAAATTTTGTTTAATGCATATTATCATTCATACGTTTACAAGGCCCCTACCTCCTGTTAAAACATTTTACTTAACTTGATACTAGTAGAGACAAGGTTGTTTAGCTTAGTTCCTTATATTGTGTTTCCATAAACAGAGGGAATTTCACACGAAGTTTACGAATCTTGTGGGACCTTTAAGTCTATTTGAACCAGAAGATGGAGCAGGTAGGGGACGGCTTTGTTTTAATGTGATTGCAGATACTTGTAGGTCATACGTTTAGTTTACACAAACTAACGTTGCGTTTTTTTGCATTGTTTCATTTAAATTACATTGCTTTGAACGTTTGGCTTTGCAGTTTAAGTCAAGCAAAGAATGTTTCTCTCCACCTGGGAGATCTATCTGCTCTGGAAGATGGATTTTTCGAGTCCTGGACATTGAAAATATTTTTCTTTCGTCTGTTCCTCTCTGTGTAAAAAAAACAAATGGTTATTACCGCCTCCCCCCCTTTTTACTTTTAAATTTTAAGGAAAACCTTTGAGTATGTTTTGAAATAATTCTTGTGATAATCAGCTGTACACTGAAATTGTATTAACTTTGTGATACCTTCTTCCATCTCTGAAAGATATTGGAAATGAGAATCCTGAAGTTGAAAGACCACTAACACCAATTGAGGTACATAACATATTGGATGTTTGTACAGTACAATTAACAGAGTTGGTATAGCACCTTGAATGTCTTCTGCACTCACTTGTATGTAATGTGTAGTAAATATGATGTGATGTAAACCTTGATCATTCAACAAGGATATTTTAACAGATACTATTTGAAAACAGGTGCTTTCTGAGGACAATTATTCTTGTTGATTGAAGGTTTGACTCAAGTTGAGTGAAACAAAGTTTGTAATCAGAGGTTTTTTTTACATGGATAGGATGCAGTTAAATGGCCACCATCATCATTCAGTGCTTTGGCAAAACTAGTTCATCCCAGACTCACACCAAAGGAGGGAATTGCTGGACTGTCTGTTGGTGACCAGCACCAATTGGTATGTACACCAATTCGCTTATTTCTAATTTTCAAGTATGTGTGCATAGATTTGCATCCCACTGATGTCCAGAGAGAATTTGTGCTTTTTAATGTCAAGACTAAGGATAATCACCCCTGGTCTGTATATGCATTAATTAGATGATTACATGTAATATGTGGTCTCATGGGAAACTGTTGGTTTTGTTTTCCTTTCAATCTCCATCACTGTGTTTATTTTCTGGGATACAATACTTGTAGAGGTAAAGTTGCAGTTACCTAAGAAAGATGATGTGAATGGGTTTGCAGCTACATGGTTGTGTAGGCAAATTTGGCTTTGAAAAATCCATGAACTTTGAATTTGTGTAAGAGTCAAAGCACCTTTGTGATTAAAAAAAGTAATCATCAATTTTGTTCTTAGAGAGTTTTGATTTCATTACAAGCAAAAATACACCATGGCAACATTTTGCCTCAGTTGCAAAAATGCAGTATTCAACTTGATGTTTTGATCAATTTCTTGATTTAATTGATTGATAAGTTTTTGTTGGATATGGCTCTAAGAGAATGGGATAGAGAGAGAAAAAATGGCATCAAAGTCACAAAAATCAAAGTTTAATTTTTCAATATACCAGTACCAACCTTGCTAAATACTTTTTTGTTGATACTTCTATTAATCCCATGAAAAGTTTTTTATATTTTGGTGAGTATATAAACCAGATTTTTTTACAACTCTCTACCGCCAATGGTTACACCATGTAAGATGCTCATTGCACATGTACATTTTCCTTTAGATTGGAATACTCATGAATGAATTAAACAGCATCTGGCGAGATGTACAAAGAGGCCCTCCAGATCCATTCTTGGTATTGCTAATCAATACAGATAATTTGATTTTGTTTTTCATTGAAAGTATTATCCTTGAACACTAATGCATGAAAACAAAATTGACAAATCGATCAATGAGCCTTTAATGCACATGTGCATTCATGTATAATAAAGTTTTGTTAAAGTGAACAAATGCCATGTCACAAGGCTGTTGAAAAACTTTTGATTCAAACAAGGTATTATTTAAAAATTATCTTTTTTTTATTCTCACTTGGCTTTTCCCCTTTTGGTTATTAGACAGGACAACAGAACAGAGAATTGCAGAGGTAAAAAAATAGCTTACTGCTGTAATATGAGCATTTCCTTTCATGCAAGAAATTTTGAGTTCTTGAGTAATGGAAGCCAGCAAGAGGTCTGGTAGAGCTCATTGTTAGTGCCAGAACTAAGGCACACCTCACCTCGACTCATCTCAAATCTTCCTGCAGGCAGGGAAATGCTCGCCCTGCAGCAGTATAATAATGAGTGCTGGCACCTGTCAGTCAAGTGCATGAAGGAGGTTGATACATTGACCGATACTTGGTCCACATGACCCATTATTGGTCAACAGTTGGTCAATACCCGGCCTTCAAGTTGACTGTTAGGTTGCAATAAACAGTTGGCAACATAAGTGTTGTACTGTTCCACTGTTGGTGCTATTTGTGTGTTGTTAATTGTTGTTTTGCTGAAATAGCAGCTGTCTCACAGCCCTTCCCCTACCAAAGGGGACAGGAAAGAAGAGTTTCTAACGTCTTTGCGATAGAGTGAAGAATATAACTTGATTACAAATTTAACTTAACTTGAGGTCTGAACAAGCATGAGCAAATGCTAAGTAATATTTGACCTACAACACAACCATGATGAGAAACAAAAAGAAGCTGAAAAAAAAGTATTTGACATAGATGAATGTTGCTGGCATAAAAGTCAAGAATGGATGAGTTAAAATTTAAGTAAAGAAGATCACATGTGGTAACAACAGCTGACCAATTGTTGGCTGAGTGTCAGTAAAGTGTAAGGCAATTGTCAGCTCAGTGTTGGTAAAGTATCCACCATTTGTTGAGCAAGTACATGTGTACACGTGTGTCTGTCAAGAGGCAACAAATGTGAGGCGACATGTCCATGGATACTTGTATGACAGATACCTTTAGAACAGACAAGACTTTTTTCCTTAAGGACTCCCATGCTCAGTGTAATCAAAGATCAGAGATAAGGCATATCACCATGTTCACACACCACTGTCTTTGCAGCAAGAACACCAATTAATATTTTTCTGTATTCAAGAAAGTTAGCTGCACAATAAGTTAAAGTCAAAACTAATTGGTCTTTCTATTATGCAATTATTGTCTATAGTTTTTGCTTTGTTCCATCAACAGACGCCTTACAATTGAGATTGTGGTTGTTGTTCAAGGACTCTTTGCTAAATATTTAGACAAAGCCCAGAGTAAGTTAAAACATAGGCAGATGTGTTTAAAAATGGCAGGAGATTGGGTAGATGGTTTTTTTAGATTTTCCTGAAGGTTTTGAAAACAATTTTCATGTTTCTGTGCATCTGTGAAGAAATGTAGTGCATGTGCATGACTTGTAGACAACTACTGCTTTGGTTGCAATATCTTCCCTTTAAGAGATGGTAGTTAACAACCAATCAAGATATATCTATATGGATTTTGAAAAAAATTAGGTAAAGTGAATAATGACTTTCCTTTTTTATCTTTCACTGACTTTGGTATTGTTCAGCAGCTGATATATATCTTTTTTTAAAAAGCTGGCATTTAAGGAGGTTCCTAAAACTATTAATGAAGAAATAAGCAGTGTGTCACTACATCAACTTTTAATTCTAAGAAATTCAAAGGGTCTAGTGCAAATAAATCTTTCTCTTCTTTAAAGAGCTTCACCAGAGAGGTGTATTCAGCTGTCCTGCAAATCTCAGTCGTCTCAAAACTCAACTGGCTTTGGAGGCAAATAAAAGGTGTGTGGATCCTGTGTCTTTGTTTCTTTCTGCAGTTAAACCTTTTGTAGCACTATATTATACCCTTCTAAGGTTAAGATGTTCAGTTAGGAGTGATGTTGGCCTATAGTGGTAGAAATGATCATATTCATTAAAAAAGGTGTTTGTAATAATGATAATAGATAAGGGGAAGTGTATTATGTAAACCTGAAAGCAGTACAAATTAACACTTTGCAGGCGTGACTGCATAGTGATAGAGAACTAAAAATGTAGGCACTGCACTTAATGAAGCCTGGGAGGAAACTTTGGATAACAAATGCTGTTTGCTTTTGTCTTTGAAACCATCAAAAGATATAATAGTGTAGTTTGATCATCTGGGTGAGTGTAGCCCTGAGAAGGATTGCTGTCAGTAGTGGTGACTGACATTTTTACAATCTGAGCGAAAGTCATCATTGTAGTCAAGTGAATAGTTTTTGTCAGTTGACTGTTCAACTTACGAACCACACTATTGACTGGGACTCTGTGCAATGCCTAACCTACAGCACCAACTACTTTCAATGACTTACTCTGGAAAGCTGGTTTATTAACTTCAAACAGACTCTCCTCAACAGGTGTCAACCACTACTGGCACCATACAAATGACTCATTGACAACATTAACATTACAAATGAACCTAATAGAACAACCTAACTTTACTTAGTCAGATCGAGACTGACCAATCATGACTGACCTATGCTACTTGAGTCTTATAGCCAATAACATCACAGTAAAACTGACCAATCAATTTATACAAACCAGACTAAGCTAACCAACAGAACAACACTACAATCCGACAAACTCAACTACTTTATTAAACAGCAAGTAATGTTCTTACAATTAAGGAGTGACTCCTAAAAGTAGTACTATACTTATTGTTAATAAACTTGATTAAGCCCACCAAAGTCTATATCCTTGCTCACCACCGACACAACCTCACTGCTGTCTCCAAAGTTCCTTGAAATGAGGAATCTTCTGCAGTAACTCTCTCTCAGTATAGCTTTCAAAACAGTCATCACTCCAACAGCAACAACCACTCTTACTACTACATAAGTGAGTCTTTATATATATATATATATTCATGAATATATATATATATATATATATTCATGAAGTGTTCTGGAACATTCCAGAAGCTTACACAAGAACTATTTTAGTAGTATTATATAATAAATATGCATGACTTGATGAAATGTTCTGGAAAGTTCTGCAGTATGCAAGTCAGCAGCAGTCTGGAGATTTCTAGAAGATTTTATTTCAGGCTGTCAAAACGTCAGTCACAACTATACCAACAACAGTCCTTCTCACTTACCTGGATGATCAAACTACACTATTACTTGTTACCCCTGGGTTCAAACCATTTACTGCATCAAAAGATACTTTGCAATGAGATTTGAGTGAACTCTAGTAATTGTTTAAAACCTAGCTTAGGGAAGTTTAAACCAAACCTCCATCCCAAAAAGTGCTGTCCCTGAACCATGGGAAAAGAGTGCACAGTACAGTGTAGGTGACAATAATTACCCTTGAGGCAGGCCAAGTGATCTGTTGATAAGCCTGGTAAACTCTAGTTTGGCCCACTTCCCTGTTAGGTCATGATCCCCAACAGGTTGCAATCTTTTGTCAGAACAATTGTCTCATTGGCAATACTAATAAGACCTTACATTTTCTTACATTTTCTTACATTTTCTTCTTTGCACATGTGTGCAATCCACTTAGGATATTGCATGGTGATGTGTCTAATTGATCATTTTTAATCTTATATTTTTTGTAGTCTTAATGTACTTAGCCTCAGACGCAATATTGCAGCAGACATAAAGCATCCAATAGATACAAGCACAGTCTCCAGCAAGTTCTCTTTTGGTAGAGCCCAACCTACTCCTCCACCAAAGCCTTACAGGCCACTTGCAGTAAGAATGTTTGTTCGATCAAAATGAATTAAGTGCTCTTTAATATTTCAGAAATTAATATGACATAAATTTTTTTATTTTCTCTTGGTAGCTGTTATTTTCCAAAAAGCTATTTTTTCTTGGTTTGGTGAAATGATCATGTGTTATGTAGTTGTTGTTGTTGTTTTTTGTTGTTTAAATACATGCTTTTGTAATTATTACTTTTTCCACTGAAGGGTGGTAACTTTCTGTTTCTTAGAAATATATGTTTTATAGCCTTCAGTTGGTGCCAAGATATCCTCAGGTTTTTGCTTGTAGACATTATCTCTTGCAAAAATGTAACACTTTTTGGAGATCAAATCCAAAGGAAAACTTTGAGCCTCAAGGAACAGATAAAATTTTTTCAAAGGCAAGATCTCCCAGCAAATTTTCAAACCAAATGGAGGCTATGTTTTTCATGATCATTCAAATATTTTTTTGCTTAGTGCAGAACAAAGCATTGCATGTTTTCCTTTCTTATCTTGTAGGTTATTATATAGAAATGATCAGCCAATTTGACATACGTTTTGTTGCTGCCTGATTTTTTCGACATACTTCGATTTATATGAATCATTTATAATGTGGGCATTCTCAAAGAACTTTTTTTGTTTTTCTCCCTGCTTTTAGACAAGACAGGGAGAGGATAGAAAGGGAAAACCATATTTAACAAGAGTAGAGAAACAGCAACAATGGATGGATCATGAACTGAGTGATGTGAGTGTTACATTATACAATCATGTAATTTTAATTTCAACCTTCTAACAGATTTATTATTGTATACATGCTTCTTATTGCAATTCTACATGCAATCTGTTACTGTACAGACCCAAGGCAACGTGGAATCTATTTGTTTTATAATTTTTGATTAAAAACCAAAATGCTATCAATTTTGACATCATCCAGGAATCTGTCCTCAAATAGATCATAAGTAAAAACTAACCAGATTGTTTGTAGAATTCAGCTTAATATATAAACCCACTTTGTAATACTATAATTAAGTAACCAACACATGCATCCAGACAAGTCACTGCCCTGCAGTTGGGTACTTCAGTCTAAACTTGCATATCTAAATAGCACTTGGCTCAGAACTTTGCTTTATGTATTCAACCTTATATTGCTGAGAGCACCCATGGGGAATATCAAACAAATCTTGTGTTCTGATTGCCACTATAGCCTCTGGGGGTTGCCCACTTTCATCACATACAAGGAAAAAATAATTGTGTGGAGTGGACCTACAATTAGTGTGTAATTTTGGACAGTGTCAGCAATAAAGTTGTATAATATTAGCTGCAGGAGACAGTCAAAACAGAGAATTAAACAACCCTTGTGCATTTATTGTGCTACAAACACAGTTGGCTTTCTTACCCAGTTCTCAAAACAACAAGTTATATAATTCTTACTAATAAAAATATTTTTTCTACTTAATAAATGCCTTATTGACCAGGCTTGTTCAGTCAAGATGGCTGGATATAAGCCTTGTTTGTTTTTCATGCTTGGTCAATAACCCACATATATGACACTCTGATCAAACAGATGTCATACTTATACTTCCTTTTTACCAGAGTGTGAAATTATTTAGTGAAATAAGAGGGTTTGAGACCTGGCCAGGTCAATGTATTGTGTTCTTGGCAAGACACTTTACTCCCACACTTCCTCTCTCTACCCAGGGGTATAAATGGGTACCAGCAAATTTTCAGGGAAGCCTGATGAAATGCTGGGGGCAACACTGTGACAGAATAGCATTCCATCCAGTGGGGGAGTAGTAATATACTTCTGATTGCTTCAACATGGTTTGGAAACGGAGATAAGTTCCTGCTGGGTGGGCTAATAGGCTAGAACACAGACTTTACCCGTAAAGAGAGGATCTAAAGACCTGTAGCAAATATTGGGTTTTATAGATTTAACATCCATTATGCATCATTCTAGCTAAGGAAGTAGCTCACAGAGTGAGTAACATTTATGCATGCATGCTTGGTTGTTTAACTGGTCTTCTTATAACACATTTAACCACAAGTTGTTTGGTAAGCAACTTATTGTTTCATGATTTCTCTTACAGCTACAAAGGCAAATGCCACATCTACAATCAAGTTTATTTCAGAACATTAGCAGTCAAAATCTTCCCCTCCAAAAAAAATCTATATCAGGTAAAAATAATCTTAAATGAATTAACTCCTGCCCCAGGTTCACAATTGGAACCAAAGGATTTTCCTTCATCATCCCTTTCCCTTGATCTGTTGACTTCCCTTTTTGAGCCTAATGCACTCATGGAGACTTTGCATACCTTAGGGCAACTTTACTCAGAACTTTCTATACTTCTGACATTGCTTCCTGCCTTATGCTTGGTATTTATCTTTATGATTGCATTCCTTTATTACTTTGGCATGGCATGGTTCCAAAATTATGAAATAATGTTTTAAAATACAACTCAAATTTAAAGCTAAACAACAATGGTCTCCAGGACCCAGTTGTTATTCCCTTATTCAAAAGCCTATTTGGGATAATTTTCTGTATCCTTTTTAAATAACCCAATAATTACATTCTAGACAAAAATAATCCAACTGAATTTTCTTTTGAAGCTATCAAATCTGAAATCAGATTCCACACTAATCCTGGGTTATCTTAACTCAACTTTGAACACCCCTGCCCAGTACACCAAAAAATTCATGGTGGAATGTACATGCCCAATGTGATGACCTTAATTTCCAGGAAGGATAGAGATAAAGATTTTTTTTGTATTGTTGGTAGCAGGTCAATAAATAGCAGTTTGTTTTACTCCTCAGATTCTGTTTCAATATCAGAGGAAAACATTTCTGGAGAAAGGTAAACCTTTTTCCTTAATTTTTGTCTATCATTAAAAAGGTTGTGGTGTCTCATTTATGAAGTGTTATCATTTTCTTACGATGTGTTCATTTAGATGTGGATTGCAACATTTTGTATTACTACGACTCCCTGTGACACCTAAATAGTCCATTTTAAAGTTGTGTGCTTGGTTGCCAAGCCTTTGAACAGGAGTGAGGCTAAGGGTGACCTTGTTATGATACAGACCTTGCTGCTTTTGAAAAGTAAATTACTTTGTTATCATGCTTACTAGATACTGGTCTCTACCTTAACCAGGTCGCCTTCAGCCTCACTCCAAATAAAAGGCTTGGCAACTATATACGTACACAACTGTAAAATGGCCTATTAAACTACTTGAAGCAGTATTTTGTGGGAATGTCTTGATCCACATCTCCTTCTCTTGATGCGATATTTTATTTCATTGCTCAATTTGCTGAAACAATATTTTTATTTACACAGAAATGATGATGCAACACTCAACTCTTTACGGCAAGTAAGTCATGTGTTTCATATCCATGCAGTCTAGCTCTCTGCTGTTGGTTAATCCAATACGAACTCTAGGTTTACTTTTGGAGTATAATTTTGCCCAAGGAATTTTAATTCTAGTCACACTTCCATGTGCTCTTTTAAAAGCACTTAACTGTATGACAACAAATTTGACACTTATATCATCTATGTAACTACTAAGACATTTTTTCTTCTTTCTTTTTTTTGTTAAAGAAATTTTCATCTTTGCCAGAATTGTTTTCAAGGGATGCTGTACTAGAAGAGCTTGGTGTCTTGCCAGAAGATGTAAAAGGTTTGGAGATATTAAATGGGAAGATGGAAAAACTTCTCAATTTTCTTCTTTACACTTCAACTAATATAAATATTTCATAATGTACAAGTAGGAGTGAATAGAACACTCCAACCCCATACAAATAAAGAAAATTTGCCTTTCATAGTGTGTTGCCTTTGAATAGAAATGTGAAATAATTAAAATTTTGAAATCTCTTAGGTGAAATGAATTCAAATGCTAATATTGTTGCTTTATTATCACATATTCTAGCTCATGTGCTCAAGAGAAGCCAGAGTGAGAGTAAACTTGTGGTGTGTGCAAACAATAGTGTTATTTTGAGAGTTCATCCTACAAAAAGGGTAGCAGGGAGTGCTTCTCTGTCACCTGGATAAGGAGGGGACCTTTTCATGAAATTTCTAGTGACTTTGTAGGCCTAATGGACCTTTCTGTGTCGTTTCCTTATATATTTACTATTTGAATTTCGAGCCCATCAATCTCTTGATCTCAAAAGTAAACACAGCAAACTAAGAGCAGTAGCAGCAGAAACCTATTTTTCTACCCTGTTCCCTACGTTTTGATTCTTCTAAATGGGTTTCTACAGGTGAGGGGGGTTTGTTTAATGAATACTTTTCTTTTAACCCTCTAACCCCTAAGAGTGATATGCACCTAATTTCTGTAACAGTATCACTCTTGTAAAGTAAAGGTCATGAGAATAAAGGAAATGATAACCAATTCAAGAAGCATCTGATTTTCAGGCAAATTCTCCTTGTCAGTACCAAAGAAATTGTGAAGAGAACAGTGTAGAGAACATGAATATGAAGTTAAAGTTAAGGCTTAAAAAAAATACAGTAAAACTCCCAGTAACTTAAACCCTAATTGTTTTCCCTGAATTTCTCTCTGCTTACATTTATGTAATATTACCATTGGTAAGGCTTGGTAACTTTCCCTTCTTGCTAGCAAGAATTTGTTTGGTTCCCTTCCAGGGGTTCCCTTTGGGTAATTTTCCATGTAATGTTTACCCATTGTGTCTCAAACTGTGTTTTTTAATATCAGAGTCCAGACTAGCAGTATAATGGAACCCAGAATGTTATATTTTCAGCCGACCTCTTTGTACTGCACCTAAAATTTGATTGGTATGTTTACTGTAACAAAAAAGACAAAAACAAAAACAAAACAAAAAAATTAGTCAACTCTGTTTTTCCCTCATTTCTGGTCATTTTTTGTGAATTCTGGGAACTGAAATTCCTGGTCACTCAATTCTTTCCCAATCTCCTTTGAAAGGTCAAGTTCTCAAGAGTCAGCAATGCCTTTTTCCTTATTTATTGCTAATATCATTTCAGGAAGAGGAAACGTTTGATGGACTTGAAGATGACAAGACAGCTGAAAAAAGGTTGTTGTTTATTTGGTCCCCTGCATATTTCAAAATCCGATAACACCATAGCTTTTACAAACTTAGCCCCTATCAGATTGTAGACTCAAGAAGTTCAGTTGACTTTGTTAAGTTATAATCAATGGCTCTAAATGAACTAATTTGTAAATGAAATAATTTGCGTACAAAAGCACCATATCATCCATGCATTTGTATGTGTCCAGTGACGAAATATTTATTAAGTTAAATAGACTGTCCAACCTATTCTTATATCGTCACTAAATTTAGAGTACAGATATTTTATCTTTGTTGTTAACCTATACTATCAAACCAGATAGAGCTATATCCACGGACTGTGGCAGATTTGCAATATGTAGGTTCCAGGTTAAAACTGTTTAACACTCAGTTTGCTGATATTTAGGAACTTAAAACCAAAGGTAAATTTACTGTATATTTTTAGGTCTGATAATGCAAATCATGCCTCACGAGACCTCGTCAAACTTCTGGACTCGTCTTTGTCATCAAAACCCTCGGTAAAGAACAGAATATACGTAGTAACATGTATACATACGATTATTGGCGATTTACACCTACCAGCGCTGATCGTGTCTATATCTTCCATTATCAAAAACGATGCTATCATGTGAATTCAAAAGTTAAACTCAAAAACCAAGATTCACGAAAGCTACATCTACATCAAAAGCGACAAGTGAAAAGACTTTCATGAAAAGTAACGCCAGTTTAGCATTTTGGAATACTGTTTTTTCGTTGTGGTTTTAAAATGTTAAACAGTACAATCATATTATGTACATTGAATAGAATGGTCATAGTTTGTCGTAATTGTTATTAAAACCGGCAGTACAACTCTTGAGCATACGCGGATCTAAAGCGATGGTAGTAAGCAGAAAGCATCGTCCAAGTTAAAGATGAACCCCATAGTTCCCTTTTAATGAGACAGACAAGTTACTTCTAAGAGGAAATACAGCCTTCGAGATTTTGTAAGAGGATTCTAGAAGAGTGACAGTTAGTGCATTGTTTAGCCAGCCCTATCCTCATCTTTAGATCCAATACGGTGAAATTGCGACAGTTTTGTTCTTCATTTGTTATTGAAGCTTCCCTCTTGCAAAGCTACTATTTGTTTTATCAAATCTGTGAATGGTGATCTTGTGTCTTGTCTATGGTTTAGGAAGGAGTTCAAGGCGAAGAAGAATACGACGATCTGCCTCCACTTTTACAGGTTCGAGTTACACAATTGTTGATTGTTCATGTAAGACTTCTGCCTAAAAGTTATTGAAGACTTTGCTACAGTGAGCGAGTAGGTTATGCAACAAAGGTTTATGTTTTGTTCAAGGCACTTGCTCGGCACAGCACGAGACACAAGGAAAGAGATCAGAAGACACAAAAGCGGCTAAAGAGAGAAGTTGAATCTAAGGACAACTTAGATGATACAAGTAGTGTCACATCCACAATAGGGTCAACAGAGGCGTCTTCAGTGGCTGCTGATCCAACTATTCAGGAAGAAACGTAAGATTTCACGAAAACAAATTGAACTGATAATTTGTCGTGCATTTTTTTTAAGTCCAGTTCTCATTACGAAACGTTTTCATGATTCATTTCGTCTCTCACATTCTTCATGGTTATTTTTCCTTATTTGGGAAATAGTTACTGCCATTTGGTACAATCATCGGTTTGAATTCATTCGGGACAAGAAATTAAGCACATTTTTACTGAAGAAGATATCACTAAGAGCCAAGGAGGATTCAACGTAAAAATTGGCGCTCAATTGTCTGAAGCACGAGAAAACGGAAATCTTTAATTTGCCATTGATTTTAGTTTCACATCTGATCAGCGCATGAGAGGTTTGCTTGAATTGTGTAAACCAGTCACAGAGGGAGATAAACCTAAACCAGTGCAATGCTGCATTATTGTGGACACACAATAAAGGAAGGAAATTGGGTGGGGTAAACAATCGTAAAATTGATTTAAAATTCAGTTGCATAACTAATTAATAAAGAAGAATGAACACCTCTCTAAACATTGGTGTGGCTATTGAGAATGCCGATTGCTTCTTTATATAAGTACTTCTTCATTTAATCGTTGATTAATTCACATTTTGTTTATTTTGGGCCTCGTTTGTAAACCATACGAATTTAGGTGTTGTCACTCCATGTTTAGTTGGACTACATTTTTTGGTAACCGGTCGGTTCGACAATGAGTCGTTTCGCAAACATCTCTGGTCAGTTCACAAACGTGTAGAAGTCAGGTCGCAAACGTTCAGAAGTCAGTTCGCAAACGTAATAAACATTTACATGTCAACTTGGGTTTAACTATACGATTCAGAATACAACATTGCTGACACGTTGTATGCGTAAATTGTTGGATGTGAAATCTCACAGCTTATTTCTCGCTTAAGTATATTTCATAATCAAATGGGCAGTTTTTATCCGGTGTCTCAGTAGTTGTGAATCATCCTTCAAAGAGCAAAGCTTCCTGATAAAACACAAAAACAGTAAGACCTGTTTCATATCGGTAGATTGATTTGCGGATTACAGCTATTGTACATGCAACACGCAAGCGCTGTGATAGAGCGAAATCAACAACAAGACTGCATGACTTAAGTTAGAGAGTTAGTTTGTATCCTTAAACGTTGACATATAAAATCTACAATGTGTGTGAACTAACTTCTACACATATAAATGTTGATAACGTTTGCGAACTGACTTCTAAATGTTTGCGAGCTGACTTCTAAACGTTTGCGAACTGACTTCTAAACGTTTGCGAACTGACTTCTAAACGTTTGCGAACTGACTTCTACACGTTTGCGAACTGACTAGAGGCGTTTGCGAAACGACCGACATTCCATTTTTTTATCGTTAGGTAAAAACAGAGCATAAGATTTGATGTAAAGAATATTATATTAGTGATATATTCATCTGGACTCACCTCAAGTTGATTTCTATTTTCCTGTTTCAGTATCACAGAATTTACCGGTGAAGAGGTAAGTTAAGATTTTGTCATTTTTGCATCATCTGTCTGAATTTTCGAACCTCTTCTTGAGTTTGAAGTTGATAATTATCTGAACATTTCACCCGTCTTTCTACTTTCCACGCTTTTATCCTTCACTTCTCGTTCTTTCAGAGCAACATAACTGTCTTATGTAGACATAAAGGACTGCCTGTTAATCTCACCAATTCCTTCCGTGCATCTGAAGAAACAATGACTTTGACAAGACTAAATACACGAGAGGCTCTTACCCACTTCAAAATATTCTTTCATTCTCAAACTGCTCGAACTAATAACACATTTATAGAACATGTCTTAATAAGTATGTTCATTTATGTCAGCATCCTCAGCCTGCAGTTGTGTCACTGCGACTTCCTGATAAGGTACGTTTAAAAAAAATATTATTTTATAGGAACTCGATATTTATATTTATATTTGATAGGGACAGTTTGGGGAATAAGACAGCAAAACCCTCAGATAAATCATCATGGGTTGAAAGGTGTTTAAAACAATAATCGTACTGGAGGAAACCTGTTTACTTCATTAGTCCGTGCGGAATTGAGATGTGCTCTTGAAATGTAGAAACAGTATAGTAAAGAAAAACCTGGAATAAAAACTTTGTAATGACATCGCCCCTGAAGAGGGATTTCCGCATTACAATTTCTTTAGGCAATAGACTAGACTTTCCATCGGTGTACAGTTGTACAGTGTACATGATAATCCTCTTGGTATGTTGGATAACACGGGATAAAAATGTGTAAAACACTCGCTTCCGACGTGTAAACTGATAGAAAGTTTAGTCTGTTGCTTTTAGGTAATAAACTTCAATTTTCTTTGGGTTTATCAGTTGGTTTTGACCAATCAGGGTGCGCGTAGTATCTCAGTTATTTTATAATTGTGCTTAGACATACGTATTGTCATTGGAGAAAGAGTCAGAGGGAGCCTTCATATGTATCTTATGTTAATTTTCTCATTTGTTGTTATTTTTTCTAATGGCAAAGTTATCTGACGGCTTTTATCTCCTCAATAGAATTATTTTCACACGCTAACGCGATGAAAAATTTGTTTGTTAAGTACTTGATACCAGTGCTCATAACGTAAGCGCTCTCACGGGCTATTTTACCATCCACTTAGGGTAGATATGGGTGGACTGAATAATTATGCCCCAAGAATAACTTGATTATCTTTTCAGTCTGTAGTGAGAGCATCAGATGTTCGAGTGTCCAACAGAGTCAACAAAGCTTCAGTGACACTCAAAAGATATCCCACTGTTTACAATGACCTCATCGGAGAGGTAAGAGTGTACAGTACTGAAGTTTCACGGCTTTCTTCTGAAACTCACCTCAGTTTTAATATTGTTCAATACATTTCTGGACAGATTGTCAACAAGACACATTTTGCGATCCTAAAACTGTGTTTTCCTTGGTCAGGGGTGTCAACAATCGTCCTATGCTAGAAAAATCAATAACTGTTTATTAATTCCTCTTCTCATTTTCATTTACTAAAGCTAACCCCGAGGAATATTCAAACAACAGCTAATCAAATGAATTTTTATATCACGTGTAAAGAGGTTGATCTCCTTTTTAAATTGTTTTTAAGTGACGACATACGTAAAACCAAGGAGAGTAACTTGTGTTGCGTAGATTACGCTAACTAGTTCATTAGTTGTGTTTTTAGATAGAGATTAAAACAGAAAAGACGAAACCCACATACACACACGCTTCTCGTCATCGTTATGAATAGATATGGGTATAAATTCAAGTGACATGGGAATACAAAAGTTTCTTGAATGGTGGTTCGGTCTGTCAAAGTGTGTGAATTTAAATGTAATGTGTCAATCAATTTGAAGCTTCAACATTCCCCCAGGGCAACCCCCGAGCATTTGAGCTTTAGAGGATTGGTTCATTCAAATTTCCACTCCCCAGGGACAAAATTGTTTTCAAATGCCCCACCTAAGTGTTGGATTTGATCGTCAATTTTTTTGCAAAAGGCAAGATTAGCGACCAAGACTCTTGTGGACTTTTTCTTACGAACCATCTGCTCCCAAAGTAAGCTTGTTGGCTTTAAAAACACCTCTATATTAAAAGATAAAACACTTTTATTCTACTGAAAGGACTGGACAGTTCCAGGTTCAAATTCTCCACTTCACTTAGGAACGGTTTAAGTTTCCCACGCCCGGGGGCACGGACAACAGTCAAATGGGGTTGTGGGTCAATAAAAAGAAGATTGGGAAAGTGGGAGAAAATGGTGCGGTGTCAAATTTCAATTCCTCCAAATGTTTTTCTTGAAATGTCGGGTGCGTTTCTTGATAAAATCGAATAAAAGAAGACTGATAGAAAAATGTTAATGAACTCTTGTTTTCTTTTCACTACGTATTTGTTGTGTGTAACGTGAAACATTCTATGCAATGAAGCACAGGAATTAGACACGGCATTGGAGCTTCACTGATCCCCCTTGCTACAGTAATGTTTAGGGAGTGTCCCGTTCCCTGTGGCAAAAGCCCTTACTCCACATGTTTGTTTGGAGGGGAGAGTAAATTCAGTATATTTCATGGATTTTTAATAAAAGTCGACTAATCTCTTGGTAAGCAAAGATTTCAGGACCTATTGGCATTTCAGAGGAGTCTCAGTCGTAATATCTCTTCATAGAATTGTTCTGAATTTGAATAGTTTTGTATCTGTCAGGGTTAATATTCTTTCAACTTCATGCACATATTCCAATTAATTTTTGGAATGCATGGACACCGTATTTGTGAATTGTCTTGATGATGTTGCTGTTTTTGACGTGATATTTCAGATTGATACACCCACTGTCAAGTGGCTGGATAAGAACCTGTTTATAGGCGAGGAAATTAAGGAAGTTTATGAAGAAATCACCAAGACGATTGGCACTGATCATCTCCTATTTGATCAGGTAACGCGATGCAAGACCACTCATGGAAACTCAACATGCAAAAAAAAAAAAATATATATATATATATATATGATAAATATAGTGCTTTAAAATTTGATCCTTCACATGGACAATGTATATGGGATAGATACATGTGTTTATTAAATGTTAAATTATTGGATTGATTGCGTTGAAGGCTGGGTAAAATGATAAGTAATTGCGCATCATGGAACATGGAGGTTTGTCTTGGAGGAAACACATTTGTGTTCGATGTCTTTGTAGGATTTATATGTGGAAAGAACAACGGAAACAGTAGATCTTACTCTGTGCACCTCATCTTCTTCCCTATGCAAGCCCCGTGCAGAGCGTGTGATGAACAATAACTTGGCAAAAGATATTCCTCCACCATGGGGAAATGGTACTGCTGACAACTGGAGAAACAGGTAGCAAGAAAGACCTATTATTCAGGCATCATACCTTTACATCTATGAATTCCTGTTGATCTTATTTTGCTGAGACTCCCTTCGAATGTCTGTATCAAAAATAATGGCGATCGATGTCTCGATAGCGCTGTTACGCAGTAACGAAACTTATTACATACATTGTGTTAGCAGAGACATCATGAAATTTTTAAAGATAGGTAGCTAATAAATAGACTGATCACGAGCTCCCAAATCCGGAAGATTATTTTCCAAGGACTTTGTGCTGGTCAGCTAAAAGATTGATTTGACACTAATTTTCTTCATTGAAATTGCAGCCCAAAGTTCGGTGGTCTTGGAAGGGAAGACATCCTTCAGGTACCTCCAATTCATAGTTTCTGCAAAGAGTGTAGTAATTCCTTACACGTTCATTGGCCCAGAGCCATTGTGAACGAGACCCAATTAGGCTGTGTCTACATTTGATCAAGAAGTAAATTTATCTGAGAAAAAAATGACCTTGTTAATCGAAGTTATCTGTACCAAGTGATTTATGCCTACCTTTTGTTATGATATCAGGCAAAGCTGAAGAAAGGAGATGACAATGGTCATGGAAATAAATCCTACAACTCTTGGTTGGCTTGGTGGCGTAGCACCATCACAACCGATGACTTCCTTAAGTTTCTCTCCACTCAGGTAACAACTTCATCACAAACTACACCAAAGTAACGCCAAATGTAAACAAATACACCAGCTACACAAAAATAAATCACTTCCATTACTAAACTAAACTATAACAGCCACAGCAGCTACACTGAACTACAGGAACTACACTGGAAACACCAGTTATAGAAACTACACTGGCTACACTGACTACATGGAGCGGAAATTACATTTTAGACAAATGTTTCTCCCAATTCAGTTTTATACCATAAACATTAGGAACATTTCAGCTTGCTACACAACCGCCCATCTCATGCAGGTCATCAAATTTAAATGGAGCTGAACAAATAATTTTTTCAGGAAAATGAAAGTGTCTCCAAGTTTTCTTTGCCCTTGAAAAAATGAACAATGAATGCTAACTGACAAATTTTTCAGTCAACACTTGTGCAAAAATGCATGTTTCATTTTTTATGCTGATCTTATTCGATTGTTCTCTTGTCAATTTGCGTTACTGGAACATGTATTATCTTGACTTCTGTGTGTTACTCTTCTGATGATACTCGTATTGCACGGTAAATAACATCAACATTTGATCTTACAGGAAAATGACTACCTGTCGCTGTTGTTTCATTTGTACGATTCTGATCATGAAGCCGATGACGGAGAGGATGGAGACGAGGCTCGGCCAGACACCGTTCAGTTGGCTTTGTTAAGGTCATTAAAGGCTTTATATCTCCAAGCTGTACTCAGAAATCTTTTGTGAAGACGTGGTTAACTCAAAGTGTCTACGAATGTGTAGACGAATCTCAAGAATGTATACAGTGTGAGATTTTATTTAGGTGTTACGCGAAAGGTTTTTCTCTTAAGTTAGGCTATTTCTTGTGAAAAACGTGTTGATTTAACCAGTTCTCAACTCTGGTTTTAGGGAGCGAGAACGAAAACTAGCACAACTGAGGTTGTTAAAAAAGGACTATCAACCTGGTGTGTGGAATGTTAATAGTGTACTTCTTGGAGGACTTGGGAATGAACCTGATGTTGATGGTAAATAGATTTATAGCAAATGCAAGTATGACGACGTTCACACAACTTCCCTTCCAATCCTAAGTCCTCTAAAGCGATTGATGCAACGAAGGGCAAAAGCAACCTAAAACAGCAGTATTCTGCATGAAAACGATGATATTTTGTTGTTTGCTCCATAAGATCCACTGTAGCCCACTCCTATCACACGAGTTAGTAATGTGATCCGTTTGGACTTGTTGCTCTAGTTATCAAACAATGTTTTTCTGCTTTTGCTCTGTCGTTCTTGATGACCGCCTTAAAAACTCCTGTCCTTTAGTGAAGCAATCTAATGAGAAATTAGGACCAATCAAGTAGATCGAGCAGTGTGTAGATATTTTGTGGATTCCTGTTGAGTTTCTGTTCACTTTCTCCTGTAGAGTGGCTTGGGTTCAACTTCGAAAATAGGCCGTTTGAGATAAATTTTTTTATTGTCTTCTGTTTTCTTAGAGGAGGAACTTCTAGCTAATCTTGAGGAAAGTCTTAATATCGTTACGTCAGACACATCAACTAAACAGACAGGTGGAGCAGCCACCTCCCCATTGTCTCACTCGGTTGGCAGTGCAAAGTCGGTGAGCTCAATGTCAAATTCTGACCGGCAGAGAGTGGACACAAGTTCTGTGGGTGTCATACCACAAGCTGTTAGTAGTGCTGGTGCAGAAACGGCTAGTACAAGCGAGGTTTGTCACTCTGAGGGAAACGATAATTCATATAAAGATCGCCCACACCTTTTGCAGTAGGTCTATTAAGATTATTTTATTTTGTTAGGTGGGTTCATTGTCGCCTCAGGATCGTCTGGAAAGGTTATGGACATTGTTATGTATGCCTGATACACAGAGACTAGACATGGCTATAAAATACAGTGCTGAACCCTACAGCAGTAATCTTCTAGAGGTACAAGAACATTCTTGATCAATGTGAAAAAATTGAAAATTTGATTTACTCGTGTATGGTATGGTCTTTCGATTGTCAATCAAAGGTTTGGTTCCTTGCGTCAAAAAAACTACCTTCGAGACTAGAGCCACGATATAGCTTTTACATTTGTAGATATTAAGTTGCACTTCATCGGCGGAAACTCAGAAACTATTAAAATTTATTATTTCAGGCTCTTACCTTCTGGGAAATTGCTACAGAGGTAATCTTAGACCGTGAGAGTTTAATGACTAAGCTTGAAGATTTTGAAAGAACTGCTTCCGATCCTAACAGATTCTTTGCCAAAGGTAAGTTTCGACGAAGGCTGTTTGCCATTCACATTATGTTTTAGATTCAGGCATTAGGAAACAAATTTAGCCCAAGTCATTACTGATAGTCAAACCTACATGTAACATCTTTATTGAAATAAATCAGTCGTTCCTTCTTATAAGTGGCACTTTTTCCTTAGAAAACAATGGTTCATCTGCTTCGCGAATTAAGGAATCCAAGACAAGGGATTGGTTTAATAAGGTAAGGTAATCAAACGTTCTTCTTGCACATCTTAAATTGGCCCACATAAGAACAGGCTTGGGGTGTTTGCTGAGTTGTATGATACGAACAACATGAACAACTTGTAATGAACAAATCGTCAAACACCCTTTTTTAATGATAGAGTGCACTTAGGCTGCATGCTGGCCATTAAACCATTTGTGTGAGAGTTATTTGAAGGGACAAGTGTACAAAAACTGCAATTTAACTGGTGTGCGTGAAATACTTTATTTTCCATGGGTGGCAGCGCCTCACTCGCATTGAGAGTCAGATTAAAAGATCGGTTACAGATGTTCAACGTCAGTTTGGCGACATTGTGACATTTCAGGTATGCTGTTTTTTTTTAAATAAGCCATGTGCATTGGTGTAATGAAAGGAAATGTACAATTTGAAGGGTCAAGGAGTTGGGGGGAGATTATCCTGTAGATCAGTTCTTGCCTATTTGTCTTTTTCATGTTTCTAAACCCTGGTGAAACCCCACTTTAGATCCAGAAATAGTCATTCCATGAAGACTTAGTCATTTCTTTTTGTGACCAACTGTTTTGGCGTTGAAGTATCCCTCTCACGAAGGGCTAACACTTGATACTTCAACTTAGAAACTCTTAACAGTGGCCAATTTACATAGTCAGTTCGGTTGTTAAACCAAATTGTTTTGGGGTTGGTTTGGTTAATTAGGACTTTTCCTGTTCTCTCGGTCACCATTCCATGCGGTTTTCTCTCAAGTTGTTGACACAGAGACACTTATTGTATATCACTCGTGGGAGTAACTTCATTTTGGTTTACCCCAATATAACACGAGCTAAGAAAAAGGAAACGAAGGAATAAAATATGTTATGACTTATGCTATATTATATAAGATTTCAAAACCATGGTCACGATTCTGATTTATTTTGCTGTAACTGACTGAATTATTGGTGAGTTTTTTTGCTAATTCTTTGACTATGAGGGATTCTTATTTGAAATCTATGTAATCTAGAATGAAGCTTCCCTGGTACATTTAACCTTACTATGATTGCCTTTTTCTTACAGAAATTGTAAACTGTATCGGCACTTTGTTTGACTTTTTCAGGGTCGCCCTTACCTGGAGAAAATAAACCTGGATCGAACCGAGATGTTTTATTGGCTACAGCAGGAGCGACGACAACATACGATGGACAGAGAACTTGTCAAGATGAGGGAAGTCACACTTAACGCTACTGATCTTCCTCCAATACAAGCGCACATGATATTGTAAATAGAATGCTGATTATGGTATAGAGTTTGTAATAAAATATGATGAAAATCTGAGTAAGGATATTAATTTTTGCTATCTTAAATGGCTGTTTTTCCATTTTGTGGACATCCTGGAAGACAATTCCAAGCATTTAGGAATCAAAATTTCCAAAATACTTAACAGATTGCATAGTTTGTGTCAAACAGACTTCACCTACGACTCCTAAATGGCCTAAAGTGAACTTTCTTGGACATTATTTCAAACTTGGTAATTAATGAAAAGCTCAGCTACAAAACTGAATTTAATTTCTACCTGCCCCATACTAACAATATCTTACACTAATCCACTTCAATCGGTTATGGCATTCACGACCTCTATAAGACAAGACGAATCCCCTCTAGCTGTTTTCGGGAATTGAAGAGAAAACAAGGACGTCAGTTCTGTCAGCCATACCGCTGACAGTCTTAAGGGTTGTGTCATGAAATTCCTTTTTTTTCCAGCACTACAGATACCAGCAAATGACACACTATGCAGAGGGTATGGTATATCACTGTTACTGCGACTGCCACTATCTCGGCCTCTAACACTGTCACTGTCCATTCTTTGTCTCTGTCACTCTTATTTCTTGGTTACCAGTCGTTTTGTACCAAGGGTCGTCTCGTGACCACGGTCATTTTGTACCCAGTCGTACCCAGTCTGGTTATTTCATACCCAAAGTTATAAAGTATGTTTTCCATGTTAGGTATGTTTAAAGTAAGGTCGGTTTCTAATTGCGAATAGCAATATTACCTGCATAAGTAAGTTTTTGACGTGGTGTCCATTTTGAAGCGTGACCACCAATTGTCATGCACAACGTGTCGTAATAACATTCAGTTTGTTTGCTCACATGTTGGTTGAAGTTTGCGAATCCTTTCAGAAATTGTTTCAGCAGAGTCTGCTCATTATTGAATGCTTCCCATTGACTAATGGTATTGCTTACAGAATTATAGAATAAATAAACGATTTTATTACCGTTAAGAAGAATGAAAGAAAATATATCTGTCACTCATTATTTATGTTTCTGTTTCTGTCACTCTCACTGTCACTGTCACAAGGTCATTGTCTCTCATATTTACTCTAGCTTTCTTTGTCATTATTTCACTCAGTGGTATGGGCACTCTGAATTCCACTTCTACGGTCACTTTCTCTTTCACAATTTTTATTCACTCTCACCATTATTGCCTCAGTCACTGTTTATGTCATTCTCATTTTCACCGTCATTGTCACCGTCTCTGTCACTGGCCTTGGCAGCGTTTCAGTCACTCTCACTGTCTATGTTACCTTCTCTGTTACTGTCACTGAGTCTATCAGTGTCACTGCCTGTCACAATCACTGTCGCTTTTTCTGTCACTCACATTGCCACTGTCACTGTCACTTACAATGTCACTTGCTATCACTGGCAGTGTCAGTGTAACTGTTTCTGTCACTAGGTAATATGGTATTATCAACTGAGTTGATAACGTAAATTGGCCACCTTGAAGAGTTTCAAAGCTGACGTTCCAAGTGTCAGCCCTTCGTCAGAGCAAATGGAGGAATTGTGGGTTGTGTGTGTGTTTACGTGCAGAAAATGGAACTACGCTATTGGTGGGAACAGGTAACGAGAAAGACAAGAATAAACTAGTTGAATGAAAGCGTTCGTTGATAACGTGGGGATTAAGAGTGCCGATTTCAAAGATAAATTTAGGAAAGATACATTTTTGTTCTCGGAATCGGTCACCCAGTCGTCTTCCTGTTTCAACTATGTATAGCTTTTGGCAAGAAGTGCAAGTTATGCAGTAGATGACATTGACGGATCGATCATTAATCTTGATGGATCTCTCGGGTCCCGACATTTCCTCCACCTCATGAATGAAAGGACAGATCTGCATCATGCGCAGGCGCATTTGAAAGTTCCAGGCAGGTCATTACCTCTGACTACAGAGTTGCCTATGATTTTGTCACGTTTGAATGACATAACTGGAAGTTGCGAAAAGAATGTACCAGTCTCTGAATCATTTTGTAGTAATTAAAAGTTTTTAAGAATGATATATTTAATTGCGTAGTTGTGAGGGTGAAATGTGAAAGTGAATGGAATGCGATTTGTAGTTTCCAATGTGCTGTTTGTTGTGCTGATTGTCTATCAATTCCTCGGGTGCGGTGGTGGCCCGCCTGGACGACAGAAACAGGATAGTCACCTTTCGGGAAAAAAAATGACACATTGCCTCTGATTTGTCGCATTTGTGACACTGTCTGTGTCACTGGCTTCGAAACTGTTTCTGTTGCCGTTGTCATACTCCCTCACTGCCATTGTCTCTGTCATTGTCACTGTCTCTGTCACTTGCACTGTCAGTGTCACTGTTTCTAACACTGTCACTGTCCCTCTGAATGTCAATGTCACTGTCTCTATCGCATTCACTTTCTCTATCACTCCCACTTCATTTTCATTATCACTGTCATTATCACCATCATTGACCGTGTCACCGTCACTGTCCCTGTCACGGTCAGTGTCTTTTCATTCACTGGTACTGTTTGTGTCACTGACACTTCATTGTGACTGTCTCTGTCACTGTCTCACTTACTCTCATTGTCTTTTAACGCTCTTGATCTTCCTCCGATACAAGCACACACGGAATAGTGGATAAAATGTTTATTACTGTGTAATGTTTATAGCAATGCAATGAAAATCTTTGAGAAAGGTTTTCAGTTACTGCTATCTAAAAACTGCCGGTTTTGTTACTTTGTGAACATTTTAGAGAACAATTTCAAGAGGTTTTTGGGAATCAAAATTTCCGAAATACTCGACAAATTGCACAATTTATGTCAAACGGACTTCACCTACAACTCCTACGTGGCTTCAGGTGAACTTTTTTGGACGTTCTTTCTAACCAGGTAATTAGTAGAAGGCTCTTAACTACAAAGCTGGATTTGCTTTTTACAAGCCCTATACTAAAGGTATCTTTCACTCATCCACAACCGATGGGTTATGGCATTTCCGACCTTTATAAGACAAGATAAATCCCTTCTTGCTGTTTGCAGAATCTGAACGGAAAACAACTGTGGCCATGTTGCCTTTGACGTGTTTTAGGATAGGAGACGTGATGGAACCACAATACCGCTGACCCACTTCATTGCCTAACATGTCGCACACAGCAATATAGTCGTATCTGAAAACAAATATATTGTCCTAATTAAAGAAATAGATATGTGCTTTCTAAAACCAGTTATGAGTAAAATTGCTTTGGTCTCCCTTTACGACCTAGGCTATAAAAAAGTTCACAAACCAGGAAAATCGGTGCAAAAAGCACAATGGCTAAAGATTTTCGGTTCAAAAAGTATCTGTGCTCCTCAAAGATAGGTGTTAACATTTAGCTTTCATGACATAGTCTCAGACGACTTTTAAAGACAACGACCTAGTTATAGTCTTATTTGTGCCCTGGTTTTAAACAATCGATGGACCTCGAGATTTTTAGGTAGGTGGGTCATCGAAAAGAACAATGTCTTTTCATTCTTAGCTACAACTCTTCATCGCCCATAGCATAAATATTAGGATGACGTTTTTCTACATTGAAATCGCTTTAGAACATGGTTCTGCAAAGCAATGTCTTAACATGTTTTAATTGCAGGTCCAGGTGTTGCTGAAACATACTGAGCGGCATGACTACACCCTGATATTCATCAGGAGAGGCCACTCTGCTCTATCGGCCATCTGATGATCTCAAAGGTTACAACATGGAATTAATTTTATGGCCAGCACTTTAGCCAGCACTTTAGACATTGACAAACAACACATCGTGCTGAGTGTATGGTACAAATCTTACGCCTATCCTTGGCATTGACTTGAATATGAGTGAATTTGAATAGACGCGGACAGCTTAAGGCTGGGAAAAAGCTCTCCGAACAGTCTTGAGCACAAAGGTTGCAGCTACTAGCAGACGATCAAGAGGATCGAAAAAATGTTCTTTAGCAACAAGTTTCCAAATAAAACTGAGAAAGCCACTTACACGCAGTTTCTGTCCTCCTCTAAGTACACTTTATGGAAAGTAAAACTGATGAGGTGGTAATCACTTGGTAAGATGATGGACCATATACATGTTGTGTTGGAGGGATACCCTTTTGGGTATCCTGGGGACATCAACTGGCCCTTGACAGACATCAGCACACCTCCACAAACGTCTACAAAACAAAACACACGAGAATGGCAACAAAACGTATAAACGATTGAGTCTCATTGGAGAGCAAAATTTTTCAAAGGCCACGCTTATAAATACCTAACTGGCTTGTCTGCTTCTGCGATTTTTTTTGTCTTGTTTATTTTATTTTAGATACACTTATGATGACCCATTTCGTCTCATTGTGGATTCTTCCAGAGCTCCAATTACTGTCAACGGTTGAGATATCTTGATATATAATAAGGAACCAGCCACATTTTTCCTGATGAAAAATAATTACATCTCTTTTTTTGCAGATTTCTTAGCAATAGGCAAAGCGCTTATTTATCCAACGGAATGAATAATATCCCTTTTCCCTTATCAGCCGTACCCTGCCCTCGTGACTATGCTGAATGAACATACCTGGTTTTGTTGTAGACATTACTGGCGTTGAAATATTCCAACGTGGACTGACTGTGTTTGTCGGTACTGTGTCCCTGCCATTCTTCGTTTCGTTTCTCTTGCTCGACTTATTATCAACTAATGAACCAGCTGTTGACAAGCGTTTTTCAAGTTTTTCTTTTCCTATAACTGTTGATAGTGTTCCTGTCATCATAGAGGAAAGTAAGCTTGTTGTTTGTCTTGTTGTTGATCCCGTCGCAGTTGTAGACACCCTTGAGTCTATTTCAGTGGTCAATGCCGAAGAACTTTCCACAATAGTAGCCTTTCCTTGATTTTCTGTTGTATAGCGTGCATCCTTTTTTAGAGATGTTGCTTCAGTTGTACTTTCCTCAGCTTTCCTTGGTAGAATTGGATTTCTCGTTGTTACTTTCTTCAGTGAATTTGTCATCCACATTTGCTCGTTCTTAGTCAGAGTTCCCCTTATCAAGGTTGTCCTCTTAGTCGTTACCTTTATTACCTTATCGGAGTTTTCCAATACCTGTGCAAGAATTTGCTTCGGAGATTGAGTAGTGGGTTCTAGCAGAAGAAAAAAAGGAAATTGACCTTAAGGAATACTAAAAGGTTGACAGTTAACAGCTAGTCTTTGGCTCTAAGTCGCTGATAGCGATGCACAATGCGCTTTAGACTGTATTTCTTATGTGTATCGCCTCACTAAAAAAAGTTTTCAGTTTTCCATGATCAATGATCAGTATCTCCATGATCGGTGATCCATAAACCTTTTGGCTTTTTGTTGCCTTTAGGCCTTTTTGTTGCAATTCCGCGACCGCTCAGACCAATCTGCTTTCATGAAAAACGTTCGCTTAGGTTATTTTCATCTCCTCTCCTGTTCTAAATAACAGATGAGAGCATGCGCTTAATACCGCAAGAGTGAGCGAAATTTATTGGCTCGCAACCATTTTTAAAATGCTTTCTCAATTATTGTGAATTGTTATCATTGACGCTACTCAAATATAAATTAATCGATACTCACAAACAGTATACTTATTGTATGGTGCTGACTATACAGAAAAACTTAAGTTTTCAAAACCTTAACAGTCCAAAATGTTACCAAAATTGTTCACCACGCGTATTGCACTTTACTCTGCCGATTGATTTAACAATATATTCAAGTTCAAAAAACCTTTGTTCCAAGGATGAAGAACGTGCTTCTAATGTTGTAGGCTTCTGTTATTATCTACTGATTAAAAGAGTCCCATGGTACTTACTATTCATAGAACAACCAGACGACGTTCCTACACGGTATTCCTGGGTTTTACTGACGCGAAGGACAACCGTGGAACCAGAAACACATCCTTGAAGACCTTTGCCAATAATTATGTTTGCTGGTGACGGAAATAGTTCTCTTAAGAGTGCCACGTAAAACCTTATTGGAGGAGCTTTGTCTACACCAAATGAAACAACACCACGGTAGGTGCTGAGCCAAAGAGAGTGCCTCTTGCCATCGCAGAACCCTCCTTTTAATGGCATAGCAAGATTCAATTGGCTCTTACCTTTAGGGGTACTGTATGACATCCGAATGGGGCCTATGTCTAGAAGCGTGAGACGCAAGAAATGATTGGTGTCCTTACTCTTTATCTCCACCAATTGCCCCGTGCAAGTTTCAGTGGAGAATCTCAATTGAATATCAAAGCCCTTTACTGTATGGTAAACCGGGAATGGTTGAGTTTCCTTGCTGCCATAGTCTTGGAAGATGCCCTCCAAATCTGAAAAATAGATACAATTTATCACGGCCGAGTTTTCCTGAAACGACTGTTTTGCTCTATCCTACGAGAATAAGAAGGCAAGTAAGTGATACATTTCAGTATCAAGTCAAAGGGGATAAAGTGAACCAATCATTTTGACTGTAACCATTCACATAATTACTATAATTCCGGCAGAACTTTTAATGCTGAGATGGCAAATGATCCCCGACAAAATAGGATTTAAGTAAACAATCGCTTCAACAAAATTCTCCTCTTGGCGTTAACAATAATGAACTTCTGTTGCATCATTGCAATACCATGTAGTCACAAGCAAGAAACGCTCAGGACATTCTTGTATCCAATTTCCAAAAACTTACAACAAAAGCCGACTAATTCGAGCCTTTTTTAAAGCGTTTGATTTGAAAATATATTTTTCTTGACCAGAGGAACTTTTGGCACGAAAAAGCTGAAATAACTAGTTTCGAGGTTGTCCTTAATTTCCTCCTAGAATAGTTGGAATCGAAAAATTGTCCATTTTTCGATTTTCTTCCCGCGGTTTAACTCACCCCCCAGCTCGTCACTGCTATCTTCACAGTCCATATGTCCATCGCATTTGAATTGGTCGTAAGACAAGATGCAGACTTAGCGCAAAAAACCCAGTTTCATACGCTGTGGAAACGAAGAAACCTCATATAAGATCGAACAACTTTCAGAAATTTTCATACTGTTGGCAACAAACTGACAACCGTCATGAAACTATGAGGCAGTGTGCATTAGGCATTTAGGTCGTATTGAGTGACTATTGATTAGATTGTGGTTTCCGTCAGCTGACAATCAAAGCGCAGATTCTAAAATGCAATCACCTGAGTTATTGTAAGACAGAGGCTTATCACACATGTGAATTCAAAATAACTTTGTTTCTTCTAAGTGATTCTAGAGAAGAGGATTTATTACTAAAGGAATTGTCAGGATTCGTTAGTAAGAAGAATTTGACATACCTTGTGAAGCGTTCAGCTCCGCATTTAGGATGCAGAAGATCAGAACCCATAAGCCTTTTTTTAAGAGAGCGGACCCTACAACACACATACAGAAGAAAAAACAAATATAAAACGAATGCACTTATCTTTGATCAATTTAACATATTGAGAATAGATTGACAATAGATTGAATTGATTCCCCTGTCCATGATTTATTTGTAATATTTCTTAAAAATTTTGAGTTTGCCGTGAGGCTGCCTAACGAACAGCGTGCTCCTCGTTCACAAAATACCGATTTCTTCACTAAAGAGCCAATTATTTTACGTAAAGTGAGACATGATATTGATTGATGGAATGACTATCATAATGATGCGTCCATAACTCGCAACCGTCCGTCCGTTTTACTCATTGGCACTCAAAAACACCACAAGGAAAAAACAAGCGTAACTATTTCAAGCGTAATTGTTTCAATATTTTATTTACATCATTAAGTTTGCCCTCTTACATACCCCTACGTGATCTTAGCAATTCGAGAAAAACAAATTTTAGTACTCGTATTTCATATTTCCGTCGTTAACTTGTAAATTAGTTGCATGCAGAAACAGCTGAATTTGAGCCGAGGAAGAGCGGTTTTTGAGCCAATTGGTGATTCATCATATCGCGGTTTTCGGTATAGGGTATTACTTTAAAGTTTAGCGTGCCAAAGAAAGGCTCCTGATCTCATGCGCCTGTGTTATGTTGCTGCTCGACCGCCTGCTCTGATTCCAAAAAAAACAAAATCTGAACTTAAAATTCTCAGATTTCGGGTGCCAACGTCGAGACTTCTCTTCGAGACAAAATTTTCCACACACTAATGGCTTATTCTCCTGGTCCAAAACGGGAGTATAACGCACAAACATGATTTATAATAAAGAAACAATCCTCTTTCTACATCAATCATTTTGATCTCTCTTTCGACATGTGACACGCGTTACTCCACTTCCCTTGACCAAAAAAGTAGTTCTGTCCATTTGCGAGAAGAACAAGCACGCTTCTTTCTTAACATGATCTTAACACATCATCTTGAAAAACGAAACACCCATGATATCACTACTGCAAAGCTACATACGACGTTTATAAGTCACATGAAATCCTTGTATTGAGATAATCACATTATGGTGTATAAAATTAAACAAACAAAGTCATTATCGCACTTGAAATACACCTCTAGCCCTAGAAGAAGGAAAGTTCTCTCAGACTCACCCATATGTTACTATACTGTGGTAGGTGCGCTGAGCAAATAATAGGAATCGTCAAAGATCGACGAGTTTTACGAATGGCGACCAAATGTCGAAACGGTTGACACGAACTGTGTTGTCGACAGGTCAGGTGTCAAAAGAAAATAAAAGACCTATAATTTGATGAGCTCTCTGACACTTTTTTCCTGTGTAACGTTAACCTTGCAGGAAACCATACTCTAGTCGAATGCGGCGATATTCTACAATGGGAAAGGATTTAGTTATAAGGAATTTGTCACTTGTACCAAATAACTTACATGAGTAACATCGACGTCACAAGAAGGAAAGCATTAAGGAAAGATGTGGCCACGCTGGAAAGAGTATAGAGAAAAGCAGCTCGTTTTTGTCTTTAGAATGAAAACTGTACAACTAGTGTTACAGATATGATCAGAGAACTAGGGCGAGACACATCAGAAACAAGACGAATGAAGAACAGACCAACACTAATGTATGAAATGAGTCATAATCTTATAGACATTAAATCAGAAAATTAGTTGAAATCTCATAGGGAGAAGCTACATATTCAAATAAAGAATACCAAAAACTAACAAAGATTTAAAAATTTTTTTTTTCCTAGATCTGTATGATCTAAAATAACAAATTATTTTAGATAGACTTTAGATAATTATTTGAAGATGTCTCATTATAATTTTTCAGTTATCAAGATTATTCATGTTATTTCCATATACTCTTTTATAAAGTTGGTGTGATATCACATAGAACTCAATACAATGAAGAAGCAGGTGTAGAAGGAAAGAGGCACCATATTTCACTGTGGAAAGGTTCAAGACAAGATACACTTCTTCGTAATTACTTGAAATTTCACTTTTCCCCGATTTCTTTCAGAGATAATACTTCCCTGACTCAAAGTGAAATTTCCTAACTTTTCCCTAACCTTGAAGAACTTTTTTAACCTGTTCTGTGGCACACATACCTATCGACCAACGAGAGTATGCTTGGTACACAAAATATTTAATAAAAGGAATGCGTACCTGGTCTCATGCGGATAGACATGCAAAGGGAGCTTTTCTAAATTACCACTTAGAGAAGAGTTAGCTAAGATATAAATTTGCATAATCTTTTATTAAAAAAAAAAAAAACATTTCTACATGTATGATACTTTAAAACCTTTCTTTCCAGGTTAAGGCGAGTTAACAAGGTACAAGGACACCTTCGAAAATCTGGCAATAAAAGTAAGCAATACCATAAATGTTCCTAAGCTCGCGTTTCCAAGTTATCGATTGTTTGTTCTCTTAATTTTGAATTATTCTGACCCTTTTAAAGCAGTTTTCATGAAATCCATCGCATGCATCAAATAGCAAACACCATGGCTTAGGACCTTTTTTTACACGAACCTGGGTTGAATCATAACAAAGCGTCGGCTGAATGTGAACCTATGACACAAGCGCGGGCTGCCAATCTGCACCAGAACATGGTTTGATGGAAACTAACCCGCCTCAACCTTTATACCAACGAAAAACCTCATGACATGGACTTCAAGGGAGACACAAAAAGGTCAGGTGTGACCGAATAATGGTAAGTCATGATGTAGAAATAACAACATAGAGAGACGAAACAGAAATGGGTGTTTGGTTTTAAGTGTCTACTAAGATGGCGTTTGAGCCAATATCTACAACAAAATATTAGGACATTTCTTCAACCCCACAAACCGGCTCATCCCAGGTTTCGACAGAGGGCCGGCTCGGCCCGAGGTCTTACTCAAAACAAAATATTTGGCTGCTGAAGGGTTACCCTTCGTGGTGATTCAATCCGGGTTAAGTAACTAGCCTGATTTTTGTGCTTGTTTCTCTCCCATAAAAAATTATGTATTACCAAACACAAGGGGATTGTGCTCATTTCTTAGGAAGTCATTTCAATGAAGATTTTTTAGATCATAAGCACACATAAGTTGTACTATTTAGAGGCCACATATAACCATCCTTACAGATAATAATTTACTGGACCATTGTGGACTGGGTATTAGTCTATTGCACGGATCAGAGTCAAGAATAGCGGTAGAGTGGTCTCACTGATAATTTTTGTGCTTGTTTCTCTCCCATAAACGTGTAAATTTTTAAAAATATTCCGTTATGCCTAATTATCATGATCATTTTGGTAACAAAGTCTTTCACTAGCAGTCAAAAACTCCTCGTTCGCTCAGTTCAGAGCTATCTTCTTCAGATTCATACCCCATCACTATCAGAATCACTGTAAAAGTCCTGCAAAGTAACTCGGTTGAATTTGTACTTTTGCCTGTCAAAGCAGTTCATGTAAGACCACCATCCCCTTGTCCTACCCACTGAAAAATCTTTCCGGCCTCCATGGAAATCGCTCATTTGGTTGCGCTTGTCTCGGCGGTAGGCACGCACGCGTAGGGTTATACTGATAAGGAGCAGAAATACAATAGGAACTGCTAGGACTGACAGGATGATGAGAGCGGGAATGATACCAGCAGTTATGTCAACATTGCTGTCACTGCTCGAAGTGTCGTCTTGCGGTCCACTAGCAGAATTGTTTTTCACAGTAACTGTTTCAGTTGGGTTTGGACTGGACTGCCCAATGGTACCAGTACTTGAAACAGAGGGAAGTGAAGGGTCCTTTCCATATTTCTTTAGTTGATCTGGATCGGCAGACGCTCGGTGAGTTGACTGGGACGTATTTTCACTCTCTCCCTGCTGGGGATTAAATTCGTCTACACTTTTCCCTGGAATAGAGTGACTGCCTTGACTGACCACACGATCACCTGTTTTAGCGGGTTCAATATTCAATGGAGTAGTTGAAGTCTTGTTACTGAAAGAATCTTAAAGAAACATCAAATAAGGGCATTCAGCAAAATAAATGCATGTGGACGCGTGCAGACGTGCATACAAAGCAAGACTTTCCAAAAACGCGTCCTTTAGTTTAGAACTTTCCAAATACGTCAAAGTAAACGTCTGAGCATAAACCATAAATATTAAACAAATACCAACCGACTTGACGTTTTGACGATAGTTTCAAAATTCTACTGGGACTAATCTCTACCACATAGACATCACTTCCATCGACAGAGGATGCCACATCATGAGGATAGACTAAGGCCTGCACCAAATAAGAAAATACTTATTGTCTCAGAAGGAAGGAGAGATAATAAAAATGGGACTGGAATCTCTGGCCTCAAACAAGATGAACAGCGATTACCTGTTCTTCGTCAGAAGGCCATGTCTGTAATATGACTTTGTCAGCGACTCTGATTGTGAATCCCTGAACCGGAACATTTTGGACTCCTTTTATCTGACTTCGTCCACTGACAACGTGTAGGACTCCACCCTCTGAAACAAAAGATTATCTTCGTGAACTTAGCAAAAGAAACCATCAGGAGAAACTGACTTTCTTGGACAAAGAAACAAAAACACGTACGTTTACTGACGCTGTAATCCACGGCAAAAACCTTTCCCCCAAACTCTGGCAGAATTATTTCATCGACAAAGGTCCCAGAGATAGAGCTAATCGATTGAACACGGCCATTCTCCCTATCGGCAACATACAGCGTGTGACTTGACTGATCCAAGGAGAGACTGTGTGGGATTAATAATGAACCTAGGGCAGGAAGACCTTGCCAACATAAAAACAAAAACAGTGCATAGTCCATTAGGAAAGAGCTAATGGATCAGAAAAATCGAAGGAAAAACAAAAGAGTGAGACAAAAGACCGATATTACCTGGACCAGAAAGGGACCTTTCCCCCCATGAACTCAACAGCTTTCCATCAGCAGAGAACTTTAGAATACGAGAGTTGCAGTACCTATTACAATGAAAAAGGAAACAAACACTCATATAATAAAACAAGTAAAAGAAATAAAAATATTAGGAACTAAAACTTTCACAAAATATGCGTAAAAATTGAGATAGAGGTTTATTGTAATACAACGTGCAACGCAATCTCTAGCTTAAAAGCGGGATTATATCAAGGAACCCATTAGCAGACATGATTTTTTAAAGATTCTTCAACTCATAGACCTTGTGTGTAGGTATGGTTTGCCGCGAGTACAAGGTTTTTCCCCTTCTTTTTTCAGCCGGCATGCATCTATAAAGTTATTGTACCCAAAAGCTTTAACCGAGGTATTCTATGAATGAAATATAACAGAATAGTGAAGTGTAATAAAGGCAATTTAAGATATGCCAGCGTACCCATCTGCAACAAAGAACTCTCCATTTCTGTCCACAGCCACAGAGGTAGGTTGGCAGAATCTGGATCTATCAGAGCCTGGTACCAATTTGTCCCCCAACGACAACATGAGCTTAGTACTCCTTCCAAGAGGCGAAAACTTGAAAACCTATAGCAACAGAAGTGTTGTTATCAACTCGATTTTCTATGGCTAGCCTTTCTTAAAACCAATTACTGTTGTCGAGTTAGGACACTGCGGTACGTAACACACAACTTTACAAACCTGATGACTTCCTACATCGGTCAGCCACAGATTATCTTCATGGTCAACTGTCAAACCATGAGGTAAGAAAAACCTGCGGTAGCATAATGAACGCGAAACGAGATTCAAACAGTATATCTCAATGCCGTTAAAACAAAACGTGATTGCTTAAAAATTTGCAATGTAGAATGTTCAAGAGAGTTATCAGAGTCTTATTCCTCATCATTATCATGCAAAGCAAGGCTTCACATTATGTACAACAAAACCTTTGTTAGATGCAATTATTTAAAGTCTTCTCTAAAAACAGCCAGGTTTTCCAAATCGCACCTATCACAGGGGTTTCAGGTCAACGTTCTATACTAAACTCTGTTCTCATTATGGGTTAAAAGTTTTAGCAGTTTGTTTACTTACATGTCTTTGCCCCAAAATCCCCTTATTTTTCCAGTCAAGGAGTCTATGATCCACACGGTGTGTTCTTTGATGGTACCCTCAATGTCAGCATTTTGAAATACATGAGAAGAGTCAAATGTACTGTGAAATGAGAGTCAAGAAATAAGACCTTAAATGAACAAATCGCTAGCGAGCTAAACCATTGAAAGCGTTATAAATAGCATGCGTCCTCAGTAGTGCTAGGATCGGCACAAAGAAGGAACAAAAAATTCCATTACATCCATTAGTACTGTCCTATGCTCGTGACAAAAAGGACGACATCTTTCTTTTTCACCAATACCAAGGATAAAGTTCACTATCTTTCGTATGCTATTTCCTTACTCAACTTTCGACGTTGTTGATCTTAGTCTTGCAAACGATAATATGAACTTAAATGCGATAATGGCCTCGCCTATTATCGAGTTCTCTGTAGCTCAATAACAGAACATCAGAGCGCGAATCCGAACGTCTGTCAAACACTCGCAACAAAAACGAATAACATCTTACTTATTTCACGATCGTGCTAATTATCAACAATCTCTCATATTCCATGAATGAAAACTACTTTCTATAACTCTATGGAAATGTTCGGTTATTTCATTCTTAACACTTTAACTCCCAAGATCTCATTACTAATTCTCCTTACTGTCTGCCATACAGTTCTTGTGATGTTAGCGTGGAGAAATTGGTATTGGATCAACCTATAATCCCCTTATTGATATTTTTCTTTATTCTCATCACTTGTCTGCTTGATATTGTGAGGAGAAATTCTGTCTTGGTCACTCGTGGGAGTTAAAGGGTTAATGATCTGGAATTTGTTTGATGACTCACTTTTCATTCCACGTTCTACTGCCGCGATGAAACACAACAACCTGCCCCGTGGAATCTAGTGAAACTCCTGTTACTTCTCCCAGTTTACTCGTTTCCATTGCAGTGAAGCTTGGCCAGTCTAACACCACCCGAAGTTCCTTTTCATCTGTGGATTGAGTTACAGGAAGAACTGGTGTAGATGTTGTGACAGGAATAAGAGACTGACTTTTTTCAAAAGCGGGAAGTTCCTGAGGAGGTTTAGTTCCGACTTGTACTTCTGCTTTGGCTGATGGCAATTCCTCCTTAGCAGATCCTAAGTCAGAAATATCAAATCCTTGACTTTTTCCATGAGTTGGTGAATCAGTTGATACTTTGAGAGAGACAGGCACCAAAGCGGTTTCTTTTTCGGGTGTCTGCTCTGGATTTGTTGTGTTGCGCCCTGCTGAAGTGCTAATCATGGGGACACTACTTTCTCGATCCTTCAAATCTTTTGAACCTGTTAAAGGTGTATCAGAGTCGGGAGGGAAATTCTTAAAAACATTTGGATGGTTTTGCTGCCCACAGTCTCCACCAGAATACTTCAAACGACCTGCACTGCTGTAGTACATAATATAAAAATTGCACATCTCATCATCGCCGGATGGCCTGAAACATAACAGCAGAAAAGACGTTTAATTCTTCTTTTCAACAGCCTTTTACTCTCATTACTTATGGCCCTACATTCAACATAATATATTTTTGTAGACCCACTGAGGGAAGCTTGTGACCGTTTAATAACAATTTGTGCGTAAATCTGATAATTACCTATCAGATCAGGGGCTTCTGATACACTACTGTACACTACACCCGTAGTTAGCACCAGAACTTCAAAAGCACTTTTAACTCGCAAGTTATTCTAACTTTTCCTGTATCTGAGCCCTGTGACGTTCCTAAGCTCAAAGTTGATGTTGTCTATTATACATACAAACACATGGCTTACCCCATGTGAATGACTCTTTGTATGTCATGTCCTTTCGAATCATATGTGCAACGAGCCGTCTGAAAAATCATAATGTAGAACACAACTAATTATTATCCACTAAGGACAACGTAACATTTCACAGACTATAACAAAGCATCACTAACCAACATATCTCCCTCTTTAATCTCAATTGTTGATTCCATTGGATAGAAGGCCTAGAAGGCAATCAGTCATCAAAATTTCAAAATATTACGGCCGGCTATTCAAACAAAGGTTACCCCTTATTTAACAATAGCGCGTTCTTAACAACCCTCGATGGACCTTTTCTCTGAATATGTATTTTTGTGCACAGTGTCAAGAGGAACTATAGTCGAACTTCCACCAATGACCATTGCTGGCCATGATTTGCCATTACTGCGTTTGGAAACCCATCATAATCACAGTGAAATTTGAAGAGTTGATTAGGAGATTACCAAAATGTAATGATTGTAAAACACTGAAAAACTACAAGTAACTGCGTGCCAAGTACGAATTGCGTTTGGTGGAAAGATCAGGCCCAATGGTATCTTAATAACAACTAAATTTGGAGTTTTCTGGAAACATGGACCTTGTTATGTTGAGGACAAAAACACATGGAAATAATGGCCCTCTATTAATTAGCATCCCTCCATGGCTCAACTCAGAAATGGGCTTTCAACATGTCAAGTTTTATACTAACAATGTCCACTTGCTGCTAAAATACTAGTTCCAAACAAGCAAAAAGAAGAACAAAATTAGTTTTTGTTAAAATGTATCAGATGAGAAGGTTGCAAATTTCATTTATCAGTTGTGTAGAATGGGAAAGAACTCATAGCATGTATGACTTCCTTTGATGGAATTAAGTGTACAGATGTGCACAGGCCATGCAAGTGTTCACCAAAAGAAATAAGACAGAATATAACCAACAAACAAACAAACAACATTATTCACCTGTGGAGCCTGAGGGTTTCCCTTTCCTAGCAAAGTCCACACACCATTGTGAATCCTGTAACCAGTTATCACTTTTGCTAAAACAGATGAAAAGCATATAAGAATCTTTCATGAGTGAAAACATACAATGAGAGTTTTATGAAGGTTGCATCTTTCTAGGCCTACATTAAAAGTTTCAGGTAATTAACCGTGCAACTACTTTAGGCTAACTCTCATAAATTGTGAGTGTATTTCTTCTAAGAGTTAAATGAATCTAGCTGTTACACCTACAGTTTATGACAAAGAGATGAGAGATTAGTAGGCGTAATTCACTATCAAATGGTCGCAAACATGATTTTGATAGCATTTTTTTCTTCTCCCTAAAATCTAAATTCTACATTAAACTCAACAATTCCTGGAGGCAATACTAGTATGTTACGTCTTTTCAATAGCTCTTAACCTTTCACATACCAAGTTTGTGAGCATGAGTGCGAAATGCAAAAGCAAACATTGGCTCAGGTTCATTGTATGTACAACCCACATCAACATGCATGCCTGAAAAATAAAGTATAAATATTGTAAATTTTCCTTCCATCATGGGTGAAAAATAATAGTGCTAGGCTGCAAATATTTGTACACTCCCATATCAATGTTTCAAACAAACAAAATTAAAAATATAGCTTCTAGATTCATTTGACTTCAAACAAAGTGCAAGTTTGAGGGGTTGAGATAGGTGGGACATAAGAAAGATTGTATACCACATCCTGTCTAGGACACTTTGTAGTTCAAACAGTACTCCTGTATCAGTTTAAGGCCTTCATCTGTCACCAAAATTACCAGTATATGATTGTCTAATACAATTCTACTTGGTGGAGGAACAAGGGGAGAAATTGGCTCTGACACAATACAAGCATTTGGCATGGCAGGCACAAGTGTAGCTGCTGGTGTACCTGTAGGTGTCAACAAGTTAAGAACCACATAAACCAACCTGATGTTTCTGGAGGAATGGAGCCCCTGCCTGCCCAAAGAAGATATATTCCTGCTTCATACGGAAGTCTACAACAGAAAATGATAAAGCAAAACATAATGTATAAGTTTTGTTTATTAATTTTGATGCTGTAAAACCCTGAACACTGATATTTATTTCATTCTGTAGTTGTTAATCTTGTTTATATCTTTATTTCAAACGAATAAGACAGTATACAATAAGTAAATAGTAGAAAATCATACATGTGACTACAGAATCATAAATTTAGCTGGATGTTTTATCTTTGCATTTCCATTGAAAGAACGAGTTCTATGTGCTTTAACACAATCAATGCAAACAGTGCAATAATCTGATTTGGAATGATTTACTTCTAAAATCGTACAGAACTATATTCTTAATTGAATGCAGAACATTTATAATTATTCATAATAACTGAACTTGTACTAACTGGTGTTGACTGGTGTGAAGAGTAAATCCAGAGAAGTCTTTGGCTCCCCCTAAGTGGTAAAACATTTTTCTAAGAGCCTCCAATAAATTTCCCTTAAACCTAACATAAGTGATCATCAATATTAAATGTGTTTCATGATCTCAAGTGCAATACTTGAATCTGGGTAAGATTATCTATAGTCATCATATTATTTTCAGTCACATAGCCTTTCAAAAGTTAGAGGAAATCAGTATATATCATTCTTTCCAAATGATGAATAGAAATACATGCAAAAGAGAGTTTACATGACATCTCTTTAAGCAGCTTGTCCTAATAGACAAGGCTCAGTGAAATGAACATGCATCACATTCATTCACAATTACATGTACATGTCATTTTACATTCAGTCAGTACTCTGGTGTTCCACTATTAATAAACTTATTGCCAAAAGTACATTTTACATTTAGTAAATTGACAGAATGGGGTTCATATCATGTTTAATAGATTATTCCCACATCAACATTTCTTACACACTGTACATACAGTCCCACCAAAATTACTTAAAATAAATGCTATATGGCTGTATTCTTCATTTAAGTGTGGAATGGAGTATAAAGCTGTGGTTAGGTTACCTTTGAAAGGAGTTGCAGATGCATAGTGCACTTGTAACACAAGATATTTGATTCCTGAATCTCCTCCAACACCAATTCCAACATCTATAGTTAAATATGAGCAAAAATGATTATTGGATACAATAATTACATTTATCTCTCAGCAATATTATTTTTCAGTATAGTGCTTTAGTCATATATTTCATTGGTTACTGTTTTGAATCTCTCTCTTCTTGTGTAACTCTATAATGGTAGATTGCTTAAAATAAACTTGATTTTCAAAGTGGTTGGTATCTCCAAGAAACAATGCTTTTCCTATACTTTTGAGTTGCAGGTTCAGTTTTAAGTTTGAAAACCACAAGCTCATTTAGTTCTGGTACAAACTCATTCACCACTACTCACTACTTAGAGGGGCTACATCTTTCATCTGATTCTATAATAAAGCAAATGTGAATAATGCTTCATGGATGTAATTGATTCACTTAAAAATCCCCAAAGGTTCCCAACACATTCTGTTAATTCATTTGCTACCATCTGTGTACAATTTACTGCTAACCTTTGGGTAAGTTTCTAGAGGGTGCATCCTTTGCCCAAGCATAAAGAATGTTCTGTTCACCATTACAGGGTCCCCTTTGACAACTCCTGGCATGAAATGTACAAATACTGTTCAAACATTTGAATTTTCCAACTAGTGTGGGATGAGATGAGTGTTAATCACTGATTGCATGCTAAATAGTATTTTTGGCATTCAACTACATGTATACCCACTATATTGATTTTTTGACACATGTATACTAATGTATATGTGATAATAATAATAATAATAATAAGGACTTTATTTATAGAGGGGGACACGTAACAGCTGAAAAGCTGACAAACCTGTGGCCCTCTAACTAGATTATACAGCATTACAAAATAATACTAATAAATAGATAAATATACAAATAATTACAAAATTCTATGACAGAAATAGCAGGATATATTAAAAATATTCAGAAAGATAAAATTAATTTATAAAAAATTAAAATTAGATAATGTGCTATTGCTTAATATTGTTTCAAAGTTGTCCAGGTTTCTATATGAGCTTATAAAATACTTTTTCACAGCTGTTTTGAATAGTTTTATACTAGGTATAAAGTATATAGGTATATAGGTATAGTATAGGTAGTTTTAGAAATAAATAGTTCTACGAGGTAGATCCTTTCCAAACTGTCAAAGGATTTTTCTAATTGTTTAGGAAATTATTTTCTCCTACAGAATCTAAGAGTTCATCAAATATTCAAAGGCTGCAACAAGTAAGTGCACATTAGGTTAGAGCAACAGCCTACTTTAACCTGTTACCTTGTAATAACACTAAGTTATAAATGACTGGAATACATGTATGCAGTCTAACTATTTGTCACAATGTTTGAGAATGATATACTTTACATTAATAACCTGCAAGAGATCCCTTGAAAACATTGTTTGATTACTGTTGTAAACAATTACTACCAGTAACTTTCATTATTATCCAACTACACAAAGTGGAGTACAAATATGGTGCAAATAGTTGTGTGGACAGTTAGTTATTTTGCTATGTAAAAAAACCTGTTTAACCAGTTGGCTACGCATGCTATGCTTCTCTATCTGCTTTGCTTTTCCAGCCTTATGAAAAATGAGCAGGAATACTTTGCGAAAAAAAAAGCACTTGGATAATAAATAACTCATTAAATGTTTTGGTGCGTAGTATTAATGAGTATTTTTACTAGTTGTTTGTATTTTGACTTGCCCTATGGGCTCATCAAAATACTTGGCAATACTACACACTAAAACGTGCATTAAGATAGATGTAACTTGATTTTATTATCATAAAGACTGTATTTCTTTTGTTCCCCTTTGGGAGGCCATTCTGAGAGTAAGTCCACCAGTCTTTGATCAAGGGAGACTATGGCCAAATATGATGCAATCCTGGACCAACTGAAGTACATACATACACCTCCATAATCACCTGATCAATCACCGACATTAATCAAACTCACCAGCTAGAGAGTTGGGCTCCTGGTGACCTACAACCATACAGCAACATGTGATGTGCTGTCTGCTGAGTTGCATTTGGTTCTAATCGAACTAAAAAACAGTGACAAAAAACCATGATTATTGTTTTATCAGTTCATTCAATTAATCCAATGACAAGTGATTCAATTGATTGAATTCAATTGATTGAATCTTGTCATAGACTTTATTATATCTCTGAGTTACTTGTACACTATGATTGGTCAATTTAGTGGGCCTAATTTCTCTGTGCGGCATGCTAAAACTCAGTTAGTAAGAGGTGTATGTAGACATGTGAAGTAAGGAATATCAATAATAATGATAACAAAAACAAAATTTGCAAGCAAAATTATTTAAGTTGAACTACAACTCTAGGCATGTTCATGTAAAAAAAATGAAACTAGAAGAGCAGGACAAATGGTAATGAAATCAATTTCATTTCATCTGCTCATTGAAAATCAAATAACGCCATGATCTTCACAGGTGAGCTGCCATTTTAGCAATTGCACAAAAAAGCTTGAAAAAATGTCTTATTTGGCACAGGCATTGACATAACAAATTAAAAGAAAACTGTTTCTAGAGGATATAACAATAACTTGTCTCAACTTTACACTAATATGCTGCTTTCAGAAGCTGAAATGATGATGTTTGTGTCATTTGTATAAGTTGAAATCTATCTGCCTTGTGCATAACATTTTTTAATGTAAAAAGAGAGGCACCTACATACATGTTTATGATCAATCAAATATTTTTGCTCAAGCCTCGTTGGTCTAAATGTATCACATAACCAAATATCCCCCAGCTAAAACAGGGGAATATCTCAAGATAACAACCAAATGATATTAAATTTATCTCAAGATAAGAGAGCATTTTACAGCAGTCACAGAAGAAGAGAAATATTTATTTGTTCATAAAGTTGTACCAGAGAACACTCATCCCAAGCACCAAAACTGTTCATAAACATTTTTTTTGCATGTTGCAAAATATTTTAAGGATAGTACATGCAAAAGCTTCTGTTTTCCACTAAAATATACCCATATATTTGTCCTTGGACATTTTCTGTTCCCTAAAGCTCACAGCATTCCTTAAGCTTTGCTCTCAGAAAAACATCAGCAACTTGGAACAGATGATGTTCTTGGACAAATCTGTACATATTCTCTTGCCAAATAGACAACACAATTTATACATGTGTATAAATTGTTTTGTCTCACCCAAACCACACTCTGAATTTTTCAACCTTTGTGGACATTTTTTCTTTTACAAAATAGTGCCTTTAGAACATACAAAGATATATATCTTTTTCCATAATAATACCTTTAGAACATAGCAAAATAAAGGTAATTCTGTAGTTCCAATAAACCCTGCAGGTTTTATCCGGTGTGATGTTTGTAGATAAATAATCTTTTAATCTGTACAAAATGTATCTTGGGTATATTACTTACCTATATACTGCTTCAAAGGTGGCAGCTGTAAAGCCGTACAAAGATATGTATCTTTCTGTAAGAGATAGGGTTACCATATTTAGAAATGTTAAAAGGGTTACTCAGATGTCAGAGAGATCTGTCTTACAAAGGAAATAAATACTAAGTTTTCCCTTTATATAACAGAGTAAATGAGAGTTTTCAAGGTGGTTTCATGTGATTTATCACAAAACACATTTCAATGTCAATATTGCAGATCCCAAAAACCAAGAATGAGCTAGTGGATATTCTACCGTAGTATAATGTAAATCGACTAATTTAGCAGATACATTTCCTTGTAGAACTTTCTTTCAATTACCTTATGAGACATGCAATAAATGGAGGGAGGACCTGATCAGCTTTTTGCTTCAGCTACCACTTTTCACCAAACCAAGAATGGTAGCCCAAGAGGGAAGTTTACTGTATTTTATTGGTTAACATAACACATAAAGAGGTCACATCAGACAGAAGAGTGCCACAACAGTATATTAACTAGACAAAAAAATAAAGGCTGTTAAAAAAATACAGATTTGAGATTGCTGACACATATATTTTATAGCTCTTGTAAATATTGACCAAAGAACCCTCCTTCAACTCTACATGTAATCAATGAATCACCTCTAGCTCTAGCAAAGAAAACAGGAGATGACAAGGGACAACCTGGCCAACTAGAGAGCAACATCTTGATACAACACCAATTTGAAAGTCTCTTAACTTATTTATAAGGAAACATATAACAGTTTTGTAGGAGAGAACTGCAATCCCTGTAACAGATTTCATCACCAAATGTACAAAAGTTTTACCCTTAGTACCTTAAACATTTGATAAACATTTGAAATGACATGAGCCTCCAACTAAATTTTTGCAGTTCATTTTCAATATACTCTTTGCCTCAATAACTCAAAAGATGCTATAACCCACAAAAAACATCAAACCAAGGTGCTACACATAGCGGCATGTAATCTTAAAACTTAGTGCCTAACAAAGACCAGCAGTATAGGAGTGACTGGGAGTCAAACTGCCACCATTTATCACATAAAATGAAAGCTAAGTTGTAGTAAAACAGTCAACTTACTTAACCTGAAGAAGGTATTTTGAAGCAAATTTGAAATGCATTTCGAGCAATTTCAGCCCTAATCAAAACTATAACAAAATTCTTGAAGGTGAGTGGTTGTCACCAGCCTGATTTGAGCACTAATAGGACAGTGTATGCATCATGCTTGTAATTGGACAGTGTAATAGGACAGTTAAAGGGACAGTTAACTAGTCATGCCTATGTAAGTGGAGAATAGAATGCATCATGAGCGTGCGCTGTTGTCTCACATTTAGCTGAGTTAACTGTTGATAATTTTATGAATATATACAATTGATGTCAATAGTTTCTTTCAAATTTTGTCATTAATTTTTATTAATTGGTAGCAGGACTTTTTGTTGTCCTATTTTGTCAATAATCATACTCAAGATTAACAAATCAGACTCCCTCTTTGTGATCATACGATTTTGTTAATCACTCATATGATTACAGACTGAATTGGACTCCACTCGGTCCTATTACCATTATATGTTAACTCATTGATCGTTACCACAGCATTGAGGTAATTTAACAGCAAAAATTTACTTTCACGAAATCACCAGTGGAAATTTGACTCTCAGCAGTGGCGAGTTTGGTGTTGGCAAATTAACTGCATACCCCAGTGAAAACGTTGCGACTAATCCTCCATTTCATTAGACTTTCTATTTGACTAATTCATACTTTCGAACTCACAGAAGTTGACGTTAAAATTCAGATCTAGGTAGCCGATAATGAATCGTATTAGCTCAAATAAATAAACGTATTACAATAACTACAAACCGGAAGAATGGGCTCCAAAGATTTAAGAAAATTGAAAAACTGAGAAAGCAATGGAACATTTTCAGTGTGAAATAGAGTTTTATAAAACATTTCAGAAGCTTAAAGCGACATCGGACATTCTTGATCCCGGGTTCTATAATTTTACAGTTGACATACAAGCTTTCATGCATACCAAATTACGTACTGGACAGAGTAAAGGTTAAAGTAAAGTGATCCTTCGTTTCCAAACTTTTTTATTATTAGTACGCAATTTTAAGTTTTCAATGCAACCCAAAACAGAGTAATCATCGTTTTACTTAGCAAAATACCGTTTCAAGAAGAGGAAATGAGGAAAGTACTAGGCTATCCTCTCGGTAGCGATGGTGCCACTGATGCTTAACGAAAAGCTGCAAGTCAAAATTACAACCTATTTAACGTAAAGTAAAATCAGTTCAGTTACACATCTTGTAACTCAGAAGAACGTTACCTTTAGTGGACGAGTGCCTGGCATCTTAATATTTATAGTTCCTTCATACTTGACGGAACCTTCGGACACAGCTTTTACTTCATTGCTGCACAACACTTCGTTTAGGCACACCACAGAATACAAAATGGCCAAGATCTTACTCTTGTGAAAGCAAGCCATGACGAAAACCTTTCTGAATCAATGACACCATATATCAAGTAATGAAGGTGAACAAAATTACGTTAACATATCATGACGTATCTGACTGAGAAAGACCACAAATCGATTCCCTCACTTTGAGCTAAGTTATGCTAATGCAAGCTAATATATACGTCAATACTTGCATATTGAATTTTTTCCCATAGTTCCCATCAAGCGTAATCAAATGAGTGAGAATTTAACAAAGTCATCATTTTCACACAGGTCAGAGAGCCTCCGGGGAAATCACCTTTCCCTTATCATTGAAATAGCCATCGCCGGTCCTTTCTTTCTACAAGCTTTCGATGAATATGGAACAAAACGATGATTTTGAGGAGTACAACTACGACGACAACCTTCATTCAACCGGTCATTCACGCAAAGGGAAAACGAAGAAGGAGGCGGGACAAAATAAGAATCCAGTTGAACATGGCCGAGGTTACGCTGAAAGAAATGTTGTGGATAACATTCAGCATGGAGAACAGAAAAGGAAGGAGGCACCACAAAAACTTCCGAAAGAAAAATAATGAAAGTATTTTATAAGACATCACTGGATGAAAAGTTTGGTCTAAAGATGAAAATATTGGATAATTTTACGGATGTTCTACTCGATAACGATTTGTAGACGATAAACGATCTCAGTGTTAGTTAAAACAGCTAACGAAAAACTCGATGGAGTGAAAAGTTGTGGATTGTGCTCAAGCAGTGCATTTTCGACAGAGAGGGAAAGAAACTGATAGCTCAGAGAAAACGCTCAATTGTCTATGATAGATAGGCCTCCGTAATTTTTTTTCCTTGAACTAGTCTAGGTTTATATTAGCGACCTTGAACGTAGTCATAACTGTGAGTCTGTTTAATCTGTATGTATTTTAGATGGTATATTTTGACTATGAAATTCATGCATATTGATCTATGACATGATAATATTCATAATAATAGTAATGATATAAATAATAATGATAATTAGTAACCTATGTAGGGTAGGTATCAATTGGGGTTTTTCCATCTGCACTTTACAACGGGCCCCACTATGGTGATAATTGACTTGCCAACTACAACTTGAATAGAGCAATTATCAATTGAGTGTCCTTAGTAATCAAGGACTATATTGGTTTTACTTTTCTGCACTCTGTGATTTGTCTTGAAAACTTGAGCCATCCTCTCAACAATTTTTGCTTCCTATTTTCCTGCATTTTGAGCGGTTTACTTACACTTTACTGTAATTCTTAATGGTTTGTTGCGATATTTTCCTTTTTCTCTGATTGGCTGTTGTGATTACTTTGGCTTTAAACTTATGACACCTGATTGAAATATGTTCTGTTAGCATTACCTTGGTTACCATCCAAATTAGTTACTATAAGGCTGGAGGTGTTGACAAATTCAAAATCTTGAGACATTTTTGGTGCTATCAAACAGAAAAATAACTAGGAAGGAAGTTGCAAAGTCACTTCACTGCAGGAAAGCCAATCATGTGGATTGCAAGAAAAAGCTACTTGCCATTTTACATTTCGTTGACCCCTTCGCGATTCAGTTGGAAATGGAAAAATATTTTTTTCAGAGGCTACAATAAAAAACTCCTTGCCAGTGTTTTGCCATACTTTTGAACCTTGCTTAGGGCAGTTTTGTTGGAAGCTTACTCCTGATCATTGGAAGATGTTGCTTTGGCCATGAATTTTGAAAGGAGTCAATCTTAATCTTTCCTGAACAACAACATTGATGTGATGTGGTTATCATAGGTAACATTGAAGCAGGACTACATTTCTTTTTCAAATTTAGAAGATCAGTGCGGAGACCAGGAAAGCGTTTGTACTCTTTGCATTTCTTGCTAATATTGACTAGACATTGTACTCTGGAAACTTTCTCTTATAACTGTTGTATTTTTACTCTACATGGTGGACAATGTTTTCATTTTTAGAGCAAACTAATCCAGGTTGAGTTAATATAATGAGAAAATCAAATTTAAATCAGCATTATTTGTTAATCCATGAATAAAGCTGAAAGCATTTTTGGCCTTAAGATGACATCTTTCAGTTGGGCATACTTCCAAGTGCTCCCAGCAGGACATCTTACCCATCAGGGCCCAGTTGTTCAAAGGCTGATTGGTGCTAACCCAGTGTTAAATTTTAATCCAGGTTTCTGTATTTCTCTGTTCAAAAGTCCTTTTGGAATAATTTTACTCTTTGTTTTGAGAGCATTTAATTATCAAATTGTAGTCAAAAAGAAATAAACTGAATTTGCTCTTCAAGCTTTCAGATCTGAGATCAAATTTCACACTAACCCCAGGTTATCTTAACCCAGCTTTGAACAACTCAGCCCAGGAGTTTAACTGTAGACCCTCTGATTAGTAGTATGGATGCCCTTTGGACCTGTAGCAGAAAATTCAAATGGTTTGACTACTGTGGAATTCCACTGATTTCAGAACAGCAACTTAACCTATACCCTTTATGGTTTATTTGTGGGAGTAATTGACCTGGCACAGGAAATTCAAAATTTAACTGTACCAAAAGAATTGTTTAGCCCAAAATGTGCCCAACCTGTTTAGAGAAAACTTTATTTGAAGTAGTGCATAGCAGAAGATGTCAGTGAGCCTCTCCAATAGCTCAATGTTCTTCATGAGTTCAGCATTCTGGACTTGGAAAAATACCTCACCACAGAGCATAAATCATCAATTTGTCCCTTGTTTGGATTCATTTGGATAGTTTGGATGTGAATCTATCAAGATAGAAGACAACCAAGGTATTATGACAGCCCAATGATCTGTGGTGAAATAAATCACATTTCCACAGTTTACCTGATCAAGGTTAGTTAAATATTTTTTTAGCCAAGTTACAGACTATAATTACTATTTATTTCTTGTTTAAGCCTGTTACAAATAACTTTTAAAACTATATTGTATCATTCAAATTGGCTTCCATAACCAGATTACTAAATGATCCAGTTAATTGCATTGGGCAAGATAAATTGATTGAGAAATTATCAAATTTGTAAGATGGGAACACAGCTTATGTCACTCACCAAAGCTAGTTGCAGTTCTGCACACAGTAACAGCTGAATTAATTTCTTGAATTTGAGATTAAAGTTGCCAGTAGATGACATTAAGTGCATTCTTCTGTTTTTCTTTTTCTCCTATTGCTTTTATCACCATTACTATTTGGTAAAAGTCTCAAGTAAACTCATGAAAATAAATCATTTCTTTTTAAAAACAACAGACAATCCCACATGAGAAATGTTTGCCTTTACTTGGAAAATGTTTCCTAAAAGAGAACTCTACCTAGGATTCCTTATTTGCCATTGTAATAAAATGCATTCTAAAACTGAATGGTTGCTCTATTTTTATATTTTTTGCAATCTGAATATTTTAATTAAATAACTTGAATATATGCTACTGGGAAGTAGGAGGTACATTATAAATCAGTAAAATGTTGTGAAGGTACATGATTGAGTCATGCTGATTAAAATTATTCTTATTTTGCAGCAGTAAGTTCATTACCAAGAACATGTGAATTTTGTTACTTTAAAACTCCACATTTCCCATACAAATAAATAGGTGCTTCATCCTGTTTCAAGTATGATTATTTCCTTACACATAAAATTTTCATACCCTTGACAATAAATGTCCTTGATGACAAATGTAATTAGATTGAGGCAATAAAATACAAGGGAATCATTACTGTATGAAACCTTAAATAACGCTGAATGGTGTAAAAAAAAAATTTGGGAAACAAAACTACTATTGTAGCAAATATAGGGTTATCTTGCAAACATTGATAAGTTCCCATTTGCATATTCAGACTAAGAATTTAACTTTAAAAAATCACTTGGGAAAACAAACATTTAGTTTGGAAAGGGAGAACATGTCAATTATTGTTGACCATTTAGTTACAATCTGCTAGAATCACAAAACAAAACAAAAACAAGGGTGAAAGTAACACTTAACAATTACTTAATAAATGACAACTTACAATATTTGAATGCCAAGGCCTAACATGTAATGGTTATGTTTAGAATGCTGTACAGCACATATTTGGAAAATGCTATTAAAATAAGTGCTTTGAGATAAGCTGTTCTACCTCAGTGTTAACTTAAGGTTCTCATTTTATTGATAAGTATGATAGGACAGACTAACAAAACAGAGACTTGCATTAAATGTGAATCTATAAGAAAGAATGATTCTATATGAATCTCTTGGATGAAGTTAGATAAACAGTGACCCACTTCATGTAAATTCCAAGAAAATTATTGCAGGCTTTTCATTTAACATCTGAATTTTTCATATGTTTAAAAACGATTTGGTCCTATGAAAGATGTCACTAATCAAGAAATCGTGCAGCCCTGCCATGTGACTGCTCCACAACACTGACATCTGTCATCAACTGGCCGTGGTGGTATAAGATCTAAGTCCTCTTCATCTGATATTTCATCAAGTCTTAGAGGCAATGACAGGAATTCACTTATGTCAGTGGATTATTTAAAATTAATCAACTTTTAAAAGCACATATTCTGTAAAATATGTGAGAAATAAACAGAGGCTCTCTTATACAAAAATATTTGCCAGGCTATTATAAAAATCCCTCACACTTCATGTAATTTATCACAACACTCTGCTGCCCTTTCAAGATTGAGTTTTTCAGTAAGTTCAATTTTCTCATACAAAAACTGAAAAGGGAGGAGACAGGAAATGTTTATCATTAGGATTATTGGTTAACACCACTAGCCCAAGGGTCACTCACTGATAACTTCTATTTTAATACTTTGAATTTTATTCACTGCCATTGACAACATTCCTTTTCAGGACCACTATCACCCAGATGATTACAATACACTATCAACTAAGCCCTTGGTTGTATGTTGTGAACACAGACAATGGAGATCAGGGCCTTTGAGCACACTACAAACTAGCTACCATAGCTGCTTAAAATGTAGTTCAGTTATCTTGTGCCTGACTTCTTTTTATCACCCAAATAACCAATGACAGTGAAATAACAAGAAATGTTTCTGTTTTTTTTCAGCATCCTGAGTTTTCAAGGAAACTGTCCTACACAAAGAAAAACTCAAAAGCCCATTTAAGGGTAACACTGCATGCACCAAGTGGTGAACAAACAGTATCCAGTCAAGTCAGCGATGGTTCAACTCGCCAACGCGCCGACATCTAAAATCGGGTAGAGATGTCGGCGAGTTTGTCTTCAATCCAGTACAACTTATTAGAAGTTAAACATATAGAAAAGTAAAAGCAAGGTAAACATTGCCAATGACCAAAAAAGCTTTAGATGCGAATGAGTTATTGTGTCACAACAACACTGTAAAGACTCATCATGTCAATCGGTCAGATTTAAAAAAAAAAACCTGGCTTTCTAGACAAAATATTTGGTTAAAAAAACAATTCTTTTTATTTCCAACAAAGTTTATAAGGATCTCAAAAACATCGCCAATGACCAAAACAGCTTTATACACGAATGAGTTATTGTGTCACAACCAGCATCATTCTAGATTCACGCTTTGGTAGCTCACTAATGAAGGTGTTTATGTTTGGTCCATCTTAATACTGGGCTATGCCGGTGAACGGCCATAAAAATACGATAAGTATCTAACCAGAAGCTGACCAGCACCCAAAGAAGGGCTGATGGGCAATTGCAAAGTAAGTTGTTTGGATTTTGGGAGAAACATGAGAATTGTGAAAAAAAAGCAGCCTGATTATTGAAATCGATGTCTAGATTAAACGGACCATCAAGAGCAGAATTATTGCATGATATATCTAGCTTTCACATGTTCACTTGATCTTTATAATATATCAAATTATTTCATAAATCAAACATTCTCAATGATGAATAAATCATTCTTTAAAGTTAAGAAATCATGTGGATCCGCATGGTCACTATGGTTGTCATACAGTTATTGTGTGACAACAACACTGTAAAGACTCACCATGTCAATTGGTCAGATTTTTTTAAAGAAAACTTGGCTTTCTAGACAAGATCTTTAGTAAAAAACAATTCTTTTTATTTCCAACAAAGTTTATGAGGATCTCAAGGCGAGTAAAGCAAGGCAAACATTGCCAATGACCAAAAAAAGCTTTGGACACGAACAAGTTATTGTGTGACAACAACACTGTAAAGACTCATCATGTCAATTGGTCAGATTTTTTAAAAATCCTTAGCTTTCTAGATAAGATCTTTAGTAAAAACAATTCTTATTATTTCCAACAAAGTTTATAAGGATCTCAAGGCGAATAAAGCAGGGGGAACATCGCCAATGACCAAAAAAGCTTTAGGGGCAAACAAGTTACAACTCATTTGCATCTGAAGCTTTTATAGTCATTGGTAATGTTTACCTTGCTTTATTCACCATGAGATCTATATAAACTTTGTTGGAAGAAAAAAATGTTTTTTTACCAAAGATCTTTTACTTTTCTATATGTTTAACTTCTAATAAGTTGTACTGGATTGAAGACCAACTTGCCAACGTCTTACTTGATTTTATACGTCTGCAAGTTGGCATTGGTGACTTGACCGTAATTCAAACAAACGACACTCATTAACCATTTGTAAAAATGTTTGAAAATGGTGAAACAAACCTGTAACCATCCTTTAGTAGTTGTTGGGTACAATCTGAAAGATTCTAAAGCAAACAGGCAATCCTCAGCATAAAAAACAACTATTCATCAAAGTGGATGAGGCTAGTAATGGATATTTACTAAGCTGCGAGGTACATATCCAACTTTCGCCACATCCCTTTTGGTGAACAGTTGTTTCAGATTATACTAAAACAGTTATTTTTTTAATTGCTGATAAAAAATTGATATATTGTATTATCCAAAGGCAATCAACTGGCATTAGCCACTTTTCAGATTTATTTTATCATGTGATTGTCTTTTCCAAAAATTTAAAATTTAAAACTCAGCCTCACATAGTATTATTCCTACTATTCCTCCTTCCTAAAAAAAAAAAAAAACCCTCAAAACTCCAATGACCAACCACACGTTGCATTTCTTGACTTAACTAGTGACTCATTCACATGCAAAGTCCTACATGAAAAACTCCTCTCTTTGGGAAATTTATACTTTCCCACAGAGGACAATTACTGGTATGTAAAAAGTGACCAGCACAACTGCTGAAAATCTCATACATCACCTATAACCTAACGTCTATTTAAAATTCTACCAGCTCTAATACAGACCCTTCCTTCCCCGTTTTCATAACTTTCCCATAAGAATTTATGGCAGAATTCAAGCAAATTTAGATTTGAGATTCCCCCATGTGTACCTTTCTAACTGCTTGTTGAGTGTTAATTATGGAATTATGGGTTGTTACTGCCATTACACTTGCTGACTTGGCAAGCATTTTAAATCATTTCAGAGCAACATCTACTTGAAGAAAAATCCTACCTTAGAGTTTTGGGTCACAGATACATTTGGTGCCTTACTATATTGAGTCATAGTTATTTCTTCATCACTGTCAAGGGAAAAATAGAATTGATTCAAACAGCTTGATGTAAATGTACAAATGAAAAAATTCTACAATGCACAAAGTTGTACTATTAAAGTCAAAGACTACCTGGTCCAGTTATTGAGAGATACATAATCAAGGAGATTTCCTGACTTAACCTCAATAGCTTTACCTAACCTCACTTCAACTGGTGGATAAGACTCTTGTTTCATTGTTAGAGGGGATTTGAACATTGCATCATATGTAGGCTACAGTGTGATATGCTACCAAACCAAAGAACTCGATTTGCAACTCTTTCAGTGAAAACAATATTTTGTAATGAAATGATTATAATAAAACCTCTACAGAAGCCACTTAGGGGACCAAAGTGAGGATTCTGTTGCAGAAAGTTGGCTATAACTAAAAACATGATATCTGGGACAACTACTCACTTTTCACTTTCACATTTTGAAGTATTCAAATTTTTGTCTAACCTGTCAGATTCTGCTTGGAATAATGGTCTTTCATCAGACTTCATATTTTTCTTTAAAGAACCATTTTTTAGCAAGGGTTTCCTGAGAGGACAACATGCATACTTCAATTTAGTGTTAGGGTATGATCATCATTATACATATTATATTTGTCAATTTTTTATTTATTTAGTTCTTGTTTTAAGTTTTCCAGGAAATAGAATAATAAAATACTTTTTAGTGAAACTGTATTACCCATTTTTTAGGAGCGTCCCATTAGAACCATTTAGTGCCTTACGTGACTTTTGAAGCTGTTCTTCTGTAAAGGATAAACAGTTTATTAACGTCATGAAAAAAAAAACGTTTAAGAATTAAACAGTGTCTACATGTTCATTGTGGGCAAGTCTTTCTACATGTATGTGAAAGGAAGGGGAGAAGCCACTAACAGCTAAAATGTATTTCAGAAGGGGCATCCTTTGAATATCTCAATGGGTAGATGCAACTTCAATCTCATCTTATCACTTAACCAACAGGTGAGAGAGGAAAGCTAAACAAAGGAAAACCAAGTAGGACTAACCAAATGGGAAAGAAATAAACAAGCTAAATAGAGAGGTGTGAATAGTTGATAGGAAACAAAGGATACCTCTACATTCACAAAGGCAACAGGCGATAAATTATCATTGCTGTGAGGATCCTCTGTGCTTATCAGTCAATATTCCACGAGATACTTCTTACCTAGCCTTTTCTGTAGTGGCGATGGCTTTATAAGTCTTGACAGCCGAACATCTTCCTTTGTTATGACCTGAACATAATGTAAATTGATACTTTAGTAAAAATTAACGATTCGCAGTGATAAGAGAAACATTAAGTCAACTCTCCCTGGTCACAAGATCAGATGATAACAAAGGACAAAGTACACAGTCCAGCACAGTTCGAGAACCAGTACGAAAGTGTCGCGAATAGCGCGCGTAAGCTGTTGAACAGCTGTGATTTCCATTTACCTTGGAATCTTTTTCGTCCTCTTCCAATGACAAAGACTCTCCGTAACCTTCTTTGGACATTTAAATAATACTTCACGATTAAATTCGAGTCATATCCGTTGAATAATATCACAATCCTGCTCAGACCGGAAACTCTTCTTGCATCTTACTTGAAAGACATCATGGGATTAATATCGAGCCCAGAGTCTTTTCGTCTCACTGTCACCTCGTGCCCAGGGTTTTTCGATCATAGCGGTCAGTTTTTGAGATGGCCGCCGGTGTCGTGTTTGAAGAAACTCCGTCATATTATGGTCTAAAAAACAAAATTGCGATTTTCTCACACGAATATTCATTCGAGCAAATCTTTAAAAAAAAAAAAAGAGGCGGTGCCTGATGGATCTCTTGCTTTCATTAAAGTAGCGCTGTATTGGGTCCCTGAGACCTCTTGGACCGAAAAATACTGCGTGGGATTTGGGTATATACGCTATCTAGTCTCCACTACACAACAAATAACACAGTAGTGTAAACCAAATAAGTTTATTTATGGAAGCCTGCCGAGAACCAACCCGAGGCATATATTGCCCGTGGCATACATACATGCATGCATTCGCAACTGATATACCATATACAATCCTGATATACAGTCAATTCCTTACACATTCAAAAATAGGTATACATTACTAACATGCACACTTCACCAATTCGGGATTAGAAGAGATGGGCAACCGCTTACAAGGACATTACCACGGTTATAGGGAGGCCAGAAAAATCCCTTTTGGGGAAAAGATATGACAGGAAACCTGGGTGGAAACCATGGCTCAAACTCAGAGCAGTTGGCAGCCCGTCCTACGAGGCTTCACAGTTAAGCAAAGTAAGTTTCAAATTAAAATAAATTTGTCATCAGCCAGAGGTGGACGGTTGGCTTTGAGACCTAGATGGACATCACATTCAATACTCCCCCTTATATACCACTGCATCATTACCCATGATTATATTCTGACATGATGCTCGGGCCTTAGGTCCAGGCCTTGTCGTATCTTGTGCCGACAAAATATTTATTTCTGCCTTATTCGCAGACTCAATCGTCAGAAATACCATTTTTTTAAAAATAAAAACTAGTGAGCAGCACTTGGCAACAGATCTTGTCAACTTAGTTTATTATCCGACCGGTTTCGTCGGATCACACAGACTTGAATCTTTTACTTTTGCAGTGAGGTTTTTCTTTTTGCCGTGAGGGTTTTTCTTTTGCCGCGAGGTCATTTCTTTTGCCGAGACAGTTGTGGGTCACCGTTGGGATTTAACAAAATTGAACTACTAATATACTAGACCTGGAGCCCATAAGGGGCTCCTGCCTGGACTTTTTCAGTACAAATCACGTTCAAATATTAATTAGAGTGTGAACAGCAAAAAACACTCACAAACAAGAAATGTTACGCAAATCCAGCGCAATAAATTGGAAATGTTGCGCAAATCTTGAGTAAAAAATGAAGAAATGTTTATTTTTGGGGCTCAAGATTTAACTTCAAATCGTGAGCCCCAATTTGTTGTCTATATGGCATTCAGCCATGGCGCATGTACCGAGTGGTCTGGCCACAGTAAGACCCCGCCGCCATCTTGAAAACTGAGGGAGAAACCCCTGACATTTCTTATCGCAGGCTTAACTCGTTTGCTCTTTCTAAGATGGCGACCGGAAGGAGTATGCCTGTCATTTTGAAAAAGTTCAGTCAGAGTCTCAATCCAGGAGAACTTAAGGAAGTCCAGGTCTCAGAGAAATTTCGTGTGCTGGTAGCTCTGGGTGATGACTCCACGTTGAGGCTGTGGAACGTTAAGAATGATGCAAACTTTACCCTCGTAGATGTGATACAGTACGTAAATAAGGATATAGTAACATAAAGCTTGAAGAGAAGTCATGTGATATGGTTGTACCTTTCTCTTTTCAATTCTTTGTGATTTCTTTCATGTGACCTGACCTTCCTTACGGCGTTATTTATGTTTCTTAGTCTTTTTTGCCATTAAATTATGGTAGAGAATGTTTGTCAGGCTATTTTACCTCTAATCTGGTAAATTTTGTAAGCTTGATGTGATCTAGTTCGGATACGATCTCGTTTCAAAAATTTTTTAAGTACTAGGGAAAGATCAACGGTAGTTGTCATAATTATTTTTCATTAGCCAGGTTCGGAAATTGCGACCAACTGGTCGCCAATTCAAATGAATCGAGTTTTGGCAGCGATAATTTTAAACGTGACACTAGAAGGAGACCAAAGAAATAAATTGTACCTCAAATCGTAAAAGTTCACGTATGGTCTCCAGCATGACTCTTATTCCTTGTTTTACTGAGATTTTGAACATCCAATGATTTTAAGTTGGTTCAAAATAATAATGGGGTGACATTGATTGACCTTTAGGGTAGTAGTAGTACTAGCAATACTGGCCATCATGTTTTTCACAGTTTCTTGTGACACCTACACTGTGGGTATATTGCATTAACATTTGCTTTTCTAAACTTCTCTGGTGGTCAAATCTTGGAAAATGTTTCACTGTAAGGAACATAGGAAAGTGCTATGAAATTGATTCAAAGTTTGGATATTAATCTCAGGCTTACAAATCATCAGAATACAATTTTTCCTCACAAGCTTAAGACTTTTGCACCAGCTTGTGATGGTTACCATACCCATGGTCATTTTTGGACCAGCTTTTTAGTTCTTAGTTAGGTCAATTTGTGGCCAGTCAATTAAGTTGTTTCATACCCATACTAATAAAGTATGTTTTCCATGTTTTATGGTAAGAATAGAATAAACAAATTAAAAATAAATGCTGTCCTTGATAACAATGGGAGAAAACATATATCACACTTGCATTAGCTGTTATTGTTAAGAAACTAAGTCAAAAGTAGAAATTATAGACTGTTCTATTAAAAATAACATACTTATCATGTACCAGGCAATTATTTAGTGTTTGTGTTAAGAAGGTCACTAGTATACAGGACAGAATTTTGTCTGTATCTTGATCACTTGATTCTACTAACCCTACAACAATCTACATCTTCTCAAGTGGTTGTTTGTTGGGTATTTTGAATTAATGTGTATTGGGATGGGTATGAATAGACAGGGGTTTGAGTGTGAACTGACTCAAACTGGGTACTAATTGACTGAATTGGGAACAAAACAATTGGGTACAAAATGACCATGGGAATGAAACAACTGGATACTCTTTTGACCATGAACATCCATAACTCATCATTTTAATCATGCCTTTTTTGAGATACTCTATTGGTGATTTTTCTCAAGTATGGATATGTTTAAGGCAAAAATCCATCATTACAAGGCTATATTTTTTTGTTTTACTGTTAAACAAAAGTCTTACAAATTGAACATTTTGGTGACCAACTTTTCAATCTTGGCTCTGTTAAAAAAAAAGTTTTAGTCACAATATGACACCTGCTTCAAAAGGTTGATTTTGGACCCTGCCATATCAAACTAGTGATTTATGCTTTTTGCAAACACTGATTAGCTAGGTAAGAGACTATTAACAAGTACTATGAAGCTTTGAGCAGACTGAGCTAATTGAAATGTTTTTGTAACTTCAGTCAACTTTGTTTTAAGAGAATGCTCTAAGTCAATGGTTTGGTGTGTGCCAGTATTAGACAAATTATTCACCTCACTGTTTGTGCAATGTGTCAGCCATTTACAGGCCACATGATGGCCTAGTGAACTGATACTTCACACTTTTCACCTCTACTTTTGCCAATAATGGGCACAGATGATAACTATCTATGTAGAGCAATGTAATCAATGTAGCTAACAAAAATAATATATATCCTGAATACAAAGGTCAACTGTCAATAACAACCTCCAGACCCTGTATTTATATTGTAAAAATAAGGTCATATGCAAAAATCCAGGAATTTATAATTGGTCAGAAAAAAGGCAAAAAAATTAAAGGGATAGTATTTGTAAAACATTCTTTACTTAGTATTTCAGAGTATTAATTTTAAAAATAAAATAAACATGAAATGCAAAATATTATCTCTTACTTATTTTATTCCTTGTTCTTACTGCAGATTTAAGTGGAGTTCTTGTAGTGACTGCCAGAATAAAGAAAATTCAGAGGAGGCCTGTTTTGTTGTATTGAAGATTGATGGCAGTATAGAGTTACATACTATTTCCAATGCATTTGAAGATTTCTCAAGCACCTGCAATGCTGTTGTAACCAAAGAGCTATTGAAGGGGTTACTAAACGATAGAGGCAAAGGTTAGCAAATTTTTGGCTTTTTTATTACTAGAAGTTACATTTACCTATTTTTTTTTAAGGGTTTAAACACTGGCTGGGTTATGGGGAATTGTTTAAAAAAAGGGGGGAGGGGAACCTTCTAGATTAAGAGAGGGCTGGAGATCAACTTACCCTTGGCAGCTCCTGAGGATTTTTTTTTGTATTTGATTTTGGGAAGCTAAATTATAGATATAGTTAAGTTGAGTGTTATCTCCATCTTTTGCTGCTAAACCATAAGTTACAAGTATCAAAGACATGTGCCACAAAAAAGCCAAAGCAGGATTATCAGTGTATCTTGCAAAATAAAGTTTAAGGTTACGACAAATTTAGAAACGGTCAAGGAACATTAATATGTGACATCTCATGTCAGGAACAACTGGTCTGAATGCCCTGTTACTTTCAACTATTTTGTTTTGGTTAAGTATTATGAATAATTTCAGAAAAAGATGGTCTTTTTGGTAACACAACTGAGAGCAAGCACACTTAAGTCAGGGTAGAGATCAGTCATCAATCACTTCTCTTGTTTAAAATGTTTTAAAGTGGTTTTGTATCTGGAGGGTCTGGTGATGTCTTTGTATGGACATTTTATGTTACATAAGTGAACAATTTTTGTTTTGTTTTGAATAATTCCAAGTTAACTGTTTGCATTTTTTCTTTTCAGAATGGCATAGTGGTGAAGTAAATCTTATTTCACTAAACAGAAGTTCTGAGCCCTCCAAACATGAAGTCATTATTTTGGTGGATACAATGTTGACTACACTCTCTATGGGCCAAAACTCAATAGCAGATATGTTGGTTTGCTTTGAGGTGACAAATTCAGCCATGAACAAGGAGAATGAACACTCAGGTCCAATAACAGCAGTCAGGAGGTTTCATAAGTTTATATTTACATTGGTGTCAAGTGGTGTTGTGTGTATCCTTTATTTGTAACTTGATTTGTAGCAAATATATGGTACAGTATTTATGTATTTATTACATCAACAAATTGTGGACCACCCCTGTGTATCTGGTCCATAGACCACCTGCAAGGTCCCCCCAAATTTCAAAAGCAGACATTTTTAATTAGCAACAGGCTGTAGCCACGAGTTGAGAGTTGTTTTCTGATGCACTTGAGAACATGTTCAGTGAGCAGCATTCAGTTTAAGATGATAAAACTGGGTTAGGGTTCTGTAAGAGTGTGCCACCAACAATTTGTAATTCTAGGTTTATGTTCTTTATCTTTGCTGACAATCAGAAATGTCAAATTTGATGAAAATGCACTTTGGAGTCTGCTTTGAGTTTTAAAATGGTTGACTTGAAAATTTGGGATGGTCCACAGAGGTAGTCCATGGACAAGATCCATAAAATGGTCTACAAACAAGGTCCACAGGGGAACCCACGGGGGTGGTCCATGGAACTTAATCTTTGGCTTGTGAATGTCCATAGGAGAGGAATAGAAGAGTGGCAATGTTCAGTTTATTTATCTCAAATCCAGCAAAACTTACTCACTATATCTCTAAAGACTATGCACAAGAGTGGTTGACAACCATATGTATATCACTCCTTTCCAAAACCCTCCTAGTTCCTCCCAGTGTTTGATCTTCTTGGTGGTGGCATTAGCATTTTGGTTTGATATGGTTGGTGTCTCTTCGAAAGAAACTAAAAATGAAGATCTGTTTGGAATTTCTCAAAAATCTGGAAGACTTGTTGAGTTAAAAATTTATCCCTTCAAGCTCGAGAGAAGAGATTAACGCATTTTGTATTTCCTGAACTGTATGGCATCAACTGAATACTTTTTTCACACAAATGCAACTTGTCTATTGATTTTATAGTAGCTGTTTGATTGTGTGAAGAGGCAGCCTCTGTACCGAGGTACACATGAATGTATTTGAAAAAGGAGGAGCAGGGGACATTCATGCACCTATATTGCTTAGCAGTTTTCTTAACTTTTTCAACTAGTCATACACAAGATGGCTGATTTTGTAGGTTCAATCAATATGTGGCAATCAGGTGGCTTTTCAGCTCAAGGTAGGTTGAACAACTTACAATGTAAGATTTTATTAGCACTTTAAAATGCAAAATCCTCACAGATTGCATTGAATTTTTAATTATTGATTTTTTTAATTAGAGAGGCAATGAAGGGTGGTTAGATGCAATTGTAAGTTTTTTAATTTATGATGAAGAATAAAAAATTCAGAGTACATTGCTGCTGTAGCAATCATTCTCTTTGATTTTTATAATTTTTTAATATTGTGAAAAAGTAATTAATCATTCATGGCATAAAGGAAATTTTAGATGGGATGACAGAACCCTATTGTGGAATCTCTTTGACATCTGATTCAAAATCTAACTTCTTCATTATATCCTGAAAAAAAAACTGTTTTTGAGTTTGATACCTCATGAAACAACCAAAAGAACCAAGTACCAGATTTTTATTTCTAAAGATCTTAGCTTCTTCTTCCATCTTGACAAGTTCTTCTTCAATAATTTCTCTAAGTATACTGATGTTAAAATTTGGAAGTTTGTCACTGTCCATATCTAAGAAATTTGAAAATGTTTTTATGAGATAATTTTTTCCGACATGGCAAGGATTGCCAAGCAATGTGTCACATGATACATCATTTTTCATCCATACCATTATCAACAATAGTTCTTAACGGATAAGTGGACAAGAATTTCTACACTTATCATAAAAAGTTTGATACCATGCATTGTAGCATAATAATTGTGCAGGATGTTTTTGAAGATTTAACAGAATGTCCTTGTTACCCCTAAAATAAGCTCTGGCAAACAAATAAATATGTCTTCTTTTAAAAGACTTACCTCATAAGTGGGAAGGGATGGATGTTATGGTCAGTTTTGTTACACATATGTTGTCAGCCCTTGATATTGTCAAAGATTCACAATAAATTCTGTTGGATTTTATGAGAGCTCAAATGTGATAGTGCAGAATGTTTTGTTAACTCTTATGGGCTGGATAGTAACTTAGCTATTCGATAGTGTTAACTGCCCTTCAAACAACTAGTCCCTGCTGCTTGAATACAAAAATTGTAAAAATTAGTTTACAATAGAAATATCACAGTAATATGGAACCTTGGCTTTTTTCCCACAAAACACAAAAAATCATGCTAGTGTCAAATGTAACTCTTGACCAATGATACTCTGAATTCATGCTGAATGGTATGCCATTTTACAAGACAGTGCCTTACTATCAGTACCCATTTTGTTTTTCAGATTATGTTGCAATCCAAGAGAGACCAACTTTTGTATACCTAGAAGTAACTGATGATCTCTCCTTTCTTGTTTGTGGTGATGGTAACAGCAATATTTATATGGTAAACCTTGATGAATACTTTAAAGAGTTCCCTTCTCAGTGGATTTGTCCCACCTACTCCAAGAGTAAAGACCCTTCTTTTTCAAGTGTGAAGTTTCAATATGAACTAGAAGATGAAGATTCTGTGGCCCGTAATGCAGAAATGTCTGATATTGCCTATGGGGACAGGGTGTGGAAAACAGAAATATTGGCATTCAGGAAGGCTGTAAAGCAAGCTTGTTGTGAAAATGGAACAGGTGGGAGTAAGTTATGAATAGATGCTTTCAATCCATTAATATGTAGCCACTAAATTTCCAGGAAGTCACAATGTGTCATGTTTTATGAATTTATCCAGGCCATCATTGCAGCATCTGGTTTCCCTTTTCAAAACCAAGCCAGTGAAATGTGGTAAAATTTTTTTTACTTGAACGGCAGTTCTATAAATGGTAAATGTGACAGAATGACAGAATTTCTGGACTTCATTTCAATCAGCATGGTAATGAATTTATTAATGGGAGACCACAGATTGTAGTAGAAGTACCGGTAGATATATTTTGCACTTGTGTTATTTGAAACCGTCAAACATATGATAACAATCTTATTTTACTTGCAGTAACATTTACATTTATTTACCATGTGCAAGATATATACAATATGCTACTGGCTAGGCAATATACCGAGATAAATAGGCTTGAAATCTGAAAAAAAGGGCTGATGTTGCAATTTTTAAAAAGTGAAGTAAAATAAAATTTTTCTGCCAATTTCCTTTGAATTCAATTTTTAAAAAAAAATCAATCATAGTTTATGAAAACATCCTTAAGGTAACCAGCACATACGATCCTCAAAACAGCGTAAAGTAAGTTTTTTGTATCAAAATGATTGTATCAGGGCCATTTTTAACTCTGATAACTCTAACTTGCACAACCAAAAATATTGGCTAACAGTTTGTTCACTAAATTAAAAATTAATCATGTGTTTAATGGACTTTTTTATTTTGTTTAATGTCATTGAGAGTAAGAGTCACTTGATGTTTAGTTTTTAAATTTGTTATTGCACCTCATTCTAGCTTCCCTAACACCTACCTTACCAGTAAAATATTGTTCTCTCACTTTCCTCTTGTTACATCATACAAAGAAAATAGCACTTGCACATATGCCAACTCTCCTGGAAACAGAGCCAATCTCCTGCTTGCTCTTACAGGTGATCAAAACTCCAGGATAAAAGGAAGTTTGGATCAGTTGCCTACAAAAAACTAAGATTTAAGCTCAATATGTTCCAAAATTCCAAAATCATCTGGCTTCTTATGCTTGTATTACAGTTTCTGGCTTCATTTTCTTGTGTGATGTACATTGTTTGTTGCAAACTAAAAGAAGAGACTTTCTTCTTTGTTACCCCTATATAAGCAAGAGTCTAATTGGATGAGTATTCAAAATCAAATCAAAAAAGAAATTTTTTGATTTGAAAAGACCCCCCCCAATCAAAAAATAATTTTTTTTTGGGGGGGGGGGTTGCATTGGTGAATTTGGTCAGGGGTGGGGGGGGGTTGCTTATCTGAAAAAAAAAACTCCAGATTTGAGATCTCCAGAGGTTGGCATCTTTACACTTCATGCATAACATTCCTATATTTTTAATCTAGATGATATTTTCCTTAAAAAGTAGTATATATTTAATAGATGCTCCATTTATGAGAAGTGACCATCTTTGATTTTCCTCTGTACAAACACCTGCCTAAGGACTTGCATGTATACCAAAACATTAAGTTACATGGAACATAATTCATGATATACCACTTAAATACAATGTGTAAGTTGTATATGTACTTGTAGTTCATGATCAATAAGCTGGCAATGTTAGCCTGTCAGTTTTAAGGTAACATTGATTAAATCCAAAGCAGAAACGTCATGTAAACCTCATGGTGGTGGCTGTGGCAATGGCTTTTTTTTCAGCTTCTTATGTACCTGTGGAATCTGATGTCTGACATTACGTTTGCTTCTTTTCTTAGATGTAAACCATTTTTGTATACCAACAGTAAAGAAAAGGTGGTTTTCTGATCTAATTGGCCCTGATGTTGGACATCAGTTGGTTGCATTCAATAGTTGTGGTGAACAAACCATAAAAAGTTGTAGCAAGATGAGTGGATTTAATGGAACAAAGAGGGAAGCTGAAGGGACTCCACCTGAAGTATTACCATCTCCTGAGATTTTACACAAAACTATTTTTGTTAGATGTGAAGACTGGATGAAAGTGTACAAGTTGAAGGGAATATGGGTGACACCAGCTTCATTCTTACTTTGTTTCAAGCCACAAAGACTAACTGAAAACTCAGGGCATCCAAGTGATGTTTCCCACGGTGTTCTGTGTTTGTTTTCTTTGAAAACTCAGAAATATCTCTACCACTGGTAAGCTATTTTAAATAACTTTTTTTTTTATCACCAGAGTTTATATGGAAGTATCTAAAGTTTGGATACTTTGTAATTAGTGATGTAAGTACAATAAAAAGTGTAGTCATAATAATGTATCTATTATGAGAGGTCAATAAGATCTTAGTGTCTGTCCAAGTTTTTTTTTTCCCAAAACAACTTTTCAGCTGAACTACCCTTAAAAGATAGACATGCTGTCCACGAAGGAAACTATTATTTTGGAATTAATGCATTTTCCCCTGTCCTTTCCCTACATCTATATGGTGTTGGAAAAAAAATAACTCTTAATTCCCATTTCTATTAATTCTTAACTCCAAACTACTTTAATTTATAGGTTTTTGGAACCTTCAGTGATAGTACAAAGTTGTGAACCAGGGTTCCCACATCTGGTGCTCACTGGCACATCTCTGGCAGTACCAGCTTTTGACATTAGTCAAGATCAGCTTGTCCATAAAGTAATGAATGCTTTTCCAATGTCAGATGAATAATTAGTTAGCTTTTTTCTTCTTTAGCCCAAGGAATAGCTTAGTTAAAGAAAGAATGCTAGTCTTGAAATAAGTGAATAAACCAACTGAAGGAGGATGCTTTGAAGCAAAACAATGCAATTTATATAATATAATAACAATACAATGTAAAATTCTTGTTGCAACTCACTCAGTCCTGGCTATTTTTGATTCCTCTAAAGGAATGATCTTAAGTGGAAAGTGTTTTCTGAAACATTGGTCTGCTGATTTAAACTCATCTATTTTGTAGGTAATAATGTATGAGAATGCAGTTCTAGCAGACTCTCTATGCTTTGTGAATCAGTGGGATCATTGTACCATTCCAATTCATGCTTTAGAAGTGGCCTTAAAACTAAGGCAACTTGACACAGTTGCCTTCTTTTTGAAGAACCAAGACAAAGGTAAGAACCAAGCTCTAAGATGTTATGTTATGATTTATCAGTAATGCAACAGTTAATGTTAAACTTCTTAAACTCTGTGGGAATTGCATTTAGATCTAGAGATAGTTATCACAGTTAGTGTGATTTGTAGTTTTATTGCATTTGTTTCAGCTCATGATTATTTCTATCCTTTTACTATTTTCAATAAAACTTCTTTTGGCTAAACACCATTTTGTATTTTTTTGTTTTGGGAGCAAAAAGGGGGAATTAGTCCATATTTTGGGATTTTCATAGCAGAATCAGTGGAAGTAGGAGTTACATGTTGGGAGAACCCAAGAAAAGCTTGAAAGCATGTAGTTTGTAAGAGAAAGGATTTAATATCTGCCTCTGCCATCAAAGTTTTGATTATTTAAAATGCAAATCTGTTTATAATGTAAATCTCCCATGATTTTGATCATTTGCCTATTCTCTTTCAGCTTTCACAAACAGATGTGCTGCTCTCTACTCCTCATCAGACTCTGTATTGTCTTCTTTAAGTTCAGCATCATCACTAGACGGTGAAGGTGTACTGGGTACCACTGATGTGGTGGCAGTGACAGAGGCCCTTGTTAGTGCTGTAAACTACAATAGTCAGCGTAAGTGAGAAACATTGCACTTTTGATCTGTAATGGTACATGTATGGTTACAAAATGGGAGTGTGCTGTGATAGGAATTAACCTTTATTTTTAAACAAATTGTTATTCATCAGAAGTAGACCACTTTTTTTTCAAAAGTAAACAAAAAAGGAAAAAGAAAAAAGATGGTACTCTCGCTGATTCCTTTTGAACAGTTGGAGACAGATAACATCAATCAATTAAAGGGCCTTTGGCAAACAAAGATCTGTGGTGTGTGCCTTTGTTTCTAGGAACCTTTCAGTTAGGTACTATATGATGAGATTTTTTCCAGAACAACACCACCAGCATTTCACAAGGCAACTTGCACAGATGACCCTGAGTTACCTCCACAACTTAATGGAAGATGGAGCAAAGTTGTTAGACGGTGAAGACCTTAAAAGATCTGCTATTGGACACAAAACTGGTCAAGTTGCATGGAGCTTATTACACCAAGAGATAAAAGATTGCCTCGATTTTCTGACTCTTAGTATTGTGAAGCTTCGAGGTCATCTCAGCAACATTCCTCTCAATGATGATGCTCAAAGTTCTGACATTGTGGACTTTAATCCAATGCCATTTGCAAGATTGGATGCAGATGAGGTGGATGGATCCATGACAAGGTGGAGCAGAATGAAGGATGAGGTATTGTGATCATATATAAGCTTGTTGTTTTTTGGACTGTAGAAGTAATTTGGGAGAGATTTGTTGAAACTTGGCGATAAAAGTGCTTTGCCCTTATAAAGTATCATTCAGTAGAATTCTCTCACCCATAAAATGATAGTGGAATGGATATAATTTCACAAGAAGTGAGATGGCTGGCTTTGAGAAGGTTTTAAACTAACCACAACCTAAATATAAATGTTTACCCTCTGATGTTGTTTATATTTCTTTTAAAATAATTGAATCTGTGGCTGCACAGCATTGATCCAGTTCTTTTCATAAGTGAATTCCATCCCCTTAAAACAAACACCTTGTTCTGTATTCTGTTTATATGCAAAGAAAAAGTTGTTATCCATCGACATTGTATGTAGTTTTTCACATTTTTCTCATGGTTCACCGTTATTGGCAGTTATTTTTTCTTTGATTGTTAATTTTTTAGTTCTCCAGAGCACCCATTTATAATTATAGCTTCAGCTGACAAGTTTACTCTGCTTAAATATGTTATTATTTTTATTATTGTTGTTATTATTACTATTTTCTTTCATGTTTTTTATCGTCCATTCCAATATGTCTTCACTGTTCAGGGCACAAAGTTAATCACTGGATATAGCTCTTGTGCTATTTAGTTATAGACCTTCCTCTGCTTGCTAGGATATCATTGAAGATGCCATTGCCAACCAATATATTTGTTCAGCTCAAGCATTTTTCCAGAGCAGGAGACTTGAAAAGATGGTATATCCTTAAATGTCATAGAAATTATTTACTATACTTGTTTGTCATGACAGAGTTACCTTGTTTGAGGTTTGTATTGACTCTTTGCACTGGGATGGTAGGCTATGGTGGCTGCCTTTGGTAGAAAATTGTTTGAAGTTCTCCTGACAATGTCCACATACACAGGGTTAACCTTTCTGACCAAAGATTTGACCCCAGTGTTTATTTCTGTGACAAGAATGTTGGTTGATGTTACTGCAAAATTCAATCCTTTGTTGTGTCACAGAAATGTCAAAGCAATGTTACATTACACAATTTGATAACACCTGATACAGACTCATAGTATAGCAGTTCAAATGCCTTAATGTTCATTTGACAGCTTGACCCTTTGATTCAATTTGGAAAAGGATCAAATATTCATTCATATATATATATTAATCACAACCACCATGTGTTAATACACGCATGGATATGCATGCTCTGATTGGTGGAGGATTGTGTCATATCTTGCTACACCTCGTGTTAGGTGGTTATAGCAGGGATGCTAAATTTCAAAGTTGCTGCTTCATGTTTGTCAATGTTTTCAAGGAAGTGTTAAACGTGATAGAAGAAAATTCAATTGTAAAGAGCACTTAAGATGCTTCTGAGTTTGGCAGAACACTTTTCAAAAGAAAGATATCATGGAGTTTACTGACTGAATGAAATAAACCTGTCAAAAGTGCTTGCTTATCTTGACACCAGTAATACAATTGGAAAAAATACCCTAAATTCTTTCTTTATTTTCAGAATTTACAACAAAATTTGAAAGTGCCTGATCATTTATACTAAAACAATTATTTGTCTCAGGCTCAGTGAACATTGTTGAATAATCTCCTCGACTTCATCTCGTGGGTTCTTCAACAATATTCACTTCCCCTCTGATGAATAATTGTCAATCATCTTTAGCCCTTAGAACACAAAACCGTTCAGTGTGATGGATCCCTTTCAAGCTTCACACAAGTTGGTCTTCAAGTGGTTTTTAAGAGACTAATTGATCACGACATGGAAACTGTGACTACCCTGTTAACAAACATGGTATGTTTGACTTCAACAAAACAAGCATTTCTTTTAAGTCACTTAGAGTTGTTTTCCCTTAAACTAGACAAGGACACTTCTTTTTAGCAAGAAAAGTATTATCTGATTTCTGTAGATAATCAGACAAAAAATGTGATGTATATTTTTCAAAATATACATAAATAGCTTCATCCTTTTTAAATACACATGGAACCAATACATGTATTTAATTCTGAACTATTTATTTCAGGGTCGGGATGTTTGGCAACAGCTTCACAAAGTTTGTCTGTACACGCTTCACAGACCTCTCAGAGATTTTCTGGTAAGGCTTCTTTGAAATCGGTGAGTTGATAGAAGAGTTTCCAAGAAATCAATAATTAGAGTGAAATTTTGAAGCTGATTGGAACATGTCCCTTTAATAGAAGGTTCAATCAGCCTTGTAGTCCATCATTAGCTTGCCTGTTTGGTGAAAGCAATTTGTGGTTCATATTGGAAGACCATGCAAAATTCATCTAGTTCCCTGGCTGTTCTCCTCATGCAGAGGACCTTTACTTGGGAAGTAGAATGTAAAGGGAAGTTTGTTAAAAATGAAAAAATGCCAAGTGCTGTGTTGACTTGTCATCACTTGGCCAAAAGCAAAAGTGTAGATAACAATAAACAGTTTTCTTTCATCTCCAATAATCAATAAGAATACTCCAGCCCCTGTTCAGTCACTATATCTTAGTTATCACCTGACAGTCTTGTGTCAGTACCTAGTAAAATTACCATAAGTTAAGGAAATTCTGCAGCAGATTCTAGAGAAAATGGCACTATAGTACTGTGTTGGGGATGCCAGCATCACAATCATTTAAAAACAAGGTAGCCCCTGTTTTGACGACAGTGTTGGGACCAAGACAAGGGTTCCTTGAGTAGATGTGCCACTTCAAAAGAGGTAATGAAAGACTGGTTTCGGTCTAGGACCAAACTTTGTCTACCCCAAACTAAAATCCTTGTAAGAGGAACATGTATTTGTGCATATAAGGGTACAGACATCAATTTTTGTTAATTGATAATTTTTCCATGGGTAGTTGAATGAGCTAGAATCAAGAGATTTCTTGCCAGCTGAGGAAAGGAATGTGGTGGAGTTTTCAAAAACCTTGGAAACTTTATACAATCAACCATCATTCACAGAGGCTAAGAAAAATGTGAAGATTAATAACTTGAAAGACAGGTCTGTGACAAATGACTGCAAATATTTGAATATCATATATCTGAACTGTAGATTAATTGTAAATGAATGTGAGAGTGATCTCCGCCATAATAAACACTACCAGTACTTAAGCAGTGGTGACAATAAGGCTTGCAAAAAAATTCAGAGGTGTACGGGAGTTGAACTCACGACCTCTGCAATACCAGCACTCCACCAACTGAGCTAACAAGCCAACTGGGAGCTGGTCATTTTGTTTGTTCATAATAAACCTGTGAAGTGATGAGTAAATGACTGTGAATAAATGAATACCATTATGTGAACTGTGGATTGAGTGGGGGGGGGGGGCTATTTTTGGCTCTGTTGTCTCTGTTGAATTATTTTTATTTTTGCAAAAAAGTGGGGGGGCTAAAGCCACTCCATCCCCTCCCTCTGCATGGTCCCTGTGTAGTATTTTTGTTGTTAAGATAACATTTTAGTACCTTGTAAAATCCATAGGAAAATGCAAATACACATGGGCAGGATTGTGATGTTGCTTGATCATTATTTAATCATTATACATGTAGCTCTGCAGTTGTAAACCTTATGGATGTGCTGTAAGACAAACCATATCAAGACAGTATGGTATGTTATATCTTAGCTGGAGAGACCTTGGATTGTTAAAAAGTTCTTTCAATCTGGGTTCAGCTCAAATCCTTGACACCTACATTCAGAGTGGGAATTTAACACCTGTGGACCTCAACAAGCAGGTAAAATCTTCACTGATTTATTTACCAGTATGTTTGTGTTTTACTTGTTGTGCAGGTACTCCAGAGGACAGTATACCAAGTTTGGGCACAGGACTTGGAATAAAGATTTTCTGAGTCTCTATTTGCTAGAAATAGTTAACTCTACATGATTATCCACAATTATATTAAACTCATTTAGCAGTATGTTGGTCCTCATCTCTCCAATGGTCATTCTGTAATCCAATTAAATTAAAATATGAGTTCTATTGAACACACAGTCAAACTACTGCATACTTGGCCACAACTTGACTAACCTGAGCTATGAAATTTAGTTCACTCAAAGTGCTTTATTAATTCTCAGATTGTTTTTCCCCCATCTTACATTGTACAGATGAGTTGTACTATAGTATAGTCCACATTACACTCAGAGTGGTCTTCTTTGTAGGGGAATAGAATAAGTGAAGTTGAATCAAGAGCAATATTATGCAACTTCTCCCGCAAATAAATTGGTTGCCCATTGTCACTGAAGAATGTTTTGTGCAGTGAGGTTTTGATCTTTTTGTTTTTGCTGAGGCCAGATTGAGAATCTATAAAGAAGTGTTGCTGTGATGCATTTCTCTCATAACTACATGCAAGTAGATCAATGCTTTTTATGATTGTGCAGGTTAATGTGTAATGTACTTATGTTTTGATAATGATATGATTTCACAGGATCATTCAAAAGGCAGTAGTTATGTTGAGGTACCTCTTGCATGGGTTTGTTCTTGGGATGAGCCATCACGACAGAGAATTGTAGCAGATAGGATTTTCTCACATAAAGGTAGAGGACTGAACTTAAGTTATTTTGGTGTTTATCTTTACAAATGACTGAAATGAATAAACTAACCTAAAATGTAGAAGACACCAGCATGCAATTCTCAAAAGAGAGTTCCTTTGCAGTATCTAGTTCTTCAGGTTAGTATAGTTAGACTAAACATATACCCATGATCAAGCCAAAGTATACTTCGTACCTTCACAAGTTAATGATGAACAAAGTGATGGAAAGTTTCTGAGTCATTTGAGGAGCATAATACTTTAATTTATGGGTGGATAATGCTGTCCACTAGATAAATCTCTATCTGGTGGATAGTGTAGTCCTTTCTGTTAACACTTATCTGCTGGATAGCTATTTATACATTGGATAGCATCATCCACCCTTTGAACAACTGGGCCTAGATGGTTAAACTAGTTGGTTAATTAAAAGCATTAATCCTAAGTGATCCAAACAATATATAAAAAGAGCATCCTACTGGTACATATATAAGTATTTACCACTCTGTAAGGAAGGATTCCTAAGATCAAAATGCTTGAACTTGACTGTTTCATTAATATGATTAAACTGAGGTTGAGCAAGATAGCAACCTGTTTTTTCAGCTGGAGATTATAGTTGTCCACATCCAGATATTGGGTTCAGTTCTGAAGCACTTTGGGAGTACCTCTCCTCTCATATGGACTGGCAGACTTTGTTGGGATGGATTAGATCAATTGCCCATGATAACAATCCACCTCATGATGATCTCACACAATATGTGGGTGCGATGAGTGTTGTTCATGACTGGAACATTATATTCCCTTCACTTCCGTGTTGCATCTTCAGTGGAGGAAATTTCTGTCACAAGGTTGTCAAAGCAATGATTATGGAAGAGCTTTCAAGGTCAGCCCATTACAAAAGTTTTAAACTCATTTTAGGGAAGATAACAAATAAAGAACTCATCTTTTATGTCTGCTTCCATAATTTTACTTCTATGCTTGTGTTTGTAGTATGAAGTCAAACAGTTTAAAGTGGGTGGAGATTCACTGTAACCTACCTCTTACATCTTTTCAGTTTTCTCTTGCAGCCTTCAGTTATCTTTTGTAATTTGTGCTATTTTCACAAATAGTGATTACCAAAAGTCATGCTTCTGCACATTTAACCACATTGCACACACACCTGTATGCTATTGTCCTAGATGACATGGCACTTGATAGTGTTTTGAAATATCAATACACAATGTACATATACTTTTTTTCAATTTTATTCTATTGTAATCTGCATGTTACATTTACTTACACCTTCTAAAATTAACATCACTTACTCACCTAACTAACCAACTGAAGGTCTCACTACTTATATCCTTATTTTTACCTCTTAAAAAATAACATGAATTAAACCTTTAACTTATTTACCTTCACATCACTTTACTTTCATCAGCATTGTTTTTGATAGTGATAAACTCAATGCTGAATTGTTACTTGACTTGATATACTTACAGTACTACTCAAACAAGTTCTTATGGAATCTAAAATGATAGGAGAAAAGTACCTTCATTACTAACACTTATTTCATGAGGAGACAATGTGGGGACATTCAAACTGAAAAAAATTTTAAAAGGTGTCTTCTTACCATTGAAACCTGTATGTGCTACAATCCATCCCTGTTTGTTTGTGGAAGCATTGTAACTTCCAGCCTACTTACATGTTGCCTTTCTTTTGTAGTTTATTGTATGCATTCTTTTGCATGCATCATTAATCTATAGTCACTAGTAATATTGGGCCCTATTTAGGAATGGATTGTTCACAACATCTCAGCTGTCAAATTTTCCCCTTCTTCTTCGATGTTTGAGTACTTCCCAGGCATTGTTTGGGCACAGTCTTCCATTTTCCTCTGTGGATGGTGGATTCAGCAAGGAATCCTTGCCTGTAGAAGGATGTCTACTAACTGTTTCCCAGTTTCATCGATGTTTTGTTGACTACTGCATAAGACTGAGGCTTATTAACCTTTTGTACCACTACATAGACTTTTATGGGTGAGTAAGTTTATAAGATTTATGACTGGAGCAGTAAAGCTTATTTAAAATTAAATTGGATTTTAAAGCATGGGTACCTATAGATATGTAAACTAAAGATGTCATTTTCTAGAACTACTTGAAGCTATGTGAGGGACTTATTTACAAAACCTCTGATATTACATCAAATATATAAATATTGTTTGTTAAGTTCAACTCCTGTGGTGTGGGAAATTTTTCAATATTGTGACTCTATATTTTGAAATTCTGCAGTTTTTTGGTGGGCCTTTTTGATGTTTTACATTGTTAATTTATATTAAAAGAGGACTTAATACTGATACAAACAGGTTTAAAATTCAGAATGATGTTTAAGGTTTTTTAATTTGTTCCTTCCTTGTTTGTGTCAGTCTACTGAAAATGGGTCAATGTGGATGATATATATTTAACAGCATTGCTATATATTAATTGTTAAGCTAATTAATTGTTAAGCTGATGTTTACCTTTGAAGACTCTGTGAATCTAAGGAGAATGTTAGAGAACTCAACTTGGAATCAAGTAGACCACACTGGGTTGACATGCTTATAAAATGCCGTCTCTTGGGGCTCAATTCTCAAGGTACAAAATTTCTGTTGTTAAACTTTCCTCAACAAATAGATTATCACTGATGTAAAACAAATGCAGTGATAAGAACAGCTGCAAATAGAAATGAAATCAAGAATGCTGACAATAAAAACTTCCTTAAGAAAAACAATGGTGGGTAGTTAGGTGGCATTTGAATGTACAGTACATGGTCAAAATTCAAACAATTTGTTGAGTGATTTGGTTTGGAGCTTGCATAAAACACATGTCTGTAAATGGAGATGAGAAGGGTAGTTAAATGAATGTTCCAAATTTTACTTCATCCAAGTGATGAGGGGTAATTGTTTAATAGCAAAATGCCCCAAAGTTGCTGAACAACTGATAGCAAATGACCACACAAAATAAGGACCGTAAGTGCTGACACTCTTGTTAAGACTCAATGCTCACCTTAAAATGATCTTTAGTCCAGGAGCAAGAGGAATCTTAGAAAATTTTGAGAAAAAAGAGAATACTTTGATACATGTAGATAAATAATGTTTTCTATCCAATGTGACTATCCTTTATAGATCCCTGTTCTGTTTTGCAAGCCAGTCTTGCCATTGCTGGGTTTATTTTAAGAGTAGAACCGCCTTCCATCATGACCACTCTGAAAGCTGGACATCCAGAATTGGCTATAAGCAGTCTTTTGTATGGGCCAAACACACTGAGTCAGGTAAAATGGTTTCATTCACATGTGATTTGTCCTCTCATCTACTCGTCATAGAATGCTGCTGACACTTTGTAAAGTTTATGGCAAGAAGGAATTATTTCAATTTGATATTTAAGACTTCCAAGAATTTTTGAATACTCAACAGTGATATTATTTGGTTAATGAAGTGTTCTACGATAATAGTTATATCAGTAGCAGTATCATGCATGGTGGTAGGTTCCTGAATTCTGTTTGGCAGCTAAAAGGATGAATTACACTGATTTTATTTGAAATTACACATATGTAGTCTCTGGAATATACAGAACAATGCAAGATTTACATATCTTTACCCTAATGGTTTAGCTTCATGCAAGTATGTTTTTTGATATACTAGCAGGGTGCATTGTTCACATTCAAACCTATACAGGAGTAGAGAATTGGTTGTTCACTCTGAGCTGCATGGATTCCCTTTTGCTTTAGGCCATCGTGTCATCAGAATCACAGTCGAACATTTCAGTGTGGCAAGTAGAAGACAAAGTTCTTCATGATTCCCTTTTGAGTTTTCCCAAAGTACATTCAGCTGTATTCCCTGTTTCATCTGGTAGCCTTGGCATTGAATGTCAGGATGTGTCAGTGTACAGACTTTTACAGGTACGCTGGAGGTAAATTATTGATTTCACCCAATAACAACATGGTGAATGAATTTAGATTACGAATACAGTAGCCAACTAAATTATAGTTATTGGGGTATGGGAGTATCATTGTTTCAAAGAAAACAAAGAAAAGATTTTTAAGATAAAAAGGTAATCTGAAAATTATTCTCATATTTTGGATGTAATATTTGCAAAGCTAGATTCATTAGATTTCCAAGTTAAGTTATTCCTTAAAACTACCCTGGGAAAGACTGTGTTGTTGACCTGTGCAATGGATTTGATAAAAGATAGAAGAATGCTTTCTCTGGTAAGGTTTAAATGCCATAACATTTGTCATAGTTAGATTCAAAGAAAGTCTGCAGAAGCCTTTTCTCTGAAATCATGCACTTGAGTGGTTCAATCTTGCTATAAGCTTGACAAATTTATTGACCTTTGTTTTGTGTACCCTAATTTGTTAACATTCCTTCATCTTGCAGGGGAATTCACCATTTGAAATATCGCGACTTTTTGGTTGGCAGCCAACGAATGACCTTGCCCCAAAGGGAGGTAAATTTTTTCATGTTGATGACACAAATTGTTATCATTTAAGTGGGGTAGATCCTGAAAAAAAATTGTTTTTGGTGACTATGACTGACGCTTTCTGGAGAGGCTATCATCACAAGTACCTGAGTCAAATGCATAGAAAATCATTAATTAGGAAGAGGATAGATTTTGAGCTCGGTTGTTGGGGACAGATGAATGGTGAACATTTAGAGAAAGCAATGAGATACTAATCCTAAGCAAAAACAAGATCCAAGGACCTCCTCAGAACTTGAATTTTAATTGAAAATCATTTCAGTTTTATGCACACCCAAATTAGTTGTGAATGAAACATAGTACTGCACTGTAATCACCTGATACATCAAGCAAACTCAGCAGCAACATCTGAGTCTAAAATGAAGTTTTAGTAACTGCAAAAAACTTTCTGGCTTTAAGGAAAAACACGCATAGCAAACATCAGTCAGGAAAAAAGCACAATGACTGTAATGCAGTGTCTCTATTTGTAGAAAAAAGTTTTGCTTGGTAATCCTTAGTGAAAAATTAAAGAGTACATGTTTCTTTTTGTGGGGCATCTTTTCAAAACATAATGGTAAAACTGATCCCGGACTTTTACCAAAATTCACCATGAAATTGCATTTTGCATGCTCTATTTCTCAACAAATAGAAATTTTTTTCCATGTCCTCTCAGAAAATAATGTATCTTTGACAATCCATGCCAACATGAGTTTACCTTGCGATCTTAAAAAACTTAAGAGGCCTTTCCTGAGTATGGGCCTTAGAGAGCCAAAGATGGTTTTATGAAGATATTTTTTTCATTACCATGCGATTTTCAAAGATCACATGCATGTACGTGTGATTGTTTGGCTGAATATTATTAATTCTTTAACTTACTTAAATGACTGATCTAAATGATACTCATTCCCTTTTTCAGATACCTCGTATGATATGCAGCATTTCTCTTGTGACTCTTTAGTTTTTCAACATGCCCATAGAGAACGTCTGACGTTCTCATATTACCTTCGTCATGGTAGACCCTCTTTTGCGTTCGTAGCTTTTATTGGAGAGAAACTTAAAGATGTTAACGTGTCTAAAGCTAGGTAAGTATTATTATTTTCATTTCCGCTTTTCATACCCCGTAAAAAATTGTCACAGTGCATTACAGTAGCTATCATATAATTATCCTCTCCTCTTGTATTGTTACAGCATCCAGAAAGCAGCACTGAAAGCTTACAGAGTTGCTATACAAAATCTAACGAATCCTTCGATATGCGCTGCATGTGTGGTCTTCACTGAGATGCTAGGAATGGATAGCATGGCCCTGAGGGTGGATATACAGGCTGCTAGTAGATTACTAGCTCATGGAGGATCTCATGAAGATCTCTTTGGAGATAATGCCATGAGAGAGAATTCGATGGCAGATGCAATTGGTATCTATCTTACTAAGCATTAAATGTAATGGTGGTGATGTTACTTGAAGTGCTTTGCTGTTTTTCAAGGCTGAATTAAAGAATTGAGTTACCTCTCTCCTTAAAAATAGGCAATTCATATTGTTTTCAAATGTTTGAATTTACTATTCAACCAAAATTAGAAACGTAAGCTTTGTTGTAGAAATAATCATGGACATACTTCTTGTTTATTCTTGAAGATAAATACAGCTTCCTTTCGCTATTATTTTAACAAAGAAGTAGCAAATTATCATTGCAGATGATCTTTTCTTCATTTGAAATTTGTTTCCTTACCTTCAGCATCAGAACTTTTGTCATGTTCTGGAAAAGGCAGTGAAAAGCCTTTACGACTTTTAGTTGCTTTGAAAACAGCTACAAGAAATATCATCAGTAAGGATTGTTTGGACAAGTAAGTTAAAATGTACCTGTTAATGTACCTATGTAACACCAAGAGGAAAATCTTCCTTCTCGTGTATATACAAAAAAAAACTTAACAGTTGGATATTATAAAAAAACCCACATTAATCAAGTTGTTTACCTGGACGGCCTGCTATTCATTGTGCATTTGATCCCCTGCTGAGTAACATTGTAAGTTCCAGTTTCTCTTGGTTACGCCACAGCTCTGAGCCACAAGCATTCTAGACTACAAATGGCCTTGATTGGCCACCATCTCCCCTGGACTCTGCTGCAAGTCAGACACTCGTGACCAAGAATTTAGGCTTTGAAGGCAACATGGCAACTCTCTGTCATTCTCACACTTAATACATTTAGGGTCAAGTATTTGAGGGGTTTATGTTGAGTTAAAGATTTTCTCTTGTTTTACCAGAAACTTTACTATGCTCTAGTTTATTTCCGTACCAGTGTGAAGAAGTGGACTCTGCTGAGGTGTTAAGTCGCTTTCAACTTAGAAACAGAAGGAATCTTGATTATTACTTGGCTATGTGTCACAGAAATCTTTTTACGATCATATAGGTAACAGTTCCTCACCCGCATAAGATGCATAGAAGAAAAGTAAAACTAAAACTGTTAGTTAAGCTGTACTAATACACACAAGTGTTTTGCAAAGGGAAAATGAAAACGTTATTTTGTACTCTAAATTAAAGATTCGTAAACTGTTTGTTTTATCTTCATTATTTTCTGCAGGACTTCATTTGAAGCAGGCCAGCTGTGGAGTCTTGTGGTCCTATTCTGTCGAGTTCACAAGATGGAATTTCCAGTGGCATACTTACAGGATTGTGCAGTTGCAGAAAAGTGGCTGCCATTTATTTGCCATGCACAAGCTTGTCAAGTTCCAAAAGAGCAGGTACTTTTACCACATCATTTCCAAAAATCCCTTAAAAGCAATTTGTATATGGGAAGTGCTTGTTTTCAATTCACAAGTGCAGAAGCATGAAAGATGCTGTATGTCTCCTGAAAATGTTTGAAATTCAGGAAGGTTTTACTAAGAAGCGATTTGTATCTGGAAAGTGCTTTTCTTTAATTTACAAAAGCAGAAGCACGAAAGAAGCTGTATATCTGCTGAAAATGTTTGAAATTCAGGAAGGTTTTGCTCATGAAGAAGTTATTTAATAGTTAAAAGGTTTATTCGACAACAGGTTAAAGACTGCCATGATTTGTTAGCCATTTCTTCATCAACTGTTTTGGAATTTTTGGAGTTTCAACATCACTGTTCCTTTTTCCTGCTGTATTGGCGTTCATTTGTTTTAGCAAGCTAAATCTATTATGTTTTGGTTTAAAGCTTGAGCCATAGAGTCTGCCTTTTCAATTTCAGGTGATCTATGTCATTGAGCACAACTTCTCTTACTCTTACATCCAAGAACATTTGCTTTTGGCCTTTGAAAATGTCAAGTTGATTAATGTAGAGAATGTCTCTAGCAGTGAACTTGGCAAGAGGCGACCCCGGAAAAGAAAGTTGGTCAGGACAGGAGAACAGGTAGCCTTGTTATTTCATGTTGAACGTTTTGCTCACAGGGAGACAGCTTTAAAACAAACCTAAAAATATTTGTGGAAGATCTGCTCATTCGTGTAAAAATGTCATAGAGGAGAGGAACTTCAGGAATTCACTGCCATCAAAAATTTGACTCGGGATGCTAAAGGAAACTGGCAACGTCAATAAAAAAATCAAACAAGTTTACTGATTTAATATGTTTTTCAAACACTTACGTTTCATTATACCCAACAAGAAATTTTTAACTAATCTGATGGAAAAGAAAGAAAGTAAGTGTAGCTTCTCACCTCAGTCATCTCATAAACGAGACTGGAAAACCCAAACTTACAGCAACTGGCAACAAGAGAATGTTGCGAGGTCAACATGCAACAAGGAAGTCACGAGCGGCTTTTAAGATTGCTTTTACTGGAACATGGCTTCCCTCTAGAATTTGATTTTGAAGTGTGTGCTTCTAACTCCTTTAATCCTACGTCGCTTTCTTGGTTGTATGTAATATATTCATAGCATCTTTACACCATATTAGAACTTAGGAATATCAAATACGTGTCACTATAAAAAACTGGATCATTGAATAATGCAATTTAAGAGTTTTAATTTGCTTAGTTGTCACGGGTTGCGAGCCACAATACCATGAGCATGTAAGAAGAAGAGTTAAACAAGAAGTGTTTTTGTACATTTAAACATTCCTTTAATTTGCTCTTACAAAAGAAAGTTGGTAGATGTACCATTCATATTTTGAGACGTTTTTCATGAAACATTTATTCCACTCGCCCTTGTGGGCTATCTCTCGTCTCTCGCGACTGTAGGGTAGTTTTTTATTATAATCCATCAAATATTTATGCTTGCAACCGATTGGTCTAAATGCTCTACGTGGTTGAATATGCCTTAAGTGAAACTGAGGAACATCCAAGGATATGCTACAAATGATGCAACCCAATTTTCAAACTTTACTTCTATTGTTAGAAAAGTGTTCATTTGAAATTTAATTGAAGGTGAGAGAGCGTTTAGCTATAGTTACAGAAGAAGTGACATATGTTTGTTCAATATGTTGTACCAGAGAGCACTGAAAAGTAGACATTCTACCCAACAAACAGTAGAATGTTCATTAATATTTGAAGGATAGTAAACACAATATCCTCCATTTAGGGCGAAAATATTCTTGACATCTATATTTGTCCTTGGACATAATCTGTTCCTCGAAGCTCACAATTTTCCTTGAGCTTCGCTGTCAGAAAACTCTTCAGATCTCAGAACAGGTAAGGTCTGCAGACAAATGTCCATGAACATCTTCATGCCAAAAGGAGGATATTGTTTATTTAGTATTTTATTATGAGTATCTAGTTCGGGTTACGTCTTTACACAGTGTCATGAAATATGCATGTTTGGACCAAAGGGAGGTCAAAATGGTTGGATATTGGCCAAGATACTTTATTCGTATATTTTTTAATTTATTTAAATTTGTTTTTTAAATGTTGAAAATGAAAAAGGCTCATAAATATATCTTATTAGACCTTTTGGTGTGTAGTATCGCTGAGAATTTTTACGAGTTGTGCCGTATTTTGACAAGCCCTACAGTACAATATAACCAACTGTCCAAATAACCATACAACATCGCAGGATATTTGTACTCTATTCGCGCGTTATTTCTACTCTTCTTTGCACAGTTATAACAATTTTTAGCGGTCGTGAATATGGCTTGGAAATCATTGACATTTTTTCATTCTTTAGGGTGCTCTCTGAATAGTGGTTGTTATATGGAATGCAAAATGGAGAAGTTTCTCTCTGTAAAGTTCTTAATAACTCACTTCAATAATTAATAGTTCTCATTTATTACAAAGGTTCAGGTTTTTGTTCGCGTGTTGTTTGCCAAATATTCTTTGCGACAAGTTCTTAATGAGGATTGGTATCTATCGCATAAGCTAGCTCTTACAGAGTTATGTTTATTCCAAGGTCATGGCACCATCTCGAGATGTGCGTGCTCAGTTCTACTCTCGCATGGGTCTCAGAGCAACAACAGCTGCACAACCTGAAACTGTCAAGGAGGAACAAGTGGTGCATCCATCATGCAGCAGTAGTGCGGATGATGAGGAAAGCAGTAGAATATCGAGAAAAGGCGATGAAAAGAAATTGGAGAACAAGAAAATAGAACATCACGCGGATGATACATTTGATGCTGGGTTTTCAGGTTGTTAAGACTAAATTCTGTCATTGAGGCTGCAATTATGGCATAGTTTTCATGCTTTGTTGTCAGTGGCTTAGTTAACTTAAAGGGAGGTTATATAGTGGGAAACTTGTTTCGTATTTTGAAACAAAGAGTTGCTAAACGGAATCCTTGTTATGTGCTAAGAAGGCTATCACTTCCTTACAACTTCCATTAGTATGATACTTTCAATGTTTTTACTTACTCTATGTGCAATTTGTTTTCAAGAAAAGCTCCTCGATGCCGATGAAGTACGACATAATCTTTTTGACATCCTGTTCAAATGCCAATCAGCAGAAGTTCCATGGAGGAGCTTACTAGCCTATTCAATAACGCTTCAAAGGTCTCTGCTATCCGTGCTTGCAACATGCTTTCAGGTATGGCTTCTTTAGAAGAGTTTTAGTGCAATGAGAGTGTGCAAAAGGTGAAATGATATTTTAACATTTTAGCGTAGGATTAAATGATCTGTGTGTTTTTCGAAGAACTCTATCAAACCAAATTTTAAGAGAAAATTTTATTTTGAAACCCTCATGACTTACTTAGTAGGAGTTTTATTTGCCAAGAATAACGCCAAAGAAAGTTGTCAAAGGTATACTATTATTATCAGAATGTTTCATAGATTTATTGTCTGTCATGCTTTATTTTTACTCTTCAAGTTGATTGAAGCAAAGCAAATTGTCACGGGAAAAAAAGCGAGACGTTACACTGAAAAGTGCAATTCTTGCTATTGAGGAAACGATAGCATTTAATTGGACATATGGAAAGAGGGGTTCATCAATGGGGAAGGGAGGGGTATAACACTTATACATGTATAACCGGTTTAGATTTATTGTGTTGTTTGATATTCAGTGGTTTTCAGCTACCATTAAGGAGAAGGGTCTATTAAGCAGCGCAGTTGTTTAAAGTTGGTCTTGGCCTTCCTTCGATTAGACATTTGTATTTTGAAAAGGTGTTTGTGTGGTCTTACATCATGTAGAAGAGTCACCTGGATATAGAGGATACAAAAACCAGCGCCTTCATTATCGACAAGATTTCGTTTTGTTAAAGTTTTTTGAATACCTTGATATTTGTTGATGAATTTGAGAGGAGGTTTAAGCAGCCTTATTGTTCTTCAAAGGATTCCAGGCCACTTGATTGCCTTTGCGCCTGGCTCTGCTCAACTGTGTGCCCATCTGTCTTGAAACCTGCTGTAGCGTCTATCCCAGGTATGGAGCACAGCTATATGCAATTTTTTTTAATACAGTCTCCTCTCTTGAAGGGATGTATTGCTGACAATCTCACTCACCTTCTCTTTTAAAAGCTCTTCTAGTGCACTTACTTTAACCTATGACGAACCTTGAAAAAGAGAGTTATTGTGCCTGCTGATTTGATCTAAATTACCAAAGAATTGTATACCACATTTTGAAGACTTGGCAGTATCAGTTAACCAAACAAACATAACATAACATAACATAACATCTAAGCCTCTTTGCCGTTGAATTACTTAAGCTTCTGTGATAAATATATATTTATATACATATATGTTACAGAGACACTAGCACCACTCACTTACACGTTAGGTAAATTACTAAGTTAATCATACAATTCATCACTTACAGCAGATTACGTAGAGGACTGTTAATAAACTAATACCGTACTTCACTGTAAGCGCCTTAGGTGCTTACACCATTGATGTAGATAAAAAGAGACATGGGATTGTTTTACTATGTTGAAGATTATATGGAGTGACTGAAGATATTAACTCTGTTACCTTTGAGTGAATGGTCACCAATGATATAATTATTTGATTGTTATCTAACATCTGACAAGACTGTCATCTCTAACGTTTAATACTCCATTAACAGGCAGTCGTCGGCGAGGCTCCTCGGATGTACAAAGTATGATTTGTTACATTTATGTTTTTCATGTGGCCCTAAGGCATGAACAATCTCATTGTGTTAGTTGCATTAGGTTCATTAACTTTTATTTGCTTTAATATGTTACACGCAAGACTTGTGTTTTGTTGTTGTCTTTTGTTTGAGTGTTGAAAATAGTCGAAGGAAAGTACATTACAATTATTAATAGATGCTAAAGTTTAAAGGAGGCCCACTATGTATTGAATGACCAGACTTCTTCATCGTTCAGTACGATAACGTCACCAATTAAAAAGCTTGTCATTGCCTACTGGACTGTCCTGCTGGAGTTTGACATACATATATTAAGTAATATATCTGCACAAGTAAGAGGAATGTTTGACGAAACAAATGAATCCCAGTAGAAGGAATCTACACTGACTGTAGTGTCGTGATGTTAATTTGTGGATCAGTGTATGATGTGAGGCAACAATGAAGAAAATTTGTAACTGTCCTGGCTGTTTTGATGAACCTTTCGGTCTTAGGCTTTTTCCAGATGGGACTATATCCATGTTAAAGATGAAAATGCTTGAAATCTCCGAGTAAAGTGAAAAAAATTCTTAATAAGTAAAGGTTTGGTCATTTTTAAATGGATTGGTCTGGAAAGCCTGTTGTAATTGTTGAAAGGGACCCTAAGATAATCTCAATCATGTCGTTCTTTTTCTTGAAAGACTGACTCTTGGTAATGTTGTACACTAATGTCATCTTCTTCGCACTGATTTTCAAAATTCGCCAGTTAAGCCACCATGAATTGCATCGCAAACCACCTAAAATCCCGGCTTTAAGTCAATATCACTGCTGTAATCTACTAAATATTAAATGAAAGCATGTTATAATTCAACAGAACTTCAGTGGCATGACTGGACCCTGGGAGACCTTACAGCTCTCATTTTAGCAATTGTTGAAACGAGAGAGACACTTGCTCACACCCTGGCCAAGGCATTTTACATCTTTGATCCGGTGAGCTATGACTCTTATGACTGGCTATAAAGACCAAAACTGAAATCTGTTTTATGAGGTGTGAAGAGGTAGGACTAACGATACATCCTTGTCACAGTTGTGGAAGAATTTCCCACTTCCTCCTTTTCAGTATTGGGAACAAGAAGATTGGACGGCCTGAAAAAACCGCAACTCAACCTTGAGAGGGTAGTGGGGATTTTTTTTTTAACAAAACTTGGCTAGGTTTGAAGTTGCGAGAATGAATTTGAAATCCATGGAAATACAGAGTAATACTTATTGAAGAATGTTTTGTATTGTTGTTTCTCAGGCCAGTCCTCTTCTAAACTTTTTTCGTTTTCACGAGACCTTTCTGGTGCTCCGTGACTATGAAACTTGTCAAGGATATTTGACTTCTTTCAAGAACACTTACCGCAAGGTAGGTTAAAAATAGGTTGAATTACGAACATTTGTGTGGCTTAGCACATTTCTAGCACTGGACTACTTTAAAGAAACTCAAATCTCAAAATGAGTGGTAATAATAATAATAATAATAATAATAATAATAATAAATCAGGTGTGAAATTGTTATAGGTAATCACATGATTTCCAGTGCAATTTGGAATAAATAAGCACGAGTAAATTTTTTTAAAGACTAACAAAATTGCACGAGCCCGTAGGGCGAGTGCAATTTGTGGTCTTTGAAAAAATTAACAAGTGCTTGTTTATTCCAAATTGCACGAGAAAAATTACGTGATTACGTGTTGATAATATACATGAAAAACACGAGATAGCTTATCATAAGTAAGCATAAGCAAAGTGCGCGCATCAAGTGCAAAAATAATTTATTCAAACCGTGCGTTCGGTCAAAACAACCGCGTACGATCAAAACAATAATATGCTATGGTATCTTCACATCTTTAAGGCGCAAAAAAGTTCAAAGTCCGGCTAAACAGTTCAAGGAATTGTTCAGTCTATGCCCGAATCACTTTCGATGAAATGGAATCGTCGTTTCCGAGGTTTAACCATGTTTGTTTTTTCATTTCGGCGTTGGATCGCTCGAGTAAAATGTTAAGCTGGGTTGGCTCGTAATTTTCGATTTCCTTGACAATTCCCTTCTCCAAACACCACTTTTTCCAAACCGACAATCAAAAAGCAGTGCTTTTTAGAGTGTTTTCGTTGTTTGAGCTGTTTTTCACCCGCAGTGGCGAAAGAAAACCTACTTGAAACGCCGGCCATTGCTTCGCTCGCAAATTTTCAAATTTTCAAATTTTGTTGCGACATCCAAGGCTCGCATTTGATTGGCTATCTGTGAGTTTCTTTGGTTATTGACCAATCAGAATGTCTGGTTTGTTACTTTCTTTGCTCTAAATTAACTCTCTTCTGCACTGAATTACCTGAAAACTGCATTTATCTTAACCAATCAGAACTGAGTAATTGTTTCATGTATATTATTAGTATTTAAATGACAATGAATTTTGAACTGAGAATTGTATTGAGCCATGAAATTTGAGATTCTGATGAATTGTAAAACATCGTAGTGACACTATGGTAAACTCTTGGATAAACTGTGCAGAATATGATGAGAGTCTACAGTTATTATCCTCAGGTTAAAGAATAGCCTGGATATTTGCCTCCTAAAAATGGGTAAATTCTTAAGAGGAAATCGTCAGTAGTTCAAATTTTGATTGATGAGCCATTTTTGTAGTACATATCGGGCCCAAAATTAGGCCTTCATCCCTTACATGTTCCACCTTATGTTCCATTCATACTAGGTAAACACGTGTAGTTAAACCAGGTTTAACAGATTGAAAATTAGAAACAGAGAACTAGCAAACTGAATTTTCCATAGGATTCAAGTGATCTCTGACTTGTATTTTCTATGTGCTATATTTGACCTTCACAAACATGACAAACATGACAAACATGACACTTATGTTAGATAACATAAAATAACCAATTTAAGATAACATATAAGAGACAACATAAGATAACAATATGTTATCTTATGTTGCAATATAAGACGACGTAAGTTAACCAATGAACTTCAATAACTTTTGACCTGCCGTGTTTGCAAATAGTTGACCAGACAAGATTTTATCAACCCTTGCTTGGTTGCTTGAGTTGCTCATCTTCTCTCTCATTCTCCTCTTGATCCTCCCAAATCCCAGTTTTTCTTTTTGATAAAGTTTGCCTGAAGCTAAGTCTTATTTCATTTTGCTTAGGCGTCTTTCGGACCCCGTCATCATAAAGAAGTGACTTACCTTCGAGACTTAACGCGGTGGGGAACAAAGACATTAAGTTCTCCCAAAGCGATAGACCATGAACTTGATAGCCAGCGCAAAGACTCAAACCATGGCTAATCCTTGCTAAACGAGCGCAACCTGAAACCAGATTGCACAAAGTATCACATGAAAAGCACTTGACCAGACTTCTGTACCTTTAAAGGCAACAAGAATTAATTCAACCTGCTTGTCAGAGCTAGATTTGTGAATTTTTTCTGTTGTTCAATCCATAAGATACTCAAATTTCGCACTGTTTGACTTTGAGAAAGAGATTATCGGTAACTGTTGTGATTACCCTTATATGCGAAGGTTAATGTAGCTTCAGAAGCTTATTTTCTTGATGAGTGCTCAAGTTCATCATTATTCAAAAATTCTACCTGTTTAAACTAGAAGCGTTGACAATGCCCTTGTCACCATGTTCCCTAATGTGAGTAGTTGTTACTATTACTTGAAATTAGTTGTGTTGATAAATGATAAACTCACTTTGTAGTTATCATTGAAAGCCATTGCCGACAAACACGAGGCTGCACTCAAGATTGGAAGTTTGAAATGGCTGGAAGAACTGACTTGTCAAGTCACGAAGCATATGCTCTCACGCTGTGACAATACCCACCAACAGGGCCATTTACTTGCAATTCTAGCAGCAAGCAAGTTTGGACGAAACTTTGAGTGTAAAGGTTTGTCTTGATCACTTAACTTGTAGGGCATAAGGAAGAGATGATATTCACAGGGTAAAAAATCTTTGAGCCCCTCTGAACGTTTCCTTTTTCTTTGAAGAAAAAGCACACCTAGAGTTGTTAGAAAATGATGAAAAATTGTCTAGCTCTAACAGGATGGTAAGCTCTATTAGAATATACATCCGCTTCCAAGAGGACATCTTTTTTGAATCTGAGACAATTAGATTTGAAGCCAGACATTATAAATATGTAGCCCCTTTGTTTACATACTTTGGTTCTGTTTTGATTTGTATTTTAGTACCCGCTTATTGTGAGCTCCACGAAGTGAGTAAACTTCTTCACGGCACAAATACGAACATACGACTTGAGGTAATGGTGGAGCAGGGAGATGAAGCTGACAGCCAAGCTGAGAAGGAAAGAGTGCTTGGCTCCCTGCTCAACACTAAACAGTTTGCAAAGGCCAGAAGGTATGCTGAATTGATGGGCTTGTCGAATGATCACATTACAATCAAACAGGTGAGAAGACCTCATTAGCATTACCACACTTTGAATGCAAAATGGCATAGTTTTTTTCCTTATCTTTTTAAAAAAAAATATGCTTATTGGTAGAAGGGGCTCGCAGGGATAAAGGTGGCTCAACAAGGTCTATAACTAGTCAAAATTTGATCTTGACTTCTTAAACTCAGCCTTTCAAGACTGTGAATTCTGGAAAGAGTTAGGTCATGTAACTGCACATCCTGCTTTAGGCACAATGAAGTGTTCATCAAATAAATACACATTGATCCATCAATTTTGTGATATTCCTGTTATTTATGATAAAGTCTTCAAAGTAATGCTAAACGTAGTCAAAATGATAGCAGTCTGAGTCTGTTATACGTCAACACCTCCAACAGACCTTACATTTCCCTTCATTTCTACTTTTCGGCTGTAGGTTGATGCTGACTTAGAAATTGCCAAGAATTCCATGTTGTGGGAAATAGAGCAGGGAAGACTGGCTTTCTGGCACAGAGCAGAAAAGTGCTTCAAAGACAATGGTTGTAAGGCAGACACAGCAGGCTCATTCTTTGAGGTGAACAACATTTCTTTTGTCTTGCTCCGCTAGCCTTTACAGAAATGGGTTCACCAAACAAAGTATCCGTTCATCTTGAATGCATAAAAATGAAAGTGAAAAAGGAGCGATAAGTTTTGTGAATATGTGATTCAATTCACTGCTCTTGTGGGAAAAAGTCAGTTATTGACCGAGCCTGCTCTTTCAAGGGGGCTGGATATTACCTTCTTTGTAATTTTACCTTATGGACCACGAATGCAAAAAAATGAAATTTTCCAATTCATAACTTAACATGAGAAGTAGTTGAGACACTTCGCGTGCTCTTATCGGTCCATAGGTGTTATTAGACAAGAGTTTATAATCACAATTGTAAAGTATATTTGAGGAAAATTCCTGTAATACTGAAATTTTGCAATCACGCTTGGTCTGTAAGGCATATTTTATGATTCTCACACAAGTGCAGTACTTTCAACTACAGCGTGAAGTCATCTGTCAGTTAAATCACGTCCCATTTGTTGCACTTTTTCATCAAGGGCCATAACTTTTATCATGATTACAAATGACTTGATGGATTTTAAAACAGATAGCTAGGAAGAGCTGAAAGGAGGGTGGAAACACTTCTGAATGTATTACGATACAACTGTACCAATCTTTTGAACTGCTAACTGTTTGGATGGCCGAAGTTAAAATGGCCAAAGTCGGTGGATAAAAATATCTGATTTATTACTTTACCTTGCAGAACCAAGCTAGCGATACTGAATTGTCATTTAGTGAACGCGCTATGCTTGTTGGGATAGCTGTGAAGTGGTTTTCAAATCCCTCCTCTAACCAGCAACCAAGACCATTGGTGGAGCTGGAAGATCTTCAAAAGAAACGCTGGCTGTATAAGATACGAGCAGAGATTGAGAAAGAGGTATAAAATCTCAAATGAATTACACAAGGACTGTGATACCAGCCATAATAATTGTTAGAGGAAACTCACGCTGCATATGTCCGTAAAATATTTTGCGATTATTTCTTAGTTTTAGACATATGGCTAAACATGTTGAAAACTTATTTAAGCCCAAATACAGTTGAAATTTAAAACAGTATGTAGGATTTCCCTGTGAGTGTTTTCAAACCTTGGGATCATAAAAGTTCTTAAACGAAGTCACATCAGTGAACACGGTAAAGTCATTCCTCACACTAACTTTAGAGTGCACCTTTTTCTTTACATCTACCTTAATAGAGTAGACAGACAGAACACTATACTCCTACAAATCAAACAACTTTATTAAACAGCTCATAATATTCCTATTAAGGAGCGACTCCTAAACGCACTACCGGCAGTAATTATTCTTATTAAACTCACTTAAGCCCACTAAAGACTATAACTTATTTCGCCGCTGACACAATCTCTCAATTGTCTCAAATTCCCTTGGAATGCACAATCTCTGAAGATCTCTGAAGTGTCTCACAGTAACTCTCTCGGTATAGCATTCCAGGCAATTGGTCACTGCTAATAAAAGTCCTTTTTTTCTTTGTACATTTACAAAGTATTTTAGAACATTCCAGAAGCTTACAACACAAGTCTTTGATAGTATGACATCATAACTACATAACCCAGTAGAATTTTAAAGAAAGTTACATGCTATGACAGTAGAAAGTTCCTGTACGCATGTAGAGAAATTTCTAAAAACTTACTCTTACGGTCTCTTTAACAGTATACATATTGCAAAACAATCTTGCTTCTTTAGTGGAAAGATCGGATTGTGCAGCGAACTAACTTTATAAAAAAATCTCAGACTCATTTATAGAGAGAAGAACTTGCAAATTGTATAGGTGTTCAATAACTGGAGATAACTTATCTTTGAAGGAGAATATCATGTGGGTACTACAAATAGACCAGAGAGAGGAAGGGGCATTCAAGGGTGGACCAATTGCTCTGACAAGTGCTTATATGCTCGGAAGTATAACTTTGCGAACCTATGGTGCTTATTCTTGAGCTAAAGAATATTATATTAAACGCATATATATTAAATATATATTAAACGCATGCTCTGTGGATGAGTTCCAAAAAGTGAAAGTGGTCAAACTCTTTTGTGCCTTATTACATTCATGCTCTTTTTCCCCTTTTAGGGCAGTTTAACCAGATCTGTTAGCCATCTAGAATTTCTTTCGCACGAAATGGAACTGGAATTATCAAGCGAAGTCAAAACAAACAGCAAAGTTTTGATTCCTCTCAAAGCTGTTGATTTGAAAGAACTAATACAAGAGGATACTGCTGAAGGACAACTTCACGGTGAATGTCCACTGGAAACCGACAAGGTTACAGAAAAATTTATACTAAAGAGATGTGCATCAATACCTTTTTTTTCCAACATTGTTATGGTTTATTGACGATTTGTGTGGACATTTTAAAAATGCATTTTATTTATGTTTAGGATTCATCAACCTCTCCTTTTTTTTGCCTTTCATTCTGCCACAAACTGCTGCAACTTTTGAGCTTATTTTCATTATTTTCCAATTTTCTGAAGAATTTGGTATCTTGGCGGTGAATTAAGTACCTACTTACTTTTCCCGTTGTTTTGATTTGGTTTGATAGGAAATCCGAGCGTTGGAAAATATCATCGGTTGCCTGTTGGAACATTGTCATGTGAGCCAGGCGCAGTGGCTTGCAAGTTTATTCAATCACAGTTGTTTAGCATTAGACAAAGTTTATTCAATCACAGTTGTTTAGCATTAGACGTGGTCATGGTAAGACCTTTTCTGTGTCATGAGTATTGTCAACTTAAAAGAAACAACAACGAGAATTGAAGTCTTGTGTTGATATATCTTACATAACATTATAACACAGTTAATTTGATGGAGGGATAAACGTAGCTTCCCCTTCCCATGCTCCTTGTTTCAGTGCGATTTCTATTGTTAGCAAAGCTTGAAATTGACATGAAGAAATAGTTTCATGCACTTCTAAAACTTTCACAAATGGATTACAGCCACACTAAATACTTAAAAGACAAAGAGGTTTATATTCGTTAGGGCTTGTATTAACATACCTGTCTTAACTCTGCATTAGTCTTGCATTCACTTGGCTCAAGGAACACGTTCCATGGACACCTTAGATGTCCATGTAAAAAGCCTTCTCACCAGAAATGCTCAGAGACGTGAAAGCCTTGGAAGAGCTAGCCCATTCACCCGGTCTGGTAGTTTTATTTTCTCATCGTCTTTCACGGAAAAGACTCCAAACGAGCGTCACGACTCCGTTTCTTCATCTGATTGGGTCAAAGTTGAAGATATCATCACTACCATGGAAAGCCTGGCTTTTCACAGTAAGCAGGGAAAGAGGTGTTGTTCCTGTGTCATCACCTGCTACAAAGTTGCACAGGTAAGATATTTATTTTATGGCTTGTACCTGTTGCTTATGTAACGTGCACTCTTCTCTCTCGTAAAGCCCACTCGCTGACTATTTATAATGTAAATTTGGAATAAAGCAAAACGGCATTCAAGCGCTGCTTCTTCTTTTTTTTTCTTTTTCTTAAAAAAAAATAGAGGTTATATGAACCAATTTTAAAACACTTTGTGAGAGTAAATCACCCACAGCCAACGTTTCGGGAGAACAGTGAAGGAACAGGAGGAACAAGGGACAGGACCAAGAATAAAGTGAAACTTTGAATGAAGAGAAAAATAGTAAAAAACAAGACGAAGAAAAATGTTTTCTAAAAAAACATTTGTGAATGATGCGAAGACATTTCAATGTATGTTTTCGTTAATGACTCAGGGAAGATAGACGTTTTGGACTTACTTTGCTCGTTGTTTAACAATGCTGTCCGCAAAATCAAACTTAATGTCAGTAAGAGCCAGCTAACGTGCCACCGTTTTCTGACGTAGAATTTCATGTGGCGAATTCCCAATAAACTTTCTCGTGACTAGGAAATGATATTTGTCTCTTTCAAATAATCTGTTAGACGCCAACATTCCAAAACAATCGGTTCAACTGAAGGACATTCGATGTTTTCCAAGTCGGATAAATAGGTCAAAGTGTCAAATACCGCCAACCTAAAGGTTTTCCTTTACCAGTAAGATGTACAAGTCTGAAGCACTCCTCTGCATTCATTGACGTTTGGCTGTTGATTCTTGAGTCCTGAAAAATTTTATTTTGTAAAGCAACTAGTAATGGTAATAGGACTGAAAGGAGTCCAGTTTGGTCTGTATTCATACAGGTGACTAACAAAATTGGACAACCGTGAAGTGGGAGTAACACATGTTAAGTTAGAGTATATATGAGTATATATGATCAATTAATCAAAACTATGACAAAATTTTTATTTAAAAAAAAACAGTATTTAACTCAGTTGATGAAATGTGCGGCAATAATGTGCACATATGACGCCTACTGTCCAATTACAAAGGCTTGAAGCTTTCACTCTCAAATTGGGCTGGTCTGCCCCATTAGTGATTTGTTGGTGAAGAGCGGCTCAGCACCGGACTTGTCCGAAATCGACCAAAATTGGCCATCCCTCCTATATCATTCTTTGCGCTCAGATGCCTGTCCATCACTAAACTCTTGAAATCACAAACATTTGCTATTTTCAGGTACAAGAACAACATACACAGCATTTTTGGTGCGTTTGATCACTGTCCTCTACAAGTCTTACAGCCATTACATGAATATAGAAATTGTCCGAACGGCGAATACCCGGTCAAACTATTTTTTGTACTATTACGTGTAATATTTCAAGTGTCTTGATTTGTTTCTCACACTGTGCTTAAAAGTCGTTTCATCTGAAGTCTGGGCGCCATCATTTTTTCAGGAAAAGTTAGCTGAATTGTACTTTTTGACACAAGTTTTTTTTTTATAATTCCCTTTCAGTCAGCCTTTGATCTCTGTTGTTCAATCTTCTGAGTTTATCAAGTTAGTTATCATCTATTCCAGACACTAGGGCAAGATTACGAGGAAATTGTGAAAAAGAAGCCCCTGAAGGTGCTCCATTCGTTGTTACTTTCTGGATTTGACAGCCGCTATAAAATGATGGAGGGTTATATTAAAGCCGTTCAACTTGATTCTGTAGAGGTAACATTTTGAGTTGCTATGCTGAGACATGATATCCCAGTTGAGTTTGTCGACAACTTAACATTAAATCTTCCTAATCATAATAATTTGGGTGTGAAGAATTGGAAGTTGGAGTTGAATGTGTATTGAGTGGTTGGTAGATAACCAGTTGAATAGTCATATCAATTAAAGGTTTCTGTTTGAAGCTCAGAAATGATTATGATGAATAAAAAAAGTTTATAAAGTCATAAATTTTTAGCGCAATTTTATAAAACATCAAAATATTTGATGAAAATATTTGTGTATTATCCAGTTTGCGGTTCTATTATTGTGCGGGCTTAATCTCTGACAACTGCAACATTTTATCCAATTAGGTAACTGAATTTTTGGCCAGTATCATCTTGAACTCTCTCATCGTTCACTGCACTGGTGAAGGTATATTTTTTGTATTGTCTGTCTGTCGTTTCAAATGCCTACTTGTTTAATTATTCAGTTAGCTTTGCAGGAATAAGAAAATTGTTTTAATGTTCTTCAAGCTGGTCACGTACCGTTTCTCTTTTTATCCTGCAGAAAGAGACAGAAATCCAAATGAAATTTATAGAGCAGTGTTTTTATAATGGGTTTCAAACTTGTCTCTCTCTCTTGGTTGGAGAATTGACGTTTTAGATAAAACTAAAAGGAGTGATATGTATTCAATGACCAAGTTTTGTGGTTCAAATCCATAATATGGTGTTGCATTCAGACATTTCAGGGAAAGAATACAGTGACTTAACCGTAAATGCAGCACCGTCTTGTGAAGACATAAGTCACATGATTCGCTTGTGTCCCGACTATTCCGTGCTGGGCACTCGACTCTTAGATGAGGTTACAACCTTAATCAACGAACATGCACCAGAAACCATCCGTACTGGAGGTATATAATCTTTTTTCCTTCTTTTCATGTTTGACAGGCTATCAGAGTCATGAAAGATTGGCAAACATTTTTTAATCAGTCATCATCATTTATCACTACATCATTTAAAACCAAATGAACTTTGTATTCTTTCTTTGTATTCTGTAAGTCTTTCCTTGCACTCTAAGTACCCATTCTTCTTTAGCGTCTGCATGCCACGGCCAATTAATTGAAATTGGTTTACGACTCATTGGTTTACCATTCTCGAGGTCAGATTGTTTAAAAGATTGTTGGCCGGTCTTGCTGTGCTCTTTCTGATGAGATTTAGAGAAGATGTACAGTCTGAAAAGAACCACCATGCGCACTACGATCTACGATGTGAAATTTGTAAAAGAGTGCGTCTTTAGCGTCTCCGGAAAGTGTTAATGGCAATGCCAGTTATTGATGTTAATTAATATTATCTTGGATACTATGGCAGATCGTATCCCCAAAAAACCAGTGTTTTTCTTTCTCCCAGTGGCATAATCCACAGCATCGGATTTTCAGAGCAACACGACAAAAAAAGCGCTGGGCGTTACGTGTATCGGGCAAACTCTCATCTATGGATCGTTCTAATTGTTTGCTATTCGTGATTTTAGCTTCTTAGAAAGGATTAGGCCATAATGGTGATATCAGTATTTCAGTAGTGTGCCCGATATGTAGTAGTTCTGTGTATACATGTGTTGTATCTCGAAGTTTGCACATATAATTCTGTCTTTCTACAGCACTGAGCTTGAAAGTGGAATTACTGGTTCGCGCCCATCAATGTCACACTTTAGCCTGTAACATGGAGGGTATTGCAGCAGTTCTGCGACATGGACGAGTACTAACAACTGCTTTGACTGAATCCAGAGATTACATGCTCATGGTAACGTGTTTCAGTACTTAAAACTTCCACTGATACTTCCACTGATACTTCCACTGATTATGTATGGCCAATGAAGGAATATTCTTTGTAATACAAATGAATAAGGGGAGTAAGTTTCTAAAGAAACTGTGTTGCTGCGTCCACGGGAGAGTATAACAGGGTAATTTAGCATCATCAACCGGGTTGGTAACGTAAATTGGACACCGTAAAGAGTTACAAAGCTGATGTTTCGAGCGTTAGCCATTTCTCTGACGAAAGACTAGCTCTCGAAACTTCAGCTTACGATGACTACTTTGTGTTATCAAACCAGTTGATAAACCTAAATTATCTTTGTAGAGACAGTTTTCCTTTTTCATAGGTTCGTTTGCTCACGGGTATCGGAAGGTTCAATGAGATGTCTTACATCATTGACACACTCTTTGAGCATGAGCACTTTGAACTTCTATGTCGGAAAGGAATTGACAAGGTAACACGTCTTTTTGAAATATCCTTGATAATACAACTGTAACCATCTCTCTCAAACTGACTGCACTTACCTACATGAGAATTTACGTCAATAAAAATATTGCGTTATTCTGAGTCACTGTAAGCGTCCCCAAAGACTTGTCTACAAATTGGATGAAAGTGTAAACCCAAAGAAGTAGAAACACCAAAGAGAATTAAAGTTCTTTGATTTTCTTCCTTTGAAATAAACACAGAACTTCACTGACACGACGAATCGAAGCTGACAAATCACAGTTGACAAAAGCTCTTTTAGCCTCACAAGCCATCACATTCCCGTTTAATTAACAAATCAATTTCCAGAAAACAGACTTAGAACCAGACTTAAAACACTCTTAGTGCGGTTTGTAGCTTATTGGCGTCTTTTGCATATGTTCTCTTGTTTCTTTTTTCCATGTCTATAACGCTCCATCAATATTTGTTTGTTGCTGTTTTTTACTTCAGGAAAATAAGCTGAAAGTTGCACTTCTTGATTACTTAAGAAAACAACATCCGGAGGATACAGATAAGTTTTCTCTGGTGGCGCATCACTTTCGCATGTACCGTGAAATTGCTCAGACTTTGGAGGACACCGCCGTCAAACAACTGGCTAGTTTAGGAAATTGTTTCCCAGGTACTTTCCCTTGATACACGATATACTTGGTTGTCAAGTGGACTTGGTTATTGGCTTATTGAAGTAATTTTGTTTGAAATGTGTTTCGTCAAGAACACTGGAAACTGTTTCGAAGGGTCAAAAGAGGATATTGCTTTTCAGGAAATAGCTAAGTTTTACGTTTGCGCCCCATAAGGATAACGTTACAAATGTTTGAAAGGCAACATTTCAAAATGTGGTTGTCAAACGATGACCAGGTAACAAATATCGAAAAAACAAATATTTGAAACAAAGCATCATTTTACAAATTTCCAAAGGGAAAGCAATGGTATGTTACAATGGATGAGGCTCTTTCCCTTTTTGGAATTGAAAAATCATATGTTCAGTACCTTACGCTTCTTTTTTTACTTCCTATAATAGGTAAATGGAGGGCAACTTTCTTATTTTTCACCCTCAATGATTAATTTTCTCATTAAAGTGCAGCTCCTGATATCTATGTGGGGAATTAAGTGTTAAGAAACTTAATTATTTCACTACTACCCCATTTTACCTTATCAGGGCAACGGAACGGGCAACATGTGGAATGATATTACATAGTTTAACAAATGGCGGCACTCATTGATCCAAACTTTTATTTTAAGTTTTTCCTAATTTAGGGTCGACTAAGAAACAATCTTTTATGTGTATCAGGTTCTTTTAAGGATCGCAAAGAACAATTTGATGGTTTTGTCTGTTTTGTTTCCATCTTTTGTGCTACTAATATGTGATCGTTACAATGCTGTGATAAGGCCGCGGGAAGTATTTCGAAAAATAAAGCCAAAATACTAGAAAATGAAATAAGAGTGGAATGGTAAATCTTTTATTCTATGGTTAACATATAATACGAGCAGAAAATTTTGCTACTCATGAAACTCACAAAATATCCGGGTGGGTATTATATGTTAAACCATTGAAAAAAATGTATGTTTTGAGCCCCCCTTATGACCCTCTTTTTCTTTGTTCTAGGTAAGAAACACGGTCAGGGAAATGCTGAGAAAGGTGGGCTTGATCTTAAGATTCACTAAATTATATATATGCTCCTCGTATCATTTCGGTCTTAGTTCATCAACAGACAATGTGAAGAGTTTTCATATTGTCGTGTGTCAATGAAGAAGAGTTGTTATATTGTCATGTGTCAATGAGACACGACAATTACTGGCAATTGCTCGCAACTGGAACTATAAATGCGCATGCTCACTCTAGAATGAACAAGAAATTGAAAAGGTGCGCGCAGTGGAGAGTCCAGTGTGAAGAATTTGGACGGCCAGCATGTACGTTTACTTTTCGTTAAATCAAGGAGGTGAAGCTTAAAATAATTTAAGTATTCAAACTGGAATACATGTACTCCGCATTAAATAGACTGAAGTGAAGTCTTTTGGACCCAAGTAGATGATCTAAAATCAAAATCAGCCTACAAAATAAAGATATGTAAACATAAATTAATGTTCCGCACTCTTTAAGTTATTTTCGCAGTTGGATCCAGCTTTACTTTATTCAAAATTTAAATTCTGATCGGCTTTGTGGTCATTACATTAAACAAATACCGTAACAGTAGTCACCTAATTTGCAAGTTTATGCCGTTTCCCTTTCGCCGTTAATTTTTAAATAAGTTATGCCTATGTCATTCTGTATTTATTATCAAATCTGTGTTCTCGACTAATTTGGCTTTCGCGACCTTTATTAAAATGCTCCAGGAGCTGCAGAAGTTTTCGTCAAACTTAATTCCATTATGAAATCCTTCTGCTACGCTTCGGATAACTATGCCAAGGTAAGTGGGTAACACGCCGGTGACAATCATTATATCAGTGAGATAGTAATCTTTTTTCCTGTCTGTGCGTTTGTTGTTGGGGCTGGAGTCAAAAAAGGAATGGGCGTGTTGACTCCAAACCTTAGCGAATGATTCTCCTGTGTTTATTCTCCCATCCTCACCTGTAATCCTAATCTCTACAGAAAAAACAAGGTTGGTAATCTTGGTTTCCTTTCTTGTACTCATTAGGAGGACTGCTGGCGACATTCACAGACCTGTCTTAAGAATGCAAGATTGGTTCACCTACAGATCCAGTTTCTTTCCTCTGGAGTCACAGTAGTAAATTTGAACGATGTTGCTTTAAAGAAATTCCTCGCCCATCACACCCATTTTTTTCAGGTCAGAAGTGTTTGCATCGCAAATTGTTTTTATTTGTAATGACAGTTATTGGTATTTATTTAGTTAACAGCTGTCCATAGATTGACGATTTATGTCCTGTCTCTTAAACATAGATTGTCCATGTGTTCATGGTAACCGTCTATCTTCACATGATGTTTGTGCTTTTATGATGAGTTATTTAATAATACCAACATTCAACTCAAGTTGGTTGAATAGTTGGTAGTTACACCTGGTACTCTAACTTACTGATACTTTGTTTCTAATTCGAATACTCTTTTTGTTCCCAGTCTCTTCTAGTCGCTGATGCGTATAAAAAGCGTGACATTTCCTTGTGGGTTGATGCTATTTATAATCAAGTAGTGATGAAAGGCAACTTCAATTACCTTCAAGACATGAGCTCCGCCATGCCTCTCGCCAACAGTCTTTTTGTTGATGTCGTTACCAAGTAAGTAACACAATCATAAACCCTGTCGAGTGACTAACAGCTTTTAAGAAAGCAATCCGCTTCTTTTCGTGAAATTCGAATTTGAAATTTTCAACCAGAGTTCGCTTCAATACTCACCTTACATTATTCAACGTTGTCTGATCGGAGAAGACAAACTGCAACACTAGTCAGGGGGTAAGAGAGTCAAAATACGGCGGTGGGGATGAAAATGGTTTTCCTTCCTTTACTAAAAGAATGGTTTTCTAGGAACTAATAGTTGTAAATTTTCCTCAGGTACAAAAGTGAAAATGCACGCACATCTCAAGCAGCAGTTAATATGAAAAGGCTCTTGGGATTTGTTACTGATGTTAGAATGCGCTACAAACTAGCCATAGATCTGAACTTCTGTGACCTGGGAACCAGCATTCTTGAGGGAGACGGAGGGGCGTTTTTGAGAGATGTCATGGTTCCCTGAGTAAAGAGTTTCAAGGAGCACAGTATAAAGGCTCATGGAGCTTAAGCCCATGTTAAGCTGATCGTGTGCCACTTCTGTAGTATCGTCCAGACATCACTTAGTCTTTGATCACTTTTTTTTTTTAACTATGTTTGCACTTTCATTTAATTCTTTTAATCATAGCGCAACTCCGTCTAGCTAAGTGCATGGTTAGTCCTTTAGCAGTTAGTTTTAGTGTAAAATTTTGTAATATAAATCAACTTAGAAATGATCACGCATCGACACTAAACATCGTAAATAACTCGGGTATTGTTACCTTACACGGAGACACGAACTTTTTTCCAAGGGTTAATCGAACCCCAATTATGTTTGCAAGATCCTATTTGATCCACTCCACCTTTCCTGTCCCAAACCTCACCTTTGGTACTGTTATAGAATCTACTCCCATTATTAATTTTCTCAATGATAGCCCTCCCATACCACGCAATGATTGATCATACATGTACCATTGTGGAAACCCGGAACATGTTTTTAATTAATAAGTGTCATTGTTCAACAACGGAAAGATTCTCAGTCAACGCCACGATTCACTAAACTACCTCACACTTTGAGGGCAAGCAATGTAACAACAGGAAATTTCATTACGCCTCGAAGAGCTGTTTCTTAATTTCATCAAATTTTCACTATTCTTTATTTATTTTATTTTTTTTTGATTCATTAGCTTGATATTTTTTCCTCATAGGTGAGTGCATGCTGCATTAGAACTAACACCTACATTACTCTAATAAAGGTGAACAGAGAAAACCGAGATCGACATAATTAATATATGAACAGTTACAGTTTGAGTAGTAACAAGGTCAGCTGGTAAAGAGCATACAGCTATTTCAATTTACGTTGTCGGATCAAAGCCTCAAGCCTACAAGACAAGACCGAAGGGGAATATGGGATCTTAATGAATAATTATCAGCAAAATTAACAATGCCTCGTCCATACAGCAGACGTGCAAGGCAGTACTAATTGTATTTTCAGCCTCCATGTCCATCTCGCGCCGACAACCCCGAAAGCCTAAAATTAATTCTAATCTACACATACCGCCTTTCGGTCTTGTCCCGTACCCTTGAAGCTTTGATCCGACAATGTAAATTGAAATAGCTGTATATGAATTTTGTTAAAACCTAACCTAACTAAGGTAATCACACATACTCGAGCCAGCTATAGATTGTATGCAGTTTACTTTCTTCTCTTTCTGTTCGCTTTCTTAGTCTGGTTCTCCTTATGTGTTTCACTTACACCGTTGTAACCTTTCGTGGTGAAATTTGTCTCGTTATCCTCCATATTTACCTTGTTGCTACGAACTTCATTTTCCAGTAATGTCAACCTCTCTTCCAACATGAGCAGGACACTTTCGATCTGGTGGATAAACATATGCATGTGTTCAACCCGACAAATGTTGCTAAAATAGAATGATTGATCTATTTGAGTACAAAGCTTGTTGTTTCTTTGATAAAAGCACCACGGAGATTCTTATCTCTTGGAAAACATAACGGTTCGCTCTATAAAGAACAAATCAAAAGAGTGAATTCATATAACCTGAATGAGTTTGCGTCTAATACTCTTGTGAGTTGTGACCTGTTTGGGCATCCATAAGTTATTCAAGTGTTCACAACTGTTCCTAATTGTTTTCTCGCTATAATTTAGTAAAAAAACTCGTCAGCATATAACCAACCAGTTATACGAATTCACTCTATAGACAGAACTGTAACTAAACCAAGAGTCCGTTAAACTCGAGTGACAACTCACCAGTTTTTATGGCTTCTGCCTCCTATGGAGGTGAAGCCTTAATGTTGTCCTGTTCAGTGAGTGAGGGTAACAATAGAATACGAACGACCTCTTCGTCTAACAACGAAGTCGGCCGAGTTTTACCAGATATTCCACGCCCTTGGCTTTTGTTTGTTTCGGAATATCTTTGGTCGTTCAACGCCTAGTGAAGATTTCTACGAATTGCTTCGATTGTTACAGAATGTTACACTGTTTTTCGGTGCTACTTATTGTTTGTCTCGTAGTGTACTACAGAAGGCGATAAACATCTCACAATCATTTCAGAATGGCGCGTGAAAAAAAGAAAGCTTTATATTGCAGATGTCATAAAAGGAGTGATCGGCGCATCATGAAAATTTAGAGGAGAAATTTTCTCTTTTAAGACAGAGCCTTTTACCGTTTCAATCAGCGAATTATTCCCAATAGATCCGAAGATATAATTTTTTCAGTTCTAACGGTGACCACAATGAACATCCCTAAATAATTTCACAGTGGTGTCTCCTGCACGTAATTGAAAAAAAAAAAACTTTTTCCTTGCAAAAATATCTGAATAGGTTTGATCTGCACATCGTGGAAACTTTGAAGGAAAATTTTATTCATTCGAAAAGAGATCATTTTACCATTTCAATCAGCGACAAATGCTCAAAAAGCTGCTAAATTTGCGAAGCGAGCAAGGTCCGAAATACGATACGTTGAGTTCAACAGGGTGACGCCATTCGGCGGAATATTCACAACGAGGAATGCCTTTTTGTACGAAACAAAAGTCTCACAAAAATAGAATTGCAATGAAATTATACGATGATTTATTAGGGAAATAAAAATTAAAAGAAGGCTAGTTTAATCATTATTGGAGCCTAAGGATAGACCGACAGAGGAACAGTGAGGTTCTTGAGCTAGCTCCTAAAAGTTGTCATTACTATTAATTTTGTTATCATCGTCATCATTATTGTTGTTATTATTAGTATGATTATTTGTTAACATTTAATTAGTGGTTGGGCGTCAATTATTCACTATATTCTTGAATCACCTTTCTCTTGTGGAACAGGGCTCTCATAAATATGTGGGATACAGCAGGTTTTCTGTTTTGCATGCGAGACAAATCTTCTGCAAAGCTACCTTATAGCATTATCATACAAACTCTGGTTCTTTTCAGTGCTATTAAAATTGTGTTATCTCAGTTGCCATATGCAGTCTTGACAGCCTTCTTTTTAAAGTGTATCATGAGCCAGCCTACTCCATAATATCCCCTAGTGGTGCCCTCCAGGATGTAGAATTGTTAATATTAATGAAAAGTGACTGATGAAGCTGTCGCCGTTTATGTATACAGGAAGTATAAATGTACCTTGTGAATTCCTTGCTGAAGCCCTTTAGCTGTTGGTAGGTCAAGAACTTCTTCTGCCGGTAAAGTCTGCATCCCATCCACAGAACCAACCTGATAGCTAAAAGAAAAACTACCTCAGCCATCACCATATAACCAACCGAACAACATTTAGTGGGAACAAAAATGGAGCGGGGCAAATTTTCCAGTAGCTCCTCTATGCAAATTTTTATCTCGCTTTGACTTTGAACCATCAACACAAAGTAATGAAAATGTTACCGCTGGCTAAATCACTGCCGCACACAGGTCGCCAATTTGGAGACATCTACTTCCGAAGCTAACGACCATGAAATATCATTATTATAATATTAGGGGTAATTCTTGGGTGAATGAGATAACTTACGTAGTCTCCCATCCATGTGCGGGGCAAAGGAAAAGGGAGATGGCAAGATTCGAATTACATTTTACAAGCCCAACTTATCACAGTATGGGTTGAACTGTGATACAGTACAGAGAGGGTATTGATGGCCTGACCGCATTCAGGTATACTGAAAAATGCCAGTTCAAGTAAATAGCAAAATAGGTTTTAAATTTTGCATTCTTGGCGAGGCTCGTTAATCCCATTGTATTTGGTGCAATTTCGAGAACTAAATTTCAAGGGACCAGAGCTACATCTGTGTTCACACAACTAAGAATTTCGACATGATTGTAGGTGGTATTTACGAACCTTAAATGACTGTTACTGTTTATTGGTTGGTTTGTATGGTTATACCCCCACACCACCTACTATTACTTTTCAAGTACCAATTACCTTCTAGTATGCTCCATATCCAAGCAATAAAGATTCCTGAAGGATGAATATAATACATATATATACAGCTAATTTCAATAACGTTTTAAAAGAAAAAAAATCAAAAAGCTAAATAGCAATTCAATAGCATATAAAACTACCATCTGACTTTATCCCTGGCTGTCAACCAAATGTTTACAAAATTTGCACGCAAGAATTCCTTCAATTCCCTAAAGAGTGTCAAATGTTGTCAAGTGAATTGAAGCCATTCCAAAAAATTCTTGTTTGCATTTTTCAATGACTTCTGAATTAGACTAACCCAAAACCAAAACTCTAAGGGTGGTGAAGTCGGTTGTCAGTACATGAAATAACAACAAGTAAGTCATTTGGGTGAAAATAAATAAAAATACAGGGATGTTGATGTAACATCCCTCCCTTTCCTGTTTTCTTTTCAGTTATCGGCACTTATCACATGTATTTAAGGAACTCCGTGCATCTCTAAGAATCCTGCATTGTTTATTAAAAACACAGTCTCCAAATCACATACTGAGTTGTCCAACCTTTGTCAGCAAGTTAAGGTTACTTCCCACCTTCAGTGGCCGAAAAAATCGATTTTTCTTTTATTCGACTAAACTGAATTCAAACATTCAGCCTAACTCAATCTGTTCATGTTGCCCTTCAGCAGCATAATCAAAATATAAAACTGTTCTAATGAGGCTTAAAACTGCTGTTAAAAAGTAAAATCTAAAATCCAAGCTTTGGCCGATCAACGGGATCATCAGGGATGAGAAAATATTCCGGGCGCGCTATATATATGCAAAGAAAGTGTAGGTGAAATGTGTAAAATATGTGACTTACGTATGAAAAGTATAGAAATAAACTGTGAATGGAACATAAGGCTCTAATGATGGACTGTCTCTAGACAAATGACCTCTAAAAGCGCTAAAGAATGGTCTATAAATAAAATACTAAAATAGAAGCTCTACGAATTCACTACATTCTTCCCGGGAATTGAGTGTGGGCTTGCACTTTCTAATGTAAAATGTTTCATAAAGGCGTAGATTAGCTAGGTCGTTTTCGCTCGTACTAATCTTGACATCAATACCTTTACAGTCTTTGTTCTAGCAGGAATAAATATGTTTTTTCATAGACGAGTTTTCATTATTGAGATGTTCTTTTACGCGGTTGTGGATGAAGCGTGCCGTGCTAACAATGTATTATCGATCGCAACTGTTGCACGTAAGCTGGTATACTGCATAACGTCGTGAACACAATCCGGTGTTAGAGATAGGGCATTTGTCTCTAGTGCATTTGCGCTCCTTGGGTGTGGGATAGGGCTTGTCTGAGCTTGTAGGATTTGTGGGCAATGCGTACCGGGATGTTTTCTTTTCTAAAAATGTTAGTGATCTTGTGATTGAGGCGTTCAGAAATGAACGAGATCTTAAAGTATGACCTGTGTTGGTAGGTTGAGGGTTTTGTTGGGGGTTTTGTGGGCGTTTTGTTTGCTCTATACTGTTCTCTGGATAACCATTAAGGCGAAGGATGTCGTCGAATGTGGTTAGGTGTTCTGTTGCAGATATATGTGAGGAGCATCTATCCTCGATGCGTTTCCATAAAATAATTTTTCTGAAATATTAAAAAGCACCTAAGTTATTTAGAGAAACGTATTTTTATAAAAAAAAGTTAATAAGTCCGGAAGGTGCCATAATAACGGAAAGGGGAGAATTCCCTAGAGTCATTTTCGCGGCAACCGCTCATCTCGGGGCTCCTTTTTCATGTCATTTCCATATTTCGTTTACATTGCGCACTTAACAAAATTCACACGTGGAAGCTCTCCTTCTGGAAAAATCTTTGCTCGAGGAAAAATCAAAAGAGGAAGAAAATCCTGGGTAAAAAAAAACAAAAAAGCAAAAAAAACAGGCCCGAAGAAGAAAGAGAGAGTACCATTCTTTCGAGAAAAGAAAAAACTTTGTGACTGGTGCTGGTGGAGCTCCACGTTGGCATCCAGATTTCGACCAAAGAGGTCGCCGCCATTCCAAAGTTTGCCATACATAATGTTAAAAAAGACGTTTCCTTTTCTTAATGCAAGTACCAGCCTTGATACAAAAACATTGTCGATTCGTTGTCTTGCTTCTCAGCACATTTTCTGGTTTTTCATTTTTGCCGCGGGCAACTTTTCTCATTATCGTATCGTCCTCCTCAACGCTCCAATGAGCGATCGAGATAGAAAAAAACTTATCTGAAAAGGGTTACTTTTCGAGAGAAATCTTGATCCATCGTCATTGACGCGAGGAGGTCCCGTTGTCCCATTGGTTTGCGGTTTCAGGAGTCGTAATAATCTCCTTGAGTGGCGCGAGTTGTTTGCAAACTTCTATGAGTTAAAATCTCGTATTTGATTTTGGGGGGGGAAAATACAACCACTTAGAACGAATTTATAGGGTATATAGATTTGACCGATTTTTGTCAAATTTCGCCAAAACATTCCAGGAATAATGACAAACGAGAGTGTGTTGGGAAATTTTGATATCTGTCCCGTGGCGTCCATTAACGCAACACGCCTCGAATATTTTTAGCTACTCTAACTTTAGCTGCCGATATCTAGACAACCAATCAGAATATCGAAAAAGCCTAGCACACTTTTGTTGATTGATGCTTTGTAAGAAAGACTGTGAAGCAAATTAGCTCGTGTTGCAGCATCCGATACCCGATAAATTCAACCGCAGAACCTTCCGTCGTTTCACGCCTTACAGGCTCCTGACACTTCCTTTAAAGAAAAGTCGCTTAAATTACATTTTTATCGTAAACTGTTGGTTTACGCTTGGTCTACGCTTGGTTCTGATGTATAGTTTGCCAGGATTTTAGTGAAACTAGCGCACGTACGAATTTTTCCCGAAGGACACCTGCAAAAGTGGGAAGTAACCTTAAAAGACAGAGTCAAAACGAAAGAAATAACTTATTCATGATATTTCAGCTCTAACGTAATGATAATTTTCATGTCTGTGATCAACTCGAAACGAGGGCGTTGGAATTACTCATGGGAGCTGTACTGTAATCATTTACTAAGTCCTAGGTGTCCTCTTTTCAACCTCTTTAAGTTATATAGATGTTACGTATACTTCTATCGCAGCATGCACTCACCTAAAGTATATGAAAAAAATATCAGGCACATTTGAGGAACGAAGAAAGGAATATTGAAGAGGACCAAAAAATACTTTTCCTAATTATCACGTGTGATTGGACCATGCAAAAAGCTCAAAAAGCAAAAGATTGGCCGATCACTATAAGAGGGATAGTTCAAACAGTAGAAGGCGATAATTGTCAAGAATTACGTTGATATCCGAAGAAAAAAAACCTTCATGGAGCCAATTTAAAGCCAAACACGATCATGGCTTCGTTTTGAATAGAGCCATGCCATCCACATAGATGATACCATGTTCCTTGAGCTAAGTATTGGATGTGGCACCATATGACAGCTCTTAGATTCATGGGATTCAGTGGTGGTCACAGACATGGTAAATGAAAAAAAGAAATGATATTATAAACCCTCTAATAATTTTTTGCTTTTGCTTAAGAATTGGAAGTCACCTTAAGTTCTGAGGTTTCTTGTCCAAAGATCCTAGTAAACATAGTCAAAAAAAATTAAAAGAAACGGAGACTGGTGGGATTCTTTAGCTAGGCTACTTTATACACAAAGATAATTGAATGAAGAATACTCGCAACCGTCTACCTTCATCTGTCAAAGTCTCAATTGGGCCATCACTATCATACAAATTTTTAAAAATTAAGGAAAAAGGGTGAAACAGCCCCTTAATTTTCATTTTAAGATTTGGTTTTGTTCCTAATTCAAGAAACAATAAAAAATTTAAATTGTACCTTATTACAGGTAAAAATACAACTCTTCAATCTGTAATAGAGGCCTACCGTAAATGGTCCAGTTCTTTTGGAGTGGTCTGGTAGATGCGACCAATAGGTGAACTGCAGGACTTACAGTGTAAAGGGATAAATGTGCTAGAAGATTTAAGCACACCAATTATTAGTAAAATTGATCAACCTTTAACCCTTAAGAGTGTCTAGCATGTAATTTCTCCTCATATAACCCATCAATCAAATATTAAGGTCAAGAGATTAAAGCAAATGATCTACAACTGCTCAGCTCTTGATTGTTAAACAAATTCTTCCAGTCAGTACTTTTGGAAAGGTATGGGGAATAGTAGGGAGAATAAGTATTGTAATGTTAGAGTGTATAAAGCTTAAGGAAGCAATATTTGTCAGCAAAACAAAATTGCCTGTTTTCTAGAAGTGGGAATCTCAAAGAATCACAATAAGCACAAGAATTTAAGACAATTGTTACTACTAGATGGTGTGATAAGGCAGTGGCTGACTTGCTACCTTACCTTTTTTTTCTCTCATTTACATCTCATAAACCTTCACTGAAAGTTTATGTGATAAATGAGGGGAAAAAAAAGGTAAGGTAACAAGTAGATATTTAAAGGAGAAGTATACTCCAGAAACCACATAGTTTTCTCTCTGCTATTGACAAGTGGCTATATCATACAAGAAGTGACTTTTAATTGCATTTGGAGATTCCAAAGAGTAACATAATTGCTTGAAAATAGCCATAAAACAAGGCAGTCTAAATAAAGGATTTATACAGGAATTTTTGGCATTAGTAAATTTTGGAGGCAATATAGTTATCAGTTTTAAAGTAGCTCCTTGGAAGCTGAAAATGAGGTCAAAATAGCAATTTTATATCTTCTTTCCACCAGCAAGGATTATGTTACATGAATTATTGAGGAATCAAGAAAGTTACATTTTACACTTTTAGTATTCTGACTAGAGGAAGGTAGGGGTACAACTTGAAGAAACTTAGGTACTGAAGAGAGAGTGAAAAAGAGAGTCTTTATATGTAGATTGATAACAGCTCAGCCATGTGAATCTCATTAGGGTCCCCTCCAGGGGTATTGATAGAAAAGCCAAATAGTATTCTGTATTCTTGAGTGGACCACTATCCTCTTATTTCAAGACCAACTGAGAAGCTAAACCAAGGCATTGGCTTCCCTATTGATCTTCTGAGAAGACAATGGTAAGTAGATGTGGCAAGACTCTCCACTAGTTAACCTTCTTGTTTTGATTAGGAAACTGACCAATGAAGTTTTACTCGTGTCATTAGTCTATCCAGCACTACAAAACAACAACCGTACAGGCTGTTTTAAGTTGGGAAGTTAAGCTGCACTCACACTTCTGTATGGCTGGAAGAAACTTCTGATCTGGCTAAACCAGATGGCATGTTTTAAAGGATTCACTGTGAATGCAGCAAAATTTATATTGGTAAAATTAGACAACCCACACTCGTTCAACAGATAGCATAGATTAGAAATCCCTGAAGGCTGAATGCCAATACTCAAGAAACATGGCAACAGGAGAGGTATGCAACAGTTTACTGTTGAGAGATCAGCAATCACAACTGTTGAAAACCAACTGATCACAATCATATGGTGACTCATATCCAGTCAACTTCATGTCCTGATAAAGACTAGCAGTAATTGCAGTCGAATCAAAGTGAACCACATCATAAGTGAATTATTGGGAGACAAATACCAAAGATTCTCTTTAATCCATTCTTAATTTGAATTTTAAGTTCTCACAGTGATAGAAATGAGCCTTTATTGGCTCAGGCAAGAAATTGAGTTACATAGCCACTCAACATGTTGCTTTCCACATGCTCAGAATCTTTGATGGTGATTTTTGATAGCTACTTTGATGTTTGAAGAACTGTCATGATTATAATTTTATTAAACATAGAGCATACCTGCCTATATCACTTTCTGTGGTTGAAGTCTCCAAGCATTCCCCTGAACATATAAATGGTGTTACTTCTAAATGAAAGAAAAAACAAACAAACAAACAAAAAACATTCAGAATACTATGCATGATGGTAAATTTACTATGTGCATCTATTTGATTTGGAAAATGTCTACAGGAAAGTTCATTCTTTAGGCATATATTGCTGTAAGACCTAAACTCTCCTTCATGCACATTCCCTGAGTTAATTTCCCATTAACTTTGTGAAGTCAACAAGAAAAAGGGTGAATTTTATTAGGAGAAACAAGCATATGGAACTTTGATATTACATTGGTTTGTGCCCAGACCCTGAGGCCTTCAGTAAAATAATACAAGGCTGCTCAGCACTTTAGTGATAAAAGAAACTACAGAAAACAACAAAATGTTCATGTAACTGCTGTTGTTATAAGGCATTGTGATTTGTTGTGATATGTCAGAAACAAGGTTAAAACAAAGAGTCTAGTTTACCAGTCACCACATCAGATTCTTTGAGATTCAGTATTGCCTTCCTGTTAATTGAAATCCTATAGACCTTGAACCCTTTTAACCATCATTCTTGAGCTGCCTTTATTTAATGATTAACATAAGAGTTTCATCTTTTTTCATTTGAACATTAAATGTGCTTTTAGCATGTTTACATCGGAATACCCAACTTGACCTCTATGGTAGTTGAATAATATTATAATAATAATAAATAATAAAGCACAAAATGCTTGTATGTATTGACAAATGAAATTACTAACTATACCATTAACATAATTCTGCCAAAGAATTGTTAAACTGATATTGTTTTGAGGGTTAAGTTTAAGTACTGGTAGAACATCATTGTATATATCATTGTTTGGCTGGTCATTGTTCAGATTTTTTAAGAAGTTGAAGTCTTCTTTAGAACCAGGGGCATTGGGTGAGATTTTTAAGGTGTACAGATAAGTAGAAAATATTGAGTGGCATAGGGGCTCCAAACTAAGGGGGTCTGAGGGCATGTTCCCCCAGAAAATTTTCAAATTTAGGGTCTAGGAATGCCATTTCCTACATTTTTTGCAGGGCATTTTCAGTAAATGAATATGAAGGAAAATGCATTAGTAACTGTATGTTGTTTATTTTCCTTATCTCTAGTGTTATTGTTAAGGTACAGTGTTATTAAATTAAACCTCATCTAGCAGCAGAGAGTTGTACATACATTCATACAATGCCATTATGCAGCTATGTGACTGTCTGATTTTAACAAACTGAGACATTTGCAGAAATGAAGTCTTCCATGGTTTTCATTGCTGCACCAAAAAATACCAAGGCTGATCAACATAGCCCCTGGTGACATTTGACCTGACTTGCTTTAATCATCAGAGAATTTTGACTGATACAGCAAGCACCACAATAACAGCTTCATTAATGGGTGATTTAATGTTAACAGCCAATTTGAAAATGTAAAATGACCACCATAAAGAGTTTAAAGGCTGATATTTTAGCCCTTTGTCAATTGCTGTGACAAAGGGCTAGCACTCGAAACGTTAACCTTTAAACTCTTTATGGTGGTCAATTTACATTTTCAACCCAGTTGTTAACACTAAATTACCTGTTGTACTCTCCCACCGACACAGTACCACAGTTTCTTTGGAAACTTACCACCCCCTAACTTTATTAATGACCTATCACATAACCGACTTTGATAGGTATCCACTTTCACTGGTATTTGCTTTTTTTTTCAGCATGAGAAAAAGTTACTTCCACGGTATTTCTTGATTATAAAGTTTTATTTTAAGCCTTGGTGGACATTAAATAGAAGAACTTTGCTAGGTACTGGTTTTTGGCTGGATGATAATTAGTGATAAATAGCAATCAAGTGCCATTTTAATTTCTGCTCACGCTCACGCTCCCGCTCCCGTTCCTCATATAAATTCCGTTTCCCACTCTCTCCCCCCTGATCTCTCGGGCTCCTGTTCCCCCGTTCCCCACCAATCTCAAGTGAATTATTACGCCGCTAAACGTATAAAGTGCGCTCTGTTACTTTAAAAAGAATCTTTAAATTTTCTATGGGTTTACCGGTGCAATAAACGATACGTTTTTGACCAATCAGGGTGCTCGTAGTCTCTCAGTTATTTCATAATATCCTTGGAAACCGATAGAAACTGCAGTCTATTCCTCAACGAGTGTGACCTTCTGCCTTGCAGGAATTAATGAAGTTAACAACTTGATTCTCGTCACAAAAGAAGTATTATTTCAAAAAAAATTATACTCATTTGTAAATCTCTAGGAATTCAAAGAGCTTCCTTTGATAAGAGTTCACAAGACAACCACAATAATATCATGAAGGAAATAAGAATAATGCTAATAACGTTAACATAGAAACCACTTACTGTTTATGCAGATCATCTCAAGATCTCGGTCAGAAGAAACCCATGCGCAAGAATCGCCGAGTATATTATTACAATTTTTACACTGGAACACAATTGGAAAAGTTTCCTCAAATTGAGGTAAAGGAAATTCACTTCTCTTCGAATCTCTCCTTGAATTTACCGCCATTTTCTTCTTGGTATGATAAGTGGTAACTACTTTGTGTAAGGAAAGAGGAAATGTAGTCAACCATCCAAAGATGATCCATAGTATGTCCCAGGCAGTTCGATATTTTCTCTAATAGCAGCCTCAAAGGATGAAGAAAGAATGAATGAAGCTTGGAGAGACGCGTTATTGCTTGCACTAAACCATGCATGCAGCCAAAATCCCTCACTTACAAAGGAAGCAGAGGATAAGCTTAAATCATGGGAAAGAGAACCAGGGTACTACAGTTTGCTCATGGTAAGAGTCGCTTTGGTCTCCACTCTATCATTAAGTGGCTATGGAATGTAGAAATTTTCGATCAAACCGTTATAGGATACCGAACGGGCTACAATTTAGCTATTTCTATCCTTATTGACATTTGGTGGATGCAGTTTACGTACACCTACAAGTTTACATTCGTTTGGGCTTCCTTATGATGCACTATACTATGTAGTTTGTAGAGCATTTTTTTCCCAATTAAGAAATTGATTCCATGTTGTCAAGCGTCTGTACACTAATGGCTCGCAGATGACGTCAGAATGTGATGAGAACAAAAAGGTGGCCAATCAGGCGCAGTCTGGTGCTCTAAGAGCTTCCTAACTTGTTCTGTTTAGCATTGACATTTTGGACCACAGAGACAATTTATATGGAGTGGAGTGAATACATTATCACTAACTAGCTTTTTATGCAACTTTTTATTTTTGTGATGAATTTTTATTGCTGATGAGATATCCTTGCTATTAAGTTGATGATAAAGAATTACCCTGTTTTACTCAAAGTGCTTCAATAAAGTTAGGTTTGTAGGTACATGTGTATTTTGATGTGGTGAAATAAAGAGGGTAGAGTTTACTTTTTGTATATATATATATATATATATGTGTGTGTGTGTGTGTGTGTGTGTGTGTTGCGATAGGGGAAAAAACAGTGAGACTATGCTTTCACCCTACAAGCCTGTTTCATGATTGCTCACTCACGAAACAGGCTTGTAGGGATGAAAATATAGTCTCGCTGTTTTTTTCCCCTATCGCAACATATATTGCACTTTACTTCTACATATCAAGCACTGTAAAAATGGAAAAATCAATACACAGACTTCCTATATATAAATGTACACACTTTCTTTTTTGTATTGACTGCTAATGTCTCCCTTTTTGGTGCAATTTGAATGGTCAGATCTGACTAACAGAAACCTAGTAAATATGAAATTTACATTTTCTTGTTTCTTTCAAAGATAATTTTCAAAAATAAGACGCTTGATGTCAATATAAGGTGGATGGCAATGGTATTGATGAAAAATGGAGTAGAGCGTTATTGGAGGAAATCAGCCCCTCAGTAAGTGGTGCACGTACATATGGATTACAACTGTACATTCACTCCTATGAGTCATGTTCAAAGAAGTGACTTTTAATTAGTTAAGTGTTGGTTGGGATTGATAACAGTCGTCTAGAATAATGAACAAGAGATACTGGATAGGTAATTTCCAAGACTGTTATCCCATGCTTTAATTAATCTCAATTCAATCATTTCCTCTATTATATAAACTGTGGTGTTTTTTTACAGGGATCTCTAGCCCTGGGAAAAGCTGTAACTGCACACATGTAAAATTTTGACCATCATAATTTTTTATGTATGTTTGCTATTACCAATCAGGTGCTGACACCTCAGTGGCCTATAGCACCAATCTGTCAGGTTGATTAATCAATGGCAAGGCTGATTCATAATTCTCAGTCCAAGGTTGTGTGTGGAAATTTTCTTGAATTAATTGGCCACAAACAACACTGAAATACTTTTATCACTCACAGTCAGTGACATTCAAAATTTGCTAGATGTGGAACTAAACCAAAACACCAAAAGAGAAACTGAAAGTGACTAGGCTTTGATCATAGCATTTCTCATGGCTGAGAAAGAGAATCAACAATGGTGATATTTACCACCGGCTGATTTAAATGTGTAAAGGCCTATTGCATTTATGTAATAAATTAAAAAAAGACATGGTTGCTTGTGGGTACAGAATTTTTTTCCCTATCTTCAACTCAATATCTCACTACATGACTTGTTTGGAGTGCTCACTCATGGGCTCATGCACTCATGGTTATGAAGTCTCTTTGAATTTTCTATCTATTGACCCACCTATTTATGTATAGTTTTAGTAAATCTACAAATATTTATGATTACTGTTACTTATTCAAGTAAATGTTAATATAATTATGGTCATTCATCTGGCATTATGAGAATTTGATGTTTTTGTACTTTCTATTTACAGTTCTATTGCTGAAGAGGAAAAAACCTTTATAAAACAGAATTTAACCATGTCACTTGATGAACCAGTCAATCAGGTACAGAGAAATGGTTCAAATTTCTAACAGTAATCAATTTTGACATCAAAGTTTTTGTTGCATAAAAAAAGTGCTGGTTGTAAGTAAAACAAATGACATCTCGTGAGGAGCTTTGGCCCCCCAAAAAGCATGCATTCTACAGAGATGCTATATTTCTGTCATCAATGTAGAGAATTATGTCAAGGCTTGTAGTGGGTAGGTGTCTATGGGGTTACATAAACCTCTTTATTATAAGTTAAAGGTTCACTTTAATACTTCTTCTACACAATAAATCTTGGATCAGAATCCATATGCTGCCCGTTTTAGGAAAGATTTCTTTTATTTTTTGCTTAGTCATTAGTACTACAGTACTAACGGTGTTCACCAGTACTACAGTACTATCAGTACGTATGCTAACTGTGTATTCAGGAAAAATGCTTTTGCAAAGAACAAAATGTTCTGTCAATAGTCCATTTTACAGTTGTGTGCTTGGTTGCCAAGCCTTTGAACAGGAGTGAGGCTAAGGGTGGCCTTGTTATGATACAAACCTTGCTGGTTTTGAAATGCAAATTAATTTGTTATCATGCTAACTAGATTCTGGTCTCTAACACAACAAGGTCACCTTCAGCCTCACTCCAAATCAAAGGCTTGGCAACTAAGTACACAACTGTAAAATGGCCTATTCCCTGATGACTGCATTACGTTCTGTCCTGCCAGCAGGTCTCAAGCACACCAAAAAAGACTGTTTGTTCAAAATTAGGTAGCCAAATAACATGTATGTTTTATGTTCATGTTCATCTGTGCTGGACCAATTAGACAGCAAGAATTTCCAGCAGATGGATTCATGAGGTCTCAAAATATAACCCTGTTGTTGATGCGGTAAATAAAATTGCTCTTGACCATACACTTTAGGTGGGAAATGCCTCTTGTCAAATAATCATAAATAATTGCAAAGATGTCAGTTAAGAATAGCCAAGCTTGACAATGACATTCAAGATGTAGTAAAGGATAAAGATTATATAAGTTAACAGTGGATGCCTGACAAGAAAGATTCCAGACAAAGAGCAGTCTCCAGATATTAATAAGTGTGAATTCTATTTTTCATGCCCTCCAAAGTAGTGTATACCTGAGGGTTAATTTTTACTATCTTCTATATTGTCTTGGGTAGTGTATACCTGAGGGTTACTTTTAATCTCTTCTATACCCTCCTCGGTAGTATATATCTGAGGGTTACTTTTAACCTCTTCTATGCCCTCTTGGGTAGTGTATACCTCAGGGTTATTTTTTATCTCTTCTATACCCTTTAATATAGTGTATACCTAAGGGTTACTTCTTATCTCTTCTATACCCTCTTGGGTAGTGTCTACCTAAGGGTCACTTTTAATCTTTTCCATACTCTCCTGGGTAGTGTATACCTGAGGGTTAATTTCAATCTTTTCTATACCTTCATGGGTAGTGTATACCTGAGGGTTAATTTTAATCTCTTCTATACTCTCCTAGGTAGTGTATACATGAGGGTTATTTTTAATCTCTCCTTTACCCTCTTGGGTGGTGTATAACTGAGGGTTATTTTTAATCTATCTTATACCCTCTTGGGTAGTGTATACCTCGCGGTTATTTTTAAGCTCTTCTTCACCCTCCTTACACAGCAGTCATGTTAGACAATATTCATAAGTGTGAGTTTGCTCACAATGACCTAATATACAATAACATTGTTTTAGAGAAATATGAAGACCAGTTTCTACCTTGTTATAGTCAATTTTGGTAAGAGTGTTGTCTTTGGAAAAGCTAAAAATGTTGTTCCCAAACCTTTGCATTTAAAAGGTCATTATAAGAATAGTTGTATTCTGCCAAAGTTTTTAGACAAAACAGGGAGACCGTCCCTGAGTTGAAAGTGATTTGTATTCTCTGGATTATCCAATCAACACAGTTTCTGGACTTTAATTAAAGGTTCAAAACCATGACCTGTTTAAAGAAGGGTTTGTTGAAGTTAGTCTTAAATAGGCCTTGGCCTTTGAATATGGAGGTGAAATCAGCTTTACCGCTGCCGCATTTGAGACTATTTTTGAGTTTCTTCTTTTTACATGTTATAAACTGGGGAGCTTATTATTAACTTTTTTGTGGTGATTATTGGATGTCCTGGAATGTTCAGCAACCACCTCATGCCACCGAGGGGCGTCAAACCTTGGCTTGAATTACTTTTGCAAATTAGCTGACTGCACATTCAATGTCCAGCCAGCTTTTTTGCATAAAAAATTTTTCCAGCGCAAAGCTCATCATGTTGCTTATGAGTTACAAATAATGCTGTTGGAATACCACAGATGAGTTGGATTAGGAATAATACTGATTTTACAATTTTCAACTCCCAATATTTGATTTTTAATGCTCTGATTGGTTCACTCAACTCTGGTTATCAGCCCATGCACTGAATCACATTATATGGAAACTAATTCACCCAAGTGTTTTAAATTTTAGAATTAAAACAGATTCACATAGCTCTCTTAGCATTAATGAAAAGCAGAGAATTGAATTAAGCAATCACTCCATTCACTCTTGTTAGATGCAAGATTAGTTATAGCCAACTCATTCCAATGCTTGCACATGAAATGCCTGTAAAATACTTGTGTGACAAGCTGTGAATAATTATGTTACTGAAACTCAATCATTCATCAAGTTACCATCTCTCTTATTCTATTTACAAACATTACGTCCTCAAAATTGCTGATCCTTGCAGTAGCAGGTTGCATGTCACATGAACTTTGTAATAGACCTCACTCACTGTAGAGTATCTGTGGCTCAGTGGCAGAGCATCAGAGTGCAGAATGTGAAGGTCAGCAGTTCCATTCCTCATGGGGACTCAGAATTTTTTCTTTGTCCTATGCTCACATCAAGACAAAAACCATCTTTCTTTATTTCTCTACAGAGCTCAAAACTTACCACCTCTCCAATTGCAAACATGATGCTATTGAAATTACTGATCCTAGCAATATGAACTTTGTAATAGACTTTGCTCACTTTAGAGTCTCTGTGGCTCAGTGGTAGCATATCACAGTGCAGAATCCGAAGTTCAGAGGTTTGATTCCTTGTGAGCACATCTCAACTTTCGTTGCCATTTTTCATAAATATATCTAGTTTTTCTGGCTGGGCAGTATTTTTAAGCAAACACGTCCGTCACTACCTCAAGCCAATAAATAACTTATGAATCCTCTCTTTTCTCTCTTTCAAATCACTTTGGTTGACAGAAAAATATTGGTTTCAGAATGAATTTGTATAAGCAATAGTGTCATTACATTGGTTGACAAGCGGCCTGAAAACCATCTGATCACAATCGTTCACAAAAAGTGCATAGAAAGTTAAAACATGAAGTATTTGGTTACAGTTAAACTGAACGATGGAACTTTCATTCATTTAATATCTGAATTTTCTCAAACAATTTGTTCATAGTGAAAGAACAACAGATATACACTCTCCGTGAGTCTTTCCAAGTCCGTTCAATTTGGACATTTGTACTGTAAATTGCTCAACAGAAACTGAAGGAATTTAATGAGAAAAGGCCGCATTAAATCCCCTTGTGTTTTGTTGGAGTGTGCCATTTGAATTTAGTTTTTGTGGAGGAAAGACCAGATTTACACACACCATTGCAGCTAAGAAACAAACAAACTCTCACAACTTCAAAATAAAAAATTTGAATTTACTCACAATTACTTTCCTCACATCTACTTATTGAACAGAAGTAAATCTTCATACATGAATGAATTGTTGATGAGAGTGAATAATACTTCCTGTTAGATCATTGACTGTTACTGAAGAAAACATTGTCGTGACAGCCTTGCCAAACTAGTTCCATTGTTTCAAATGTTCTTGTGCTTTTTTTTTCTTACGTGCTCTCTAATTGACAGGTGTCAGATTGTGACAGATAATTGTTAAAATAATGTTTCAATTTTTTTTTGGAAGCCTTTTAAATCACCTTTGTCATTACAGAAATGGAAATGTTTCGGTGAGGCATCTCTCTTTGATTTGCATCACCTCTATTCTAACTAACATTTATTCACTCAAATATTGTTCAGTTTATGGAGGATCTTGCTGTATTTGCAGCAACCAGTAACCGGTAATCATTTGGGTTCTTTTGGAAAGAATTTCATCAGGTTTAAAAAAATTAATATGTTATTTACTGGCTAAGGGTTGATCCATATGGTGAAAAACTGTGACCTCAGTCTTGAAATGCTGCCCTTGGCCTTTAACTGGTTGGATTGTATTTACCAGTGGACCATTCTCTAGTTAGACCACTTTTACCAATTGGACCATTTCATGCATTATGACCATTTTCAATAGTATTACTATTTTAGCCAGGAAAATGATTTTAAGCATTAGGACTGGATAAGTTCATTTTAACTGATTGGACTATGTTAGCTGTTGGTTTGTTTTCTATAGTTAGACTATTTCCATCTGCTGGACTGTTTTCCTTAGTTAGAGCATTTACTGCTTGCTAGACCATTTCCTTAAACTAAACCATTTGTACCAGGTGAGTAGGTTTATCTTTTTGGACCATTTTTATCATTTGGAGAATTTTATGTAGTTATATCATTTTTTTTTGGTTACACCATTTTAACCAGTTGGATTATGATTTAATATTTAAACTAGCTGGATCATTTGATTTGGTTAAACCATTGGACCATTTGTATAGTTAGACTACATCAATGGTTTGACCTTCAATCTACCTGACCATTTCTACTAGTTGGACCATTTATTCTAGTAAGACCATTTATTACCACTTTGACTATTTAATATGGTTGGACCATTTTAACTGTTCTGGTGATTTAAAGAAGTTGGACCAATTTTTGGAGTTAGACTAATTTTACTGGTGAGGCCACTTAACCAGTTGGACAATTTAATTGGACCAGTTGAACCCAGTTAGACTATTTGAACCAGTTCATCTTGGTAGACCATCTTATAAAATAACTCCTATGCTACAAGCACCCTGATTTTTGAAAAATCTGTTGTATTTATGCCTGCATACTTATAGTTTATAAAGATGGTTAAAACAGTAGAAGTCAATTTTCATTATACTTTACAAACAATAAATACTTCTTGCAACAAAAAGCCAAAATGACACTGTCGACACTGTCAGAGATAGATGAAAACATCCATCAGTTTTATGCCAAGGTTATTAACAAGGATAGCAGGAATTATGGTAGGGCAACTCAACTTTCACTCAGACATAGCATTGAGAGATACCTCAATATGTCACTAAAAAACAGTGGCATTTTGCTTAGCAAAGAAACCCCAAATTTGTTAACTCAAACCAGTTGTTTGATGCCAAAATAATGGTGACCAATTGGACCATTTTAACCAGTTGGCCCACTTTATCTATCTAGACCATCTCAAGGGGTTTGACCATTTCTTTCTAGTTAACTTACTTTAACCAATTGGAGCATTTAAACAAGCTGGACCATTATCTTTAGTGTGACTATTTTCTCTAGTTAGACCTTTTTAACCAGTTGGACCATTTTTACGGGTTGGATCATTTTAACCAAATGGACCATTTTTTCTGCTTTTTTTTGACCAGCTGTACCATTCTCTGTAGGTAGACTATTTTAACTGGCTGAACCATTTTCAGGGGTCATATCATGAGGTTTTGGTAAGGATGGGAAAATCACTCACACGCTATGTTTGACAATTAATTAATTTATGCATGAAAACGTGGATTAAATGTGTTTTCTCCTACCTTCCCAGATAGGTTTGCTTCTTTCCCTAAAGTGGTTCTACTATCTGTTTAAATATCTTGGGGTTGTTAAAAGGCCAAAAGTTTTACCAGAGTACATAATTCAATATAGCAACTGTGGTTGGGCGGTCTGATAAAATCATCTAGCTTGTTTTTCCTTTTTTTTCTCTCCCACCTTGAAAAAAAATACCCTTGTAGACCTCACAAATGAAGGGGAAATGCACAGAACAATACTCAACTGGAAAGAAGCAGGTTTCATAGTCTTCAATCAACAATGACAACAGTTGCAATGATAGATATGGAAATATTTTGTTGCACAGCTTTAGCAGTTTAATTCTTGTTATTGAGATCATTTGAACATATCCATTTGGCTGCCATTTGGCTGATTTCATAGTTACTCAGCAGCTGATTTACCCTATTTTGATTTTTGACAGATTGGATTTCATCAGACATGAGTGTCTTTTGTTATGCAATCATGTTGTGAGCTATTTTGCTCCTTGTTTGGCCAGATGAATCTCATTAGTCAGAATTTTAACGGCAAGATGCATTTTATTACTTGCTTGGGCACAGTTTTATCATTTCTCTGGTTAGACCATTTTCTCTGGTTAGACCATTTCTAGCTGTTGGACCATTTTAGGTAACTAGGACATCTTTGCTGGTATGACCATTTATCAAGTAAGACCATTTTAAGTGGCTGGACCACTTTCTGTAATTAGACCATCTGTACCAGATGAACCATTTCATGTAATTAGAATATTTTCAGTATGATGATTTTATTGAATAAGACTTTTTTAAGTGCTTGGACCATTTTATGTAGTGAGATCATCTAAGCAATTGGACCATTTTCACCATTTTCATCTGTTGCATCTTTTTTACTATTGTGATCATATTTGTTAGTTGGACCATTTTTCTTGTGTGACCATTTAACTGGTTGGATCATTTTAGCCTGTTTGACAACTTTTTCTTATCAGACCATTCCTAGCACATGGAACATTTTATGTAGCTGGGCCATTTTCACCAGTATGACCATTTTAACCAGTCAGACCATATTCTCTTGTTAGACCTTTTGCACTAGTTGGACCATTTGATTTAGTTAGTGTGCCTTTGCCAGTATGACCTTTCTCATGTAAGGCCTTTCTGTCAGTTGGACCATTTTCCATAGTTCGACAAATTTTAATGTAAACTGTCCTCAGATGCATGTGCAATTCTCACTCACTCACATCTCACTCACTCACATGTGAATCACCTCAGGGACCCATTTCTTTACAGTCTCAGGAGCTATTTAGACCCAAAGTCATGTTTTAATCCCTAATTCTGAGGAGTAGTACTTTAAACACAAAATCCCAAAATCCTGGCTATTTTATCTTGGTAGCTTATATTATTTCAGGGACCAGCTTCATGACAGCCCCAATAACTATTTTGGCTCAAAGCCTTGTTTTAAACTCTAGTTCAAAGAAGTAGTAGTGTAGGTTTAAACCCAAAAGCCTTGCTATTCTTTTTTCTCCTCTCTTGTTATGAGCAAGACAAAACTTTCCAGCACTCATCTAACCTCCATCACCCTTAAGGACATAGACATCCATCTTCAGGCCATTAATAAGAACAGACTGTCATTTTGAGAAAAAATTGCACAAACATTTGATGAATTTTGGTTTCCATTGACAAAATAAATAGATGAGGCTCTTGAAAAACAGATTTATCACTTTCGTATAAAACTAATGAGAACTGAGGTTAGTAATTCACTTGATTTATTTTTCTTTTTGCAGGTGATTACCCAAGTAGCAGTGTTGATCTCAAAAATTGCCAGAATGGGATTGGGGGATTGGCCAGAGCTATTGCCATGCTTACTGAAGGTTTGAATGTGTACCTTTGTATTGAAACACCTGTTCACGAACTTATCATTTCATCTCTTATCATTTTCATTAAAGCTTGTGCAGTGGGTATTGGGCCACAATAGGCCATTTTACAGTTGTATACTTAGTTGCCTATTTAGCATAATAACAAAGCAATATACATTTGAAAAGCAGCAAGGTTTGTATTATAACATGGTCACCCTTAGCCTCACTCCTTTTAAAAGGCTTGGCAACCAAAATTGACTATTGTTGTTGAAAAGTTAAACACTATACCTCCAGATTGGTGATGTTCCCCAACTGCAGTATTTTGCTGTAGAGCTGATTGTCTCTAGCTGTCTTTGCCCTGGAATATGGTTACTTAACTCATTTCCCAAAAATTTAAGAAAAAATAAATGGAAAGCTTAATTTTTCAAAAGGAAGTCAGTAGTATTACACAGACCAAAGTTGCTAAAACTTGTTTATAAAACTTACATGCACTCTGATCTTGTGCACTGATCACTGTCATTAGAGCAAGGTGATGGCTCTGTAGTAGTGTGCTCACTCTCAGGGTTGAAACATTTGTATTTATAGGGGGACTTCAATATGCAAATGAGTCACTCACTCAGTTACTCAGGTGTAGACACTGTTGATTGACACTGTGGTAGTTACTCATACCTAACTCACTTGACCTTGACCTTGACACCATTATCATGGAAATATTATGGAAAAAAAAACTTGCAGCCACATAAAGTGCATTCTGTATCTGTAGGTGTATCAGGCAGAACAACTTAGAGGTTTGATGCAAAAGGGGAAAACCTTGTAAACAAAGATCATTGCATTACAATGCAAATATTTATAGAGTGGCTGTGAGACAAAACATGGCATACTTGATAGAAGAGGAAAATAATATAATTTGGCTTGTGCAGGCAAAGGAATATTTGGATCACATCATCTAAATTTGATGAACTTTGCAAACATATTTTTGATAAATGCAGGATATTCTCTTGTACTATTTCTGTAGACTACCTGAGGTATGCATTTATTATTCTTTGGACATGGATAGTTACTATCATTTTAGATTTCTCCATGACTTTGGAAGCTTTTGAGCAAAGTCAAAGTGTCTAATTCTTTTTTGGAGTTCTTTTAGTCACTAATCTTTAGAATGCAAATTTTGCTACAAAACAAAAAATTCTAAGTAAAACAAAAACCCAGGTTTCATTACTAGATTACTTTATCCCCAAGTTGGCCATAGGTATTCTTTGACTTGAATTAGCAATCACTTTCTTTCATTATTTGAAATGATTGAAATCAATAGTCAGTAAATCTCTGTAGAACAAGAAATATCATTTTAACATGTCAAGCAGATCTCTCAGATATAACTGTGCAGTATTTGTAAGCATCATCACGGATAAACTAGCTGCTGCTGCTGCTTGTTAAAAGAATTTTGACACTTTTTTTGCATTTATAGAAAAACAACAACAACAAAAGAACAAGCGTTGAATGATGTTTGAAAATAATTTCTTGAGATGGATAGAAGGATGGTGTCTTTGTTGTACTTTAAAGGTCAAAAATGTTTCAGACAATTAAAACAAGATTCACCAAATGAAAAAAAGTCACCTGAACACCATAATTTTGTTTTAAACATAGAAAAGCTTTTAAACGGTGTTGGCACTCAAAGAGAATCACAAGTCTTAGGTTTGAATACATTGCATTATGTAGTAATAACATTCTTCTTCATGTTATTTCTCTCTTTACATAATCTGTCAATGTAGGAAGTGAAAAGCCAAGATCCACTGCATCAGCAGCGGAGTTTACTGGTCCTGAATCATGTGATTAAAATGTTGGCATCCAAGAGATTGATCCCTGATAAACAACTATTTAGAAAGGTAACATAATAATATATCATTTAGGAGCATTAAAGGGTGAAGTTAAAAAGAAGTAGGCAACAGAGAATAGAAAATTCTATATTCTTCACTTAAAGAACATTACCAGGTACATTAAAATATTTACTTCAAACTCCATTTTTTAGATTTCTAATAGTAACATAACTGTTTTAAAATTGTTTTAAAATGATGATGACATTTTGAAAGCAACTAAAAAACCTGGCCACACACACTGAATGATCTAACTTTTGAAACAGACCCCAGTGGAAAGAAAACGAGTGAGATTATTTCTTGGTCAGTTAAGTAGCTAGATTCATGGAGCATTATTCAAAATGATGGCATCTATGGCTGAATTTTGAGCACTTAATAAGATAATTTTCAAAAGCTTAATTTGCTCTTTTGAATCTCAAAATGTGGTCAGCATTTATAATTCAGTTTATCATGTAATAATCAGATAATAAGGCAATAGTCTACCAAAATATTAATATACCTTGCTCTAAACTGACAACTGAAATAAAATATTTATCCTTAGGAATAGAATTGTTATGGTAAAACAAGTAGCAGGTCAAGTTAGCTACTTAGGGACATTAAGCAAACCACAACAGCAACAAGAATGGCAAAGGCCTCATGGGAAGGACATTAGCCAAGCATATGTGTTTTTAAACTTTTTATTGTTTTGTAGTGCAGAATTACTTGGAGGCAGTAGTTTAAAATTGGCCAATGTGGTGCAAGGATAATTTTAAATTACAATCACAATTAACCCTGAATTGCATGCCATTAAGTCCAATTATGTCTTGTGTTGATAACAAAATGCGACAAACTCAGGAATAAAAATTTTTAATGCAGGAGCACATGGCCTTCTTACTGGTAGTGAAAAAAGCAATCAGCCAATCTATTAAAGTTCATTTATTTCATTAATTTTTATGATAGATAAGATAGATAGATTCTTTATTGAAATACATTGCAGCTCGTAGAGCTGAATTACGTATTTTCATTAAAATTCTAATCGAATGTACAAACTTACAAATTGAATAATACCTAAGAGCTAATGATAGTAATATCTAAAACATTTAAAAACTATAAACTATAAACATGTCATCTTGTTTAGTTTATGTTTTTTGTTTACATTATCATGTTTAGTTTATTTCATCATGGACCTCTCAACTTGCTCACTCCAGAAGTAATTTTTTAATGTTGATGGGCCAGCATTAGTGACATATTTGAGTTTTATTGGCTGATGTCTTAAAATGCTTAATTTTATTGGCTGCTTACCTGTCAGATTTTGCATGTCTAATCACAAACACTTATAATTGGGTTGGTGAAGTATGACAGCCAATTAAGCCATATATAAAAATTAGCTGCATAACTGTGTCATTAACAGAATTCTTGAATATGAGTGGTTCAGCCCTTATAAATGGCATAGTAAATGACTTGAAACAGCCAAATAAGCCATATATAAGGGCTGTTGAGAACCACTCAAATTCAAGCAATTTTTTTTATTGACACAGTTATGTAGCTTATTTTTTATTATTGACTCTCATATTTTCTCTTGTTTAGATGACTTTGGATATTTTTGGCTATATTTTACACCTGTGGCAGAGCAAGACAGCATCTCTTTTAGAAGCATTCCAAGTTAAGGTGAATTGTACATTACCATCCAACGGGAATCAAAACTTTATATTTCTTGCTAAGTCCTGTCAGATTTTTAATTCTACTTATTGCTTTCTCTGTCTCACTGATCCTAATTCTCACAATTATTGTTATCCAGAGGCAATGATAAAGGCTTGTTCAGCTTTCCTTCATAATATTTCAGGTATCTTTCATGCCTCTTTTCTATTATCCAAATATGCCCCCATCCAAACGTTTTGTGATAGTGTGAGAGTTTGTAACTAGAATCACTGCAAATTTAGTCGCCAAAATTCTTCAATTACCTTAACAACCAAAGTGTTTGTGGCTTGGGGCACTGCTGGTGAGATGGGGTACAGCAGACATATACCCAATCAGAAAAATGGTATAGGTAGAGTCATAGATATATCCAAACCTTTTCTTAGAGTGTAAGAGTTCACAGCTAGAATTACTGTGACAGTCATAACCCATATTGTGAGCCTTGATGCAAATTTAGTTGCCAAAATTCTTTAATTATCTTTAGTAAGCAACCAAAGTGGTTGAGGTTTGGAACATTGGTTGTGAGATCGGGTACAGCAGACAAAAACTCGACCAAAAAAAGACATAGATGCAATCATCTGGTGAACCTTTTTCTGGATTAGAGTAGATCTGATTTGCAAAAGACTCATACAGAAGGAGTTGCTTCATTTTTATCTACCAAGGATGCTCATAGACCAAATGAGGGTTATATGACTACATCCTCTAGCATTGTTATTGGTTTTCCCTCTGTCAGTGTTCATTGTTGTCTGGAAAAATTGTGATAGAAGAGTATGTAAATGTGATTTGTGTGGAGTTAGTAATTGATTACGTCTTTATCAATATATATGAACTTAGCCAACAACCACCCAACTTAAACTACAAAAACATCATCCCAACAGGATGATGGTCTTTCCTATAGTTCATTAAGATGGCACTGTAATTTAGAAAGATTCACACAACTAGCCCTTTTACCAGGTGCTTCTTCCTTCTGCACTTTTTGTTGCCTTTTTTTTGGAATCTGCCTCCACAGGGTCATGCCACTGAGAAATAGTTTGTAGTAAACGGTTTATGGTTGGTCTGTTACTGCCTTAACATTCTCAGACACCAACATAATTAGTGAAGTCAGCAATAGTCTTTGAAATCAATTGCTAATTCCTCCAAATGTATCCTCCTTTCCTGGGAGGTGAGGGATGTCATCAGTTGCACCTCCATCTCAACTAACAATTATATTCCTTACCAATTATGAAAAACAACAAATTACCTAAACAATGACAAAACATTTGCTCTCATGGAATCAAGGAGCTTTCATCACCAAATGCTGGTCACCATTTATTTTTTCTAATTAGAGTTTGTCACTATCATCACTCACCTACATGTACCTTGTTAGAGATGAAAGCAGCCATCAATGGAGGGCAGATAAGGACAACTGATTGAGGAAGATGTAATGCCAACAGAAATGTTTAAAGCTGAAGAAATAGAAATACCCCACAATACTAACACATTCAGGGATATATAAGATAGTGAGCAAATCCCTGAAATATGGAAGACAGGACTTAAAGTGAAGTTGCCCAAGGTAGTAGATCAAGTGAAATGCAACATCTGGAAAGGGGAATCATTCACAAGCACAGGCCTTGGACGGGTAATTAAGACAGCAACAAGCAGGCTTTTCCCATTTATGGTTTTGCTCAGATTATGTGTTTACCCTGAGGCAGATTCTGGAGCAGAAAAAAGAATAGACCACTCTGCTATATGTCAATTTAATCAATCAAGAGGTGATGAAGAACATCATTTACAAGCTAGAAGTCTTCCAGAACAGATGCCTGTGAAGAATTATCTGCTTCATCTCTAACAATGAGCTGCACAGAAGAACTTGAGATGGATTAGAATACCAACATCAGACACATCTAGAGTAATTCTCTTTACCACAGATGAAACAAAGGCTGTCCTAAAGAGACAGAGGCTGGACACAGGGAGCAGCTTGACTGCCTGGCAAGGGACAGAAATCAATGGCATTTTCTTGCAGAGTATACAATATGCCAGAAAGTGTTTTATACCCATGAAAAAAAGGCCTATGGCAGACCAGCCTTGCACCTTCCCTTGTGTGAGACTTATTAAACACCTGCAATTATGCAATATGTCAGTGGTTATGGTAGCTCCTCTCATATGACAGGGGAATCTTTTGTTCATAATCAATAAGATAAGACACCCAAAATGTATTACACTTTGCAAAAATGGTTTGAATGTGCCCAAACCAGCTCCCAATTTGCATTATGATGCAAGAGAATTGTGTATGAAAAATTTCTTGTTTCACTGCACGTGAATCTAGTTCAGTTGATTTATTTTTTTATTATTTTTTTTTATTATTTTTTTTTTGCAGGAGTACACAAGAAGTTTGGGTCCACTAGAACTGAGTTCCCTAGCACTGAAAGGTACCAAATGTATATGGAGATGCATTTATGGTTATTACTACAGTAAAGAAACTTAAATTTGGATATCACATGGGTTGAATTCAGTTCTTATCAATATTGTACTCCTAATGATACATTCAAGTCTTTCTCATAGAAGATTTTTTGAATTACAAAACATTTTGATAACAGACAATTATTGATTTTGGTGTGGAAAACTAATAGGTCTTTTGCACCAAGTGCCATTTTGTGGCCATATTTTATAGTTATTGGGGAACATGTAAAGGGTCTCCCAAAAAAGTGTAAGTGTAAGTCTAAGGTGTACAGGCACCTTCAAAGGGAATGAGACCTTATTCTCATGTTCTCCAAAAAGGAGAATATGGATATGGTTGAGTGATAGGGGCCAACTAGCCCATTACTGCTGAGGGTCATCCTGCTCTATAATATTGCATTTGGAAAATTGGGGCAGTGCTTCTCCTCCTAAATGGAATGCTCATGTAGCACAGATAAACCCCTCTTGCTATCAGGCAAAATCACTAAGACCACTTCTCCCCTTCTAAGATTTTGTAAATTATTTGCAAGAATTGTTGTAGTTTTGTGAAAGTGTTTAACTTTTTTCCCCTAATATTACAAAAAAAATGAGTGGGATAATTTGTTTCTTTCAATTGACATTTGAAATTAAGCATTATCGACAAACATGAATTCTATGTATAATTTCAAGCACAGTGTCAAAAATCCTTTATTAACAAATGACCTGAAGGACTTTCTTTCTTCTTGAAATAGTTTTGAGAAAGTTACTTGTCCATGGGCTGAAGGAGTTTGACCCTACATCACAAGCAGTGGTATGAAAAAAAAAAAAACTAGTTAAAATACACTTAATGATTTTAGCCCGCCAAGTTTCTTGCTCTTCAAATAGTAGTAAAGCTTTGTTCTTGATGCCTTTTGTTGTCAACATAGTAAGGCTGTGTCACTCTCTAGTACTTGTTTGAAGGAAACCATGTCTCTGAAGCAATCAAAAGACAGACTGTACTTTGTTCTTTTATTGTCTATTAAGCAACAGAATTATAATTTTGGGGCTTAGTGGTTTGTAATCTTTGGTTGAGGAGAGTGATGACCTTAGTTGCTTCACAATATCCAATTTCCTTAGCAGTACTTTCCTCTCAACACTTTTTTTTTTTTAAACCAGTAACCAAACTTCAATGGTTCTCACGGTGTTTGATTCTAGGGCTGTCTTTCTTCTCCTGTATTCTTGTTTTGGTGGGGGAAGGAGACCTATTTAAAACACTTGTCAAGGGTGTCAAATTAAGTTTTGTTCTTCTAGAGCACAAATTTTATTGGCCATCTGAACAATCAGAATTCTTCCTTTGTAGCCTTTTCTTTCTCTGAATTACATACTTTTTAAAGCAATTAACTTTCCCTCTCTTCTTAAATTTCGGTTAAGAAGCATTGTTTTGTATATCATTATTGTTTTAACAGTTACTAATAGTATTAGTGTTATCTTCATGGTCACCATCATTGTCAGTCTCATCATCTTCATCATCATCATTATTACAGTACTGTAATGATCACTTGCTGTTAAAAATGTTCTAGCGCAACTGGCTTCAGGCTTAGTGAAGTTGTCAAGAAAAACTTCACTCCTTTTTGAGGTTCCTTCTGGACCTTGACTGATACAAATTTTATTCTGACTGATCAAATATGTAGTATGCTCTCTTTCAAAATTACCAGTTTTTGTCATTGTCCATCGTTATGTTAATTTATTTAATTGATTTACATAACAAGGATGATGGTTTTTTTTCTTATCCACAGAGTCTTTTGGAAGCAGTACTTGAAAAAATCAAAATGATGTTGCATTACAGTATGTAGCATCTACTAGTTAAATATTAAATATCTTACTGTCTTTTATCAAATTTATACTTTCTATTGTTTGTTTTTAACTCTGCTCCTTACAAAGAAATGAAACTGATAATCACTCATCACCTATTCAAAAAAGTATACCAACAATCATTAGGTGAAAGTTTGAACAGTGATGAGTGCATGAACAGGTTTGCTTATTTTTTTATTTCTAATTAAAACAGGAAAATCAGAAAATATGAGTTGCAGCACACAAGAAAAAGTTGAAAAATATGTAATACTGTTAACCAAAGTGGTGAGTAACCAATAATGTATTTTTACTTGTCATGTTACATTCACAGTGCCAGTAAAGAGAGATTTTATGATTGTCAGGAGGTGAACATTAAGGGTAATTTTATTTGGTACATGTGTAGAAAGTATTGTGTGCATTTCATCAATTTGCATGACCCCTTTGGGTTATCCAAACTTATAAGTCTGCAAAATGCATCAGGGCTGTGGTCATGAATTAACAAAAGAAGCTCACATGGTAGTTCGAAAATGTTTTGTGTTCTTTACATGTAATGGCCAACACAAGCAAAGCAAATTTTCAACAACAACTATGAGTTTCGCTATGAAGAGAAGATATATTTTACAGACAAGCCTTGAATCATTTTATTTAATGTAGTTGAGGTATCCAAGTACTTATCATAAACTGCAATATGATATTATAGGGAAGAAGCTAAGCTAAATTCTAACATATGAACCAACATTCCAATCATTCTGATATAAAAGCAAGATCCAAAAACTAGCTAAAACTCAAAAACAAACTCACAAAGAGACTATCTTCAAAGGATAAAGGAGAATGACTTGAAAATGAACTCTAGCAAAAACTAATAGCCAAGTGGGAAAAAACATGTAGAGTTCTAACAAAGCATGAACAACATAAGCCACATGTTACAAGTTTGTGAAAACAAGCAATAAAGAAACTACTGTAAAAACTAGGTGAAACTACCAAATTAAAAGACTAGATATTAAGACAAGCACACGGAAAGGAACATAGGCACCTACATAACAGTCCCACTTGTAAGAGTTTGACCAAAACAAACTTCAAGATAAGGTGGGCAAAAGGTGCTCTTCCAATAAACACATCTTATCATTAGCCCAAAGCAAGACAATTAACTAAAATGTGGTTCTGGGTGGAACTTAAAGATCACATCCCTAATGGACAAACAGTAATGTCATTATTGCTGTTTAACACGTTTAACACAAAGTAAACTTATAACAAATCAATGTCCGGTGGCAAAGTTGTGGCAGCTGTTACATTACATGACAGGTAGATTGAATAGATTGCACTCTGATTAATACTATGCACATTAGCTAGCAAAAATGTTATACTTTGATTGTGAACTTGTTCGCTCAAACTTTCAGGGAAACTTCACAAGAACTGGGAACAAATATATACCCTATAGAATGTATGCTTAGCCTAACTACATAAGTGAAAAAAACTTATTCCCAAACTAACATTATGGGGTACTAAATTTTAATGTTCTGATTTAAATTAACAATTGGTTTATGTGTCAGTGTGCATTCAAGGGGATATGAAGCATCCAAGAAATTTGAAGAGTTCAATAGAAGTGAATGAGTGGCTAGATTTACAACTGTGGGCAACTCTGGCCTCTTCAATGCTCTCAAAACGTCCTAAGTGCTTCATATCCTCATGCATGCATAGCTGATGTATAAACCAATTGTTTTACAACATTGTTAATGCACTATTTTGGATGTTGTTTTCTCATAACCCAGAAAGTAAGTAAAATATAGAATTAAATTGGTGAAAAAAAACTTATTCCCAAACTAAAAGAATTATAGCCTTTGTCATAATCTACTAAGAAATCAATTTGCACATTCATCACATTTACCAAATAACTGCTTGCTAAAAGGTAAGGCAAAAAAGAGTGGTAGAAATATTTTGAGGAACTCCAGGCATTTGTTTGGTGAAGTCATTAACATGCACAATAGGGTTATGAAGCACACTTGCACCATTGAGTTTAGGTAGGTAATTTGCCAGCTATGTTATAATTGGAAATTTCCCTCTCCAAAGTTGATTTGCCATGGAGCAGAATATCTCACTCATACCACTGTCTAGCTTGGTTTCTACCTAAATGTGCTTGGTATATTCAATATTTATGCTTCCTCTGTTGCTTGAACTCTTAACATCTCTCTCCTTAGGGGTTTGATCCTCTTCTCTCTATTCACCAACAAATTCATACACACAGTACAAAGCACAAAATGCTGGTACCTAATGAATACATTTGTGTAGAACTGTTCTATGATCAAATTCACCATCTTTCACAAATGTTCTTAGGCTTCCTAGGCTTGGAATTCCCTTCCCTGTGTTTTTACATTATCGTCTACATTTTTAGCTTCAAACCATTGCTACAAGAATTTCCTTTTCACATAACTTTGAATAAAACTTCTGTCATCTGATGTAGTTTATTCCATCACTTGAATAAACCAATGTTAATAAGCTGTCAGCTTCTTTTTGGACTTCCTTCCTATTTTCCTTGTTAGAAAGTAACTGTTGAAAGACTTCAGTTAGTGTTTTCATGTTTACAGTATATGAGAAATGAACAATAGAATGAACTTTAACATTGAAATTTAGTGCTTACTGTTCTTTTTCAGCTGATAGACAGCCAAGAACACCATTCATTATCATTCTTACCCCTAATGCAGCCTGTACTAGAACTCTGCTACAACTACCTATTTACAAGTGAAGGGAAAGGTGAGTTGCCTAAGTAGCTATGATTTCAATTTGGAATACATGTAATTATCTAATCTAAACTGTCATAGTGATAACAAACTTTAAAAGATATCATTAGCCACTTATTCCATTGTTAAGGGAAACAGAAAAGGGAGAAAAGTCATCTTTCATCAAAGACAAGTTAAGACAAGTTTGACACTTATACCAAGGTTGTATCACTCTTTTGCAGCATGTTTATTCGAAACATTTGCTCTTCAGTGTTGTAAGCTTATCAAAATGATTGTCAAGTGTGAGATGTACCAACCTCCCAGAGAAATTAAAGGTAAGGGCCACCAGTACGTATGCCAACAAAGATGCAGCACACATGATTAAATAAAGAAACACATTCACCATGATGGCAATCACATCCAGGATGCTTGAAGCTGCAACAGAGCTGGCAACTTTGATTGTTTAAAGGGTTGAATTTAATGTCAACTTGCCCACAAATTTATTTAAAAGAGCAATGTTCTTGTTTCTGTCCAGGTTGACCATCTATCAGTTTGTTTTTGCCATTTTGTCCTGTATTTTTAAAAGTACACCACAATTCAAGTCTACAAAGCACCTAACTTTGATCAGTAGGTCTTTCATTATCACATTCAAGTATCAGAACTTTGCTGTGGCAATGGTTGAGTGAAACTCATTTTTTTTTCAGTATCTGCTCCCTGACTACTAGTATTTAAGTAGAAAATATGACCAAGTGGGCAGACATTAATTTGAAGAAATATTGGGAGATGATTGCTTTTTCATTTACACATAGCACTCCCTCCCAAATTGAAGATACAAGACATGCTTAATGTACTAAACTTTAAGGTATTAAAGCAGACTTATATCTAACTAGATGGGATCATCAGTTCTGCTTGTAGTTCTGCATGCAATAAAGTACATTTATAATTTGATGCATGCTCCTCTTGTTACAGAAACAATTGATACTAGTGTTGAATGGATGTAAGAGAAAGTGGTGCATGTAGACATGCTTTTAACTTGACTCACTAAACATATGTATAGATGTTCAATATATTTGAAAACTGTGTTGAGGATGGTATCATGACTGCCCCAGGTTATTTGTGTCCATAAATTATAGCTCAGCTACTCAAGGTTTCTAACTACACAGAATAATCTAAATTATAGAAACAACTCCTAAAGAGATCCTCAAGGCACACCAGGTTTGTCAATAAACTATTAACTTGGAATAGTAATTAATGCAGTGAAAAATCTGTTATGGCCACAGCAGAACCCCACTAGCTTGTCTTATTTAGAATTACTCCATTCAGGAGTTTTCAGGGCATGGAATGGACACCATAGCAGAGAGAGGCTATGTTTGTTACATTTTACACAAAGTGGAAGAGTTTTTAGATGAGTCTTATTGTAATTTTTCTTGAACAAGATATTGAAAATACACAGCTCTTACTCTATGTAAGATGAACCGTGTTTTAATGACAACATATCACTTGTAACATGATCAATCACTTTAGCAAACTTTGCTGGTTACATATATTGTGATCATACCTGTGTGTCATGAACTTGATGATGTATACATCGTAGTTGTAGCAATATTTTAGTTGAACAATAATCCTATTGAAGAGATATGGCAGAGGACTTAGGCGAGGGTATTGGCACTTAAATTTACAGTTTTGCCAAAATATTGACAGAAGATTGTGCACCTATTACCCAGTGATGTACATTTAAGACAATCAAATTAGTGGAAAAGTGAATACCATTTTTACCTTAAAAAAAGTTTAACATTTTCTAAGTTTTAAGATGAAATTCTTAAACATTCTGGCTCAATTTTCCTTCCAGATTAAGACTGCCTTCTTTACACCGCCAATGCTATCTGAAACTATCCAGCAACTCATTTTATTTTATCTTCCTCTTACTGCTGAGGTAAGTTAACATAGCTATGAGTATAAGCATCTAAGACCACATTTTTATGTAGTTAGACATTCACACACCTGTACTTTTGGAAAGAAGTGGAAGGTATTGGTTTTTTTTTTACAGTAGCACAGTATTGCAAGGAAAATACACTGCTATTGATTTATGGAGAAAAAATCTTTACTGTATTGTTATGATGCAATAACTTGACTGAAACAGTAGCCATTTTTTTTTATTTTTGGTTTTTATTTTTTTTGGTTGGATCAGCTTTACTTCTACACCCTGTTTGAATTAAAGTTTAAGTCTATTGAAATTCAGCATCTTTCATTCCTTCAGTGGCTATTTACATATCTCAACTGAAAAAATTGGAACAAATTCCATGCACTCTTCTTTTATGACTTTCAACAAGACATTTCTGAGAGTTCTGTGATCATTGGGATGCTTTACTTAAATTTGGCCTCATTTCTTCATTGTATTTGTGTCCAATAGCTACGAAGAATGAATGCTTGCGAATAGTTTTTGTGATGTATAAAACTGTTTAAAATGATTTAAAAAGTTATCTAATGACAATAATATTACTCATTGCAATTATAAAAATGTGCTGCAGCTTTCTAATTGACTTTGTTCTCCATGGGAAGAGATAAATTGTGATGTAGACCATAAGTATATGATTTACATTGTAGGATTTGAAAAGTTGGGAGTTGGATCCTGAAAATTTTGGTAAGGCATAAATTCCTTTACTTCAAACTTTCAGTTCAAGCATATTATTTTGTCATTTGATTGATAATACATGTTTGAAGTCATACCATTTGAAACATTAATGAGCAGAGTATCAGAATAGCATATGTAAAGTATTAATGAACAGAGATGTCTTACCAGTATCTCATTTTCACAGTTAGTGAAGAGGCTGGTGAATCATGGCGATATAATCTAAGGGTATGTTGCTTCATGTGATGTTATAGCACTGAGCCTGCATTAGCTTAGTAAAAGCCATAGTCTAAGTAGTTATTGTAGTGTCATTTTCATTACAAATGATGGCTCAATAAATTGATAAATAGAATTGTGTTGGTTATAAAACATGTATATACAGTGATACTGTTATGGGTACAGGTGCAAGTTCTGTTGCTGAAGCTGGAAAATGTATAAACAAGGGACTTTTTCATATCTCCTCAACATCAAGAAGCATGTAGCCTCAATTTACAATTAAGACCTAACATACTATTGTCCATGAAAGTGGTTAAAAAACTAGACATTTGGTACATCATGCAACTATTTAGATTCAGGTACCAAAAAAAATTTACTCTACACCAAATAAACAATTATTGGTGTAGCTCATGAAGTTTCCATGGCAGTAGTAGTAGATCTTGTAAATGCTTATGGAACTGTTTCTGTTTTTGGTATGGCAAGTGTGTTTGCTGTGGTTGTCGTTGTTTTGTGGAGTTGGTGCAGTTGATCTGGTTTGTTGATGTGGTGGTAGTTGTTCTACTTTGGACATTTCTTGTGGCTTGTAATTTAAAGCTTCACCTTCTCATTTCACCTCTGTTCCTGTTATTGTGGCTACCTCAAAGAACCCCAAAGGAAATCTTTCCATTTGACCCTTTTTGAAAATCTACCACAGACAAGTTCTTGTGGTTGCCTAGACTCAAGCAGAAATAAACCTGACTGGGGACAAGATGAAGTTCTGGATTAAAAAATAAAGTTCTTGCACATTTAATATTTTTTAGCAATACTGTACTTACAGCAACTCTAAGAAGTTGCTTTTGGCTTTCCTTGTTAGAAACAGCCAGGACAGATGCGACAATATTGATACCCTTCAAATTGTCAAAAGCCTCCTTTTGAAATTCCTGGAAAACAAATGTTGTATTCTTTTGAGCAAGCTGTGAGTGAGCGTCCCATACCTCTGCATTAGGTTCAGATATAGCACCCTGCTGAAGATTCATAAACTCACAAACTCAGGCACTCAAAATCCAAGCGCACATAAAAAACCTACCTGTAGTTCCTTGTTTGAATCAACATCTTTACTTCCAGTGTAACTATTTGCAGAGAGTCGCATACAGAATTCCTTTCCTAATCAATCTCAATCACTAGGAGGACAATTGAATACTTGTTTACCTGACCTAATATTTTTCTAACACAAAATAGTAATGACATAGGAAATATTGTCCTTTACATCCTGGAGACAAGGCGCTGATTTGTTCAAATAGAGCCAAGATACATTTTTGACATAAAACTTAAAGTTGTTGGAAACAGTTTTCCTATGCTCTGACCAACTATTGTTAGAGCACTCAAGGCTGGGCATGGCAATTGCTTTTATTATGCCAATGTTATAGGGAAATCCTGTTACATCATTTTTTGGGAAAGTCACAGAAAATTCTCAGAATTTTCCTACAAATCCAGGATTTTCCTTAGGAGACAAGGCCTCTCTGCTAAGTTAACTTTAACCAATAAAAATCTAGCTGTCTCAAAATTATGATGCTGCCAAGTTTACCATCAACTTAACTGCCACAACATGATGCTGTGTATGGAAAGAACTCTTGAAGTTTTATGCGATAGGTTAGAGTTGAGATTTTTAACATCTTTTCAGCTCTTTCAAAAGAGAAATGTAACTGTACATTGATGAAGATTGCAATCCACTTCTAAAGTGACCACATCATGAGACAAACAATTATATTTCTCATTTGAAAGTGTTATTTACCAAGATGACTAACCAGAACCTATTTTATGATATGTTTCTAACTATTGCACTAGATTTAAAACGATATCCTCATGTCATGGCATAGCAAGTTAAGAGTATTTTCTACAATAATCTTTGATGAAATCTGTTTATCCGGGATATGGCTCCATATAACTTTTCTCAAAAAATGCAAATAATTCTAATAATTTCACATACATCAGCAGTACTATTTGTCCAATTTTTAAGCGAATTACTTTAATTATAGGGATACTGTTTCTCTGGGTCTTCATGCAACTCACATCATCTCAATGTCACAGAAAGTTGATGTAAAATATTATATGTGTGTTGTATCTCAAGAAGAAAAATTAGGAAAAATTATATGGGGTGAAATATTTCAAGATAAAAAGAATCTGTAGCAGCTGTTACAAAATAAACATAGGTACAATTAAACATGTGGTCCTGTTGTTTATTACCAAGCAACAAGACAATTGACAAAAGGAGACCAAATTTTTACCTTTTTCTTATCCTCTCTAGGCTTGTATAGAGGTGTTGTATTTGAGTCTTCTCAGTGAGTTCCGCAGCACTGTTACTCAAGTTGTCACTGAAATGATTAAATTATTGCAAGGTGAGGTAGATTGATGTCATTAATTGTAAAATTGTAACAGAATTGAACTCTCTGCTTCTGACTGAATTATTATCAACAACAAATTTAAGAGATCTTCGCAGCTAAAAACACTACTGAACTAGTAGTTGAAAATAGGACCTGAAATCTCATACAAGATTTTAATCCTGTATCACAGAGGTCATTGGTTCAAATCCCGTACGGGCCTGAATTTTTTTCAGGTCTTACTGCTAGTTCAGTAGTGTTCTTAGCTGTGAGGATCTCTTAAATTTGTTTCTTCACCACAGTACAAATATATGAATTTCATATATCTAAAATCATTATTATCAACAAGCAACTCAATTATTACCTTTGATATAACAAAATTGCCTCACTTGCTGCCTTTTTGCACCCCTTCAACATGTATCTGTGCTCTTCTACTAAGAATTAGTTCAAATGGAATATCCCCAAACATCTTTTAGTTAGTGCCTTTGAAAACTTGCTCCCAGCTCAAAGAAATTTATCAGGACTTCTTTCTTATAATATATCTTGTGTAATGAGATGACAATGATGATGATTTTTTTTATCATTATATTTTTTATTACTTTTTTTCTTTTCAATGATACAAAAAAAAAACAACAATACCTACAAAACTTCTACAACAAGGTCTAACATTACTTAGAACACTCAAATGACCTCTGTGATACTTGGTTCAAATCCCGTACGGGCCTGAATTTTTTTTAGGTCTTGTTTATAGCTGCAAGGATCTATTATATTTGTTTCTTCACCACAGTGCACATATATGATTTTCATATATCCACAATAATGTAAAAATTAATTTTTTGCCTAATTTTCCAAATGTGTGAACCTATCTTCAACACTCTCTTGCTTGTTTTTGATAAAAGCAGCATCTATTTCCAAGTGAGTGATTGAGTTTTAAATAAATTTTTTTTCCTCAAATGATATTTCTAATGAGTTTTTGGTGACATATCACAGTTGTTTTTAGGGTCAAAGGTACACAATTATTTTGATGATTCCTTGAACAAGAAAAAAAGTCAATTATGATTGACAGAGCTTTGAATTTCAGCTCTTCATCTTTCCATCCTAAAAGCAAAAGAAGCTTTTCTTATTTTTTTCCATTAAGGGTCCCCACCATCTGATGACATAAGTGTCCTATTAAAGAAAGATGCAGGTATTGTAACATCGATGTACATATGCCATGTTTTTTCTGGCCCTTCTTGTACACACACCGAATTACAATTTTTACAATAGGACTTTCTCCCTAAACACTACAATTACTTCATGGTGTCTCCCAGCAACATTTCCTAGTGGTGTGATAGTTTCCCTTTTCATACCGCAAATCATCAGAAGCTTGCACTTGTTTAATATTTGTTTTTATTTTACAGTAGTTTAATAAGTAGTTTAAGGCCTCACTAGAAACTATTATACATTTGCTGTTAGTTTTTTTTTTTTCATTTTTATAGTATATAATGCTTGTGGACTTGCATCATATGACCTTTTTGATGAAATTGACTTTGATCAATGGTTCCTAACTCAACTACTTCAGGAATTAAACAATTCCTCATCCAGGTATGTGCTAACAACATATAATGCATATAAAAGTGACAACAGAAATGCTCTTCTTTGCTGGAAGATTATTTGTCTTTCAAGGCAAATTAAACCAATCTAAAAAACTAGCCAATGAACTGCTACAAAGGATTAATTGAAAGCTAATTAAGGATTTAAGAAAAGCTGTTTACTGCTCTCCTTAATTCATATTTATAAAACGATCTACCCATGCTCAAAAATGCACTCTTTTTGTATGTAAAGTCACCTTGTGTCCAATTATAAAGATCTGTTGAATAGTATCTATGATTGAAATTTGTTACTATTTACTCTAAATTCTTTCCATATTTTCAAAATTCTTATTTCTCAATTTACTCAAAGTACTATTTGTATCCTAAGATAAGCTGTACTTTGTGTATCTACATACATTAAATTCATCAGAGTTAGTCCACTTTTTTGAAAATTTGCATAGAATGCAAATGTTTTCCAAGTTTATGTACAGTTGTTGTACAATTTCTTTAGTTTTCATTATGATATTCACTTAATACTTAAAACTTTACGTAATTTGCGAGAACAGGACTCCAGAGGTAGATGCCTGACTTAATTTTTATCATGCATAATGAAAGAAATATACATTGTACATATGAATGTATGGAGAGCAATGTATTTATATGTCACTGAAATGTTGATCTTTCCTCAGATATACTTGTAGTCCTTATGAAAATTTGCTCAATATATAATGAAAGTTTACCAATGCTTGAGTGAACCAATAGAAATTATTTTTATTCAGAAAGTGAAGTGTGTTTTACTTTTGTCAACAAAATGAAAATTGCACCATTACTGTGCCATATTTTCTCCAAAAATTTAAATTAAAATGGTCAAATGCATGCATGCGATAGAGTATAATGTATTTTTGTATAAAAAGGTAATAAACATTCAGGGTGTCATGATCTCACTTAGACATGAACTCCTTAGCAACTTTTCGGTGGCAAACAGCTTCATTGGGAGATCCCATTTCAACTGAGCTTTGTGTACACTTGCATTGTGGTGCTGTATGTTTTAAAAAAGATGAAACAATTTCTCATCATGACACATGAAAAAAGGAGAAAAAGTCCTTGGTTGAAAAACAAAGCAAAGCCAGGAGCAACTCAACAAGGAGGAATGTTCTAAATGTCTTGTCTTGGATTTCTACATAATACCATAATTGAGGCGTGAGTGGCCCAGTGGTCAGAGCGCTGGACTCTGGGTCGGACGGCCCAGGTTCAAGTCCTGGATGGGGCACTATGTTCTGGCCTTAAGCAAGGCGCTTCACTCACCTTGCTTCGTCTTCTCGGATAAGACGGTCCTGTCTCCTACAGGTTTGGGGTAGGAGACATTAATTTCCCACGCACGAGATTACTGTGTGATGGATGTCCTCCCCTGGGTTGGGTTGGGTGGGTTTGTAACTTGTAAGGCCCATCTGAATATATTCATATAGATATTTGCGCCGAATGAGTATTTATTAAGCTTTATTAAGCTTTTACTCAGTTGGAAACTCGCTAATTCAGGCAAAAGAAACAAAAAACATATATATCCTTGATGTTGTAGTGGGCTAAAACCACCTCCTTAAAGGAGGAGTCTACCAGCAAGCTGTCAACTCACCAACAACTGGTCAACTCATGGGTTGATTGTGCTAAGCTAACATGTAGGCAAAGTGACTGGGTAGCCACAAAGAATGCTTTGGACATCCTTTGACAATCACCTCTAGATACATAACCAAGCTCAAAGAAGAACCCTTGTTGAAGCCATGTGATTGTAAGATACTTTTGGCATGGGCAGATTAGATGAAAGACTGCAAACATAATTTGTAACCATCAGTTGACTGGATATGTGGATGAGATGAACAGTGCAAACAAGTCTTGTTGCATAAGTTATCAAGGTCCAGGCAAGAGCTGAAAACAGTCCTGTATTCCCTTCTCAAAAAGATGCAAAACAATGGCCCCTTAATGGCATCAAGCAGGTAATTATTGGCACAAAAGAAGTTCAGGCGATCATCAGCACTAATGCTCCTGAGGCATTATGGCTTTTGGAAGAAGGGTGGGGTGTGCAACTCTTAGCTGGACACTAATGAGCCTAGTGGCAAAATTGAATGAACCAGAATGTTATGGAAAGTCAATCTTCTTTCCTTAGCTGCTAAGAGATGATGACAATTGTCTCATGCAACAGCTCAGAAGCTTCTGAGTAATGGAGAAGTCCAGAATAGTTCCTAACACCAAGCCTGCATTTCAACTGATGGCATGAGAGCTCTTGCAATCATGGAACAATGAGTGAAACTGGAAGATTGTTATTTTCAAAATACCATAAACCATTCCTGCCTGATGATTGACAACAGCAGAATGGAGACTGCAAATGCTTAAAAAAACTTTTTTAGACAGGGACCTGTTTGAAAATTACAAAGCCACTATGAAAAAGTGTGTGGAAAGAATAATCCAGCCACCAACAAAAGAGCTTCATTTTGAGAATAAGTAATTGTGATAACTATAACTGCCTCACCACTCAATGGTAACAAGCCCGGTAAGAAGAGTTTTTGCCTGTGCTGCAAAACACAAGGGAGCATCCCTAGACAATCAGCTTCTAACTGAGTCAGAATTCAGTAGCCGTTTCCCGTTCAAAGGTTTGGTGCAGTGTTAGGGATCAGTCGATGGCTGATATTGTAGCAAAGGAAAGGCTTAGGTCAGGATATCCACCCATGTAGGCATGGACTACTTTAGACTCTTTTTGTTTGTCAAGGTATTTGGGGTGTGAAATATTCTACACACTTGTTTATCTGTTTAGTTGTCAGAGCCATTTATATCAAAGTTGTACACTCATTTGACACTGATGGCTTTATTAATGCAAATTTTAAGATTTATCAGCCTAAGAGGATATCCAAAGACCATTTATGAGGACAGCAGAGTATATTTGTGTACTCATTACAGAGAGATACATGATTCAATCAAGGACTGGATCAGAGATCCATCCATAAGTTTCCCCTTCAGGAGAATGTTTGATGGAAATTTAAACCACTTGCAGCCTCGTATTTTGATGGTGTTTGGGAACAATTAATTGGATCTATACTTGAGATCCTTCTCCTCTTTCTATCTCCACTGAAACACTGCAAACCTTGTTAAGAGAAGTTCAAGCAATTGTAGCTACTGAACCATTGTCTCCAGTTGGCAGCAGTCCAACAGATTTGGGACCTGTACCCACAAACCACATGGTGTTAAAGGCCAACCCAAATTTACTTCCTGTCAGGTTCAATAAAGATGATGTACACAGCATCAAGTACATGGCTGATATATTTTGGAGGCCCTGGCTGAAAGAGTATTTGCCAATCCTCAAAGAGAGAGCAAAACAGACAAGACCCAATGTAGGAATTGGGAGTTTAGTGCTGATTGCAGACTAGAATGTTCACCACAGAAATTGGCCTTCAGGCAGAGGAGTGCTGTTTTCCAAGGGAAGGAGAGATAAGACAGTTCAGAAAAGATTCAAACTAGCACAACAGTTCTTACAAGATCAGTAGCACAGTGATGCTTCCCAGAGGCAAGAAAGTAAATTGAATTGAGGAGCTGATCTTAACTCTTCCAAAAAAGAAAGGATCTATGAAAACTATTTACAAAAAAATCGAATTGATTGAAACAATCAAAAACAATTCAAATTGACGATAACTACTGAACTATTGTTAAGGAATAAATGCTTGTGTTGTAGATGGGGACTCTAAATGAACTGCTGCACTTGAGTAGTTCATTGAATTCATTGTCTTTCAAAGTGAACTTGAAGCAGACATGATCAAAAACAAGCTTCCTATTTCAAACTTTTGTTTTGTGACACAAATTTGAAGAAATGGCACTCTTTGTCTCAGGGAAATCTTTCTTTAAAAGACTAAAGTATTTGCATTAACTCTTGCTCAAACTACAAATAAAAACTTTGCAAGAAGAAGGATGAAATTGGCTCATTTCCTTTACATTACCTTTGCACAGTACTGATGTTAGATATTGGTGTTATCATTTTGTCCTTTTTTTATAAACTAAATATTTGCTTGGGCAAAGAAAAAGTAACCAATGACAGCTTTGCCTCCAGGCTTCCCTAGATATATGTATATTATGCTAAGATCACTTATATGTTTAGAAATTAAATTAGTGTTCCCCTGTAAATAAGAAAATATCATAGATTTCTGTTATACAAAAAGATGAAGTTAGGGTGCAAAAAGACTCAGTAAATAGCATCTAATTGAGATCTCATATACATATTTGTGAGTTGCAGTTTCTCAGTCCCTGGATAGAACTCTTTATTTACATAAACAATAATGCAATACTTTCACATGCTACTTGGTCATCTTTTAGGTATAAGATTCTGCGTCGTCGTGTCATTTGGATGGTAGGCCAGTGGATAAATGTCAAATGTGCTCGTCAAACCAGGACTGTATTGTACCCAGTACTCCTCAATTTAATGAATGTTCAAGAAGATTTAGTGGTAAGACCAGGATTATTTTTCTAAGAACTAATACGAATTTATTTGTAACTTTTCCTTTGACATTTATAACATCTGTTATGGATGGTTACATGTCTGACCTTGGTTTCCATGGTCAAAAAATTAACCTAAGAAGGACAAGACCAAAATTGCTTAACCACAGGTTCAGGATCACCCTTCCATAACTTTAACAGTGCAATGTTTGCTAGTTAACTAAAACTTTTTACTGGGCAAATAATCAAACAAATCAGCCACAACTTTGAGCAGATACTTTAAAGTGCTTTCATTCAAAATATGCTGTGCAGCACATGGTGATAAATACATAATATTGTCCTCTAAAAGTGCTCCATAAGACTTATTAAATCCATGAGTAAGCTCAGGATATAACAAAACCAGAAACACTCACCCTTGCAATCTGCTTTCACTGGGATTGAATTTATGGACAAGGAAGTATAATTAAACAATTCTGCTAAATGCTAATCAAAAGGTAAGTTACACCACCAGTGCTTACATAAAGCAACCTGATGTTCTGCTTTAATTAGCTTGGCCAAGATTGTTAAAGATAAATTGAACATTATACAATGAACTCAGAAAAAGAATTATGAAAGAGTGCTGAGGCTACTGAACTGATCTTTAAGCTGGTAAGCTTCAGGAAGTAATATCTCTATCAAATGTTTTACGAGATATTCACTTGCAACTGATTGAAGCAACTTCAGTTTAGATGCCTCTGCACTATTTCATATAATTCCAGTAGATATAAAAGGGGGAATATGACACATTCTGAAAACAACCTTGATTTTTAAGGCAACTTGTGAAATGTAACCTTGATTTAAAGTCAACCTTGAAATCAACCTTGATTTCAAAAAGACAGTTTTTGCCCTGAAATCAAGGTTGATTTCAGGGCAACTTGAATTTTTCACAGGTGCATAATATTCACAATGTCTCAGTTGTGATTTCTGAAGAGGGTGTGCATATTATCATCTCAAGTGATTCTCTAGAACAATTCTCTTGAATGATTCTCTTATACAATTCCTTTAAAAGACTCTCTTGTTGCGCTATAGGGGTGTTACAGGTTCCTGTTTTTATGAGAAGCTTCTTTGATACTTGTTAAGCTATCTCAGATTCATTCTCTTGGTTATAAGAATATGGACAAGGTAAGTGTTAAAAGAAGTAAATTGGCCAATGAAATTTTTTTCTTGCAACATTGATCAATCCCGAGGAGTGAAGAAAGATCTCTTTCGAGTTTAACTTTTTATTTGTAGGGATTATAAGGATTAACATTCTTGCTTTTGAATGATTCATTGTGACTTTCAATCCTCTTTCTTCATGTAATAATTTCCCAAGGGCTTTTGTAAGACTCTCAAGAGTGTATTTGCCTGAAGTAAACCAAAAAAAACAACCATTTTGATTATAAAAGCAATAAAAATCTTTAACTCTTTGAATTCTGACTCTGTGAGGTTTGCATGGCCAAGATCAGATGAAGCAAATAAAATTGCGGATAAAGCAGAGAGAAGAGCCTGGAATCACTTCAAAGCACAGTATCCAAAGGCAGACCTGAGCAAGTTCAGTACGCAAGTGTCATTTGATGATAAAAGATAGGCAACAGCTAAAGTTTACTCAAATCGATCAGATGGAGTTCAGTCAAGCATCTCAGGATCGGAGAGAAGACATAGGGATGATGACATGAAAAGGTGCTTGGAATTGGAGGTTTTCTTCCCCCTTAAACTCACTCTGAATCAACTAGGAAAGAAGGAGGTGTCACCAGTTCCATTTAATGAGAATGCTGTCAGCCACTTCAACAAGGAGATAAAGATCTTTGTTACCCCAAATCAATACTTCGAGGCAAAATTCAGAGGAATATTCACAGGGACAAAAACTCAGCATTCTTCGGGCATAGAATCAAAGAGATTGCTTGCAGGGTCAAACATAAGTTATTGGCCTTGACAGCTCAACTTCGCAGTATGATGCACAACTACAAGCTGTGGAATATCTTGTGAAGTTCTCTATAAGGTTCCAGAACAGATCAAGTTGTTTGTGATGTTTCACATCTACTTCACTGTCAGAAGGATTCTCTTTGAGATGAGTGGAATTCAAAGTGAATTGGCTCTTCATGGTGACCCAACTTTCTGCCACATAAATTATTATGACACATCATTGTTCAAACGCATATGTGCAGAATTTGGAATTTCACCAAGCGCAGACTTCCCATTCAAATGTGGTGATAATCACAGAATCCAGAATTCATTCATCCAACCTACTTGTATTGTGGAAGAACAAATTTCAGCAATTAGGGTGGAAAAGCCACCAAAGGAATGATAATGCAAAAGTTGAGAGGCAATTTGGCTTTTTCATGGCAGACAATTCAGACGGTTTGACACAAGCTGGGATGGTGAGTGAGACTTAATCAGTCAATTGAGGCATTTGTTTATTGCATTCTTGGTGCACAAGTCAATGTCAGATCACCAATCTTGGGTTCATTAGGAAGCACAAAAGAAGCACAACATGACTTCACCCAGAGTATGGTTGGGTATAATAACAGCCTTGAGAAGGCAACTGCTGAAATGAAGCTTGGAATCAACAAATCTGTGAATTTGGAGATGAAATCATCAAAGATCAACAGGCCAACCTCTCAAGCCTTTGGCCTGGCTACTGAACAGCAAGCCCCAAGGGGGCAGGCCTCTAGAGGCGCCCTTCAAATGAATTTAATTCAACTTCAACAAACATTGAGGTGAAGTCAAAATTATCACCAGGTGAGAAGTGTAGTACAAGCGACAGCAAGGCAAATCTAGATATGGTAAAGATAGGATTGATTTCAGCTGGACTGTTATCAGCATTTTTGATTGCATAGCTCCACAGCCCCTGGCTCCAGCAGCAAAACTTGTCTGTTGCAACAAACAAGTTTGAAAAAATAAACTTGAAATAATTGTGGCATGCTAAGAAAAAAGACTTAATGAAAATGTTCTTTTTCAGCTCATGCCTTTTGTATTCTTCAAGGTTTTTAACGTCATTTTATTCTTATAAGAGTCACATAATATATTTTACACTTATAATTCTTCATCTCTTCTTGGAAAATTGTTTCTGTATTTTATTTCACAGCCTTTAGCAACTTCATTGAATTCTTTTGTGTGTATTGGAATTAATTTTTTTCCATTTTAATAACATGTACAAACTTTTTGAAAAAAATTTGTTTTCATGCCGTTTAAAAAGTGGAAAACAAAATGGTTCCATAATTAAGAGCTGAGGCAAAATGGCTCAGACTTTAAAGATATTCAAGAACAGGATTTGAGTGAGTTGATATCTAATATTGTTGACCACCCTGTTGCAAATATTGATGCACCAGTTCTAACACTAGCAAGCAAGTTGACGTAACTGAACAAAGAAGAAAGGAAATTAGAGAAATTGAAGAGATGCCTGGATTGAGAAGGTCTTCTTCAGAGGATGTATCCAGTGAAGCTGAATGGAATGAGTTTATTAAAAATTACAAATCCCAACAGTTTGAAATTTGCGAGTTAGCAAGCGCATTGAGAAGGTTAATTAAACAATTTTGAATTGAAGTAACTGAAGGTTTTGGATGGAGAGAGTTCATGGGAAAAGCCAAACCAGATACTCTTGTGAGAGATGGTGAGAGATAATGAAGATAGATTAGTCCAGCTTCAAGATGCATTTTTCCACACCAAAGTAATTGACAATCTAAGGGAAACAGATGAATCAGAAGTATTTGATGTTTTCATGCAAACATTTGACAAAGGAATTCAGAATTTTGATCAAAGAGGAGGCAACTGGAAATTTCAAAGAGTGATACCTTGATATCCATCTTGCAGAATGCCAAAGTGGCAGACTGCTTCAATTTCACAGGGAACTATCATGAAGCCACCCACTTCATATGCAACCTATAATTCAGGACACCAAAATCTACTCCTGTGATATTCCACAATTCAGCAAACTATGATTCCTATTTATTTGTTAAGGATCTCGGTGTAAGCAAGGGAAACATCAAATGCATTCCCTATAATGAGGAAAAAGATGTCATCTTCAGCAAAGATGTTATGGTTATAAAAGTCAGAAATGAGAAAGGAAAAGAAGTTAAAGTTAAGAATGAGCTTCGCTTCATGGAGAGCTTCAAGTTCATGGCTTCTTCCCTTTTTAAATTAGTTTAAAACTTGAGTCTTGAGAAGCTAAAGAAAACTGAGTGGATCTTCAGGATAAAATTGAGTTCATCTCAAGAAAGGCTGTGTACCCATATAATTACATGAGCTGCATTGAAAGTTAAATGAAATGAGTTTACCTCCATAGGAAAAAATTATACTCTGAGCTGAATGATTGTGGAATTTTAGATGAAGATTATGAGCACACACAGATGGTCTGCAAAGAGTTCGACATGAAGATGATGGGTGATTACCACAACCATTATCTCCAGACAGATGTCCTCCTGCTAGCAGATGTTTTTGAAGAGTTCAGAAGTGCTTGTCTTGAGAGTTATAGCTTAGACCCTGCTTGGTATTACACATCACCTGGTTCATCATGTGATGCTTTATTGAAAGTGTCTCGACAAAAAATTGAATTACTCACTTATATAGACATGCTGCTGGTGATTGAAAAAGGAATTCATGGAGGAATCTCAATGATCTAAAATCAATTAAACCATATATGCATGAAGCTTTTAAGTTTTGGCTTGCTTGGATCTTAAAAGATTTAAAGGTTCATCACCCTGACCTTCTTCCATGGCAGGCTCCTGAGAGGTAAGAAAGTCTACTGGTACGCATAGGCAATTGTTGATGTTGCAAGCAGATTCAAGGCTGCTAAACCTCTCACCTCAAGGGATTCTTCTGAAGTCTCAAAAGCTTTTCAGACAGTCTATAAGCATGGATCACTGAGGTAGCCAAAAGTTCTTCTGGTTGATACTGGGCATGAATTCATGGATGATATCAGAAGAGAGACGACAAAGCATGATATGACCAATCAGTTTACACAAACTGGACTAAGAACATTCAACTGAAAACAACTATTCACTCAACCTTGATGATGACTTCCACTCAGGTTGTCAAAACATCAGTCACCACTACTGAAAACAGTCCTCAGGACTACACTCCCCTGGACGATCAAACTACACTATTACATGTCACTCCTGGGTTCAAACCATTGTATTGTATTGTAAATATTATTGTAAATATTATTCACCTCTAAAAAATTCAAGTTGCCTTAAATTTAAGGTTGATTTGAAAATGTGCAAAAACTCTTTGCAATCAAGGTTGATTTTAATTTTTATTTCAGTGACTCATAGCCACTTTGATTATCAGTTATGGGCACAAGAAAACTTTTTCATCACCTGTGTGTCCAGTTTCTGTCTTAATGTCAGTTGCAGGTATTGCCATTAGTTCTTCCTTGAGAATATGCTATCTTGACCAGTTTGGGTCCATAACCTATGATAGGAGATTATATATGTTCTTCAGTTTTATTATTTGTTTCCTTAGGTCCGTCTTACTGCAGCAAATACGCTTAAGACTGGTATCCTTTTTAACCATACATGTATTGCCCATCTTTCTATAGAAACAGCCTATCACTTTGAGCTTCAAAATTTAAGTCTGCTGGCATGTAGAAAGGAAGCTAACACATTTTGCAGTTCATACTGGAAGGGTTTAAAAACATTAGCCATACCCACTAGTAACATGATAATTATATCCATATCATTATTAGAAAATTTAATTATATGTGACAGTGCTAGGATTGTTTTGTCATAGTGTAGCCTTTTGCTTTAATATGTAATGGTTTTTTAATGGCATTCAACTTTTGTAGGGCTTATTTCTTCTAATGTAGGCAATCTACATGAAAAAAGCTCTTGCCTAAGAAGGAGTTGGCCCATGATAACTTAGATTACTTCAGAACAGACAAATTTAGAAAAATAAAAAAATCAGAGGCATCAAAGTTAACCATTCCATGATTTCCTTAATCCTTATCAGCTATTGATGATGTAGAATTTTATCTAGAAGATTTTGTTCAGGTATAGCTTAGGAGGATGAATATAATGTGTATACTTTAAGTATCAGGTTCATTTTGAGGCAAAACATTTCATTCTACCACTATATGTCTTTGGAAGTGTTCATGAAGTAAAGTGGTGAATCCCATTATCAGTAATTCGATTGAATATTGTACTAAGTTTTAAGGATGTTAATCAGAAATCTAGAATGTTTGATTTTAAATGATGCTGTTCTTCCCTTTTTTGTGAAAATGGACATAGCTTAAAAGACTGCACACAACCCAAAATCTTTTACCTTATAATGACAATCACTCAAGCAGTTGAGACTTGTAGAGAGAAAGTCAATTTAGAATCATTCTAATGATTTAGCAGAGTAGGTCCAAAAATAATATCAAACATTTCCCAAAAGGAAACTAATTGAGTGAAACCCTCTAATTCTACATTTATCTAATTTATAATAAGTTGTTCTCTCGGTGGTTTCCTGAGAAAAAAATCTAAATCAGACCTCTTTGTAGAATGGAGATCAAAATCCACCAATAGCATTAGAACACCATGATACAGATGGTAACTCATGAGCAGTTGACCCCATCACTTGATGAAGACTAGCCGTTGATAGTCAAAATCTTACCATCTACATCTCAAATGACTACATCATGAGACAAACAATTATACATTAAACACACACCTTGGGCAGTTTGTATTCTAATTGTCTTGTGAAGAAAACTTGCATGTTTTAATGAGCCACAATTTGGCCAGATTTCATTGAACATTTCACTTTCAGATTCTGTATTAGTGTTAAATTTTACCTGCCAAACTATTTCAGTGTGTGAACTCTGGCAGATCGTGAACTTTGATGGTTTGACATTTTTGACAGCTGTAGGCTTCTGATTGGCCTATCGTAGCATGTTTTATGACAGTATAGAGCATGCTGAAGACATATTTGGTCACGTGAAAATTCAAATTTGTAAGTAATTTGTAATAGTAGGTAATGTGTGGGGACTTTGACAGATTCTTTATTATAAAACAAATAAAGAAGCCTTGACTGTGCTCTCTTCTGTTGCAAAGCACTTAGGAAGTGGCTAGAGCACTCACGAAGTAGGGAGAAACACTTTGACTATATCTCATGTTTCCCTCTACACTTATTAGTGCTCTAGATCATGCTTCCTGCATGCTTTACTACAGAATGGAGCTCAGTCAAGGCTTCTTTAGCTGTTAATTAACTCACCAAGAATGTCAATTGCAGTTTTTGGATGGAAGCTTTGAAGTACTATTTAACCTCCTCAAGTGTACCAATGATTGTGATACTAAGGTACCTTTTTCAGAAGTTCCTTTTAATCAGTAAGATTAACACTACATAATAATACAGTGATCTGATCAGAAGCTGGTCCAAGAGGATTTTGTAGTCTTTTGTTGTCTGCTCATAGAGGTGGTTGGAAAGGTATGACCTCAAAAGCTAAGACTGTAAAAACCATACCTTGGTATAACACTTTGCAATTATGAAAATCCACCTCATTCATTTCAAGGTGAGCGTAAAGATACAGTTATACCAAAAATCCAGTGAAACTTAGAGAGCAGTAGTACTTATACTTAATGTACTTGAGTTGTTTAGCTATGCAACAGTAGATATATTTCTCTTGACATTGTATTCGGCATGATAAACTTGACTTTTTTAACTTTTACCAAACAAGAGATTGCTTTCTGACAAATCTGACTTCAAGGGGTGGTGTGTCCTTGTTTTTGAGGTCTTAGTTTTCAAGATGCTTCTATTACAACCAGAACAGTTACAGAAATAAGAGCATGCTATACCTGTGAGATAACAAATATAAAAGAGAAAGTCAGTGGAGGGTATGGCGGATGTCCAGAGGTATTGGATGAATATGTCTGAATTTTTTTATCCTTTGTATGCTAATACAATTTCCTTAAAGATGCAGGTGCTGCATGTGTTATCATTACTTATTCAACGAACAGGAAGCAAGGTCTGCGGAATTATTTATCATATTTGAAAAATGAAATTCTTTGTTTTGATACATGTACAATGTTTCCATTTTATGTCATGTTTGTTTGATATAGATAGCGTTGTCATAGAGCTGTTGTTATTAGTATTTTTGTGTACCATATGCTTGTAGACATAGCTTGTGGTACAAACATTGACAGCTTGTCCTTGCCAGCTTGCACCAAAACTAACCAATAAATGTTGGTTTTTTTGTTTGTTTAAGGTCCGATCATTTGCTTCCCCACTTTCAATCTACCTTCCTGAGTTGTGGCAGGCATCTGGTGACCATAACATGCTTCAATGTGCAATTGTCTCCACAATGACTCATCTTGTAGAGGTCTGAAGAGATTTTGTCTTGTTTTCAGTTATCCATATTGAATTTTAATGGCAAGGTTATTTCAAAATTTCAATGCCTCTAATGGGTACCACAAAGACTTTTGTTTGAAGCAGAAAAATACACAACACACAATCTTCCCTGGAAAAATAAGATGTTAACTTATTCTCTTAAACCTACTTGTACAATTATGGGGCACTGGCTGAGCATGTGTTTCAGGCAAGAAAGACCCTTCAAACTTGATAAAAGCAGTCTTGGCAAAGGATGAAAACTTCTTATATTATGCCACGACATGATCTTAGCAACTTAAGTCTTTCTAAAGACTGCATAGAGCATTTCGTGGTTTAGTCAGGAAAGCTTTTTCCTACTAGACTGTTCAGCTTAGTTGTACTTTTAAACCCAGCTGTTACCATAGGCCAACAACTTGAAATTTTGCAATATTTTGGAACAGGTTCCAGGCTCCAAATAGGGTTTGATTCTATTATACATTTAAATAAATCATATATGGAATACTAGCAAAAAAAACTGGGTTAGTCACCAACTGTATAGAAGATATTATCCCAGTAAACCACCAATCTCTAGATCCATCAAATAAATGTATTCTTGGCCTGAAGACCGTATCTGCCAAGCATGAGTTGTGACATTTGCTGTTAAAGTTACTTTGATAACTCTGTTGTTTCACAGGGCCTAGGTGTATGGAGTGAACAGATGTATCCTTTCCTTCTGCCCTTGATTCAGCTCAGTACAGATGTTTCTCAGGTAATTGATGCAATACTAGTTTATTTTAGATGCAGTGTACTTTCCAAATTCCCCACTCAGCATATAGAATCAATCATTTTGCTGAAAACAGCTCTTAGATTGTTGAACAAATTTAATAAGAAAATAATCCTTTTGCACAATTAAATGAGGGACAGAAATTCAACAAACAATGAAGTGAGTGAAGGTGTGGGTCAGCTGGCCTCTTACATGTTGTAAGGATTTGGAGACATTTAACATTTTCTGGAGACAGAATGACTTCACTGCCCCCAAGTGCATGGTTGACTGGTAATGCAGAGACATTATATTTCATTGTATTATTAATTAAATCATACTCCACTACACTTTAATTATTCTATACTAGAGAATCTTAAATCATACTTTACATATACAATCCATGATTAAATTATATTACACAGACAATGACCTTGCTGGTGAACATATCTTTTATTTGCCACTGTTTCATTTTTTAAGCCATCACACATTTACTTAATGGAAGATGGACTGGACCTTTGGTAATACTTTTCTTTGCTGCTTCAGTATTTTGTAATAGATTTAAACTTAAAGATAAGCCTCACATGCTTGAGATAGTGTGAAGAGATACAATATTTGTCATGATTGGCTATGAACAGTGAGGCAGACACCATTTCAGGAAACATCAGTTCCCAGAATACTTAAAGATTTGCCATAGTGTATCCCAGGGTGTGAAAAACATTGGGTCAAGCCCAAGGGGCAGGTTGTTTGAAACTTTCTCAACACGAATTATGGTTGTATTCCTTACAAGATCTTTAGGTGGACATAGCAGGTATAAACTTGAATGATAAGTAATTGTGGTGTGAAGGATGTGTTTAGTCTCGTGAAAGAGAATAAAGTGTTCCCTGTTAGCCATGTTTCCCCTTTTACTTTTCAGCATCTATGCCTAGTGAATGACATCTTTATGTGATTAATTACAATTGATTTCAATAAATCTGACTTCTTAAGAAAAGGGCTTCAGGTAACAAGGTTAGAGTTATTAAGGTTGAAATTATGAAAGCAAAAATAAATACATGAAGCAAAACTTACCTTGAGTTAGGGAGAAACTTGAGTTGTGGAGGGTTTTAAAGAAAGATGAAAACCTTGGAGGATAATGCAATTCGTTTTGTTCTTCAGAATATCCTGAATTATGTGGTTCCTGTCATATTGGAGTTTTAATCATTGTATTTATGGGACAAGGCACCTTTTTGAGTGAAGTGATCGGCTTGACTGACTTAAAGTGTACATTTTTGATAAAATTATCTATTAAACTTTTCTGTATGATGTGTATTTGCAGGCACAATGTTTTGATGAATGCATCATGTATGGCTCCTGAATTGTTGCAGCTATTTGCCAATATGCCACCATTATTGGGTCAGTGAAAGTGTTATACGTTTTCAATAAGATAGTCATCACTTTGTGCTTTTTAGTTCATTTCTCATCATATATTAGGTAAGGTGGAAGCAGCTGCTATGCATCTCTCTGCCCTATACTTCTAATTTTCAAGAGGTACCACAAGAAGCAATGCATCCATCCCAAAGCTACCATACCATACCATTCAAACTTTTGAAGCAGCTAAGTTTTAAGGGTGGTTGTCTTTTGCTCGAAACTGTCACTGTATACAAGAAGTTTATTGTTTTGTTACTTTTCTTCACTTCCTTTACACCTTCAATCTCACAGAAATCTTTACCGAAATCACCTTAATTGCAGAATTAGGCTCCGAAAACCTCAGAACATGCTTTGCCATCGTGGAATCTTATGTGTTGTTAGATCCAAGAGCATTTCTTCAGGTTTGATTTTATAATTTCACGTTTGGTAAATTAACAGTGATAGCAAATTATTCTTTTGTCATTTTTTTAATAACCCTCTTTCTTTTGATAGAATTGTAGTGCACCTGTTGTGGATGCTTGCTTAAGAATGCTTGGAAATATAAAACCAGAGGGCAGCATTATCCTTTCTAGGGTAGGGGTGTATATTTTAACAACATTCAATTTATATCAATATAATTGGTTAAGAACAGTTTGATTATTTAAAAGTTTTAGTTTTAGTATTATGTCCTAAAATAATTTAAGATAAAGATTGGGCATGAGAGGAAGAACAGCATATTTTTATTTTCCTAACATCTTCAAATTATGTAACACTGAAAGTGCATCCAACTCCGCCTTTTTTTAATGAATCCACTAGCAGTGCTTCTGCAAACAATTTCAAGTTTTGAAAAAATATGCATATTTCTTTCCTTTCTCTAACAGAAGGGTTTTGACAGAACACATTTATAGAGATTAGCTTTGCTGAAATAAAAGCAATAGCTGCCTTCATACTAGTCTCCTTCACAGTAATTCTTTGAGATTGGGTGAGCATTGGTTATATCCCAAATAAAAGCTGGAATGGAGACTACTATCAGACGTTTTCGGCATAGTTTTAATTTTGCATCAGTTTTACCACGTTTAGAAGTATTGCCCCTGTTTCTAATATTCACACAAACTAAAAAGAGTTTATGAAGCCCTTTGTTTAACTGTTGGTGCTTGGCAAGTGTATGGCCACATTCTTCTAATCTTCTCACGGTTCAGAATATTATTCCCACCACAATTATTCCTAACAACCGCAATATTGACTTGAATCTTTTGTTTTCTAAAAAAAAAAGCTTTTTATTTGCTGGCGAGGAGTTTCCTTAAAATTATCAAAGTTAAATCACACCTAGATGCCAAATCCCAAATTTACAGCAAATTCCGTTTTGATGCTTCAGACGAGAGAGGACCATCAGGGCCCTCTCGAAGCAGTTCTGTGGTGCAATGTAGTAATTTCTCCATTTCTAATCAATTAATAACTATATACATATTAACTTTTGGTGATATTCAGCGCCATCTTTGGTGTCATATGACTACTTAATTAGAGCTGTAAAAGTCAAACATAACTGTGAAAAGGTAGGTCTGATGTTTTGAATAGCATCACATCGAGAAATGGCTAGAACAATAATTTGTCCATTTCTGGTGTGTAAATCGTACTCTCATTTTTTCACCCATATTGATTTCATAAGTAGATCCATGTAATACTTCTAAAGAAATGGGCACTTAAGGCGAAGAAATTGTTCGAAGGTGTGATAATGAGTTTAGAAATTTGACAGCATTTATTGTACTCTCCTTTTGAGAAATTTTCCCTTTAATTTCTTCTGTCAGCACCTTTTTGATGAGAAATGAAAAGTTGTGTATATTTAAGACATATTTTCAAACTGCGATGTTTTTTAAAACGGGTGTACATATAAAGATATATATATATATACCTTCATGTTGAGGAGACGTTTAGTCATTTCCACCATCATTCACCAACACTCGCAACATTGTTGACTGTCATTTAAGTTTTATGTAAAGACCTTTTTTTGTATTGTGTATACAACGTACCAATCATCTCTTTCCATAGAACAAGTTGTATTAAATTGTTCATTACAAGAAGAGGCAGATAACCGTTTTAGGTCCATGATGACATAAGTGAGGATGGAATATTGGACCACCTTGCTTTCATATTTTAGACCATTATTAATTTGGAGAAATTACCGCCACTGCAGAATTTGTCGAAAGGTTTGAGTTGGCCTCAGTTTTTTTTCTGCAGTACTAGGGCCTACAACCAAAACAAACTGCATCAGGTATATTCATCTATTTTGAAAAATTAAAGGTGTAGAAATTATTTATTTCACTCGCGATGCGCATTCAAGATTTTGCTCAGTATGTCACTCATGATTAACGGGTGCTTGCATAGTACGTTTATTAATTTTTCGGTGAGACATCTGTAAGATATAAATCCCGTGTTGCGATTCGTAACCGCGTTCAACTGTTATGAAAGGGTCATTGACATCTTTCAATTTGTTTTATTTTTCGAATTTTGGTATCGAAACAAGGAAGTGATGCACCCGTAGCCAAGCTAAATGATTGGCTGACTTGTTGTGTGACAGGAGTTGGGTGGATCAAACGGGTTAATTTGTCAAAAATGCCCACACACTTTTAGAGGCCATGAATTAAAAGGACGACGTTTTAAATCAATTTAAGTAGTACATCTTGTAGGGTTTCTTATTAAGCCTCCATTGTTGACCTTTGTTTAGTCTCAGCCAAAAAAGTGAAAAGTGCATTACTTTAACGGGTAATTATGCCGAATTAAACACAACAACGTCGTGTTTTCGAAAAGCTTATTAAAAATGACTCAGAATTGAAAACCCAGAATATACCTAGTTTTATTTAAAGTTGCCAAAGTTGGTACGTTCTCCTACTAGATAGACAGACAGAGGCCTATATTCAGTTTTTAAGGCTCAGGGTGGTTCTTCCAGGTGCTTGAAAGTAACCTGCTATCAATAGGAGCCCTGAGTTCAGAGCATTTAGAGTTTCTGAGATATTTCACCGATCCAACGTTTGGTATAAAGCTGTTGCTGTGCCTAATATTACACTTTTAACTAAATGTAACTTAAGTAACATTGTGAAAGATGTAACACTCCTCGGTATTTTAAATCCATTCTCTTATTGCTTGCCCATGTTTTTTATTTTATTTGGTTCTATCAGGTTGTTGAAACTATCATAAAAGTCTCTCCTCTCGATGGTCCTCAAGTTCTCGCACCAGTGTTGCTGAAAATATTAAACATGATCATTGAGGTTGAGGTAAATTTTCCTTACTAACAGTTATGAAACAAGAAGACCTTAGGAAATATCTTATCTTAGTTTATCATGTTACGATCATTCACAACATTAATATATTATAGTAGTGGATGGGTCAGCCCTAGGGCTTGAATGCAATGTAGCTCAGTTGCTCTAGGTTATCGTTGAACGAGAAAAGTTCGCGTGAGAGTATATTATGTTCCTACCATGGTAGAATCCTTTTGTTAGTGATCCTAAGATATGGGACCCCATAAGTATAATGCATGCGCAATAACTAGCATTAGGAGCACGCAAGCAATTGAGATGCAATAACTTGCGGACTATAAGAGTTCTTTTATCGTGAGTGTATAAGATCCATTTACCAAAAAAGAGACTAGAGTCCAAACTCCGTAGAAAATATGTATTAAACTTGTTAAATGAACCTCAACATTTGGCTAAAATAGAAACTCAGAAACGTCTTTAATTTCCAAACAAAGGAGTGACAAATTTACGCGAACGAAACCTCAAAAACAATTAAAACTCCGCGAAAACAAAACTAAAAGTACGCGAGAAATGCCCACGTCAGTTTTCCAATGTCAAGGTTAAAGTTCTTTGACATGATTGGCTAATTTGTGAAATCACGCGCGCCGCGCGTCAATACAAAAAGAACACGAAGAGGGGAGAGGAAGAGAAAAATTGTAACTTGAAATTTAGAAAAACAAAAGAGATTTTCTACAAGGAGGAGCTTGATATTCCATTCGGAAAGTAAGGGCAAGAGCAAATAAAAGTATTCTTCTTATTTCACACTGCGTTTGAATATCCTACTGCAAATGAGTTCTTGCGTCTTCAACTGTAGAGAAGCCCTCCCAGAACCACAATACGGAAAAAGATGGCGTCGTGCACGGACTCTGGGTAAATCGACCAACTCGGTGTGAACAAACAGTTTCGCAATGCCTGGAAGGTGCTCTGAATGGCTTTTAAATGGAAGTAGGTTTCTGCTTGCTTAAAAGTGGAAGGAAAGTCGTCCGTGTGTTGTGTACACTTTTGCGACGGGCATAAGTATAGATCTAACAATATACCCGCCTCAGTTGAGTAGAGTTTTATTAGTACTCTTAGAAATGAATGTTCGACAGAGGCCCACCCAAAGGCGAAAATAGCACCTGAATTTCAAGAACTAAACGCAGAAGAATACAGAAAACTGCAATGTGAATGTCAAAAGGAGATTGAGCATTTATTAAAACGTATAAGAAAGCTTAAAGAGTGTAGAAGTGGAGAAGTTTAAAGTTAGTAAATTTATGGCTTATGACTCGGACATAAGGTTTTACACAGGACTACCTGACTACCAGACCTTTTTTAAAACCAAGACCAGGCTTCTTGCAGAATTATAACGATGGATACACAAATGTTTCAGAGATCATTTATATTTTGTACCTGAAGGAAGACCTCAAAGGTTTCGTCACATCAATGAATTATTTTTAATAATGACGAGGTTACGTCTCGGATTAAAGGGGGATACCTCGCCAATCGTTTTAACATTCATCAAGAGGTCTCAGAAATATTTGCCACCTGGATCGATCGAATGTTGGAAAGACACTCAGACCAGTACAAACTGACAGAACTACCGTATGCTGGGATTAGGGAGACATCCTTGTCTATGAAGGACTGCTTGGACGTGACAAGATCCACCAAGGCTAAAAGAGATTAGGGGGAAAGTAAGCAAGAGAATGAAAAGATGAGTGCAAACCACCACCCACCAAGCTTTGTTAGGTCAAAACGTTGTCTATCGAGGCTATTGCATAGACATATAGATGTTTAAGATGTGCCTCATACAATTTGGATGAGGTGCAGTGACAAATTAAGAGAATCTTTTGTGAGTGAAATGTTAAGGAGAAACACCTCCTGCTTGCACCTGGTACCCGACCGTAAGGAGTCCTAAGGAAGAATCAGTGAAAGAGGAAGACAAAAATGAATGACTCTGAGAAGGAAATATGCTCTGCAGTGATTTCCTACATGGATATGAGCATGAATGTCTTTTGCTGCTCTTGTGTCCGAACTTGCATCCAGAGTATTTATTTCTGCGAAACAACATTTCTAAATAAATCATGGAAAAAATTCACATAAAATATCACTTCTCCACATCACAGTATAACATTTTTTTTGCTTAGCGCTTAGCGTTGCTTCATTCCCTTCTTGAATTTTTGTAATGGCGTGGAACTCATGAATTCTCACAATTTAGGATTAATGATCGAGTATGAATTAGATTGTCGATACACGATAGTTGGGAGCATCGAGTGTAGAGTTTCAACTTTATTTTAGTCAATCGTGCTGGTGTACAAACCTGAGGCAACGTAACTCCTGATACACTTAGCGCTAAACATAATTTTTGAATGCTGACGTATCAAATAATGACCATATCATTTCCTTCCGCTACTAGTATTTAACCTTTAAAGTAATGAGGGCCATGTTCCTTGATGTTACGTTCTGATACAATTGTAATTTCTGGGTTAGTGGCTGTAAAATTACAAGATATGTATTTGTTTTGGTTAGGAACACACACCTCTTCTGGTTATCTACCTGTGCATAATTGGGGAAATCAGTTTGCATAATTACCATGCATTTGTTCATCTGGTCGAAAATGTTGCACAGCAGCTCAGCATCCAGGTATGGGAGGAGCTTGAGTGAATCTTTCATTGTTCTTTTACTATCGTTTTATGTCTATGTCCTTTGCGTTCCTGGTTCGACCAAAAGTTAACCTTGCAGCGAGACTTCCCAAGATGCCTCATGCAAATAGTGCAAGCTCTAATGTGGAAGCGCTGTAAGCAAAAGTGTGTGATATATTTTCCTGAATAACTTCTACTAGAGGTGCGTAAGCGAGAAAAATATATTAACTTCGCCACAATTCTTATGTGCAGTGATGATAAAACTGTTAATGTTTATAGTTCTATGGTTGCCCTAGTACCCCATAATGAATGTGCAGATGGATATGTTGTGTTCACACGTGTAATAGTCCACGAAAAAGTACATGCCCCCCCCCCCCCCTTCGTCAAGAGCGAATGGATTGCTCAACTGAGATCTACCTCGTACGCCAAAGTCCCCAAGTTGCTCAAAGACAGATCATTTGATATAGACTTAGTGCTATGGAATCAAAATAGGTGTTGTCACTATGCTTCTCAATGAAATCTTTTCCAAGTTTATGGGCTCATTAATTCTGATTTTTTCCAGGCTGGGAACGTTTTAAGCCAGCTTCTCGAGATATGGTTGGACAAAGTAAGCAAAATAATAACATGTAGAAATTTGAAATGCTTCCATCTTACATTTTTTGGTGGCTGACTTAGTGTTGATTTTGTCGTTTTTATATTCATTGCCTAAACTGATTCTTAACAGAATTACGGAAAGTTGTATTGAAATGTAAAGAAAATTTTTTCAATGTTGATTGTTTCCTTTACGGTGTTACTTGAAACCAGTGATTGTTTCATTATGAGAATGACATTATTGCCTTCATATTTGTCTTTTTTTGTGTAGATGGATTGCATGACACGGTTTGAACGAAGGAAACTCACAGTGCTGTCACTGATGACGCTGCTGCCGTTGAATGTGCAGTAAGACAGTTTTTTTACTTATTAAAAAGTCAAGGGAAAGGGGCAGTGGTGATTTGAGCACCATACACCCTTTTATTTGTTCATTAATTGTGCTTGGTGTATTCTTAAAAAGGCGAGCGCCAAGCAATGATATTCATTTTAATTTTCGCAACAGCAATTGTGTCATGCAAAAGTTTGCAATCATTGTGGATGCAGCTGTTGATGTCCTACATGAGATTCACAGAGTGGAGGACGGCGGAACGCATACTGAGTGAGAAATTGTTATTCTTTATGAAACAGGAACATTCACTTGTGATAAACATAATTTCAGGAAGTTCATATTTCATGACATTTATGTCATTTTAATACCGCAGCGTTAAGATTGTTTTTTTTTGTTTTCTTGCTGCCTATTGTCTTCAATGAAGTAAAAGCTTGTTTCATTTAATTGATGGTTTAATTGGGAAAGTGTTACGAATTTCATAAAGCTACTTAACTCAAACCTCTTTACATTCGCCACCAGAGGGGAGAGGAAAATGACCATGCGATAGTCGAGCCGTTGTAGGATTTAGTGTTGTAATATTACACCTTCTTTTTAGAACGAGTACGGCGTAATACAAAATTTATCCAATGCAAGTACAGCAGAACAATATTATATCGTGACATCGAAGTCTAGCTTGCCTACTGAGAAGTTGTTGTTCGACCAGTCACCATAAAGGTTATCTTGTCAATAATGGTAATAGGACCGAGTGGAATCCAATTTTTTCCTGTAATCATACGAGTGATTAACAAAATCGGACGACCGCGACCCGGTACAATTTGTAAATCACAAGTTCTACCAGTTTATCATAACTGTTACAATTTCGGAAAAAAACAAATACATTTAGGACATACATCTCCGGTAGAGACAACGTCTAAGGTAAAAAATTCCTCCATTCTGAAAATTCCCCTTTCTTTTTTGCTATGGTTATTGTGATCAATTCTGTGATTGGTAAATTTAGCTGAGTGGACTCAGTATGACTGGCTGCTTTAATTGTCCGATATACAGCCAACTGTCCGATTACGACTATACAGAATGATAAGTGAAAAATAAAGCAGCTAATACACCAGTCACGTTTGAGGAAATTGCAGTGGTTATGATTATTACTGGTATCGTGTTAAATCCATATAGAGGTTGTAAATATGACGCATTTATAATATTAAGTAGCTCCAATATGAAATGATGCGTGATATTAACTTTAACATTATACTTAGAAGGAGTGGCTGTTACAACTTCAAGTACTACGAACTTTTGTCTTTACTATGTTTAAGAATCACAATGGGAATATTTTTCTCTGTGATAGTATTGTTTACATTAGAGGCAATTGAGGGTTATCAATTCGGTCATCCTTTCTCCTGTGTGTTTTAGTTGTTTGGTGGTGCTTGTTGGAGATGGCGATGATGGTAACGAACACACCGAGGAACAAAAAAGGAAACGAAAGGTAATATTCGAACTAGACGGGAAGAACATCATAAAGAAGTTTCCATAGGATCGTTCCAGAACATACATAGATGACAATCCTTGATAAATTTTCTTTAGACGGATCGAAGTGAAATTCTATTCACTTATTGGCTTTTTACTTCGTTTAAATTCGAATTAGCTTTATAACTCACAGACTTTTTACATTGAATAAAAAAGCGGCATACAAAACATTCTACTAAGGTGGAATAAAAACGTCAATTGAATTTAAAGGGAAGATCACTTTTTCTGTAATTGCAACGAGAAAGTTTTTTAGAGAAAGCTTGAAAAATACAACCTTGAACAGATTCCAACCCTTCACCTTTCTGTGGTACTCAGATAATGAGCTTGACAGCTGAGCTATCAAGCCACTAGATACCAGCTCCAAGTTTACCTCTAATTCAATTTTGCAAGATTGAAAAGAACTCCTGAAGTATTGTGGTTCGGTGGTGAAATGTGTCCTAAGGAATTTCGTCCTTGATTGACGATTGTGATTGTTTAACGAGTAAAAAGGGTCGCAGTCAGATACACTTCAGTACTTTGTTTTGAATTTTTTTTTCGATTCGTTTCATGGTAATGGGAAAAATAACAAAAAAAAGTTAACAAATAATCTGGAAAGGTAAGAGGAAAGCCAAGATATGGCGGAATAAGTTCTCAGCTATTCATGTTAATTTCAGTAAACAAAATCAATCTATCTGTGTTTGCTTACGACTCTGTTTTTCAGCTGAGCTTATCAAGTCCTGTGCACTGCTTTCCCTTGTGGAAATTCGTTCGAGACAAACTTCAAGAGTGTCGCTCAGTTTATGGACATGAAACCTTCCAGTACGCAATGGACTCCATGGACTCCGCTGTGGTCACTCAGCTTGGCACTTTTATAAACCACTAGAGCACTTTATTTCATCAGTAGAGGCGAATTTAAGAAAAAGCTTTCCGGCGTTAAACCTCAAGCACACTAAAATATTTCAACGTACCGTTGAGCTTCGGTTCTGCAGGAGTGTGTTAGTTGTCCTCCGTTTGAAACGTTGCTTCCGGGAAGCTGGTGTTTCTGCAAAGGTTGATCGAGGAAATGTGGAGCTGTATACGAACTGATACGTTAACCACTGATTAAGTCTGAATGCAAATTTTATGTAAAGGTGCGTGGAGATTCAATGTCCAATTCAAAGTCGTGAATTTAGTTTCAGTGTTTGTCAACCAGTGACATTCTCCATTCCTCGATGCTAAGACGTAATTAGATTCTTATATATATTTCGTGCAAAATCAGCGAGCACCACTTACAAATAAATAAAGTGAACCCTCTCAGACTTTAAGTAAAGACTTAAACTGCGGTTTGAATACTTACAAAAGCACAAAGAGTGCAAAGAATCCTATATAAACTATCAGAGAGTGACTATAAAGTACAGCCTACTGTTCCCATTCAATCTTCCTACTCTCTATCTTTTATAGGGAACTTATACGCGATGAAGGTAATTGTGCATCCCACAACAAGTGACTCGAGATAAACTGCATCAGCGCCATTAGCGATCGGCCGAGATCAAATAGTTGCATGTGTTTTTTTGTTTTGTTTTGTTTTGTTTTGTTGTGTTGTATCCTCGTTCCTTAGTGGAGCGAGAGATTGTCTTGAGGGTCTCCAATAGGCTTGTTCAATCCCGTGATCCCGACTAAAATTTTCTCTCAATCCGTAATCCCGATGGTTTATACCGGCAAATCTTGATCGAGGATCGCTTTCATAATCGTTTCTTCAACCACAGTTCACGTTTATATGATTTTCATATATTTTCAGTTATTTATTCACTACTTGGAGGGTTTATTTAATTTTACTTGAGCTCAGTGAAATATATGAAACGCCACAACGAATCACGCGCACCCTAGTCGAAGACGAAATAGAGATCTCGTCAATATCCTGAAAATGGGAGGTATTTAAGCATTGTCCAAGGATACACATCGAACCAACATGCTGCCAATCTGCCTCGTACTTGGTCAGTAGTGATGCCTTCCCACGAATTCCGTACCCATCCTTCTTCAAGTTGATGGCAAGAAGAGAATAACTTTTCGCGCAGGCTCCATAGACGAAACCAGCATCAACCATGTGAATAGCCTCAAATTAGAAAGGGTTTTGGTTCTCAGCATCCCAGACGTTGATCTGGTCTGAGTGGAATTCTATCGCTTCATAGTCGCGTTTTAACTCAGTGATGTGTTTCTCAATACGAGACTTCATTTCGACAACAGTTCCGCCAGGAGCAAGGCCGAGTACATTTACTTTCTCGAACACTTCGCCACGGTTCCTTAGTTTATTGACATCGACGCAAAGGCTTCCTTTGACCACCTCGTGGAATTTGATCGGGCCGTCATTACTAGCTAGAAATACGACATTGTTCCTAAATTGGACTTCTTTGACAGCAACAGACTCTTTACGAACCTCAACTTTTTGAACTGGATTGTGCAACTGAGCTATATTCAAATTTGATCAACTCGTTTATTGTTTCAGGGTGAGAAACGGCAGGCTACTGAAGGGAGCTACGGAAATATTTATGAGATGAGGATACATTCCCACTTAGTTGTAAAGTGATCCATTTTTGGGATAATTGTGTGGCTTACGAAGTCCAGCTGCTGGAGGTACTCGATAAGTTTTTATCAGCCTGATTACTCCCGCTGGATCCTGGCGGTCTTTGCTTGGTACATGATCATTTCGGGGTAGCAACTTTCGCATTGTCTTCCTTACTTCAGGACTTGCCTTGTTTCTTAAAGTTTTGAAAATTGCCAGATTGACCCTCTCGTTTTCGAGCTTCAAGTACCAATTAGCAAAGCCAGCTTTGAGACTCTCGTTGACGTGAACACTGTCTGGTAATGGTATAACCAAAGACAAAGACTGGTCTCCTGTGCCCTTTTCCAATTCTACTAGGATATCTGACATAGCCTTCTTGGGTTTCTTTTATAGGTTTCCTAACATGGTAACGAAAAAAACGTAACTTACCTAACTGTTTCCCTGAGAGCCTTTAAGGAGACCATATTTCGTGAAAGCTGAGCCCGAAATTTTTCTTTCCGCAGAAAGCAAATCCGCCCTTCCCTTTCTCTTAAAAGATTGCCACACAACTTATTACGTCCATTATGCCGAAGTCCGATTCCTCGCTTTCGATAGTAGCTGACATCCTCTATTTTCCTCGCACCGATTAATAAATTGGTTGGTCACCAAGAAATCAAAGGTCACTATTACAGGACAGGGCAAGGCTAAGAATGTCCAGATATCACCAAGGGGTCGCAAAGAAAACAACAGCAAAGGGCAATGGCTGTGTACATGGCACGTGCCTAGATAAGAATGTCAACCTTTGTGCAGCTTTTTTTGGCCTCCCTTTTTATTTCCCGAGTCCCGCCCCTTAAAATCGTCGATTCCTGTGTCCCGTTCATAATAACAATCCCGCATCTTGCTCCCTTCTTTCTCTAGATTCCCGGATCCCGGCCTTCAAATAAGCCTAATCCCGGATCCCAAAAAATTTATTGGGGACCCTCAGCAGACTACTGTCGAGTCAAACCTCAAAGCATAAGGAAGCAAAACAATATTGCCTTAGGTGTCTGAACCACTTCTCAAGCAAAAAAAGTTTGCACTCCATGAAGAGTATTGCTCGAGAAACGAGGCAGTCAGAAACGAGATGCCAGATAAGGATAGCATAATTAAATTCAAGAATCATAACTGCTCAATGACTTATGGTCAATGGTTTATGCTGACTTTTAGGCATTTACCAAACCAGTAAGTGATTATGAGCCAAGTAGTGATGATAGCTTCACAAAGAAATATCAAAAGCACAAACCATGCGGGTTCTGCTATCAAATCTTCCATTTCACGGCTTTATTCACAAGAGCCAGTCATCTATAGGGAAACAGCGAGGATGAAGATGTTGCTCAGATCTTCGTTGAAATCAAGAATATTCATAGGGAATTCGATTTTGCTAAGATGTTATTCACAGATGAAGATAGGCGCGAGTTCCATGATGCAACACACAGCTGGATCTGCAGTGATGGCTATTAGCGGCCTGGCCAAAGGCTGATGAGGTGAGATACCACTGCCATTTCACAGGGAAGTCGCGTCGAGCAGCCCACTACAAATGCAACCTTCAATTCATCTTTCACAACTTGGCTGGTTATGATTCTCATCTATTGGTTAAGAATCTCGGCAAGACTGAAGGAAACATTAAATATATTCCAAATAATGAGGAAAAGTACATCAGTTTTAGCAAAGATGTTGTTGTTGACAGCTCTAAATTATTTATTGCTTCTTCCCTCAATAGTTAAGTCGCAAACTTGAGTCATGATAAGCTTAAGGAAACCATGAGAAACTTCAAAGGTAAAATCGACTTGATCCCGCAGAAAGGTGTGTACCCATATGATTACACGAGCAGCAATGAAAAGTTCAATGCAACAGAACTGCCATCCAAAGAAGAGTTGTACCCTAAGCGGAACGACTGTGATATCTGATGAAGATTATGAGCATGCAAAGAAGGTCTCGAAAGAGTTTGACATGAAGGCGATAGGTAATTACCATGACCATTATCTCAAAACGGATGTTCGCCTACCGGCAGACGTGTTTGAAGAATTCAGAAAGGTCTGTCATGAGAATTATAAGCTCGACTCTGTTTAGTAGTACACCACTCCTGGATTGGCTTGAGATTCTGCCCTGAAAGAGACGAACGATGAGCTTGAATTACTCACTGATGCTGATATGTTGTTTATGATTGAATCAAAGTGCTCTGTGAGCAAACTCGTGAATTGACATATGATTTTTTGGATTACGTTTAATGTTATCTGGTTTAGGGAATTTTGTGTTTGATTGTCATATCTAGAGTACGAGCAGTAGTTCAGTGTTCGCTAATGTAGCAGAGAAACAAAGTAACGTTGGGATAAGAAGGCATTACAATTGAAATTATCATGCTATTGCATTTGACAAGGGTGGATGATGTCATGTGTTTTAAACGTATATCATTTCTGTTTCTGGTTCAAAAGAAAAGGTTGTAAGTAAATGTGGGTGAAAAGTGAAATTTACTGAAAATATTAGAAAATCAAGGCAAAACTTTCTTAATGAAAACATTATCGATTCCCTTTTTATCAAATGAGTCAAACGGGAACTAGTTTTGAGTGATATAACTAAGCCAAGACTGACACCATCATTTTGGATCTCCGCCTAGGTAGATTTTAGTCACGTGCTAGGCAACGTATAATCAATAACAAGATAGAATTTCATTTCAGGCCTATTTATCAATTTTGTGGTGTATACCTTTCGCATTTTAGTACGTAATATGTATTTTGAATCTTCAAATTGTCCTAAAACTTAAAAGAAAATTGTTCTTTAAAAATTCACTGAAAATCGGTAGCTAAAATTGTTTGTTTAGGTGTTATTTGATTTTCGTGTTAACTTGTAATTTCGTTAGTCGCCGGCATATTCTGTTGTTTCACACAGGAAAAACACACGATACGAAACGTAATGATCGATTTTGTCCTCAATCTCACGCCGTAACAAAAAAGCTTTTGAACATCTGTAAACTTTTAGCACTTCGCAATAAGTGATATTTTCAAAAAAATCTTCGGATTGTTTTCAAGTTCAAGGCTGGTAAATTACAATTTTATGAAAAACGAAGGTTGTTCTGTTATTTCAGTGTGAATCCTTGCATGCCTGCCGGTCGCTGGCGCCACTTGTTGAAACAAAAACGAAAAAAAAAATTATTTTAAGATTATCATTGGCTTCTTTGTCACCCCACCACTATTCTTAGCAACAAAGGTCGCCATTTCGTTTGTTTATTGCTCGCCAAAAACTATCAATTGCACTCAAAAGCCTAAAATCGAAAAAACGTTTACAGGAATCGACCAATCGAGCGAGCGAACGAGCCATTCCCCACATCGTATCTACAACTCGCTCTTGCGCATGCGCGCAATTCACGAGTTAAATAGGAATTTTGGGAGGTGCTTTAATGATATCAAATCGCTTTGGAAGGACAAATGGCCCATATATGGGTGAAGCTTATGATGAAACAAAGCCAACGAAATTCATCACCTATCTTGACGCGAAAAGTCTCTGTGGATGGGCAATGTGCTGGCCTCTTTCTGTTAAAAATTTCAAAAGTGGATTTCTGACTTAACTGGATAAATATTCCTTGCTCGACCCTGCTTGGTATTACATCGGTCCTGGATTGGCTTGGGATGCTGTATTGTCAAACGTTGAGCTTAAATAACTCACCGATGCTGATATGCTGTTGATGATTGAAAAGGGAATTCTGGGAGGTGCCTCAATGATATCAAATCGCTTTGGAAGGGCAAATAATCCATATATGGGTGAAGCTTATGATGAAATAAAGCCAACGAAATTCATCACCTATCTTGATGGGAATAGTCTCTATGAATGGGCAATGTGCTGGTCTCTTCCTGTTGGAAATTTCAAGTGGATTACTGACTTTGATAACTGGAGAAATATTCCTTGCATTCTTGAGGTAGATCTTGGGTACCCAAAAGAGCTTCACGACTTGCATAACGATTATCCACTTGCTCCTGAGAGATTGATCATTAATGGAGTAGAAAAACTGATTCCAAATCTGAATGATAAGGATATCTACATAGTTCATCACAATACACTGAAACAATATCTCGATCTCGGTTTGAGGATCAAAAAGATTCATAGGGATATAAGTTTTGAAGAAGAGCCTTGGCTCAAGAGCTATATCGAGCTCAATACAAACCTGCGAAAGTAAGGAATGACTTCAAGAAGTATTTTTTCAAGTTAATAACAACTCTGTCTCTGGAAAAACTATGGAAAACATCAGGAATCGTGTGGATGTGAGATTAGTCAACAACCTCAAGAAAACATTGAAACTTGTAGCAAAACCAAACTTCAAGCATTGCACAATATTCAATAAATATCTCGTTGCGATCCAAGTGAAGCAAACCAAGCCGATGTTTGACAAACCGGTCTATTGTGGAATGAGCATCCCCGACTTCAGGAAGACTCTGATGTATGACTTCCACCAATAACTACATCAAGAAAAGGTACGGAGGTCGTGCAAAGCTTCTATTCTTAGACATTGACAGTTTTGCCTATGAGAAAGTGACTTTTACAAGGATATAAGCGGTGATGTAGACACATGCAACTTCCCCAAGGATCACCCTTCTGACGCTCCTACGAGCCACAACAAGGAAGTCGTGGGAATGATGAAAGATGAAGCTGGTGGAAAGATCATTGAAGTGTTTGTCGGATTTAAAGCAAACCTTTACAGTTATAAGATGTTTGAGGGAAAAGAGGAGAAGAAGTGTAAAGGGGTAAAGAAGTCTGAAGTAAAGAAGAAGATAACTCAGGATGACTACAAGGAGCACTTATCTAGCGGAAACATTCAAATGAGGAGTATGAATGTAGTCAGTTCGCATGTGCATGAGGTCTTCACTGAGAAGACAAGCAAGTTAGCTTTGAGTGCAAATGATGATAAGAGAAAAATAAAAGAATACAAGATATCAACTTTTGCTCATGTTCACTATCAATTACATCGATAAAAATATGGATACTGATAATATATCATTCAATGCATTGATAATCTGACCAACCAACTCAGGAAAGAGAAGATACCTGGTCAATCTCTTGAGCACCACCTTCCAAGGAAATTTTGATTACATCATTATCCTCTGTCCAACGTTCATTCACAACGAGACGTAATGATGGCTTTGCAAAAGATGATAAGGACTTATTTCTTTTATATTATTAGTTACATGTATGAGGGAACAAATACACTGATCGTTCTCGATGATCGTGCTGCTTCGAGAGATGCGGAGCAGAGGACGAATGAACTCGTGAATTTGGCATTCAGCGCAAGACAAAACAGAATCAGTGTTTGGGTCCTCACACAACAGATGACAAGCATCGCAAAACCATTCAGAAAGAACACTACTGCATTAGCTCTCTTTTACACGCCATCTGGCAAGGATATGAAGATCATTTTTGAGGATTAGGCGGGTGAGTCGAAGAATGATAGAAAGAAAGAACTGATGGTGAAGCTCAAGAGTGAGAAGTATTCACATCTTATATTCTCACTTCCTCATCTCTTCCGTATAAACTTTGAAAGCTAGCAAATAAAATGGATATTAATGAAAAAGACGCTGTTAATGATGTTCTGAATATTCTCGTGGTTGAACCAGCAAGTGATTCAGAGCCTTTGACTGGGTTACGTAGCGGCTATCATCGAAAGAAAATCGCTGTTCTTGTTGTAAGTGGAAAAGAGAGGGAAATAATTAGTGTATCTTTCACTCAAGATCAAATCAAGAAGCTTCCGGAACAAGATGTTGAGAAATACATAAAGAGATATGAGACTTCGTGATCTTCAAAGACTTGCAATGCAATGGTTGATACATTTCTTCAGCTGTCATGTAAAGCATCGGCTCATTTTCTCCCTGTTGATGAAGGAAAACGTCTAAAGGACTTGAATGATAACCTCATGGTAAAGAGAGAACTCAGAGTGATTGCTGGTGGATCAAGTCTGAAGTATGGGAGGTACGTGGCAATCACAGTTACTGCTCTTCTCACTGCCAAAAACATTGAAATATCCTTCAAGTCATCTTCGGTCAGTGATAAGGAAATAGATGGTATTTGTGAGGAAACTGTTATAATACTTGTATACTGATATAGTACATGTGTAAGTATTTGAATGAGAACTTGTGTAAATATTTACATAATTACTTGATAAGACTTGAAATTACGTATCAACAAATAAAATGGATGGTAAAGAGCCTAAGACTGAAGAAGCACCGGCTCAGCTCTTTGGGTCAGGGGCACAATCATTGAGACTGCCTTAATATTTTATCTCAGTGATATAGAAGAAGAAATTTGTCAAAGGTTACTTGATGAATAATTGTCGTAGTTTTCGAAAATAATGATGAAGATCTGGAGGATCTTAGCCCCAGAGGGCTGGGCCGCAGAGCGACAAGCCGTGAGGGGCCGGGCCTTAAAGAGGCAAGCAACAAAGTTGTAGATAAATAAGATGGCAAGCATAGCAACAACGATTGGTGGAGCACTCATCCATCTCTGCTGGTGGAAGCTATCTTGTAAAGTTTTTGAGTGAAGACCAGATTGAAGAAGAGAAAAAGAGGCATGATATTGCCGTGGAGAAGTACCGAGTGGCCTATGAAAAGAATCAAGAAAATCGAACAAATTTCCTTGATTGGATTGCAACTGTCAGAGTCAAGGAGCAGGCAAAACAGAATTTTTGGATGCAAATTATGCTTTGAAGCTGCACAACAAGACACATAATCAAGATCTTGATCCAAGGGAACCACAACTTTCTGACTACCACAAGCCGAGTACTCCGCCAAAGCAAGGTGAATTGATCTACGTCGGAGGAATGGCTTTAGCTTTGGTTTTATTAAAACACGGCTTAATTAATTATTTCATTATTTTTTAAAACACGGCTTAATTATATTATTTTTCAGGGCTCTGGTAAATCCTTTGGATTTTTTTTATATTGAATCTCCAAATGCAGTTCATCAAGCTGATCTTCTTTTCCTTCCTCATGACAAGCTCCCCAAGGCTTTAATTCCTAAAGTCAAAACAGAATCTGCCAAAAAGGAACATCTTATACTGGAGCCCGAGCTTTCAATGACTTGCCACTGCGTCTAAAGGAAGTTGACTCTATGATGATTTTTAAAACACAGCTTAATGACATGATTTTTCAGGGTTCTGGTAAATCTTTTGGATTTTTATTAATTTATTTAGTTATATAATTCTTAGTTTTATGCATCGACATTGTGCATAGTTTTTAAACTTTTCTGATGGATTATCTGTTATAGTTATTGTTTCTTTAATTGTTAATTTTTTAGTTCCCCAGGGCACCCATTTATAACAGCTTCAGCTGACGGGTTTACCCTGGTTAAATATGTTATTATTTTTATTTAAGAAGAAGGAATGGGAACGTAGATCAGGGAATTGTTGAGCGATTCAATTGAACTTTGGGTGAGCGTCTCTTCACTTTCCAATACAGTCAAAAAATGAACTTCAAAGAGGGAAAAAGATCAACTGAATGGGTGAAGAGGCTTCCAGAAGTTGTACTAGCTTTGAATAGTGAAGTGACCAGGTTGATTGGAAAGAAATCTGTCGACGTAAGCAAAGAGAAGAAGTTTGACACGAAGAGTTCAACCACTTATTAAAGATCAGTTGGCTTGAAGGAGAAGAGAATGGACTCTTCAAAGATTTTTAGATATACCTGTGCTGCTGGTGAGCTGGAAGGTGGTCAGAGGCGAGTCACAGGTCTAATCAGGTCTCTGAAGGTCTTCAATATCGAAAAATCACTTGTGAATAAAGGCGAGCCAGTTCTCTGCTATCTGAAGGGTGGTCCAAAGCAAGGATTCGTCAGAGAAGAGCTATTAATTGTTCCTCCTGGAACTGAGTTGCCTCCTGAAGGAATTCTTTGATTTGAAAGAAACCATTAAAAGAGGGTGATTGTCAATGGACCCAAGCCCCGAATGGGCAGGCCGTGGACTGGTAAGCTCTTCGAGTCAGGGGCCGCTTTGCAGCCCAAAGAATCCTTCTCATTTACAAAGACACTGTTTTGGCAGAAGAACAAATCAAGGCACACCACAACTTCTTTGTGAGGAGAGATGACTTTGATATTTGAAAATCTTCACAACACCCCAGTGGCGCAACAAGAGAATCGTTCAAGAAAATCGTTAAAGAAGATAATATACACCCTCTTCAGAACTCACAGGTGAGACAATATTATTCACCTATGAAAAATTAAAGTTGCCTTGAAATCAAGGTCGATTTGAGAATGTGCAAAAACTGTCTTTTTGTGTCTTCAAAATGTGTCAGAATCCCCCTTTCATATCTACTAATGCAGGAGCCTTCCACATTACCTGTACAGTCATATACTATGAGATAAATGAAAAAAAATTAACTTGTGTTAGTGGAACTATTTTAAGTACAGTACCGCCTAGTGACAAAGATAAATGATTTCCTGTAAGCATGAATGTCTGGGAGACGTTATGGTGGTAATTGACCCTATTTTTGCTAGGATGCATGAGGTTTGATGATTGTAACGTTTTTTTTTTTTGTTTTAGCTTTCAAACTTTCACCTTTGTATTAATTGTAACTGTTTACCATATCTATTTCTGTGTACCTTAAGCCCTCAAAAGTCGTGGCAGGTGAGTCTATAACCTGATTTCCTCTGTTTGGAATGTTTCGATTATATGATTTTGCTGTGTAAGTTACTACATTGTAACATGTAATATTATTTATATTTAGATTGCATTAAATACTCTTGCTCAAGCTTGCAATAGTGCATTGCATTGGTTTCTCACCAATGCTCATACCTAAACTAAACATTGATAGAAGGAATTGGTCACAAGATATTCGAAACACATCCCCTTTAATGTTCAGGGCTCATAGATGAAGAGAAAGTTTTTTGTATTTTGATGCATAAAAGTTAAATCAATTGGCGTCCACGCATTGCACAATGCCTGAATTTAAATGCCTTAGCTTTCTAGGTTAAAAAAATTAAAATAAGAGAGTTGTGCAGACCATATCCTACTTTTTATCCCCCTCTGGATATTTGCTCAAATAAAATAGTCACTATTAGTCTTATTCACTCTCGCTGTCCACTTAGCTTGAGGGAAAGATGATAACCTCAGACTTTTTTTAATTAAGAAAGGAAAGCCTACGCTCTTATCACATATAGTTGTTTTGCGCATGAGCAAATAACTATTCTAAAGCACTCTCTTAAGATTAAAACTAATGGCTGAGCCAGGGCTGTGGTTTGCTAACAATTCTCGATCGAAATAAGTTATTTCTTGAAAAACGGTCATTTTTTCCCATTTTCAATACTAACCCGGTCAAATGAATACTTGAAGGTTATTGTTCCGGGTAGGCTAACCTTATAAATTAGTTGTGAAATTTTTTTTATCCTGCTGTCGCATGAAAGTTTGACTCAATTTAACCGGACTAACCTAAACTGGATAAATAGAAACTTGAAATGCATTTGTTCTCCCTTGATGTGTACATCAAAGTTTTGAAGTCATGGGAGGCTTAAAATATTGGTTTATAAGAAATCTGCAGGCACATGTGCTTTTAACATGAAAACCGGGATTATGACTACTTTGAATGACTCTACTACTTGCCACACAGGTATAGGCAGCCAACGCTGAATTCTAATTTTTTAATCAAATTTTATATTCTTTTTAATATTCTTAGATCTCCTAGTACTCAGTAAATATTAAAAAATTGAAATAATTACATGAAATCTTGCAGATGTATGGCACATGATTTTTTTCTCTAACCCTACTAACATTTTACGTGTAGGGATTTGTATTAGCTTAAAAGTATAGTCAAATTAAAGTTTTGTGTACAGCCTTTGTATCAAATTTATGTAATCAAATATTCTATCCTTCTTGAAACTAGTTTATCACAATAAGAATGAGTTACCAGGCACAAGCATGGCTTTTCACGATGATAGTTTCCCGTTGTAAAAAAAAAAGTCACTTTGCTTGCTAAAATCCTCTGTTCCTTTGCCCTGGCAGCCCAACCTCGTCAAAACATTGGCAACAGGAGCGATTAGCAAATTAATGTAACAAATAAGTGAGCCTATTCCCATATACACACTCTTCAATCCTGTTAGCTTATTCTGGACATGAAATTTTAAACACGGCCTATATGCCGCAAATTTTTGCTTTCCCTGACTTATTATTTCGTAATGGTGTTTCTAGCACAAGTCGTGGTAAATGGTTGGTTTGAAATACAAGAAAGTAAATTCCTTCTGGTAAATTCAATCGTTTGCAAACATGAGAGAAACCATCCAAAACTTTTCAACCTCTTTAGTATAGCCAATAACAACATCAATTCAACAAACATGAGAGAAACCATCCAAAACTTTTCAACCTCTTTAGTATAGCCAATAACAACATCAATTCAACAAACATGAGAGAAACCATCCAAAACTTTTCAACCTCTTTAGTATAGCCAATAACAACATCAATTCAACAAACATGAGAGAAACCATCCAAAACTTTTCAACCTCTTTAGTATAGCCAATAACAACATCAATTCAACTTTTTTTAAACTAAAGAGATAACTTGTTTGACGTTTGGAATTGATTTGTGTGATGTACAAATGAAATCCAGGTATTAGCGCACGTCTTCTACAAGTGTCTTCGTGGTCGAATCCTAAGTTTCTCTTCGCCATCAAGCTTTAACTCATGATATCCTAGTTCTAGCTTGTCCTCCTTCAAATCAAACTTTCGCGGCGCAAGAAACATGTTTCGTTTTTCAGTACCTAGATCGTGGACAGTTGGCTTAAAGACAGTTACGTTATACGCAGTCACAGCAGAGGTTACCCGATGGAATAACAGAAAAAGTCTCAAAAAGACGCCTTTAAACACGGGTTGAAAATGACTTTTCTTTTTAATATTATACTCTTAATAGAGGAGGTTGAAACGTTCAGGAAGGACGGTGGAGCGAGCAGTCATATCGGGCAACTTCAAGAGAAGATATAAGGGACCCCATACGATTCTGGCGCATTGTTTTACTGACTCACTGTTCTCACGTGTATACTCTTTAATCGACGGGTGATGTCTTAACTCGAAGTTATTTACCGTCGTTTCTTTTATCAGTTACGCTCAATAGCATATAATGTCAACTGATACCGACATCGTACAGTACATCTGAAGAAGAAAACATTCCTTATTTAGGGAAATTTGCTTAAAACATCAGGAACATAGCCAGTCATCAGCCGCTTGAAACTACCGCTGACTAGCATGCGTGTTGATCGCTTTGCAAGTTGTGAGAACATTATCCCTCGGTTCCAGACCCCATCAATTCTCCTCCCCACTCAAACCCCCTTTGACTGGTTCCTAAATTCCCTTGAAGAAACTCTTCGACGGCTGGTGCTGAAGAGTTTAATTACAGTTTTTATTATATTGAAGGGCTGAAAACTCAAATTAAAAGAGCTTCGCTTTTGGGCTTGGCTAAATCTATATATTATCTATATTTATGTTAATCACGTTTACAGAAAAAAAACATTCCTTGACGCTTTGTGCAAGTGTTTCCACGTCAAATTAATAAAGAGGATAAGTTTCTGAAGAAACTGTGGTACTGCGTCGTTGGAAGAATATAACAGGGTAATTTAGTGTTATCAAATGAGTTGAAAACGTAAATTGGCCACCGTTGAGAGTTTAAAGGCTGACGTTTCGAGTGTTAGCCCTTCGCCAGAGCTATTGGAGGAATTGTGGGTTATGTGTGGGTTTATATATAGAAAATGGAGTTACGCTTTTGGTGGGAATATGATGACGAGAAAACAAGAATACATTAGTTGAATGAAAAGCGCTCGTTGATACCGTGGGGATTAAGAGTGCCGATTTTGAAGATAAATTTTTGCTTAGGGTTAGCAGCTCTCCGAATTGCCTAGATATAGGAAAAGGCCGCAAACTGCCATATGCTGTTTGGAATGATTAGGGAGATTAAAGTGTCTAGCGACTGGTTTAGATGCGTCCTTGTCATTTCTTTGTACGTCGCGAAGGTGTTCTCGGAATCGGTCACCTAGTCGTCATCCTGTTTCACCAATGTAACTTTTTGCAATGAGTGCAAGTTATGCAGTAAATGACATTGGCGAAGTGCACGTAAATTGATCAATGATCTTAATGGATCTCTTGGGTCCCGACAATTTCTTTATGTTATGAGTCAAAGGAAGAGTTTTGCATCGTGAGCGAGCGCATTCAAAAGTTCCAAGTTGCTCATTGGTTTGAAATGAACCTCTGACCAAAAAGTTGCCTATGTTTTTGTCACGTTTGAATGAAATTGGTAGAGGTTGCGAAAAAATAGTACCAGTCTCTGAATCGTTTTGGAGTTGTTTAAAGTTTTTAAGAATGATGGATGTAACTGCGTAGTTTTGAGGGTAAAATGTGGGAGTGAATGGAATGTGATCAGTGTTTTCCTTCTCAGCCGTTTGTAGTGCTGACTGTCGATCAAGTTGTTGGGCGCGGTGGTGACCCGCTTGAACGACAGTAACAGGATAGCCACGTTTATCGAAAAACTGGCACATTGCCTCTGATTTTTCGGAAAATTCGGAGTCGTCACTACTTAAAAGACGAATTCTGAGAAACTGTGAAAATGGTATGGAATTCTTGACGTACGATGGATGCGAAGATGAATACAACAAGTAACTATATGAATCTGTAAGTTTGTAGTAAACACTACTGCATAGACTGTTGCCTTAAATTGAAATTTTGATGTCTAGAAAAGTCATAGAAATGTCGGAGGTTTCCCAGGTTTGTTTAAGAGCCGGGTGAAAGGAATTGACGGCGGTTATAAATTGAGTGAGCTCCTCTCTGGTAGAGGAGGTAGCGCCGATGTAGTCGTCTTCGAAGTTAAGTTTTCGCTTGGCTGGCCAAATTTTGTACCCTTTATGCAATGATTCCCCCTTTGTTTCTTTCCTTTCGAGGTATTCTAAGCGAACGAACGCACCACGGATGTCGTGTCGGACTTTTTCAGGAGTTAAAGGCCTAGGAATACATTGGGTGTTGTCGCTGTAATTCCCAGAGTCCACGATGTGGACATAAACTTTTGTAAACACCTCTTGAAATCAGAATCGTGCAGTCGCATCGAGCTGCCCTATTTGTTTTGCTTGTCGACAATATTAAAGCTAGCGCCATATTCGCGTCAAGATCTCGCGTGGTCAAAAAAACCCTATAGAGCCTCCTTAATTTCCTTCATGCCGTCCTTCATTTGTTGCGACACTTGCGACACTTATGACACCAATACCAGAGACCTGACGAGCGACACAATTCCACGTACAAGGCCTCTCCCGGCCGTGAGAACTTTTGGGCTCTGGGGACGAAATGTTTTTAAACACATTTGGGCCTACTTATGGTAGCAATTCGGTGGTTAAAAGAGACGTGGAAACTATATGGCGGGCATAAGTGAAATTTATACGACGAAAGCGATGTTAGATAGTCAGATGATGCACATTGGGAAACAAGGCAAGTGAACGGGCAGTATGCAGTTTACAGCTAAATTAGAGCTCAATTCCCTGAACAGTAAATGTAATGGCGAAACTTGGTATAACCACTTATCTCAGAGAGTATGATTTTTAAAGGCTCTTTGAAAGTAAGAAGATCGACTGAAAATATCCAGAAATAGGAAAGCATTACTGGTCTAGGAAGATGACAAGCATTGTTCAATATTTTATATGACGGCAAACACTTTTTACCAGTAGTATTGTCTCAAGGAATTTCTTGAGGAAAACTGTGAACTTCAAGGAACAGATAATGCCCAAGGACAAATATACAAGGATATTTATGGGCAAAATAGAGGCTATTGTGTTTATTATCCTTCCATTAATTTGAAACAGGCGCAAAAAAATGTTTATGAATAAGTTACTGTTTGCTGCATGGGATTTTTCCTTTTGTGTGTTCTCTGGTATCACTTTATGAACAAACAATTATTTCCCTTCTGTAACAACCATAAAATGCTCTCTCATCATGAATTGAATTTTAAACTAAGACTTATCACACTGGACGTAAGGTTTGGAAATTGTGGAATATCACTTAGGTGACGTCCTTGGATATCCCCCAGTTTTAGCTGAGGAATGTTTGGTCAGCTGATCTGTTTAGATCAATAATGAGCAAGCAAAGATATAAGATGGATCATAGCTAAGGATATACCCCAATATTCCCCAATTTTCAATCATTATGTCTTCTACAGTAATTTAGTCCAAGATGACAGATCATTTCACTATTTTTACAGAGGAATGGACATGTTTATTTGTTAATTCATACCAGAGAGCAATGAAAGGTAAACATCCCATGCAGAACAGTAAACTGTTTATTAACATCTTCCCCCTGCATTGGAGAAAATATTTGAAGGATAGTAAACCATAACCCCCATGTAGCACAAGAATATTTGTCCTAGGCCATTATTTGTTCCTTGAAGCTCACAGTTTTCTCAAGCTTTGCTCTTCAAAAACTGTCTTCATCTTGAAGCAAAATAATGTCTGTAGACAAACATCCATTTATATTTTATTGCCAAATGGAGGCTGTTACTGTTTTTCAATGTTTTTATTGTCATTATAGTGGTGAGAAACCTCAAATGAAGTAAGCTTACAAAAATTATTAAATTAATTGCCTCTTCCTCTGTTTTAAATTGCTGTTTTGCTGCAAAACTAAATTGCCATCTCTTTAATTAATTGTCTCATGATGATGGTCTAGGAATAATATTGTGAAATCTTGAAGGACTGTATGTGAAGGCTTCTGTTTGGAAATGCATAGTGTTATTTTTCAGTTGACATGGGTACTTTGGAGTTGAGCAACCAAGACACAGATTACAAATTAAGGAGAGGTATGTCAGCTTCTAAGGGTTAGCTCATTATTTTTGGATATTATGCAATCAAAGGTTCTAAAGCAGAATTAGAAACCAAGAAATTTGTTTCTTGAAGTGAGATTCCTCTCTATAACTTCATGTCTCGATTTGATTCATAATTCTGCAATTTCTACTGTTAAACAGCCAAGTTAATGCACTTTGATACAGTAAATGTGTCACACTGCATGATTTTATTGACTTGATTCAAGGGGGACAGGGGCAATGATAAAGGAAAACAGATTTTTACTGGCTCAAGTAGTGGTGTGGAGTTCTAATTCATTAAAAGCTGAGTACAAGGAGAACTCAGAGTGAAGAAGCAACATGCAGATACAGCATATAAATGAAAAGGAAACATCTTGCATGATTTTTCTATGTCCCCCTGACTATGGTAGTTTCCAATTTCTACATGGTATGACTGTGATGGAAAAGAGCTTTCAAATGTATTGGAAAATTGAGTATGATGAAAACCTTGAAAACTTTGAGACACCTCTCTTTTCATGAACTGTCAGTAAAAAAGTCAGAGTTGGCTTTTGGACTGGTGGCTTTGGAAGGAGATTAAAGGTGTCACTGAAAGTGCTGTAGCTTATACACCAGCTTCTTACTTGGATAACTTACATGTGTGTAGCATAAATGCATTATTGACCAAGGGTGAGGTCAAGATGTTTCAGTATTAGCCAAGTTCTTTTTATGCGTTTTACAAACCTCAACTTCTTCTCAGCTATTAAAACAGTAAAAAAAGCATGAGGCTTTTATGCAGTCATTTTGACTGAACAAGCTCAGTCAATAAAGGCTTTATAGCTAAAAGATCATTGCTTTATTAAGAATCAAGCCTTGTTTATTTTGAAGGATGCAAAGAAAAGCCAACTGGTTTTGCTGCACGATAAACCCACTGGAGTTGTTTATGAGTCCTTTGTCTTGACTGTCCTCTACCAATTTCTGCAAATCTATTGTCAACATTTTTAAGAATTACAAACTTTGCGTGTCTGCTCCAAGTAAGTTTTTGTTTCTTGTGGGTGATCAAAGCAAGCACTCCTGATTGGGCAAGATAAGCCCATTGGTTGGCCAATAAAAATGCAGTGGCTAAATGTTAAGGCCAGCACCAGGATGCAGCCTAGGGATTGGCCCATTAGAGGTTAGATCACTGGCACTGGCTTGTTGAGTTGCAGCTTCATAATAGTTTATTAAATCTGACATTTTATTAGCAAAATGTCAACTAAATTTCTTTTTTTCCTGTTGCTGGAACTCTTGTTATGGAGTAAACGTATCATTAAGGAGAACCTTTGTTTATAAATGCCTTGTGGGAACTGATACCCTCTCTAGTGTAAGACATTTTGTAATTAGCTAATATGACACAGGTTAGCATGCATAGAAGTTTACATTTTGAGTAAGAAGACAAATAAACATAACAATATCAAACATAATACAAACGAACAGGAATTTTCAATTTAAGTCTAGATACAGCCTTACCTGTACTTTTTTACAGGTATGTGGATGTTGTTCCTATCTGCAATGAACCATTCATTCTGCTAATTTGCTGAATTTAATTCCAAAGCTAATCTGAAATAGATTTACCAAGAGTGGGCACACATGTGCACAGATTCTTCTTGATATTGATTTATATTTGTATTAGTTTACAAGACTTAAAAGATTTTTAAACTATAAGAAATGAAATGAGGTAGAGCTGAGAAGATAGTCTAACTGGCCTTAATATGTCCCTTGCATTGATTAGCCATGGACGTTTACATGCAGTTTTTTGAAACTGAGATTGATTAGAAATATATGTATTTTCAGTAGAACTTCAGTCCAAACCTGAACTTCTTTAGCAGCGCGTTATAAATTTCCAATTAAAACTTATGTCATGTAAGGTGAGCGCACACAACGCTACACGATCTCACAAAGAGCACAAATTGTGAATCAAATAAGTCCTGATTCTGCTCTAAGCTTTCATAAGTGAAACGATTGTCCAAGCACCAAAAGTTTTTTTAAACCATAATTTAAAAGACAGTTCATAGCCTAGAAAAAAAATTATTTACGTGCCTCCACTTTCTCCATTTTTAAGGCTTCATTTTAAATTCAGAGTCGGAACTACTTTGCATTTACCTTTCTTCAGCCGTAAATGTAACGCATTTGAAATTCTGAAGGTGTTGAACTCTTGTGAATTTTCATGATCACTCATGGTAGCGTGTTAGTTTATGTAACCGTGTAAGTTGATAGGGGTCTGCCTGAGAAAGATGTCATCAAAGATGGCAGACGAAATACTTAAGTGTACTGCAACTGCTGTCTCCGTTTATTTAGCTTTCATGACGCAATTCTGCAGTAGCAGTTCTGTAGTAGTCCTATGTTCTGGCGATAACCTCGGCGAGTAATTCCTGAAGTGCTGCTGGAGCTAAGTTCCTCCAGAGTGATGTCGCCAAGAAATTCTACCCCGATTGTCTTTGGACTTTCTCCTCTGGAAAGCGTGTACCAGAGGTTTGAATAATAGCTGTTTGTTGGTGGGGTTTTCCCTTTTATCAACGGTTTTTTCGTTGAGTTGGTAGTTTATTGTATGTAAATGCTTTGTCTCTTGTGTTTTCTTTGATGGGTGGGTCAAAAAGGAGGCAAAGAAGAGTTCGGGGTTCGTCCTTCATCTTCATTGACGGACATCAACTTCATCGAGTTGTGGTAATTCAGGGTGAGCAGATACAACTGCAGCCCCTGTGAGGCTGATTTTAGGTCTTTATTCAGGTAGTTTCTAACTCCCTGGGATGTTCCGGAAAAAATGAATTAAGTGTCTTAGATTCTTCTATTTACACGGGTTAGGGTGAATTTTCTTCCCGTTTCAAATTTTTTGTCGAGAAGTCAATTAAACAATGCGAAAAATTTCTGTCTAATATTTGTCAGCCGTCTGACAAATCAAAAGATGGCAACTGCCCTAACAGAGGTTACTTTTGGATATCCTAATCTTTTGAACAAAAGACATGGCCCGCGGCGCGACCAGTTAAATTCACCTTGCTAAAATCTCGTATCGAGTTTGTTATACTTCACCTGCATCCGCGTACAGATACTGCATGCTACTGTGTAATGTGCGTGCTATGTATATCATTCAGTTACAGAAAAGTTCCTTGAAAACATTCACATGATGTTAAATGAACCGTCCGTTGGGCTTTACAGAGTACAAGAGCATGTTAGAAGGTCGTTGCCGCAGCTTGTTGATAAGAAGGTGTGTGTACAACTATTACGTAACTCAATGCGTGTCTTTGTTAGAATGGTGTATCGTGGGAATTGTAATTGCCATGAATGCTTTCCTTAATGTTACAGTGTTAGTGTGTACAATACAATATAGTCGCTATATTGAATTACAATTTCTTTCATTGCATAGATTGAGATGCAAAGCCTACAAAAGAAAGTGCAAGGAATATCTTATGATACTGACTATTCACTCAAGTATGTCCTTATGTTAAAGGTTTTCATAATGTCACGGTATAGTTTAACCGACAGAAAGAACACTTCAATCCTACCTACTCAAATACGATATTAAACAACTTGTAATATAAGGAGCGAATTGTAAAAGCAGTACACTAATTATACTCAATAACGTCACTTACCGTATTTATTCGATTAAACGCCGCGGCGTTTATTAAATTTTTCGTGATTCGAGTGCGGCGTTTATTCGAGGGCGGCGTTTATTTAAAATCCAAATCATTATTTGCAAACAATAGTATGGTAACTGGCCATCTTAATTTTGAAAAACAGAAAAATGTTTTAGTTCTTATCTTAAAAGTCATTTTTATACTGATCTCAATTTCACAATTCGCTTATTTATACTACGGCAGTACATAAAGTGAATAAAGACTTAATGTCGGATATGCTTTCTCGACATCAGAACTGGTACATTCAAAAAGATTTGTGTCTGGTTCGCTCAAAATTTCTTACTGCAATCGAAGCAATGATCGCTGTGTGCTATATGAGTCTACTATTCGAATAAACGCCGCACAGGGTCATTATAAATAACTTGAGAGGAACAGAAACGCGCAATTTGGAGTTAGCAGACTTAAAATTTAAGCTTTTTGAACCGGTTATCAGATTTTTATTGATCAGAATTATGATTTAACTGAGGATTTGTGGCATGTAGGACAGTGCCAAACCAAATATAGCTTTATATGTTAAAGTGCTATTTTCAAACTAATCGTTAAGCGAGTGGGTAGCCAATGAAGCTTTATAAGCAGCGGGGTAATGTGACCATATATCACATGTAGGCAAAAGTTCATTTTGGAGGGGTAGTATGGGAAACTTACTATTCTTCCAAGCCCAAGTCCCCATTCAAAATAGTACAAGAGATATCATGCGTCAGAGATAGTTTAAAGATCGCACGAACACCGGCACCATTTTCGTTTGCTGGCGACTAATACTTCCACATTGAATATCGCAAGAAGGAATGTATCTTTCCAAGGTAGTAACACCATGCAAAGGTATTGACAAGGATTTACATGTTATAAGGGCAAAGAAAACTGAAAGAAACCACCAAGCGAATCAAAAAGTGAACAAAAACACAAGGCGGATACTCTCAGTAATGAAATGAAAGTCAGAAAGAACTTAAAATAACTAAATAAGGTAAAATATATATGAGGCCAAACAACACGAAATAAATAAAAACACGATGGTCGGAGAGACAAAAATATTCACAGCACATACAAAAGAAACGCTAAGTCAGAAACCCAATTAAAGATTAAAGTGAAAAAATTGATATATAAAACTTGAAGCATCAAAGAAAGTCACACAAAGCATGAGCACTGCCATTATATCATATAGAGATAATCGACAGTAGAACATGAGTACTGGATAAATCAACTTAAAATAGCAGATCAATCGCTTAAGACTACTTCCATTGCGTAGCAAAGATAAAATCATGGTAATCCGAAATGAAGCACCAATAGGTGCTGAATAAATCTATTTACATATTCTTTATATTTGCTAGGATAGGTGGACTTTACATTTTTCTCAAGTGAATTCCCATGATACTTTTTTCCCTTAAAAACGTGTATCAAGTATATCATGGTTCGTTCGTGCAAGAGGCTAGTGTTACGATCAATTTGCTCCATTTCTGGTTGTATAGCTATGAGTGTGAACTTCTTAGCTAAAAAGGGTATCAAAATATGAAGGCTGAACATGTGTTTAGAAAAAATTCCTTATGGTTGAGTTAGAAAGGTGTTTTAAGTATTACATTTGTCGTTTGTCTCGTAGGACTGTGCAGTCTATGCAAAACATTTCCCACTTCACAATCATACAGGTATGAATATCCCGCTGAGAGTACCAACATTTATGAATATCAATACGCATTAACTCTCTTGTTGTTGCTGTTCCAAATATCATTATTTTCCATCGCCTGAAAAGATTAAGTCTTGTCATAAACATAAGTGATGTATTCTTAAAGTCCCTTGTTTCAAAAAGTTGTGCAAGAGATTTGTTTTCAATTACTGCTATGATGTTCGTCGTCTCAAGCATCGACATTGTTAATTGATATATCCTGTCTCAAGAGGTGGTTGGCACAAGGCGTTGAAAAAATATTCAAAATCATATTCGAATAACATAGCAGAGGAAGCCTATCTCTGAACAATATTGTACTGCATTTGAAAATTCAGTAGGTACAGAGTAACTGAAGTAAACTACGTATTCTCTATTTCAAATTGTGGTAAATAGGGTTTTTCAAGAATTTTGGAGAGTACTGGAGTGACTTATTCATCCTATCCTATCCTATCCTTGCTGTACCATCATAAAATCGTATATGATTAAACGAACTTCTATGTTTTGCATTTCCAGGAGTGCCTTAAGAGTGCCATTGCTTCGAAAAAGAACCTAGACTTCAAAAAAGTAGAGAGGTAGAGCACAATTTGATGAATTCCTTCTATGTATCTGTGGAGTTATTGAAGGCTCATCAAGGCGAATGTCGTGGATGTATACGGTATTCTGTATTTAGCGTTTTCTCCTTTTTCTTTTAAGTTACCACTGGCTGCTCTATTTCAGAAAATTCTTTATTGTTGCTCCAATGCCATGGCTTGTACTCTTCACGTTCTTCAAAATAAATGCTTCTAAGAATACTGATTTTAAAGAATCAGTAGCTTTTAATCACGCTGAAATGGGCTGATGACTTAGTGCAAGTGGACCTAAAATGTACACATCTAGAGATGACTAATTCCATATGTCTGTCATTTCATAACTGCTTTATAAAAATACCATCAAACGATTTTCCCGGTTAATTCCTATCAGAACCTATCGTAAGGTATAGCAGTCCCTTTTTTTTCTTAACTTTCCAAGATTTTTGCTTGCCGGGCTACGATGGAATAGACAAACTGCTGAAACTGTAGTTAGGTGCTTGAAATGGTGCTTTTGTTTCCCTGACATCAAAATGTTTCCGCAACTCTCGTTTAACGAGACACATTTTCAATGTCCTAAACAGGAAAGACCAAAACCCTGATGCCACAGCGGATTCCGATGATGAACCAGAGGTTCTTGAATCTGTCCAGGTGGGAATTGTTGGTAATATTCTTCTTAATTAAGTTGTTCTTCCAAAGGCTTAGAAAAACGGCCAGTCAACCGATAGCATCGACAATTTTGGTTCGTCTGTCAGGTTGAACGGTTGAGTGTGTCACAAAGACGAAGTTTACATGCAAGGAGAAGGACCCATTTCGCTAAAGCTAACGTTATTCTGCTGTCTCCGGTGTAACCTCTAGATGGAGTCTGAGTAACTGCGGAGATAATATTGTTTTGTTTTGTTTTGTTTGTTTGTTTGTTTGTTTTTTATAATGGAATAAAATCAGGTATTATGAGTGGTCCTGCAGATCCGTGGTCCTCTCAGTGATGAACAATAAAAATATATTGCGGTGGAAGAATTGCTCCCACATCAGTGCTGCCCAATCTTTTACAATTCATCACATTCAAGTTATCTTTTCAAGCCTTCGAATAACCTCTCATTGACTCTGCTACACGGGCGAGCAAGAATAAAATCAAATATTGGCAACATACTAATGATCATATTTGACAAACCGCTAGGGCTGCAGCGAAGTAGAAACCCTGCTAAATCTCAGGAATTCTTTATTTCACTTCTGAAGCTTCAGACAAACAAAGACATGTAGTGCTCGTGAGAACTGACTTTGTTCAGAAGAGTATCGATTAGTGAGGCATTCGGCGTACTGCCTCCTTTTCATTCTGCCTCGAACAACGACGCACCAGAAAGGATATTAAGAACGAAAGAGTGATTATAGGTAAAAAGGTCGTTTCTATTAAATGGAAAAACATACGAGAGGAGCTAAAAAGAACAGGTCTGCACCAGGACTACGGTGGACTGTGCGTGAGTGACAGAGACTTCGATTAGAGCCTACCAAGGTGAACATGGATTCCGAGACATGACGGAAATACAACCTCAATTTGAATTTGAATTTTGTCAGATGGCCTCAAGACACCGTTTCCTGAACCAAAGATTACATCAATCGAAATGCACCGGCTCATTTCCCGAATAGCGGCGGGTAGTTGAGTCTACCTGTTTGTTAAAGCCATAAGAAGTAAATTTAACGAAAACTGTGCCTTGGAAAATGTGGGAATTTTTCCTGAACCCTTGAAAACAATATCTTCCGGTGATGCAAGTGCCCAGTACCCAATAGCTATTCGCGCTTTTTACGCTGTTCCATCGGTGCACACTCCACGAAGCATGCCCGCTACGCCCGTAATGCTAACTAATGGAATATATTTCTCTCGTTAGGGGTTCATCTGCCCAAATTGTATGGAGGCGTGGAGAAACGAAGAGGAGCTCCTCCAGCATTGGCAGTCAGCACATGGCAACCTCTCCGATGTAGTGGGATTTTGCTCATTTTTATGTTTCATTAAGTATTAACGAATAGATCCTATGGGACCTTTCTATCTATAGTGCTTTTAGATAATTGGACATGTATAATATTGGTGAAAGACATTAATCCTTAACAATCCTTGATTAACAATCGAGGTTTGCATGAAATATTAGCAATCTTTTCTAAGTGGTGGGAAGAAGTAAGGTGTGATTAAAAATTGCCCGTTCAATGTAAAGTAGGTCTCAAACAGAAAAAAATCGTTTGAAAATAAAACGTACGAGCTTTATTCTCATTAATGATTAATTAAAAGTGTAAAACAAAACATATTCGTCAAACCACAGTTATGTTCCAAAAGGTTACCAAGTATTACATTTAGATTTCATGGCAACAAAATTACTGTGATGCGTTAATGTTATTCGAAAGCATTACGTATAAGATCATTTATCTCTTGGTTTTCAATAAGTACATGTCTATTTCTCATTCGACTTTTATGTTTTTCAGGGAAACTCCAAGGAATGAAACGGCACCTTCACAGTCCAAGTTTACCTTTGAAATCGAACAAGAACGATGGAAGGAGAAATGGAAGCATCACAGATTTTGCTACCCTCTGAGACTGCGGAACGTTGCACGGAGGAAAGCCCTTTGAAAATAATTGGCATTCATGCTAACCACACATCCGTGATACCTCCAAACCCGCAGCTAGCCGCCACAATGCAGATTTACTCGTGAAACCAGGATCTGTTAAATTCTCTCATTTGTTCGTTAACAATCTTCTCTCTTATTTTCTCATCTTTTTTTCCTTTGGGGATAAACGATCACATCAAGAATAATCATTTCTGTAGTAGCGATGATCACTCGGTGAGGCTAAACTCATCCACGGTAATAGAAGCGGTTGATACATTTTCTATCGTTGCTGCTAATGTAGATCATCCGTAGAACAGACAATTTGATGTCGCATGTAACGAAAAAAAAATAAAATGCAATAGGGTACTCTAGCAAAACTTGTAATCCATGTACTTTTGTTAACGATGGGCCACGTGCAGTTCACGACTGTTGCAGACAACTAGTTCGCTTCCGCTTGTTCATTTGAGCCATGGGAAACATTTTTTAATTTGCAGAACTGTTCGGTGGATAATGTTGAAAGTTAAACCCTTTGAGGAAATCCAGATTAGTTCATATTCCTAATTTCTAAAAGTTTCTTAAGTCAAAAGAAGTATTCCGGAGTCCAAGTACAGCTACAATGGTCCTCTGCTTGGATGGATGACCGAAGAAAGTCCCTCCTTTTTGCTAAATTAATTCAAAACGTAGTTTTAAGTCCTTTTCCCCCACTGAGTGCGGCTGGCCGTGACCTCCTCGAGATCTAGAAAGCTTCATTTCAAGTCTGCAAATAAAGTTGTTCTATAACTTGTTTTTCCATTCACATTAATTATTTCCGTTGATCTTAAATCAACGAAAAATTTCGAAACTTATCCAAATGAAAGTAAAATCTGTATTTAACCATAGTTGAAAACCGCCCAGGAGGGCTTTCGTTTAACTCAGAAAATATTACAACCGCATTTCTCTTTGGCATCAAATCCATGTCATTTAAGAATTTTTTAATTTTATGATTAACGTGATTCGTCCAGTTATATCACAAATAAAGACGTATTAACATTTTTGAATTTAACAAACTACAGATTTTAAACGAACATGATCAAATCCGTGTTATTCGATACCCTTATTCAAATCCATGTTATTTAGAATGCGTAAACGACGACCTTACGGTCGTAATGGGCGTTTAAACACGCCAGAATCAGTTTGTTCTTCTGGTTGCCGTCCGCGGCTCAAAAACGTAGGTCAGGTTTTGAATCAATGCAACACCTTTCCTCTTTCCCATCAGTTTTTCTTGACGACTATTTTTAAGGTTCATAAGGCCATGTGATTGAGTCAATTGAAAGGGAGTCTTTGGTAAATACAGCAGTTCAGATAACCATCATAGAAGTTGTGTAATGAAAGGCTAAAATTAACATTGACTGACTGTACGACAGCAAATTGTTTGAAACCAGGGTTCGCCGAATGGATATGAATCACACCAAAAGTGAAGACACTAATCAAGGTTAAGGCTTGCAATTCCCATACAGGTTTGACATGAATTTAAAATTATTTTTTTTCACTTTACTCTAGTTAAATATAAGAAAAATGTACGTGATTTTGACTATTTCATAAAGTTTGAATCAAACTAAAATGCAGTGCTGTGTATTCATCATAATGTGGGGGAATATGATAATGAAAATATAGATAATAACAATTTGATGGTTGCATGTGTAGGGATAATTACTGATGCGAGAAAAAAATCTTTCTGAGTTAATGTTTCTTCACAGTTATATAGCGGTAACTTCATTTTCATACCAGACGATTTTGAAAAATTGCGGCTCATTTTAACAACCTAATGGACTGTCAATTAAAATCAAGTCACTCCCGGCAGTCCAACTTCTAAGGATTGAGTAGGACACCATATTCACATGATTACTTTGAATTATCCTCGATATCTTGGAGTCTTTCTTAGAGCTATCTTCATTCAAAAGACCATCAGGCGTCATGAGCTGAAAGTAGGATCGAGAGGCTACTCATCGGCTTCTGACCATAGATCATTAGGCCAGTTGCTTTGTAAAATACCAACCATAACGTCAGTTTTCCGTGCAAGAAAGGGAAAATTTATTTTGAAATTGAAATAAGTCTTATGTTACGCAAACTGGCAAAATATTTTGCAGAAGAACCTCGTAATATGCGCGACACAATATTCTTGAAAGTTATGAGTGGTTCTTTTACTTCTGTAAATCTTAAAAAAAATATTTAAAAATAACAATCTACCTAGTTTAATAGTGTTTTTCGTCGATGTATTATTTCTTGCGATTTCTTGGGAAATTTCGGGTTTAGAACACAGCAGAAGGATCCTCTGAGTAAATTAGTTTACGTCGCACATCATCATAAGATTAGGGTTAACACATTTTTTAATTTCAAGTGATTACACTTAAAGTAATATTAATAGGAACACTTTCTAAAGGAACAATAAAAAAGTATTTTGGATTAACATGATTTTTTTAATATTTAACCTGACTTGTAGTGGTCTTTTAGTGGTCTGAATAAAAATGTCGTGGATCGTTAGACTTTTGAGCTGAGTCGACATTAGAAGTTGCATATTTGCAGTGCAGGGAAAGTAGGTATCATACTGAAAAAATATTGTTCAGTGTCCAAATAGTTAAAAAAGGAAAACTCACGTGATTTGCTTTCATAAGGGATCGATCTAAATGTGCCAAGCAAAAATTCCTTCAAGAAGAGTCATTATGTCGGTTCCAAATAAACCCGTGAAGTGAGGGATAAATGACAGTAAATATATGAAAATCAGATAAGTGACCTACTCCCAGTTGGCTTGTATGCACAGTTGGCAGAGCAATGCACCGGTATCGCAAAGGTCGTGGGTTCAAATTCCATACGGGCCTGAAACTTTTCTAGGCCTTATTTTCAGTGCTGCTGAAGTAGTGTTCGTTACTCGGCGAGGATCGCTTCCATATTAGCTACTTTGTCCGATTTTATGATTTTCATATATTTACAGTCATTTATCGCTCTTAAGTTGTCAGGCTTAAAATTTACCGTCTTCATTAAGATAATCAATGGGAATACAAATTACTTGTCCACATTTTTATCCTCGCAGTTGCCAGAATGTTTGTTACCATGAACTTTGTTCAAAAGCCAAGGTTGCCTCGAGTCTCTGTATAGACTCGTGGTAGAACGTTCAAACTACGAAGGGAAGGACGTAGGTTTGAAAACTTTTGGGAGATTGGGGGCACGTGCATTATTCTTTTTCTCTGACTGTGCTTGTATGTGTTTTTACTGAAAATAACATCTTCCCTTACCTAAATCACCAAGCTTAAAACTGACCGACCTCATTAACATCGTCATTTTGCATAAGCATGAAATATCGAAATTCGTAGCATCCCAGTATCCAGAAAGTTTGTCATCATAGACTTAGTGGAATGGCCTAGCTTGCCACTACTCTCCTCTAACTCAGTGGTAGAGCGTTGAAAATACTAATGGAGCACTTAGATGCTTCTTTTTTCTCCGAGTCTGCCTGTGTCACTCACTGAGTTACTTTATCCTGGGCTTAAATGACCAGTCTTCAAATTTTCCATCTTTATGTTCATCGTCATTTTGCATCAGCAAAACACATCGACATTCCTATCCTCTCAGTATCCAAAACGTTTCTCTCCGTAAACCTAGTTTAACAGCCAACGTTCCCACGAGTGTGGTATAGCTAAGTGATAGAGCATCCCATCTCCGACTAGGCCTGTGTACTGAATGACCTTTTTCTTCACTTAAATGACCACGCAGGTTTAAAATTTTCCATCTTCATTTTCATCATCATCGGCATAAGCGACACATATCGACAATCCCATACTTACAGTAAGCCCAAAGTTTGCCACTTCGGACTTTGTGTCATGGCCTAGCTTGCCACGACACGAGTCTCCTATAGCTCAGGGGTAGAGCGTCCAAAGCTCTAGTTGGAAGTTTGTTGGTTCGAAACCCGTTGCAAGTGTTTTTATTTTTATTTTTCTCGGAGTATACCTGTGTCATTCACTGAATAACATCTTCCTTCACGTAAAAAAGGTTGTGCTCGTTCATCGCGGTAAACTACGATAATAATAAAACATTATCATTTGTCTCACAATGTGGTCACTCATGATGTGAATCGCGACGTTTCGACTGCATATTGTCGACCGTCTGGCCAGGAAGTTGTTCGAGAGGCTGCTGGCCTTGAAACGAAGTGGACATCTATCAGAGGCCGTTTACAACAACATCAGACCTCGACACAAAAAGCCGCCCAGAATCTACGGTTTACCGAAGATCCACAAGTCGACGTTCCGTTAAGACCTATTGTGTCATGCGTTAACACCTTCGCATATGACCTGTCCGCCTACCTAGCTAACATCTTGTCTCTTTTAACACGTAACTCGGATATCACGGTGACAATTCAGCTCACTTCGCGTCAACCATCAGCAGTGAGATGATCCTAGACGACGAGATCATGGTGACTTTCGACGCAAAGTTTACCAATACTTTACACTAACATCAGAGCTAGTAAGAGCGAAAGACGCTGCTAAGCCGGCTAAACAAGACGGCGTAGTTTACAGGATTCCCTGTAGATGCGGCAGAGTTTACATCGGCGAGAATGAAAGACCAATGCAAGACAGAATAAGACCAAAACATCCGATTAGCCCGTGCCCAAACCTCCGCCGTTTCAGAGCACGCCCACAACACCGAACACCAACTGCTTTGGAATGAGGTTAAGTTTATTGATCTTGATCCCCACTAGCACACTCGCAAGGTCAAAGAGGCAATTTACCTAAGAATTCACCCTAACAACATCAACAGGGACAGTGGAACAGAAATTCCTAAAGCGTGGATACCCACGATCAAAAAACACAACAACCGGAGAGCTGTATGACAGCGGACCACCGAGGGAACAACACACTAACATCGAAACGCGCTAATCAGAGCTGTGAAGAAACCAACCAATTACAGCGGAGCATCCTGCTTTATAACAATACCCGAAACCAGTCGACCTTATGAAGACCAGCTGTATGTAGTCGAAACGTCGCGATTCACATCATAAGTGACCACATCATTAGACAAACGATAATACTTCACTATTATCTTCCTTCACACAAACACCATGCTTAAAATTTAATCCTCTTTCATGACATCCCTACTATCGCAGTATGCAGGAAATTGGTCACGGACGTAGTTTAAGGGCCTAGTTTTCCACGAGTCTCTTAGCTCAGTGGTTGAGCGTCCGAAGTAGTAGTCAGAACTGGTCAAAAATTCAACTCACTTTAGGAGCAATTGGATTTTTCTAGTGGCTCCAAGTTTGTCTTTGTCATTCCCTCAGTTGATAACCAGGCTTACCATTTACCACCTTTATTTACATCATCATTGCGCATAAGTATCACATATCGACATCCCTTTTCTTGCCTAATGCAGAACGTTTGTCACCGTGGAACTAGCTGAAAGACATGGCTTGC